GAAAACTCAGGAAATTTGGCAGGACGACCGGGCCTGGTGAAAAATTCGATATTCTGAAGTCGCCCAAACAATAAAATGCAAAATGGCTCCATAGCGCCCCCTAAGGTGAAAATTCACACTATTGACTGTCACGCCTGTACGCTTTGTCATATTGACACAAAAATTGACACACACATGTATCTCAATAAGATCTACAAAAAAGTCAGTGCGGGCGTATCTGTCAAATGTACGGTTAAAGGGTTATTTCGCATTTTTTGCAGATCCGCACACATTGGAATTTTGCTAACTCCTCCGAAGGCTTTTGTTCCACCGGCACCAAATTTGCTCAGGCCAATCTACACCCCATGGCCATTCAAAGTTGTACAAATCATGATGCTGCACCCTATGGTTTAGGTTCTAGGGGGCGCCAAAGATAACCCAAAAATCCACAGTCTTAAAAGTCTTATAACTTTTTATTTTTGTCCTCACTGGCCTCCAAGTTCTCTAGGATGATGCAATGTCCAGCAATTAACACATTTGTGAAGGAATTTTTACTCGCCAAAAGAGCCCCCCCATGGCAGGAGAAAAAAGTCCATTTTTTCTTGTCCCCTAAGGTGAAAATACACATTGTTTAGTGTCACGCCTGTACGCTTTGGCAAAATGACACAAAAATTGACACACACATGTATCTCAATAAGATCTACAAAAAAGTCAATGCGCGCGTATCTGTAAAATGTACGGTAAAGGGCTATTTCGCATTTTTTGCCGATTCGCACACATTGGAATGTGGCTAACTCCTCCTAAGGCTTTCGTTCCCCTGACACCAAATTTGCTCAGGCCAATCTACACCCCATGGCCATTCAAAGTTGTAAAAATCATGACGCTGCACCCCACGGTTTAGGTTCTAGGGGGCGCCAAAGATAACCCAAAAATCCACAGTCTTAAAAGTCTTATAACTTTTTATTTTTGTCCTCACTGGCCTCCAAGTTCTCTAGGATGATGCAATGTCCAGCAATTAACACATTTGTGAAGGAATTTTTACTCGCCAAAAGAGCCCCCCCATGGCAGGAGAAAAAAGTCCATTTTTTCTTGTCCCCTAAGGTGAAAATACACATTGTTTAGTGTCACGCCTGTACGCTTTGGCAAAATGACACAAAAATTGACACACACATGTATCTCAATAAGATCTACGAAAAAGTCAATGCGCGCGTATCTGTAAAATGTACGGTAAAGGGCTATTTCGCATTTTTTGCCGATTCGCACACATTGGAATGTGGCTAACTCCTCCTAAGGCTTTCGTTCCACTGACACCAAATTTGCTCAGGCCAATCTACACCCCATGGCCATTCAAAGTTGTAAAAATCATGACGCTGCACCCCACGGTTTACGTTCTAGGGGGCGCCAAAGAGGACCCAAATATCCACATTTTTAAAAGTCTTATAACTTTATTTTTGTCCTCACTGGCCTCCAAGTTTTCTAGGATGATGCAATGTTCAGTCATCAACACATTTGTGAAGGAATTTTTTCTCCCCATAAGAGCGCCCCCCCATGGCAGGAGAAAAAGTCAAGTTTTTCCTGCCCATCGCTCAATGGCTCAAACGCATCGCTCTCTCTGCAAAACCGAAAGGAGGAGCAACTTGCCATTTGGATATATATTAGCTGTGTTTGTGCCCTCACTCCTGGTCCAGAATTTTTTCAAAAAGGACATGGAGTTTGTCTGCAGCGAGCGTTTTGGTAGAAACTGCGCCTCCCATTCATTATAATGGTAAATGACCACAGACAAGTGCGCACACCATCTTTGGACCTTGAGTGTGACGCGATCGGGAGGGGTAGGCGGTCGCGCTGGGGGCGGCGCGACACGGCTCGGGCCCGCCAGTGCCCCAACGGGGCCCTAGTTATTATTATTATTATTTTTCCTCCGCTTTAAACTGGAAAATGGCCCACTTCCCACTGGCGAAAACTCAGGAAATTTGGCAGGACGACCGGGCCTGGTGAAAAATTCGATATTCTGAAGTCGCCCAAACAATCAAATGCAAAATGGCTCCATAGCGCCCCCTAAGGTGAAAATTCACACTATTGACTGTCACGCCTGTACGCTTTGTCATATTGACACAAAAATTGACACACACATGTATCTCAATAAGATCTACAAAAAAGTCAGTGCGGGCGTATCTGTCAAATGTACGGTTAAAGGGTTATTTCGCATTTTTTGCAGATCCGCACACATTGGAATTTTGCTAACTGCTCCGAAGGCTTTTGTTCCACCGGCACCAAATTTGCTCAGGCCAATCTACACCCCATGGCCATTCAAAGTTGTACAAATCATGATGCTGCACCCTATGGTTTAGGTTCTAGGGGGCGCCAAAGATAACCCAAAAATCCACAGTCTTAAAAGTCTTATAACTTTTTATTTTTGTCCTCACTGGCCTCCAAGTTCTCTAGGATGATGCAATGTCCAGCAATTAACACATTTGTGAAGGAATTTTTACTCGCCAAAAGAGCCCCCCCATGGCAGGAGAAAAAAGTCCATTTTTTCTTGTCCCCTAAGGTGAAAATACACATTGTTTAGTGTCACGCCTGTACGCTTTGGCAAAATGACACAAAAATTGACACACACATGTATCTCAATAAGATCTACGAAAAAGTCAATGCGCGCGTATCTGTAAAATGTACGGTAAAGGGCTATTTCGCATTTTTTGCCGATTCGCACACATTGGAATGTGGCTTACTCCTCCTAAGGCTTTCGTTCCACTGACACCAAATTTGCTCAGGCCAATCTACACCCCATGGCCATTCAAAGTTGTAAAAATCATGACGCTGCACCCCACGGTTTACGTTCTAGGGGGCGCCAAAGAGGACCCAAATATCCACATTTTTATAAGTCTTATAACTTTATTTTTGTCCTCACTGGCCTCCAAGTTTTCTAGGATGATGCAATGTTCAGTCATCAACACATTTGTGAAGGAATTTTTTCTCCCCATAAGAGCGCCCCCCCATGGCAGGGGAAAAAGTCAAGTTTTTCCTGCCCATCGCTCAATGGCTCAAACGCATCGCTCTCTCGGCAAAACCGAAAGGAGGAGCAACTTGCCATTTGGATATATACTAGCTGTGTTTGTGCCCTCACTCCTGGTCCAGAATTTTTTCAAAAAGGACATGGAGTTTGTCTGCAGCGAGCGTTTTGGTAGAAACTGCGCCTCCCATTCATTATAATGGTAAATGACCACAGACAAGTGCGCACACCATCTTTGGACCTTGAGTGTGACGCGATCGGGAGGGGTAGGCGGTCGCGCTGGGGGCGGCGCGACACGGCTCGGGCCCGCCAGTGCCCCAACGGGGCCCTAGTTATTATTTTTCCTCCGCTTTAAACTGGAAAATGGCCCACTTCCCACTGGCGAAAACTCATGAAATTTGGCAGGACAACCGGGCCTGGTGAAAAATTCGATATTCTGAAGTCGCCCAAACAATAAAATGCAAAATGGCTCCATAGCGCCCCCTAAGGTGAAATTTTCACCTGATGCCTGTACGCTTTGTCAAAATGACACAAAATTTGACATACACGTGTATCTGAATAAGATCTACGAAAAAGTCAGCGCGGGCGTATCTGTCAAATGTACGATTAAAGGGTTATTTCGCATTTTTTGCCGATCCGCACACATTGGAATTTCGCTAACTCCTCCGAAGGCTTTCGTTCCACCGGCACCAAATTTGCTCAGGCCAATCTACACCCCATGGCCATTCAAAGTTGTACAAATCATGACGCTGCACCACACGGTTTAGGTTCTAGGGGGCGCCAAAGATGACCCAAAAATCCACATTCTTAAAAGTCTTATAACTTTTTGTCCCCACTGGCCTCCAAGTTTTCTAGGATGATGCAATGTCCAGCCATCAACACATTTGTGAAGGAATTTTTACTCCCGAAAAGAGCGCCCCCCCATGGCAGGAGAAAAAAGGCCATTTTTTCTTGTCCCCTAAGGTTAAAATACACATTGTTGAGTGTCACGCCTATACGCTTTGTCATATTTAACACAAAATTTGACAATCACGTGTATCTCAATAAGATCTACGAAAAAGTCAATGCGCACGTATCTGTAAAATGTACGGTTAAAGGGCTATTTCGCATTTTTTGCCGATCCGCACACATTGGAATTTCGCTAACTCCTCCGAAGGCTTTCGTTCTACCGGCACCAAAAGAATGTACAAAAGAAAAATCTGGAAAAAATATTAATCCAATTTCATTTTACAGCAGACAAAGTAGTTTTGGCCACTGAGTGGCACCAAAGGGGGTTGTCTAGTAACAGCAGACAAAGTAGTTATGGCCACCGAGGGGCGCCAAGGGAGTTGTCTATTAAAGGGTTAAAGGGTTAAAAAAATTATTTTCAATGAAATGTTCTTCATGGTCCAGACTTTTTTCATGTAGGACATGTAGTTTGTCTGCAGCGAGTGTTTTGGTAGAAACTTCGCCTCCCATTCATTATAATGTGAAATGACCAAAGACAGGTGCACACACCACCTTTGGACCTTGAGTGTGACGCGATCTGGAGGGGGAGGCGGTTGCGCTGGGGGCGACGCGACGCGGCTCAGGCCCGCCAGTGCCCCAACGGGGCCCTAGTTAAGCCTTTTGTTTTTGTTTTTGTAATAAAAACCTTCGGCAGTGGGGTATTGTGGATTTCTAGATTTAAAATGATCTTTATAAGGTGTATTTTTATACTTTTAACTGCCTATATGAAAAAGTTTGAAGACAAATGAGTCCATTAAGAACTATTTTGTAGAGAATAACACATAACAATCAGAACTAAAACTTCAGATTTACAATACAACAAGGTTTTTAATTCACTGGTGGGTCTCGTAGACTTGTGCAGGTTCATCTTTACTGCTGCAAAAAAAACAAAAAAAATATGAGTGTTTGACCCAAATCATGGCACATTTTATTCTAGTGTGCCAATGTCTACTGGAATGATAATATGTGTATGAGTATTGCATCATTAATTGATGTTTTATTTTACATGTGTGGAGGTGTGTGATTCACCTTTGGTTTTGGGTTTTGGACAGGATGAGAGAGTTTAAACTCTGCTGGGAGCTCATCCTCAGAATACAGTCACAAAAATACACTCTCTGTATTAGGATGTTAGCGTGGATCTAGAAGGGTGATACATAGAACAAAAAAGAAGATGAATGAATGAGGTGAGAGAGAGCTGGAGAGTCAGTTTAACTGACACACATACTCACCAGACATTTTGCCCTTTGACTTCCAACACCTGTGAGTGAAGGTCATCGTCCATGGCTCTCTGGATGGAACCATTCCGCACCTGTGACCAAAAGAAATCATATGGAGGAATCCTTTAGTATCTCTTCATCAAAGGACAGTTGTCAGGTGAGTTTTTGCACTGATGCATTAGTATGTTTATCAGCCAAAATAATAGCAAGAAATGGGAGAGCAGGAACTCAGAAATCATGTTGCTGTAATTTAAATATGGATGTGGAGGCAGGAAATAAGACATTTGAAATGTTAGGCGAGGAGTAATAATAATAACAGTAATACATTTTATTTGAAGCGCCTTTCACGTCACTCAAGGACACTTTACAGAACATATAAAACAATAATAAAACACTATTAACAATTAACAATATTGGTTCATTTCAATTCCTGCTTCTGTGTATCTGTTGCGTTTACATCTCTCTCCACGGTATCATAGGTAATGTAATACAGTATTTAGAGGTCAGTTATGCACATTACAGTTGTTTATTGCATAAAAAGTTATCGAAAAATGAAGTTAAGGGCAAAGTATAAATCACGTCTAAAAATAGACTGAATCCCGACGTTGAAATGAAGTATAAACTTAGACTAGACGTCTAATATACGTCTTTTGCTCAGTGGGATGGCAAAGCATGTGGACATTTGTGTGACACGCTACTTACCCTATAATAATAATCGCCACCACCCGCTGCTCAAACGGCGTGAGGGTCTCCTCCCCCGGAACCCCACCTGTCTGGCCGGTACTCCTCCGGAGGGCAGCTGTATGCCGCTTGACCTCCACCTTGAGGTACGAGCACTTTTTTTTAATCTCCGCAGGGGTGCGTGTCTCGGAACCCACCGCGTTCACCCTCTCGCAAACTTTCTCCCACTCCAAGTGTTTTCGTTTTGCACTGACGCCACTGGACAGGCTGCCAAACAAAACACACTGTCGCTCCTCCACCTCCGCCACCAGAACCTCCACCTCGCACGCCGTAGATTTAGTTTTTCTTGTCATTTTGTCTGTGTGCGAGGACAGGGAGACCCTATTTAAATAAATCTGCATATTTATAGGAGGGCGTAACAGTTCTTATCGGTTGCTTGGCAACCACGCCAACCTGACTTTTATTCTGCAATTCTTACAAGGGGCTCCTAAAATAGATTAAAATACCCAGAAAATGAGTCTTTTACAGTTTAGGAAAGCCGTAAAAGAAGCTAAAGACTAACGTAAAACTGTGCTCTTTTGTGGAAACGATGTATCTTAATCCCACTGACAATGTAAAAGGCATACAAGGTACATACAAAAAATGCGTTTTCATACCCTCCAAACCAAACCGCGGCAGAGTAAAATGTGATCAGACGGTGAAATATGATCAGAGGGCTAAATATGGCATTATCAAGAGGCATTCAGGTACTGCGATTTAGCACACCTTACTAAGGAAGTGAATGTATTTCCATCACAGTCTAAATTGCTGCTCACCTTTTTATCCCAAATCATCAGAGGTTTGCTGCCGAGGCTGTACAATATGGACAAAAATCCGCTCTGAAAATCGTTTTTAAACATCTTCCTGGTGTAGTTAGTCCAAAGTCAATATAAACATACGTTTTCAGTCTATGAAACTGTTTTGCCTACAAGCGGTACGTTTGTTTTCAAATTTGGTTTCCATCGCAACACTTTTTGATTCCGTGTGACACAAGATAGCCATTTCTGCCACGTTAATTTGAATGTTTCAATAAATAAATTGATCGGTGTTCACGACGGTCCATAGAAGTTGTCGCATCAGCGTTACCATTGTAACGAAAACTCCGTCAAACATTTTAGATGTGTTTGTCGCTACCCGATCTGTCTCTAGTTTGTTTATTTTTTTCTTAATCCCCTGTAAAACGTCAATGGTATATCGTAAACTTTAATAGTGATAATAATAATTTTAAAAAAACGATCCGTCCCGGAAGTGGGACGGTAGGGTAAAGTAAAATCAAACTATTACAAAAAAAAACAAAAAAAACACTCTTATAAATCAAAATACCTTACCTGACAGAAACAAGAAAAATAAAAGACATACAAACCTATATTTGACTCCCTACACAAAAACATGAGAAAACAAGGGCTAACTCTCCCCTACATATACTGACTGCTTCTAACAATACAAGAACCCTCTAAGGTCCCTTAATAACAACAATCCAAAATCACACAATAGAATTCAACTGAACGATGGCTCGAAACGCTGTGCTCTGGCGAGATGTTGGAAGTGACGAAGGAGAGCCAGCATCCCTGCTCCTGCAGCCGCGTTTAAAATGCAGCCCATCTGCTCTCAGCCAATCACGCGCCTTCACTCCACAGCAGTCCTCCAATGCGCGTCTGGTGCGTCTTTACGCCGCCGTCCAATCTGGACGCACCTTTTTCTGCAGTACAGCTCAGAGAATCAGAGAAAGAGAGGAGGGAAGAAACAAAACTATTCTCTACACAATAAAACGATAAACAATACAATAATTAATACTATTTAAATGACCCACTGTCATAACAGGACTTTAAGCTGAGTCCAAAAGTCATACAACAGTCTGTGACACTGACTTCATATCAACCAATCACTTATAATGCATGATAAGCATATTGCATCTATACATGTGTTATATGGCTTTGTTACAATCCTTATAAGTGATTGTAGGCATTCATCAAAACTTACAGCAGTGGCGTTGAAGTGTTATAAACAGTGAAAATAGTATCTTATAAAGGTAGGGCTTTAAATGCTTCATATCCTCATGCAACAAAAAAAAATACATAGTGCTAATTCATAACAAGTGCTATCAAAGACACTAAACAAAAGAAAAGCTGTACTAGACCATACTCTGTTTACAAAGACCCAACGTAAAGATGGGATCAGACTGAGCCCCATCCTGTAAGATCATTTCCCATCCATCTTCAACCACATGAGTGAAACAGCATTTAGAGAGTTAGAGTGGAGAGGAAGAACTCCTTTAACAGGCAGAAACCTCGAGCAGAACTAGACTGATATTAGACAGTCATCTGCTGAGACTAAACTGGGTTTAGAGAGGAGAGAGAGAGAGAGATTGAAGGAGAGAGAGATGGACAAAGGAGAGACTGATAGAAGTAGATGGAGAAAGAGAGAGAGAGAGAGAGAGACTGAGAGAGAGATGGACAAAGGAGAGACTGATAGAAGTAGATGGAGAAAGAGAGAGAGAGAGAGAGGAAGATGAACAGAGGAGAGATTAACGCATGTTGCTGAAGCAGCCTTAAGCAGAGAAGTCCACAACAGCAGAATGCATGCAGCAGTGATCCAGAGAAACCTACAGGATGATGGAGCTCAGGGACTCTCAGAAAAGACTGAGAATTAGTGACTCCAGCAGGACATGATGATTCAGAGTTAATGACACAGACAGAAAGGGGATGGAGAGAAAGGTGCTCAATGTGCTCGTACCCCTAGCACTCTAAACCTATAGCAGCATAACTAAGAGCTGATCCAGGTCTGGCACAGCTCGAACTGTAAGCTTTGTCAAACACCTCAACTGTAAATAACTCGAGAGGAGAGAGGCCTGACAACTAAAGGTTATGGTTATGGTGGTTGTGGTTTCTGAACATAGAGAGCTTTGTAGGTCAGAAGTTTAACACACAGTGAGTGTGGAGAATACAGGGGGGTTTGGGCTCTGTTCTCCTGGTTCTGGTCAGTACCCTAGCTTCAAGCCTTTTGGACCTGCTAGAGAGTCTTTTAAGGGCCGAAAAAAGAATTAAGGAGAAGGATTTCCTGTAAGTTGAGTCATGTATTGTTGGGTTTTCATGTGTCACAGCAGATATATATCCATGGCAGAAAGGAGGTGTTTTATGTGTTGCCAAGCTTAGATACCTGCTGTACATCACCTTACAATGGGGGCCAAAAACCTGACAGGTAAAAGATATTTCTTATTAATGTTGTCAGTGCAACATTCACTTCACATGCTAAATTCTACACCCTTAAGAGTCCAACACTCGCTAAAACTGAGAATTTACATCTGTCTAAGATGTGCAGCAGTTGTTGCGTCTCATTGAGAGTGGCTGCACAGAAATGAAAACACTGTGAAAATGTGAGACACTGGAATGAAAGATAAGAAAAAAGGGCTTACTCTGAAAACAAAAAAGAAGAACATTTTCTAAACCATTTAAAGCCATGAATACAAAGTGCTGCTTCATTATTGAAGCTTCGCCCTCTCAGAGCGTGATGCTTCCTGTTCAATCATCCCTTGCTGGTCCTAGTTGTCTTTTGGCTCAGAGGTCAGTGGAGGTAAACAGGTCCCGCTTGGGTCACGCACACTCTGTCCAGAAAGGCCTCAGCTGTACTTTCCTTCGTCACCCCTCTCAGTGTGTGATTATGCAGTTCCACCCAGTTGTCTCCTCGGTGCCACTTTCACCCCCGATATGTCAGAGTCGTCTCACTGATGTGACTGCATGCACTCCCCTCAGAGTGTCACTGCCAGTGAGGATCACACAAAGACAGGTGTCACTTTAAATATGCACGAAACTCCTTAAACAAAACCCTGACAAAAACTATCACTCTTTTGAAAAATTCAGAGTCGCTCCATCGGAAAACATCAAATATTCACATGCAGGAAACCAAGAGTGAAGACTCAAACACTGGTGTCATTCAGAAAAAACAGATTGTTTCTAAACGGTGCTCACAAATAATTCAGGATCATTTTTCTGGCCTCAGGTTTCATCATTTAAATGGCAGATTTTAACAAAGGTCCTACAGTATAATACAGTTTAATTCACTGTAACAGCTGCCTCAGAGTCTTTATGTATAAACTCTCGAGGGTCAGTGTAACATCACCAAACAGATATATGGAGGTGAGGAAGGCTTCGAGTCTGTTGACACGGATTAGTTTTAATTTATCATCAATGTAAATGTTGAACGAACGGACAATGACAATTGTGGTGAAATCTCTTTGTGTACATGTTCCGGCGAATAATGGTACAACCAAATTGTCATATATTCATAAACATAAATTCAACTAATTTCAAACATCACGTGCGCATTAGGATGCATTTGGATTTTGATATCGTATAAGCCTTTTTTGGAGCCTCTGAAAAGGGGCCTGCTGAAAAAAAGGCAGTTATTGGGGTTGGACACTTGCTGTAGCTTGTTGGCTTGTTGCTTTCTGATCCACTGAGTTTTCAGGTGAGCCTGCAGATTTGTTGTTGATGAGTCAGGCAGCTGCTTTGTGCAGTTATTAGCTTTGCTATTTATTTGTCTCTGGTGTAGATCCTACTATACTTCCACACAGTGCTTTTAATGGCCCTCATTTATCAAGCTTGCGTACAGCAGAAAACTTGCAGACACCTTGCGTATGAAAATTTTGACGTGAGGATCGGCATTTATTAATCTGCACGTGAGCGTACGCTACGACCAAATCTCACGACAGGTCTGACATCGTGTACGCAAGTTTGAGTCAGTGTGGATCTGCGGTGCAACAAATGTCTGTCTCAAAATCATTGATAAACAAACCTCAAAACTGTCATTAATCACATCAGCCAAATTTCATTAAAGATTAAGATGTAAATAAAATAAATAAATTTGTTTTGTCCTTAGTGAAAAGGTCTATTTCATAACTCTGCCCAGAAACACTGCCACAGAGCAGGAGCGCCGTTTCAACATTACGCAAATATGCACACGCGCCACTGTGGAGCGCTGCATTTGACTCCTAAAAGGCAGGTGTCTCTGTCTTGGCCCAGCAGTGGGGATGTTGTTGTACACTCCTGAAAGGGTGTGGGACATCATTTCGGCCAGTACAATTTTGCACGATGTTGCACTGGAGAATGGAGTGCCGTTGGCTGTGCCGGTGCAAAGTGAGGACCCGATGCCCGGAGAACAATAACGAGGAGAGACTCCACAAAGGTGCTGTACAGAGGAGACAGGACCTTATTGATGGATTCTGACATGTAAAGTATAAGTTTAGAAAGTGCTCTTGCTATTTAATCAGTGATAAAAATCCAATAGAAATCCATAAAAATGTGCCTCAGGGGCAGCAACACACCGTTTGGTGAGGTTAATAATTATTTTTGTTCAGCCTCTGTCAGACTCTCCAGTCTGCTCTACATTACAAAGACGCAACAAACTAAATACTTTCAATAAAAAGAGCAATGTACCCTGTCATACCAATAAAACATATGAGGCATGTATGAGATATTAATTTATCATCATGAGCAACTTATTGACTAATGATTTATTCAAACTTCAGCCACTGTCCGCTATTCCACGGCAGCGCTGTTCACCGCCTCCATAGTCCTGCTCTAGACAGGAGTTTTCTGGACTGCTTTTATACCAGTTTTGATGCTTTCAAAGATAAAATCCTTGTTAGTTTCCACCACAGACGTGAGGATATCCACTTTCATCTCGGAAAAGTTTCAAATCTTTCTAATATTTCTCCTCTTTCATGTTTGACCTGAGTGGGCGGGGCTTCTGAACCCCGAATATTTAAGGGTGTGACATGTTAATGACGATCGATTTCAGCCGCTGCATTTATCAAGACCTGATCATACGTACACTGGGATTGGTCAGATACGAACCCTTGCAAAAATCTCACGTGTGTCCTATCGTACTATGAATCCTGCACTCAGATCTGCGCTCAGATCTGCGCAAGATTGATAAATAAGGGCCAATGTGTTTTGGTGTTGTGAATCTCACTCAGTGCGGCTTGTCCTCCACTTTTGTAAAATTCCTTTCCTGCTTTAGTTTCCTGAGATCATGAGACCAGAGATTGGTCAGGTTTCAATGAGGGCACCCTCTACTGGATCTCATGGCCACCTACTTTAGGGAGCTGCTGGTATACTGAGCTTGGACAACTCATTACAGTCTGAATATGAGCTTTTCCTCCAGAGTGTGAAGGTTTGCACATCAATAAAAAGTGACAGCCCTTTTGAATGTGGGTTGTTGCATGTTTTTTTAACACTGTTTTATTCGTTTAGTTTCTTTATTGGTATTATTGTGGATGAGGTTGAGCATGTGCAGCATTTCAGTCCGAGACAACTTTCCCCAGGAGGACAATTAAGTGCATCTTATCTCACTGTATCATATCATAATGATGATGAATCATCCTGTCTACCATTAAAGATGTAGATGAAGCTGAACTTCTTCTGCCCTGTTGCTGTAGCTTAGCTTGCTACATCTTTATGGGTGGTAGCTTTGGTGTAGTGAAACTAGATTTAGGGGCTGCTGACAACCTCTCCACCCAGGAGACAATGAGCTCCACCAGCAAGATCATCATGGCAGCCACATCATGATGTTGGAGTTCTGCTCTGACAGCACATGGATAGTAGTTGCAGCAGGAATATTTCCTAAACCTCAAATGTTTCACACCAGATCACCTCCTTCACTGACAAAGATGTTTCCACACTTGGGGAGTTGGCAGAGATGCTCATTCACACACCAACATGAATATATAGAAAGGGTCTATTGCTGGGACCTTCATCTTCATCACGTCTTAAAAACACAGGTTGTGTCCTGCTGTGAACCTGGTGTGTTCTGTCTAATGTGCTAGATTACTTCTTGTCACGTTCAATCTCCGCTCCTCATAACAGCAGCTCAGTTTCCATGGAAGCAGACGAGACAGCCGCAGTGACCATGAATAGCATACTAGTGTGCTGAGCGTCAGGTCAGAGCTTGCACACTGTAATGACTCATAGCAGAGGTAAGGATGAATCACGGCTGCAGTGACGCAGGGGGAGGGAATATTTGCTGGGCTCCTCAGATTAAAGCACCACCACCCATCACCAAACAGGCCAGTCCACAGGAGCACCCACCTAAGACACCGGAAAAATAACCTCCTACACAGTCATGTGAGTGACATCATGGGAATGGATTTTTAAAATTTATATCAAGACCTTTCTAATTTGAAAGCTTCTGTGAGGAACTTAAAGTTTGTAGGCCTTTATTACATTATCAATATCACACAATGTCACAATATCAATGTCAATAAATTCCACCAGCAACCACAAAACCCTGAGTGCAACTTAAAGCCAACGCCATAAGAAAAGAAGGGCCAACACATGGCAGGGCATCCCATTAACTGGGACCTTTGTCGTTGATGCAGGCTAAATACCACCAACTCAACCTTGCCCCCTGACACATGATGCAAATGGAAAATGAGCTTAAAAAATGAAGCAATATGCATGATCAGCAAACCTGCAGCAAATTCATCCAGCATATTTACATGAACAGTTAAATTGAGCTACAGTCACTCCTCAGTGAGATGATCCAGCTGGACAACTGTCATCATCCCGGTTTAAAAGTGAGTATGAAATTGACAGTGTATGTGCCCCCACCCCCCAGCAGATTTTGTTTACAATCCAGCAACTTAAAGATTAACTATGTGTTTAGAACAAAATCAAATTTTGATTTTTTTTTCAGGTATAAGGGCATCATGTCTGGAAAAAAAACAAGCATCCTCTCTTAAAATAATATTCACCCCACCCCTTACAGCTGCCCTGTTGGTTCTGAGTAATCTTTTTTAGGGATGAGGGTGAACATGTGAAACAGACCTAGGTTTGTTTGGGAAAAGACTCTGAGGTGAACCTGCCTGAAGCGATATCATCAGTGATTCTGCTCACATGCACCTCACTCTGTCTATAACAACAACAAAAAAAGGTTTGGATGATATTTCAGTTTGATGAAGAGACTCATGTTGCGGTGGTGGTGCTAAGCGAGGTTCAGATGCTAGATGTTGCAAAGAAGCAACAAAGGGATTCCACAAACCCCCGGGTGTGTATGGTGGCAGGGGCTTACCCAATCACTAAGCCTAGCAGTTGCCATGGTGACAGTGCCCACACTCCACTAAGGAGATGGACAAACTCCCATCCAAAGGGAAACCTAATCATCCACCTTCACTGAGACATAAGGGGGAGGAAGGATGGGTGAGGAGAAAGAGGGAGCTGATGGCTCCCTATGTTCTTGATATCAGACGCATGTCTCACATTTGAATGTTCCTGCAGACACACAACCTTTCACAGGGCTGAACCATAAACAGACAGCGTTAATCCAGTTATATGGGGCTAAAGCCCGGAGGTAACATTCAGACTTGTGCAAATTGCTTGCAGGCATCAAGAGCATTTATAGTGACACATAACAATCTAATCATGGTCTCCACCATCAGTATTCCATGTGTACCTAAATCCTATCCCAACACACAAGAGGACCCTTATGTCAGGTACTTCTGAGGAACAAACAACAATAAAGCAGAAGCACACATCACAAAAGGTGGGATAAGATGAGTGACTCTAACTTGAAATAGTCTCTGCGGTGTTGATGTGTTCAGGTTTTTTTTTTTTTCTTTGAGCAGATGTGGGACATAAAGCACAAAGCTGATCTTAATCGCTCTGTGTGAATCTGCAGAGACAGCTGGGAGCATGCTTGATGGTTATCTGCATGTAAGGAAATCAAAGCTGAAAGATAAGGGGGGACTTCTCTATCATAGCTTTAGTAATAAGTTATTATAGGGAATGATATCTCCTTATTGATAACGCATGCGTGCCAGGATCTTTGGGAGAGAAGACAGTCAGTCAGAGGTGTTGAAACTAATTATGCAAAACTTGGTAGAAAAGCAAGCTTAAAAAGCCTGAGCAAAATGTAAAAGCTAAAAGAGAAAAACAGGATCACTGCTATTTTTCATAACAATGTTAAATTACAAGAATTAATACTTTTATGAGCTTCACCATTTCTCTACCAAGCCAGTGTTTGTGCTTCGATTTCAAAGGTCATATTTTACATATGAGTGGACATGAACTGACAGTATGTGGCACCAGGAATTCTGGGTTATGAGGAAAGGTGCATTTAAACCAAGGTACATGTTTTAAAAACATTGTAAATAGCATTTTTAGGGTTAAAGGGCGGTTTGTACACCACAAATGAAGAACATGACACTGCAGGTCCATGAGTTTGTGCTGGTTAGGATTTCTTTTTGTTAGTATGTTCCCTACTCCAGAAAAAAAGGAATCTCAAAGAACTCACCAACCAAACAACAAACCTACCATCTTTAGAGCCAATGAACTTACCAATCACCCAACCAACTGACAAATCAATCAATTACATAGCTAACCAATCAAAACTAACCAACCAACTGGGCTACCAACAGATATCAAATCAATCAACCTACCTTGGTGCTCACAAATTGATCTGGTGGCCATCCACTTAGCCAACTGACCACCCAACCAACAACCAGTCAGCCAACCACCCAACCAGCCACCCACTCAAACAATGACGAATTAACCAATCATTTAGCCAACCAATGATACAGCAACCAACTGGACTACAAACCATAAAAAAAAATCAACTAACCTTACCAAACTATCAACAAACTGACCGAATGACCAGATAACTAACCAGATAACTGACCAGCCAAATAGCCAAAAAACTAACTGGCATACTGTGGTGAGGCTGTTTGGAGCCACTGTCTCATTGTGAACACTGAGATAGAGAGAGAGGACCTGTTATTATTTTAAACTAATGACCTGATGACACTCACCTGTGTGAGAATGGGAGAAACACAGCGTAGCTGTTAAAAGGGAGACTGGGTGGGCAGGCACATGAGAGAAACACTGGACTGCTGTTGTCTGTGGCCATGGCCAGGGGACAGAGATGTAAATAATGACAGAGTGTGCTGTCCATGACTTTTTAGTTATTGACAGTGACGATAGTTGGAAAGGAGAACAGTTCCTGTGTTAGGAGGAGAGGCCTGTCGTCTCCTGTAGGTACAGAGTGGCTGGTTTGTAAGTCCCTGTGCTGGATCCACAGAGGTGTCTGCATGCCTCGCTGTACATGTGTGTTAAATCTCCCCACCTACGCGTTGATTTCTGCATGGTGCGTAGTGGTCTTTAGTGTATGAGATGCATGTAGTTCACAAACTTTTATTATTGTGCTGGGCATCATTTGCTTAGCGTGTGGTGTGTCCCGTGTGGGTTTTTTTCTTTTGCAGTGTTTGGGCATGGGCTGGCCCTATTGCAGGAACACTGATGCTCAGTGGAGACAGATACAGAGTCTCTTGGCCATATTCTTAATGAATTTGTGATCTCAATAAAGTCTGTATTGTTATACCTTTTAATGAAGTCTCGGTGTAGATTTCTCTTGCCTCTGACACTGGACCAGACCGGATAAACAAAGGTGGTGGCAGCGTAGACCTCCATAATAAAACTAAAATATACAGTTTCCTACTACTAAGTAACAGATCTACCAATCAACTAACTGAACAACCAAACGACCGACCAGCCAACCGGTCAACTATGAGCCAACAAGCTTAAAAACCAACTGACCAGCCAACCAATCAACCAGCAACCAAACCACTAACCACTAACCAATGCAACAACCATGAAGTTAACCAACTAACCAACCAAAATTAAACTAAAAGCCAAATGACTAACTGATCAGCCAACCAACTGACCAACCAAACAAGCACACATATAGCCGATCAACCAAGCGCATAATGCATATTATCCCATTTAAAGAAAAATAAACAAATAAATCTCAAATCCCATTTAGCTAACTAACTAATCAACCAACAAGCCCACTACTAACCAATTCAGCAACTATACTCATTATCAACTGATGCATCAAACAACTAACCAGACAGCCAACTAAACAACGGGGCTCATGGCTAACGGGAAACAACCAATCACCAGGGGCCTCATGTATCAACACTTGCGTGGAACTCATACCAGAAACGAGCGCACACAAGGTCCGTCACGCTGAAAAAAATCCGTATGTATTAATGTGTGCGGGCGCCGAAATCCACGTGTGTTCCCTTGATAAATCCCAATCAGCGTGGAATTGAGCACAGATGTCAGAGTGACTGGGCCCGTCCCCGTTACGCCCTCCTATAAATATGCAGATTTATTTAAATAGGGTCTCCCTGTCCTCGCACGCAGACAAAATGACAAGAAAACTAAATTTACGGCGTGCGAGGTGGAGGTGCTGGTGGCGGAGGTGGAGGAGCGACAGCGTGTTTTGTTTGGCAGCCTGTCCAGTGGCTTCAGTGCAAAACGAAAACGCTTAGCGGTGGAGCGTCCACCAGCCGCGGCGCTTCCGCTGGACCACCCGGACGCAGTGGAAGGGTCCTCACGGAGGCGGTCCTGCAATCGCAGGAAGAAATCATCAGGGGGATCGCGGGATCAACGAGCGGCTGGACTGGCTCGTAAATGTCCTCGAGCGTCTGGTGGAGAAAATAAATTAATTTGGCTCATTGAACTGTGTATTCACTTCTTACCCATTCACACTGTGGCGATGAGATTCTCCCGCGCGAGGACGGCGGCCCGGCAGGGATCAGCTCGCCTCCCTCTGTCTGCTGCTGGTTCGTCATGTGGGGCAACGTGCTGCTCGGCCACGGGGATGTGGTGCATGCTTGTCACATAGTGAGTCACCAAACACCACCACACAGCGTCGCCAAAGTGCGAATCACAGTCAACGCAAGTATCGGCTCAACGCCAATTTCTACACCACCTCCTGACTTTGCGTTGATTAGCGCTGGAACCGACGCTCGTTTCGCGATGATAAATCTGGACGTGTGCGCCGATTTTGGCGTACGCAAGGTTTTCTTGCGCCGCAAGCGTTGATACATGAGGCCCCTGATGTGCTTATTTACTCTGGGTGTATTCTTGCTCATTCATTTGGGGCTCTGTTGTGTTTTTCTCTACACGTGATATAAGAGTATATGCACCTCCCTGGTCTGTTACTGTGATCTACAGTCTGGTTGTCTTTCAGTCCAGCTCATGGGGAATCTTTCTGCAGGATGGACTCTTGCTTTTGTTCTTTACTTTGCATACAGTGAATACAGACGGTCTTTGTTTCCTGCAGCATTAAAAGTGGACCATAATGGAACAGATTCCTTCTGGACCTGTGATCTGAGTGTAAACTAACAGTATCTGACAGACCTATAAAACTCACCTGACCGCTGCGCTTCACCTGAGGTGTCTTTCTGCTGCTGAAAATCAATCTGAGCAGAGAGTCGCACCTCTGGGACCTCCTATCCACACGCTGCAAGATTATCCAGTGTAACAGGTTCAGTCAAGTGATCAGCAGTTTCTTTGAAATTAAAATGCATCGGTTTGTTTCATGCAGCAGCCTGTCACTGCCAAACAGATCACGTTATAAATGTGACATTAACCTAAAATCAAAGAGCAAAAAAAGGCTGTTACTCATGATGGTGTTAAACTGAATGAACATGTTTTACATACTGATAAAAGAAGCCTTATTACCCCATGTGCTAATCAATCTCCTCATCATGTAAATTAGCTCCCTGCTGCTTAATAAAAATGATTACAGGATGTGTTTCATCTCATTACAAATCTCAGTTTATCCTTCTCCATGTTTATGCACTTGAAATCTCCCATTAGTAACAGATATTTATCTTTACGTTGGAGGGTTGGTTGTCACATGGCCCAGTTACAGAAGGAGGCCTGACTTCTTGATTTATTTTCAAAGCAGATTAAAACAGGGTCTATGGCTAGCAAATGCAATCAAGTTAATCCAAACTCTAAAATGCAAAGAGAAAGAGGGCTCACCAAATTTCACCGCGTAATTTCCTGCCTTTATTTCTATTTAAACTATTTATGTCATAATCAGGGTTATTTGATGGCCTTTCATGGACAGGTCTTACTCAAAGCTGGGGACTCATCTGTTTCTTTTGAGAGTCCTGTGCCTGTTCAACCAGCTGTAATATATTTATTCAACGTAGCTGTACTTAATACAGATCCCTGCTCGTGGGAAATGAAGCAGGAGTGCAGATCTATGTTCATAGATTTTAAATTACTGTAATCTATCGCAGAAAACATAATACATGCACAAAACAGCAAGTCCAACCATCTACTCCTCATCCTCTTCAACGTTATCTCATCTTTTAAAATGACGCTCCATAACAGCTTGTATTTATGGACGACTTGACTCAGAGCCAGCTTCTGTTTATGTTGGAGCGATCTCAGCTGGTGCAACCCTAAAATAAAGTCAGTAATTACATTCAAACTTGGCCAAGTTTGCATTTACACACAGCTGGTGCAACCCAGTGCTGATCAAACCAGGTAACCTTTATTACGATTAGGGCCTGTGTCCACTGACAACATATTTTGCACTGGAAGGGCCCACAATGAGAGCCTCTCACTGACACTAAAATGTCGTTTTAACCTTTTCCCCTCCATTGAAGACAGAGGGCTCTATTTTCGTGCCTCGCTGGAGACGTGCCTTGTCGGCGCGGCGTAAGTCAGGTACGCCACGCCGACAAGGCATTCCCAAGCACAATTTGGTATTTTGGTGAGCGGCGCAGCCCGGCATAAGTATCCCCCCTCCCTAACTCAGCTCCTCCCAGCGGCGTAAGTCGTTGCGAGGGAGGAGAGAGGGCGTGGAGTGGGTTTAACACAGCTGAGACCTGTATTTACCAATAACATCAGCTCCTCTCCTCGCCTTTAAATCCGCCACAGGCGAGGCGTATTACTATTTTCGTGAAGTATCAAAGAGATCAAGAGATGTCTGAAGACAGTAATGCCACACGATGGCGACAGAAGACAGCTTCTCAACAAGTGTCACTGTAAGCGCTGCATTGGGCGTCCTCCACACTCTCTCATATGAGCACAGAGGGATTTGGTGTGTGTAAGTTTGGACCCACTAGTAAGACAAGCACCCTTTTCCACAGATAAAGACACTCACATAAAGTTGCATATATTCAAACCTCACGTGACAAAGGTGGGTTGAGCGCACAGATCACAACATAAACTCCAAAAATGGCATTAAAATCGGAACCATCTGTGCGTAAATGACGCATCGCGCTCCGTGGCCTGTCTCTTTCTTTCACAGATGTTGGCGTATAAAATAAATTTGACAAAACTGAATATTATAATATCCGTATGTCGGCTTAAAGTAGATAACTCATCTGAGCGCTGAAACAAATCATCTGGGGCCTCATGTATCAACGCTGGCGGCGCCAGAAAACCTTGCGTCCGCCAAGATCGGCGCACACGTCCAGATATATCATCGCGACACGAGTGTCGGTTCCAGCGCTAATCAACGCAAAGTGAGGAGGTGGTGTAGAAGTTGGCGTTGAGCTTGTGTTAACGGCACTTTGGCGACGCTGTGTGGCGGTGTTTGGTGACTCACTATGTGAAAAGCGTGCACCACATCCCCGTGGCCAAGCAGCACGTCGCCCCACATGACGAACCAGCAGCAGACGGAGGGATGCGAGCTGATCCCTGCCGGGCCGCCGTCCTCGTGCGGGAGAATCTCATCGCCACAGTGTGAATGGGTAAGAAGTGAATACACAGTTCAATGAGCCAAATTAATTTATTTTCGCCACCAGACGCTCGAGGACATTTACGAGCCGGTCCAGCCGCTCGTTGATCCCGCGATCCCCCTGATGATTTCTTCCTGCGATTGCAGGACCGCCTCCGTGAGGACCCTTCCACTGCGTCCGGGTGGTCCAGCGGAAGCGCCGCGGCTGGTGGACGCTCCACCGCTTGTCGGCGTGCTGGTGCTGATGCTGATGCTGATGCTGGTGCTGGGGCTGGGGACCGGGGTGGCCCGAATGCCGCTGGTCCTGGCCGACGACTCCGAGCCGGCTGATGGGCTGCCGCGGGCCGGGGTTCCGCAAGCCGGCGACACGGCCGACACATTGATTTCTGTGACACAATAAAAATATTGGTTCATTTCAATTCCTGCTCTTGTGTATCTGTAGCGTTTACATCTCTCTCCACGGTATCATAGGTAATGTAATCCAGTATTTAGAGGTCAGTTATGCACATTACAGTTGTTTATTGCATAAAAAGTTATCGAAAAATGAAGTTAAGGGCGAAGTATAAATCACGTCTAAAAATAGACTGAATCCCGATGTTGAAATGAATATAAACTTAGACTAGACGTCTAATATACGTCCTTTGCTCAGTGGGATGGCAAAGCATGTGGACATTTGTGTGACACGCCACTTACCCTATAATAATAATCGCCACCACCCGCTGCTCAAACGGCGTGAGGGTCTCCTCCCGCGGAACCCCATCTGTCTGGCCGGTACTCCTCCGGAGGGCAGCTGTACGCCGCTTGACCTCCACCTTGAGGTCCAACCACTTTTTTTTAATCACCGCGGGGGTGCGTGTCTCGGAACCCACCGCGTTCACCCTCTCGCAAACTTTCTCCCACTCCAAGCGTTTTCGTTTTGCACTGACGCCACTGGACAGGCTGCCAAACAAAACACGCTGTCGCTCCTCCACCTCCGCCACCAGCACCTCCACCTCGCACGCCGTAGATTTAGTTTTTCTTGTCATTTTGTCTGCGTGCGAGGACAGGGAGACCCTATCTAAATAAATCTGCATATTTATAGGAGGGCGTAACGGGGGCGGGCCCGGTCACTCCGACTTCTGCGCTCAATTCCACGCTGATTGGGATTTATCAAGGAAACACACGTGGCTTTCGGCGCCCGCACACCTTGATACATACAGATTTTTTTCAGCGTGACGGACCTTGCGTGCGCTTGTTTCTCGTATGAGTCCGACGCAAGTGTTGATACATGAGGCCCCTGTTCAGCCGCAGCTGCAGCAGGACGGAGAGAGGACACGGAGACATGTCCAGGTCGAGCTGCGCGAGAAATAAGAGGAAGAAAGAAAAGGAGGGAGACGAATTACATGTGTAGTTAACTTCATCATGTGTGTCTATTCACTAGATATTTAATTTAATTTAACGCAGTTTCAGCTGTGTTGATTCGGTCAGGTTGTTTGTCCAAACCCGTACCAAACGCGCTCATCAGATCAGATATAGATCAGAATATATCTATATAGATCTAAATGTATGTGCTGACTCAGATTAATAGTTGTTGATGAATATTTATTGCACTGAAATGTGCCTGACACTGTGGAAACCTGCCGATGAGGCATCGGTGATGTATGCCGATACGCCGCTGGTCTACCAAAATACCTCTAGACCAGCTGCACTCCGCCTGCGCTGAAAGCTGACCAGGTTTGAATCGGCGAGCTTTCAGCGCACTTTACATGGCACTGGCGAGCACGAAAATGTCACTGCGCCTGCTGATTCTGTCGACACCTCCCCCTGCCACGCCACCACGCCCAGCTTGGCGGATCTCGGTTCGCCTCCGTGTGCCTCAGTCCACGAAAATACCAAACTGGCTGTACGCCGGGCTGTGCCAAACGAAAATACAACTGCACGGGGTCCGCCACCCTCCGCTGCCTCACCGGCGTACACGAAAATAGAGCCCAGAGTCTATCATGCTGCATTTTAACTGTCAAACAATAGTGGCACTCTAACATACCTTGTGGCGTAGTTCAGCACTCCTGGTTCCATAAACAAAAGAGCTCCATCGCTATCAGAGAGGAGCAGGTAAAAAGGAGAGAGAGGGAAATGTTGCCTTTAGAGTCAGATTATGTATTTTCATAGGGATCACACCTTTGCCATGATACTAGCATATTTATATAAATACAATAAAGCAGAAGGTCGTCATCCCAGCCCAGAACATCATCAGCTGCCCTCTCCCCTCCCTGAATGAGCTGTACAGCCCACAACATCCTCAGAGACCCCTCACAACCCGGTCACCACCTATTAGTGGTGTGTCAGTCTTGAATGAACGGATCAAAAGAACTAGTTCTTTTTGGTGAACGAAATGAACTAGTTCTCCCCCCCTAAATGACCCGTTCAGTCCGTTCAGTTCCTTTGATTGGCTGAAGAGGGACTATCTCCGTGCTTGCCTGTCTTATCCTATCGTCGCGCCTCGTTCTGTGTGTGGGTGGGGCTTAGAGAAGCAGCAGCAGTACTACTGAGCTGACTGAAAGACTGGCATGACCGAGTTGACTGAAAGAACGGGTTAAATGAACGAAAGACCGAGTTGAACGAAAGACCCAGACGGATGAACGAGTTGACTGAAAGACCGAGTAAACGAAAGATCCAGACGGTGAACGAGTTGACTGAAAGACCGAGTGAACGAAAGATCCAGACGGTGAACGAGTTGGCTGAAAGACCGAGTAAACGAAAGATCCAGACGGTGAACGAGTTGACTGAAAGACCGAGTGAACGAAAGATCCAGACCGATGAACAAGTTGACTGAAAGACCGAGTTGACTGGCCGCCGCACGAGCCGACAGCCGAGCCTGAGCGAGTGGGACAGTCACACACACACAAAGGCACACAGCTGCTGCTGCAGCCAGAGGCAGAGAGAGAACTATTAATATGCATTTGCACTGTCTGTTGACATTTTGTACTTTTTATTATTGTTTTTAATGCACCTCAAAATAATAAAAACCATTAAAAACCTTATATATTTTGTTATTCCTACTATAATTTTATATTACAAGGAGTGCAGCGCGATCGCAGCGTTGGTCCGTTCGCTCAGCATCTGAACGAACGTGAACAACATGAACGAGCGGACTGACTAATGACCGATTGACCGAAATGACAAGTCTTTTTACTGAACGACCCGGAATGATCCGGTTCACTGAAATGAACGGTTTTGCCCACCACTACCACCTATTTGAACTGCTGCCTTCGGGCAGAAGATAAAGGGCAATTAAAAAAAAGGACCAACTGCTTAAAAACTGTACCCGAAAGTAATGACAGCACTTAACTGCAAGTAATAAACTTTACGAGAACTGGACATGTCCTGCGTGTGTGTTTTTTAATGTGATATGCATACATTTTTATACACTGTTTTTACACTTGAGATTGTAGTGTTTTTGTTTTCATATCTGCACTAAGAAGCGTTGCACTCAATTTCGTTGTACATGTACAATGAGAGTAAAGATAGTCTATTATATTCTGTTCTATTCCCTGGTATGTATTGATCTGTGTGAGTTTAAGTGTAATGTCGTCCTCAGTCTGATCAGGATCAGAGAGAGAGAGAGATAGTGAGAGAGAGGGAGAGAGGAGCGAGACTTAAAGCACAAGTATAATACACTTTAAATTCTCCATACCAGACTAGAACAAACACAAAAGGACTTGTTTACAGACACAAACAAGAGAAAAGGTAACAAAGGTCATTATAACTCACAGTGGCCCTCGTTTATCAAGCTTGCGTATGGCAGAAAACTTGCATACACCTTGCGTAAGACAATTTTGGCGTGAGGATCGGCATTTCACAATCTGCACGTGAGCGTACGCTACGACAAAATCTCACGACAGGTCTGACATCGCGTACACAAGTTTGAGTCAGTGTGGATCTGCCGTGCAGCAAATGTCTGTCTCAAAATCATTGATAAACAAACCTCAAACCTGTCATTACGCACAATCAGCCAAATTTTATTAAAGATTAAGACGTAAATAAAATAAAATAAATTTGTTATGACCTTAGTGAATAGGCCTATTTGATAACTCTGCCCAGAAACAGTGCTACAGAGCAGGAGCGCTGTTTTAACATTGCGCACACACGCACACGCGCCACTGTGGAGCGCTGCGTTTGACTCCTAGAAGGCAGGTGTCTCTGTCTTGAGCCAGCAGTGGGCATATTGTTGTACATTCCTGAAAGGGTGTGGGACATCATTTGGGCCAGTACAGTTTTACACAACGTTGCACTGGCGAATGGAGTGCTGTTGGCTATGCCGGTGCAAAGTGAAGACCCGATGCCCAGAGAACAATAACGAGGAGAGACTCCACAATGGTGCTGCACAGAGGAGATAGGACCTTATCGATGGATTCTGACATGTAAAGTATAAGTTTAGAAAGTGCTCTTGCTGTTTAATCAGTGATAAAAATCCAATAGAAATCCATAAAAATGTGCCTCAGGGGCAGCAACACACCGTTTGGTGAGGTTAATAATTATTTTTGTTCAGCCTCTGTCAGACTCTCCAGTCTGCTCTACATTACAAAGACGCAACAAATTAAAACTAAATACTTTCAATAATAGGAGAAACGTACTATATGTCATACCAATAAAAAATATGAGGCATGTATGAGATATTAATTTATCATCATGAGCAACTTATTGACTAATGATTTATTCAAACTTAAGCCACTGTCCACTATTCTGCAGCAGCGCTGTTCACCGCCACCAAAATCCTGCTCCAGACAGGAGTTTTCTGGACTGCTTTTATACCAGTTTTGATGTTTCCAAAGATAAAATCCTTGTTAGTTTCCACCACAGACGCGAGAATATCCACTTTCAGCTCAGAAAAGTTTTGCATCTTTCTAATACTTCTCCTTTTTCATGTTTAACCTCAGTGGGCAAGGCTTCTGAGCCATGAATATTCAAGGGCGTATATTAATGACGATCGATTTCAGCCGCTGCATTTATCAAGACCAGAACATACGTGCGCTGGGATTGGTCAGATACGAACCCTTTCATAAATCTCGTGTGTCCTATTGTATGATGAATCCTGCATTCAGATCTGTGCAAGATTTATAAATGAAGGCCAGTGCGTCTGACTCTGAATTCACAGAAAAGGTTTTTCAATCATGCAGTTATCAAACAAGAGTGAAAAAATTACCTGTTTATCTAATGTTCTTCTCATACCCTAAAAATTCTGTAAATATTCAATCCAGAGTCAGGCCCACATACGAATATTATAATATTCAGTTGCGTGAGCCAAGTTCATTTTATATGCCAACATCAGTGAAAAAAAGAGCCAGGCCACGGAGCGTGATGCGTCCTTTACACACAGGAGGTTCCGATTTTAATGCCATTATTGGAGTTTATGTTGTGATCTGTGCGGGGCTGCCTTCTGTCGCCATCCTGTGGCATAGCGGTCTTCAGCCATCTCTTGATCCTTTGGACTACTTCACGAAAATAGTAATACACCTTGCTGGTGGCGGATTTAAAGGTTAGGAGAGGAGCTTATGTGATTGGTGAAAACCGGTCTCAGCTGTGTCAGAACCACTCTACGCCTTCTCTCCTCCCTCTCTACTACTTACGCTACTTGGAGGAGCTGAGTTAGGGAGGGGGGATACTTACACCGGGCTGCGCCGCTCACCAAAATACCAAATCGTGCTTGGGCACACCTTGTCAGTGTGGCAGACCTGACATAAGTCGCACCTCCGCCATGGCGCTGGCGAGGAACGAAAATAGAGCCCTTTTTTTTTGTTTTTTACTATTTCTACATAAAATATTCAGAACAAATAACAGATTTGACTGTCAAAAGTCCGCAGGATGGGATTTGTTAAAAGACCCATGAAGAGGACAAGATAAGCAAAGGCTGCTTTGTCCACTGGGGGCAGCAAAGTTAACACAAACCAAAAGATCCTCACAAGAGCTTTAAAACAAACACGAATGGCTGGAAGACGTTACAATACATTTTTATTTACGGAAATGAAGCTTGGTACTTTCTTTGATACCTTTTTAAAGAAGGTTTTCATAGGAATTAAAATATTTGATAAAACATGCTGGTTAAAGAGGATGATAGGAGCTCTGTGGGGGTTTCCTTGGTTCTGGAGGATTCTTGAGGAACTGCAGTTTTTTGCACCCCTGCACTCGTTTTATTCCTCAGCAGCAGAGGTTTCCTCTTGTTGGTAATATGCATGATAATATGAACCAAAGGAAACTGAATCTGCTGTAACTGCTCTTGCATGGTTTTCCTCCTTCTCTTCCTCCAAACCAAACTGATCTGAGCACCAAGTTTGTGTCTGCATCAGGTTCAGTTGAAGGTGTTAAACAAGAGCAGGCAGAGGTGTGTGTGTGTGTGTGTGGGCATGTACCTGCTCTGTTTCCTCATGGTGCATCAGAAGGACCGGAATCCTATTTGCACCATCAAAGATTGAAATTAGAGAAGCAAAGAGCAAGTGTCAGCTCGTTCCATCAGAACAGAAAACAAAACACAGAGGAGGCTGGGCTGCTCTCATCCTGCTGCCTGTTTAATCAGCCTTCACTGCATCATAATAAAGTAATTACTCAGTATTTATACATGTCATATTTAATCAGCAGCATGAATTTCAGAGGTGCCAAACTGCAAACACAGCACTGTTTACTATGTCAGACTTTCACTGAGCCACAGTGAACTCATGAACCTGATTCAAACAGGCAGGACAGCTGTGTGTGTGTGTGTGTGTGTGTGTGTGTGTGTGTGTGTGTGTGTGTGTGTGTGTTGACTCAAAATAACATGATCACAACTTTAAAGACTTAGCAAGACACCAAGGATGGCAAACTAATGAGCAGCTGTGACATATACCTGATAAAAACTCCTCCACATTAGGTCTATAACTCAATCCAATCAGAGGAGATTAAAGAGAGGAGCAGCCTGGTGTGGGGTTACAGTCAAACCATCTGGTGACAATAACAGCAGCAGATGTGGGAAGTAATTCACACAGTAAATTAAGCCTCACATTGATGTGTATCTTTCAATATTTGTCAGTAAGTTTGTATTGGAGAGCAAAAATAGACTTGAAATCACGGTGGCGCTCCTTTGCCTCCTCCTCCTCATCTCGCCCTTCATTGCTAACCTGAACAGAGTTTCTGAACTTCAGGGAAACAGGGTGAAGGGGAGCTCTACAATATTTGTAAGCCTGAGACTTTCAGAAAAGTTCAAAAACATTTTTAAAGAGTTTCATGATATATCTTTTACAGTAGTTTTTTTTTTTTTTGTTACTGTTAGAAAGGAAGGTGCATTTCTTGTTCAATGTTTGTCTACGTTGATTTTTTACTGATTCTCGTTCTTGTTGGATTAAAATGGGAAGAAAGGTCACCCCTCTGTGGAAAACAGCAGAACTGCGCAACTAACTTGGACATTTCTAAAACCTGTTTAAATCTTTTGATATTTATTTCTCCAACACTAAAATGTCAGTTTTCTTCCAAGCCATGATGATTTGATTATCCTGCTGCCTTTGTTACCGAGTCCTCATAGTGGGTTCTAAAGGAATTAGCATCTCCTTATTTGGGTTTACAGAGAGAGCAGGCATCAAACGGGTAATAGCAAACTTTTATTGTCATAAAAAAACAGAGTCAAAAACGACAATAAATGTGCAAAAATAGGGACAGGAAGTAAGAGGAGTAACAGCCTGACAAACACAAAGAGTCACTTCAGAGTGAAGAGAAGAGAAGAAAGAGGAATGTAGTCACATCTTTATACAAAAGACAAAAACAGAAAACTGTGAACAGATACATCCCATATCCAAACCCTCCTGTTTTGAACAGAGCTCCACAAAGATGAATGAAGATAAGAAATGTCCACTCTGAGGAGGTCTGAGGAGTTCAAACATCAAACAGGTAACCATCCTCCTCCTGATAAATCCTCTTCTTGAGATGTTTGTGTCTCAGGATGAAAACGGAGAGAGCTCAGGGCCCAGCTAACCTGATTAAAGGTTAAGACTCGATCAAATCTTTGACCTTAAGTTCAGGATTATCATCATTTAAGCATTTCTTTGAACATTTTGCTCCTGAACATCTGAGTTTAACTGTAACAAGAGCATGAGGTAAACTGAGGACTGTGGAAACATGAAGGATTTATTCTGAACAGCATCAATATAAACTGCATTATATTGAATCAGAGGTGATTCTTTGAATTACAGCGCCCCCCTGTGGACTAAGTATGTGCTACACAGTCCTCTCTAAGACTGTTAAAAGGTCCTGTAACGAGTTTTTCACATCTGGAAAAAACTTAAAATCCATACTGACGCCTCTTTGTGATAACAGGAACATGAAGGATAATCTTTATGTTGTAATTTTAATGCCTTTGACTGACTGTCTTTAGAAACCTATATCCCTCACGTCGGCTCACGCTTCTGACATCATAGCCATGCGCAGCTTCCTTGAAAATAACAACAACCATGCTGGACATTCAAGTCGTGCTGTCGTTATTATTGAACGGGCAGGAGCTCAATTTCGACCTGTACAGAATCCTCACGGATCATACTGCTCAGCAGAGGAGGCGTCTGAATTATTTGCATCAAATAATTAATGTGCCAAATGGCAGAACGGAAGTTTTTCTACGTATGCGTTGTTGGTGTGACCTGGCATGCACATTACAGCGTTTTCAACCACATTGCGTTTTTGTGTAAACACAGCATAAAAACTGAAAACGAAACTGCACTTTTCCGTTTTCTATGGAGACCGTTTCCGTCTAAAAGTGGCCTGAAACCAACAACTAGTCTTAGGCAGGCTCAGTGTAACTTGGGGGGGAAAGGGTCTGACATGAGAGATTAGACCACTTCAGTGTAGGGTTGTGCTGCACGAACATGCTGGAATAAGCACGTCTGTTGAGCCCGGCGCACATATTTTTGTGAATGTTGAACAGAAGCAGCTTCATTTCTAACTCATGGAAGTGAATGAAGCCCATTCTGAAGACAGAGAGTGGTCACTCACATCCTTGGAGGATTTCAGAAGGATGTATCAGAAGGGTGATGTGTCACATTTACCCCACAGCATTTCTGCTGCGAGCAGCTCAGTGGTGGTTGGCTGTGCTGATAAGGTCAGCTCTGAGGATATAAGCAGGAGTGTCTGCAGCAAATCAACTCACAAGGTTTGGCAGAGGTGGAGCTTTTTAAGAGTAAGGAGAAAAGTCTCTTTTGTGTTTTTAAGTTTGTGTTTTCCCGCTTTTTTGGCTTTTAAGATAAATATCTGTTTCTTTAGAAGAATGCTGTCATTCGTGTACTTTAGGGGATATCAATGATTGAAGGCTAAGGATTAAAGAACAGAAAGCTCTGTGAAAAAAAAGCAGCTAAAAACAACATATGAGAACTTTCAGTGTGCTCACTTTTAGTGTGAACGTGCACAACTCTGCTTTAGCTGAAGCAATCAGCCCATGAGGATTAAGACCTCAAAACCCCAAACTTCTTTGAGTTTCAAACCAGAACAACAGGTGCAAAAAGTCAAAGTGCCACAGTCATCTGATTAAACCAGCAGCAGTGTGCTGCGTGTGCTGCAAAGGCCAAGTCCACCAGGAGGTGTCCCCCAAAGTCTTGCAGTGGTGAAGCAGTTTGTAATGCAACAGTGAGGAACCCACTATTTACATTTCCTCTACACATACATGTAAACTAGCAGGATATAAAGTCAAAGTGTTTGACAACAAACGCCTTCATTCACTGGTTCAAAAAGGAAGATGTTTCAGGTATACCTCCTCCAGCCAATCATTGAATCAGGGCAGGTATTTATGAAAACTCACATTAAATAAATGCTACACGGTTCAGTTTTCCCAGAGTGACTCAAAACTCAAACTGACACCATCCCCTCAAAACACAATCAAAAGAACCTCCCAGTAAAAATCTCCCAAATATAGTGAATTTGTTTATGATTATATTTTAAATGCAACACACCTGATTATTACAGCCCCAATAATAAGTCAAACACCCTCTAACAGCACTGTTTGTCTGTTACTGAACCAGAGCACGGGTGAGAAGATAGTCCAGACAAATAACAGTACCCAGAGAAGAAGGCAGTCCAGTCATGCTGGATCTTCATCTATCCTCAGCTCCCTCAGAGGTGGTCCTCTGGGTCTTACTGCTCCTTTATGCTGAACACCGGGTCCACCAGTTTGTTATGAACATGCATCAAACCTTTAATTAAAAAAAAAAAAGAATTAGCACAGAAATAAAACAACATATGCTTTTGAGTACCACAGTGGACTTCCCGCCTTCTCTGTGGACTGCACTGATTACAGTCCAGTTATACAGTTTACTGAAATACCAACATCATGATGCAGATTAATCCAAAGTCCAGCTTTGTCAGGTCTGTCCTCCAGAGGAGGAGGAAACTACTTGAAACATGTTTGTTGAATGGAAGTTAGATCATCACGTCTGATGCATTTAGGGAAGTCTGTAAATCTAAACTCTGATTATCTTTAGAGACTCAAGCATCAGTCAGATTAGTGTCTCAGTGTAAATGTAGCAATGTCAGCAAACAATCTAGAACAGATTGTTTGCTGACCTTCATCATACAGTGACCGAAATCCTCCTCAGATTACTACACATGGGAGCTGGAGGTCATTGTGGAGGACTGTGTTCCTCCTGCTTTTGCTCTCCATGCAGAGTCAGCATGCTCCCATGCACAGTTCAGCTACTGTTGGATTAGGCATTTTAACTGGACTGCTGTCCCTATGTCAATATACATTATACACCTAAACTATGATTGCAAACGAACCCGTGACTCAGCCTTACCTTCAGATCTACTAATTAAAAGCTTTGATTTAACTTTGAGCTAAAAACAACCTGAGGCTTGTGGTGAAGCTGCTGCAACAGGAGGATTCAGGTGTTTTTGTCACCTTTGAAGTATTTTACTGTTTTGACTCGTAGCTCCAGCGTGGCGTCTTCATCACAAACAAAGATGGTGCGTGGGTGCTGCTGGAAGGCCGACACAGTCCACATGTGGTTCACGCCCTCCTCGATGGCTTTATACAGAGCAAAGGCTTTGTGAGCTCCCGTGATCAGAATCATCACCTGGAGGACAGAGAAAAACACAGTCTTACTCTCAAACCTGAGCCCTGGGGGTCTCTGATAATCTGGGATAACAGCGGAGGACATCTGTGTTTTTTATCCAATGTGAATCAAACATGTCAGTAAGTTATGAAGTAGAAAACTAATCACTGATCATATAAAGGACACACAGAGGTCCTCTGGTTATATAATCCAGTCTGAATCAACATCTCAGTCATTTGAGGAGGTAATCATAATAAGGAGGTGTCTGGAGCTTTTTTTGAGTCTTTCCAGTTGAATATGGTGTTCCTCAGGGAAGCACTCTTTGACCTGTTTTATTTTAACTGCACATGCTTCCACACAGACATAGCACTGCATACCACCACATCAATCATCATTTTAATGTTCCTAACAAACGAACCATCAAATATCCTTTGAATTTTTTTTATCGAAGGTAAAAGCTTAAAGCTAAATACACTAGCTGCCTGTGTGTCTGACCTCCTTGGCGTCCATCACTGTTCCTACACCCACAGTCAGAGCCATGGTGGGAACCTTGGAAAGGTCGTTGCCAAAGAATCGAGCATTGGCCACAATGGTGTCCTTGGCCAGGGTCTTCACTCTGGTCCTGGAAACGAGGCTGGAGCCTGGCTCATTGAACGCTATGTGACCATCAGGGCCAATACCTACAGAGACAGTAAACAAAGTCTGTTCTGAAAACAAATGTGTTTTGTTTTCAACGGCAAACAAAGAAACATCAAATATCATGTGTCTGACCTCCTACGAACAGCTCAATCCCTCCAGCTTCTGCAATCTTCTTCTCGTAGGCTTCACACTCTGCCTCCAGGTCATCGACATTCCCATCCAGGATGTGAGCGTTGGCCGGATCGATGTCGATATGCTTGAAGAAGTTGTTCCACATGTAGGAGTGATAGCTCTCTGGATGAGCACGAGGTAGACCTGTAGACAGAAAGGAAACACAGTCCCTTAAATCCAAACTCAAGTAAGTTTTCCTCTTCTGTCAAATGTTTCTACAGACAGATTCTGATGCTTTGCAACTCATCTGAAGACTATTTAACAAAAAACAGATGCTGAAACTGAAAACTTTGATAAAGTAAATTTGAGCTCATTATAAATTCTATTCCACCAGCAGGTTTAAAAAAAAATCAGCTCAGCACGAGGGTTGCTCTTTTTTCTTTGCTCCCAGACCTTATATTTTGTTATAAATACTTTGGTCTTTTTTTTTTCATATTTTTGAGTCTACATATGTGTGCTTTAATACAGTGTAACGGGATGGGGGTGATGATGTGTGACCAAGTCTATAAAAGGATCAAAAACTCACCGACATATTCATCCATGTTGAAGGTTTTCACATATTTGAATGAAATATCTCCGTTTCTGTAATACTCGATTAGCTTCTGGTAACAGCCAAAGGGTGTGCTTCCTGAGAGGACACATGTTTAGTTTATTCAGCTTACTCTTGGATAAACTAGGTTAACTAATACTTACAATGGATTACTGTTGGTGTGAATCTCACCTGTAGGTAAGCCTAGTGTGAAGTATCTCTCTGCAGAGGGTTTAAACTGGATTATTCTGTTCCGGATGTACTTTGCTGCCCATTCACTGGCCAGATCATAGTCGTCCAGGATCACCAGCCTCATTGTGATTGATTTTCTTATGTAGGACAAAGAGAATATGATTGGTTTTCAGATGGAGTGATCGCAATGACAGTGAACTTTAAGGAGGCAAAACTCATGTCACGAAGCTTTAAAGAAGAGAACCACTGAGCGACAGTTTCCACACACACACACACACAAATCTTTTGCTATTGTTAGACCAATCATAGGCAATTTACAAGATTGTTACACCTATCATTCCAAACAGTCGTTTCGAGCCCCGCACCAAACTCCATTCAAAATCCGGCAATCTGTCATGCGCTTTGCCAGCCTATTATTACAGCTGTTTAAAACAAAGAGTGACTTCTTTTTAACCTTCGTGAGTTTAAATTTAACCCAAGCAAAAGCTGCCATTTATTTTCCAGACTGACAGTACGCAAAAGTGAACATTTTCAACAAACAGGGCTCTGTTTAATTATAAGATTTTTTCTACGGAGCTTGGTAAGGTGACAGCTAGCGCTAAACATCACCCTTCCGGGTTCACTTCAGCTAAATTAGGTAATATCCCTAACTGATCGGAACCTAAAAATTAGATCCTAACCCGAGCGACACACAACAACAAGGCATGTTTTACCTGCTTAAAGACGCTGTTTGTCACAAGAGAAGTCAGTTGTTGCAAAACGTCTGTTTTGTCACATGATCAGCTCCCAGGATAGTCTTCTTCTATTTTGATGAGGCTGGTTGTCAAGTAGCACATTACCGCCACCCTCTGGACTGGCGTATGGGTCAGTTTGTCTTCCACATAGACTGTATAAAGAATGGACAGATGATGCGTCCGAATTGCCCGCTCGCATACTACATACTACTGCTTGATCCTACTCCTACATACTAAACACGTTGGCCCAATTCGGACACACTAGATGAGTGGTGGGGAAAGACGACCCCCGCAGGCAGAGAGTAGGTACTGCGCCCGTGCAGACAGTTTTAGACTCTTTCAATGGTAATTGTGCAAGTGATGGATGCTGCTGTACTATATTCCTCCACTGCTTTAGAAATTCACAAAGTAGCTTTTCCATTACTTTTAGGCTTCAGTCACTCACGTGGTGATCGTTTGTTCAATGAGATCTGCCTGATTACTGCAGCTGTGCAGTTTAATGATGGAATAAGTGAGCCTTACCTCCATAATGTCGCCACGTATTTGCTGATAAAATGATTACTTGGGCAAATATGACACCATGACAAAGAGATACAACCGCACATTTTTAGGACAGTGTGTGAAGTTACATGAGACTTACATCTGTACTGCTGCGGTCCTGTCTCCTGTTGCTGCTGCTCCGCCATGGTGCGCGCTGCTGTGGCCAGTCGGCGTTCGCGACGCATCTTAATAGGCAGCAGCTGGTGGCGCTAGCATCACATGCGCTTCTACAACTTTTAAGAGGACGAAGAAGAAGCCTGCGGTGCATGTTGGGTCAGTAGCATGCCCATAGGATGCACCGTGACCATACTACAATGTGGGCGTGTCTAGTATCTGAAGTAGTATCTGAAGTAGCATGCTACTCGCTCCGGTGGCCAATTCGGACATGCTACATACTACTTCGACTACTACTTGGCAATTCGGACGCAGCAAGTGTCTGCCTCCTCTCTGGGTGAAGCCACTCCAAGAACAGCACCCTCTGTTGATGGTCTGCAGTACAGGTCATAAATCCCGCCTCCGCCAGCAAAGCTTATGGGGCTGTGGACAAACTTTAGAAATGTATTACACAGAACATTCAGCTGTTTCATGTTTATTCATATTCCGGCTGAATTTTTCAGTCCTGTTTATATTAATCTCATTCTTAGCTCAAAACCACTGTATCTTCTTTGTCTTTTGATATTACGTCTGTTTCATTCCAAATGTGGGCGTAGCTGCCCTAAACAGGTACAAAAAACCACACAATAAGCTGGTCTTTGTTACATTACTCTACAGTATAATGCAGGTATGAAATTGGTGAAGGACAAAAAACAGAACCACCTGATTGTCCCACAAAGTGCTGAATCTTTAAGAGTCATCCAAGAGACTAACTCTTCAAAAGCATTGGTCTGTGAGGTTGTTAGACACATTAGAACTTTGTGCCTTTATTTTATCTCAATTTTAAATACAGAATGCTGATCACCTCTTATTTTGAGGATTTTTTTGTTTATTTTCATGGTTTAAATTTTCACATTGCAAACTCCAGCAGTTTGGATTAATCTAGAGTAACCCCACCACTTTTTCTCAGAGCTGTTGCCAGTTTGACTGTTTAATCTTAAATATATCCCTTTCTGTCAGCAGAAATCATTTTGGACTATCCTGATAGTCATCAGAGTCTTCTGGCTCGATGAAACCTTAATTATGGGGACATGTTCAAATCTGTTGAACACACTTGTTGATTAAAGACAGTCTTTTGACTTAAACCCTTTAAAAGAGGATGAACTGTACACACCACAGGCAGTAGAGTTGTGTTTAAAATTTAATTTTGTAACATTATGCTAAAGAGGAAAGTTGTACAACACAATATTAAGTGTATTCAAAGTGTAGAGGTCAGCATTTCTGAAACAGTTGTTCCTTTTGGGATGTGGCGTGGAGCCGTCAGAGAGGTAGAGGAGAGCAGGTAAACTTCTCTGCCAGTGGGGGAAGGGGAACGAAGAAGATGATGGTCCCAGGTGGTCACTGGAGACAGGATGATGTTTGCACCAAGTGATTGACTGCTAAAACGTCCACATCACTCTTTCTTCTTGTAGTCCTCCAGGTGAGCCAAGATCCACCCAGCAGGTCCCAGGATGGCCAGGGCGAATAAACCGATCCCAATCACACTTTCCTAAAGGAGAGACAGAAAGGGTTAAGTCAGCTGGCAGCCATTTAGCAACTTCATCTCACTGGTTATCAAACAACATCAGTTAATAACTGTCAGGTCTGTCAGAGTAGGCCTGGGTGATTTGGGGAAAAAAATGATCACGATTTCTTTTGTCATATCGTCGGATCTCGATTATTATCACAATTTTTTTTTAACTGCCAGTTTTAAAGCATCTGTACTAAAAAAAAAAAAAAAAACTAGAGATTTGTTCAACATTTTATTAACATACAAAAGTAAATAACAAAGCAAATTGAATAAGATACACTTAGAAAAATATAAAAAAAACATTTTAACTCAAATATAGATAAATACTAAGTAATACAGAGAATTAGTTTACAGTCCTGAGTGTTAATGCAGGTATGCAAGACCCAAAATAAACAAATCGCTCCCTCAGAGATAATGACGATGCTTTACAATGTAAACGTAGATGATATGCATACCTTTTAACATTTGGGTTATAAAATGCGGGAGATTTTTGCAGCACACGCTGGGCAGTTTTGGGGTGACCTTGTATGGTGAATATGAGCTAATTATGAGAGTACTTGTAATTAAATTGCTCATCCAAATAAGTATAAGTGAAGCGGCACACTTTTGTTTTGTTTTAACAATAACAAATGGTAATAACAATAATAGCTACCATATGCCTTGAACTTATTTAGTCCACCAATATTAGTTTTAAAGTCCTCATATGTTTTACATGCTCTCCTATATGAGGCTCTGAACATCTGTGCATGAAATACAGCACTCTTTTATCTGAGGCTGCCCTGAACGCATCAATCTCGCGTATTTCGCGTTTGTTTCCCATTCATTAAAGTGTTCATTTTGCAACAAACACTGCTTAAATATAGTTTCCAGCTGAAACCGACCTGAATCATCCAAAACTGTAAAGTAAAAGTATCAATCCAGTGTCTGTGAGGCTCAGCAGAAACACAGGACAATCTTTGGTTGTCTGGAAACTTTGGACAAATACAGTGATCGGATTCATGAATGAACGTGGACCATTAAAACCACGGTAGATTCCCGGGAGAAATGACAATATGGGAGGAGGGCGGGAGATAAGTCTGAAACACAGGGGAGTGAAAAACGGGAGTGTTGGCAGGTATGGATATGATTGATTGCTGTGTTGGTCTGTGGCTGCACCGCCAGTTGTGTCTAAACTGTCAATGCTACTCGTACCGTCAGCAGTGACAGATTTTGCAGACTCCGCTGTGATTATGCTTCCCGCATAGTCACTTGGGAAGAACTTCTTCAAATGATTAAACAGATCTGTTGTGTTGCCAGTTTATCGGCTTAATTGCTCGACGTAACTTTGGAGAGACGTTGAATAACTTCTCAACAATACCATCTTCTGAGGATGACTCAAAGTCACAGCTGACATCTGTTTTGCTGCCCTCAGCTCTGCGTTTAGCTCCACATTCGGTCATTCTGTTCACTTCTCATGTTTATTTTTCCGGTAACTTACAGAAGTGAGCAGGAAAAGCTCGACTCTGATTGGCTGTTGTGACGCACATTTCCACCATCTTTGATTGAGTAAATAAGCTCACAGCTGACCACCATGATTAAACTGAATTTTATCGCGATCATCGATCACGATCATATAATCGCCCAGTCCTATGTCAGAGGCTTCATTCACCCTTCCAGCCCTAATATGACAGTCAAAGCTCCAGAGAGGACGAACTGAAGAGTACCACAACAGTTTAGTGTGTTTCAGTTTTCCACTAAGCTCCGTGGTGTTCATCTTTGAACAACAAAGGTAACAAGTGCATGTCCATTTCAAAGAAAGAATGTTTTATATTGATATTGAGGGAAATTAATTTTCGATATATATCATTATCATTTTATCGCCCAGCCCAATGTGTGGGCATTTGTAATGTACAATGCTGTGAAATAGTATTGACCCCCTCACAGATTTCTTCTGTTTTTACTTTTGTCTCCCTGACATGTTTCAGATCAACAAACACATGAGTATCAGGCAAAAATAACCTGAGTAAAAAAGAACATTTTTCAATGATGATTTCATTTCTTAAAAGGGAAAAAGGCGATCTAACATGGCCGACTGTGAAAATGTAACTGTCTCCCTTGTTAAATCATCAATGAACAGTAGTTTACCACATCCTTTTTAAAGCTGAGGTCAGTTTCACGAAACACACACAGGCCTGATTACTGCCAGACCTGCAGGATCAGAAATCCCTTAAACAGAAGCTGTCTGATAACATGAGATCCGCTAAAAGATCTGAGAAGGCAGCACTTCATGTCCCTGTCTAAAGAAACTCAACAACATATGAGACACAAAGTTACAGACATCTATCAGTCTGGGTAAGGTTACAGAGCAATTTCTAAGACTTTGGAACTCCAGAAAACCATAGTGAGAGCCATTAAAACATGGAACAGTGGGGAACCTTTTCAGAAGGCCGACCTACCCAAAAGACTCAGAGAGTGCATCATGGACTCATCCTGGGGGTCCCAAGATAGCCCAGAACAACATCTGAAGACTGCAGACCTCACTTGGCTCAGTTTACCCATTTAAAACAGGACAGCATGTACGCATTTCAACCTTCCAAGCCAGGGGCGCTCATGGGCATTTCTACCCTTCAAGCCGGGAGCGACGATACATCATTTTGTAACATTCTGTAGTTTTTCAATCATTTCTGGAGTCATGGTGAATCAAATCATCATACCTGTCTGCCTCTGTTAGGCTCATAAAGCTTAATAAAGCGCTCGGATTTATGCTCGGATCTTGCTACATGTTTCATGAGGAAAGTAAACAATGATGGAGGCAGAGGGCACCTTCGAAGGAGAAGCATCCAGCAGTGTGAACAACCTCTTCATAATGGAGTGCTGTGGCTCACACTATCAGCGTTTTCTGTGAGTGTTGCATGATTTTGGGTGAGCACAGACATGAACACACTGTCAGCCACTTAATTATTTATTAACTAGTTTTTAGAGCTGCTTTTGTACAGGCACTATACTGGGGCACCTGCATACCCTTTCAACACTTTATTTTTTATATTATTTATTTGTGTTGAATGGACCCTTTATCATGACTGCCACTTGTTTTACAGAAAGCAAATAGTTTGTTATTCTCCAGTGCTGAGTCTTTACTTTTATTTATACAGCCACTTTATTTCATTTAAGTTTGTTTGTTCAAGGTTTTCAAAAACGTGATGAAGGTTCTGAAAAATAATAGATAGCTATGTTGAAAGACAGACATGTAAGCTCTCAAATACTTTTTGAATTTTGTTTCTATCTGGTACAGAGGCCGAGATCTTAGCTTTTTTGAAAACCTCAACACTTCAGAAAACCTCAGGATCTCAGGGCCCTTCTCAAAATGGCCCTCAGGATTTCAGAGGAGTTTCTCTGACAGGGTTCACGTCTTAATGGGTTGAGGTCCGAGTTCAATATTTAACAATAAGAAGGAGACCAGGGAAAAACTGGCATTCATAGGAGACCTCTGATGTAGTCACTCAGAGGTGGTGTAACAAAGGCCTGAATGACTTTACAAGTGTCCACTTCTTTCTTACATCATGATCAGTTTAACATGTGAATCCTCTAGGCGGTTTAAATCGACGTGCGTCTCTGTAAATAACATGAAACTTAGTGCTGATATGATTCTGCAGCCAGCACTGGACCTTTACTCTGTACTGATAGAAACACTCAAGTTTCATCTCTTGGTAGTCCATCTTGTTCACAATTTTATCTCATACTTTCTTTTCATAATTAGATATTAAACTGGGTGTCAAACAAGTCCACCTTCAGAAACAGAGAAACTCTAACCTACTACACAGAATAACTGACACAACAACAAACGCACTTCCTGACAAATTAAAGTCCAAATGCCAGAGGTTTATTGGTTTTTCTTGCTTTAATTCACTGAGCAATAGCTGTAATTTTTAGTCATTTATTCTGTGTTCACTTTGATTCAGCAACTTAGGATAAGAACCTTACACCCTGGATAAGAACCTTAGATCAGCACACTGAGTCAGCCTACACAGGCCTGAACCTTGGTGTGATAGCATAGCCTCGGGAAAATAATGAAAATATTGGTCAAAATCCCCGAGCAGGGACTCGGGGTCGGAAAATCCTGAAGTGCTGTGTTGAGTAACTCTATTAGTGAAGTAAACCCTCTTTAAAGTCCGGGTTTGACTTTATTTTGACCTCTTCAGCCAAGGACGCTCAGCGCTCCTGTTAGCTAACCTGACCCCTCCGGTTAGCTCTGATACACCCAACTTTACCGGAGAGAGAACAGCAGACTCACCGCGGCTCCGACCTTCCCCTTCGCCGGACCGGAGTACAAATTTGCCCTCTGGACGACGGTTGGCTGCCGCAGGGAGGGAGCAGCGCGGCTGGCGATGGTCCTCAGCAGTCCCGACATGTCTGCGTCCTTTGAGTGAAGAAGACGTTCTGGCGTCAGCGGGGAGGTTACGTCATTTCCTGTCATTTCATCACTAGTGATTCAAACAGCACCACCTACTGAGCAGATGATGCAAAGACTCGGAATTAAACTCGCTGTTTGGAGGATAATCTGTTTAAAAACTTAAAATTTCAATCCATTTAATAAAGGTAAACTGATCACGAGACTCCAAAGTGTCGGCTGCGTCTTCATATATCTGCTACTATACTAATTAAATCGCCGTTGTTCTTACTAATTTTAAGGTCCAATATTAATATCAGAAATAAAGACAAAAAAAATCCAAGATTTAAGTTAACATTTCAAATGGAATTGTTATTTGAAAATCATTGTCAGACCTTAAGTTAAGCAGTCAGAAATTAAAATAAATTCAAATATTTACCCTTTGTTTGCCCGAACCCTCCTCTGTATCTGTCATTATCTAGGGGAGTATTTGATGGACAGCCTGCCTTCACTGCGAGGGAGAGAATATGTATGTCAGTGGTTAAGCCAAAAGAAAAATATATAAAGTTATGAATTGTCTCCTGACAATAATACTACAGAAGAGCATATATCACAAAAATTGTACACAACTGAGGCATGTTCAGATGATTAGTATCATTGTTTTTACAGCAGGCACTGAGGAAATGGCTCCTTGAGTTAACTGTCTTGCCTCCACCTCTGTTTCCTCTCTTTGAAACAAAACGCCACACTTTGACCCTGTAGGGTACCCTCTCAGTAACTCTGTCATGGTAGTATCAACAATGTGTACCCTCTGTGTGGTAAACAGTCTGAGTTTCAGGCATTAAACAGTTTTGTAATGTCAAAGCTTATTGTTGGCCCGACCTGCAGAAAACTCCACGTGAGTGTTAATCCTCAGTGCTGCACTCGATGTTTCGTACAGAATACCTCCTAATAACCGTGGATGGAGGACTGGTGGTATGTAATAATCCCCCTCACCCTACACTCCCACAGTCACCCCCCTCCACCTCCTTCTTTCAACAACAATACCCTACAGGTTTTAGCTAGAGGACTCATTTTGCAAAACAGGCTCTGCATCTCTTCTTCTGTCTGATTTTGCCTTTTTTTCTCAAACACAGCTTCTGTCACTGCTTTTTATTTCTGTTTCCGTGTGTGAGAAAATGGGATTGGACACTGGAGTCAATATTTCAGATGTACCATACGGGGGAAAAAGTGCCTTCACCCAAATGGAGCACAATATAGTGGCTGGATATCTCCTCACTGCAGGTAACAGAAGAAAGACATCCTGTGGTGTCACTGAAAGAGTCTGAATGATGGAAATGATCTACGTTAATGCTGCTTTTTTTTCTTTTTGTGTTTTCCTGCAGAGTTAGGACAGAGTGATAATATTTAAAAGACCCTCAAATCAGCAAGTGTTTAAATAAAAACTCAACGTATTAGACATTGGAAGTTCTAACTATCACAGTGGTATATTCTTACTGGCTCTGGCAGTTCTGAGTGATGATCAGGATGGTCTGTGTGAGTGACAGTGCAGTCACATCCATGTCCAGTCTGCTGTTACAGACACGAAAACTTTTGGTGAAACTATTAGTCTGTGATACAGAATAAGTTTGAAAATCTTTTTTGTTGATGGGCACATGACCTCCAAGTTTTAGAACAAAATCTTTGCAGTACTTTGGATGATAACAGACGTGACTGTTTTAATCAAGAGTAATATGAAGTCTATAATGATTGACAAGAATAGATATGAGCTGGTACAAAGTGCTAGTGTTGGTCTGTACACATGAATCACAGTGCAACCATGCCACTTAAAATATTACAGGGTCAGTTCACCAAATTATAACTTCCAGCTGTATGGGTGTCAATATTTCCAGCGTGCAGGGTTAGGGTTAGGATGTGTGGTTTAAAATATAACAAAGCTGCTGGTAAAGATAAATGACCGTAATCCACCACATTCTTGAGATTAAGTGCTATGTAATATTACTCTACCAAGACGGTGTTAAGGTTTATCACTTACCAATTGTTTGACAGAGACATTTAGGAGCTAAAACAATGACTGACAGAATCAGTGAATTTACAGCACTTAATTATGACCCACCGTTTCTCAGCGGAGACTCTAGGTCAGACCAGCTGACAACAAATTTAGACCATTATCCCAAGTGCCTTTTTATTATCATTATTATAGTTTAATCCTGCACAATCAGGATGTAAACAAGCACAGATGGCAGTTGGCATCTTGTTGCATGGTGTGGTTTGTTAGTGCATCAATCTAGACAATGGAGGTGCAGTTTTAATTATGTTGTATCTGGTTAAACTGACATCTTAACATTAAGCTGTATAAAAGTGTAACCTGCACAGACATGTGAACATAAACCCATAAACCTGCAGGAAGGACTGAGGCTGGAGGTACTTGCTCTGCTAATGTTTACCTTGTTTGTTTGCTAATGTTTACCTTACCTTGCAGACCCTGTGATGTTAGGCTGTGTTGGGCTCAGCCTCTTTATACAGCAAAGAAATCCTTCATTTCAAAACAAACCTAACTTCCAGATGAATCAAGTGTACCAGATCATATCAGTTTCCCCCCAATATCAACAATGTATTAAAACTCCAGTGAGGAATGTTTGATTTATGTTGATTTTGGTGTCCTCTGTGGACACAGCAGTCTTAGTTTACGCTGTCCTCTACATGCTTAAGTTGTACTGACTTTTGGCAGTCAAATGTATCATTTGATGTAAATATAAATGATGGAAAATGGACAAACAGGCTTTTCCTTGGTCTGTGTATTTGGTGGCCAACGAATTTTCCTTTTCGAATGGAAAATAATTAAAATCGGGAGACGAGCTGTCTCCCAACAACAGGTAGGGAATCTGAAGACAAAAAACGGAAAGCAAGCCGTTTTTCATTTTGATCATCAAAATCAATGAGAATGAAAATACAACTCAGTACTTGACTTTCTGTGATGTGGCTTTTAATGGAAATCGAAGATCAAAGAAGAAATCGAAGTTGTGGAAAATAAATCATATCTTGCTTGCTTCAAGTCACAACTTCCAGGTCACAACAAAAAAAGCAAATAAAACTTGAAACACAAGATTTCCATGCACGTATATTGATCTTTTTCATTTGAAAACGAAAATCAGTTGGCCGCCAAGTATATAAACCTTTCTTCAGCTGCTTCAAAGACACCTCCCCCTTGTGCCTGTTTCATAAATTAATGTCCATATAAAACAATTGCTAACAGCCTTGTTTGCACTTAAATATCATAAAAAAGCATCTACATTAATTTCATTTTATTTCATAAACACATGCAAAAAAAAATAAAAATCTTCAGGAGCTTTAGACACTTAATCCTCAATTGATACATAATTTTCCTTTTATTTTGTTAAAAAGTTTTAAAAAGTTTGTAAAAAAGTTTAAAGTTTCCATTGGCCACTTGAGGCAATGCAATGTGCATAGACTGTATAAACATGGAAATAAGCTGAGTCCAAGGCTGTGTCCCTCAAAAGTCTCAATTAAAGAGATCACATTATTGCAGTGTATTCAAGGATGAATACAGCTGATAAATGAGTCCTACTTTTCCTGGGATGCACCAGATGCTTGGACTTCACGTTGAATAAAAGTACTTTGTTTCTACTCATGATCACCTCTGGCTCCAAATTAAAAAGATGGACTTGATTTTCTGCACCTTACAATAAAGATCCACCCCCCTGTGTGTTTTACAGCTTCAGTCCACTCTTGACTGTCAGTCTTTGCTTCATTTCCAACCAGGAGTTTTTCACAGCTGACCTGTCATAGAGGCACAGGTGGGACTGTGTGCACTAATGTTGGCTCTGCCCCAACAATTACAATTAAGATGGATGCCTCAAAGTGAAGCTCAGACAGAAGATATGACAAGAGGTTTCAGACCTATGATGTTAAAGTTAAGTTTACGCAGGAGGTCTATGTGAGGGAGATTTAAAAAGTTTAACTCTTTAGTGCACCTCAGATGCATGTTTGTAATCTTTTGTTGTGTCTTCTCTTCTTCTATTGGTAAATCTCATACGCTCATCAACTGAGTTTGAATGTGAAGGCTTGTTAATAGATAAATGAAACATTTTCATTTAAATTGAATAAAACTAGATGAAAAACTTGTCTCTATCAAATCCATCAATAATGCATCCCTAATGCTGTGCTAGGCCAGGCTCTGGGGGATCATGTAATGCTTATTCTAGTGGACAGCATGCTATCATTTATCATCAAGAGGCACATCTTTATTTTTTGAATTTCCTTTATTTGAAGGTGATGCATAAAAACACGATGCATGTTTCTCTTCCTTATGCTCTTCTTCTGTCTTTTGTCCTCTTCTCAGGTGTTCTCAGTCTTTCAAGTAACATTGTGGTTCTGCTAATGTTTGTGAAGTTTAAGGAGCTCCGCACTGCCACCAACTACATCATCATCAACCTGGCATTCACTGACATCGGAGTGGCTGGTATCGGCTATCCCATGTCTGCCGCGTCAGACCTGCACGGCAGTTGGAAGTTTGGCTACACCGGATGTCAGGTGGGAGGAATTTTAGTGCCCCCTGCAGGCAGATTACTCTTTTGAGCAAAAATCTCATCCCCCTGACTTATTTCATGCTGGGAATCGTAGAAACAGCTGCACCAACCACCCTCTCACTAGTTCAAGACTCACCAACCCTGTCACTGAAGGTCTTGTTTGCTTCTCGATATTGTGAAAGGGTATCAATATAGATTTCAGTCTGTTTCCTAAACATGAAAAACTCCTCACAGGAGCTTTAAGCACTGTCAAATGTATTTTATATAACCTGGTAAACATGGTAATAAATGCTGGTAAAATGGAAATACCACTTCCCTGCACACTAAGACAATAATATAATCCACACACTGCCAAATGTCCCCTTTTCACAAGAACTTGAATCGTGACTATCTCGTTTAGTCCCAGATTCTGTCAGGGTTTTTTTTTTATTATTTCTCCAGAACCAAACATGAGAACACCAATAAGCTGAAATACTCTTGTTGAATGCATGGTGGGTTAAGTTTTAAATCTAAATTATTAACTGAAAAATAAAATGACTGCACAGGGTAAAATAATGTGTAACAGTAGCAGCTTAGGGTCCAAAAAAAAAACCCCCTTATTTAAAGCTGAAAGTAAAACAGCTGCAGAAAGTTTGTGTGCTCCAGTTTAAGTGAAAGAGTTAAATATTTTCACAAACAGTGATTGTTATTTTCCCACATGACGTTGAAGTTAAACTGTTCCTCACTCTCGTGGTGTTGCATGTCTCGTGCAAGTTTCCTAAATCCCTCAAAATTTCGTAATGACTAACGTGACACATTCTGAGCTGGACATGAGACCGAATCCTTGAGCAGCTGAAGCTCTGCAGCCAGCCGCGTGTTAGGATTCTTACTGCAGATTAGGAGGTTTTTCTTCAGTACCCTGTTATTGCACAGTAACACTGAGCCATGTGACGCTAATCTAAAGAGAGAAACCCTGGAAAGCCAGACCCAGCAGTGTGGCTGTTTTATTTACTGACAGCTAAGAGTGGTTTCTCATGAATGCAGAAACACTCCTTTAGTGTTGCTGCCTCCATCAGAGAGCTCCTTAATGAGCTCAGGAGTGATGGAGAACCTTTTTTAGTTCATCTCTCTGTGAGAAATGATCACTGTGAACCCTGTTGCTAGGTAAAATACATGTTTCAAGAGCTGCAATTGGTTAATTCGCAATAGACCTTTTTCACAGTACGTAGAAGTGTGTTAGCATGTAGTGGAGCCATTAGCATCGCCTATAGACGGCCATTCATCTTTCACGATATTACCAAGCTCGCGATTCGTTTTTTTGAAAGGTAATGTAAAATCTTGTGCTTTGTGCTGTTTTACTAACTCCTGTTCTTCAAAATACTGTCCGGATTTTGTACTTTACTTCTCGGGAATTATGTTTAATAGGTCATTACTGAAGAGCAATGGTTACCATCATCAGAAAATTTCCAGACCTATTAAACATAATTCCCGAAAAGTAAAGTACAAAATCCGGACAGTGTTATGAAGAACAGGAGTTAGTCAAACAGCACAAAGCATAAAATTTTACATTGGCCTCACACCGTCCACGGGATTCGGCGCTGGGCTCTTCCCTCTTCGTTTGCCGCTACTGAGGGAATCCTGGTTAGTTTCTTTTCCTCCGCTTAGTAATATGCTTAGATTCAGCGGGTTGTCTGATATGAGTTCGTAGTCGGAGGATGGGGGTCGGGGAGCGGGGGCCGAAAGGACCCCCAATTTCCCTGTCCGCTCCCAGCGCGTCCGGCCGCTCCACCATACTACCATACTACAATGTGGGCGTGTCTAGTATCTGAAGTAGTATCTGAAGTAGCATGCTACTCGCTCCGGTGGCCAATTCGGACATGCTACATACTACTTCGACTACTACTTTGACTACTACTTGGCAATTCAGACGCAGCACCAGTTTGTTGTCCCCAGAGTCCGAACTGAAATGGGAAAGAAGACTTTCAGGTTCTCTGCCCCCTCTGCATGGAATAATCTGCAGACTGAATTTAAGCTGCAAAACTTGGTGTCTTTGACTGTTTCTAAATCTGCAGTTAAAAGGCTGGAGTACAAACTCTCAGAATGTCGCTGTTTTAACTGATGTTTCCTCACATTTTTATTCCGTATTGAGTCTGTGTGACTGTTTGTTGTAACTATGTACTGCTGCCATTCTTGGTCAGGTCTCCCTTGCAAATGAGATCCTCAGGTTAAATGGTTAAATAAAAATAAAATAAACAAAATCCACAGCAGAACCGTCCAACTATAGACATTATGTACATAAACATATATGATGTCTATGAGGTTAATGCTGCTCCACTGCTAAACTGAATGAACACAATAGAGGGAGCAGGGCCAAAGCATTGAGCTCTGCCCATAGACTGTATATACTATGGACAACTTGGGTCCGCCTTCCGTCTGTATACGGATTTGAAGCCAAAAAGCTCTAGGTATTTCTGGGATTTTTCTTCATTTCCTGAAACCAGCGCTGTGCAGTAGTGATGCGCGCATTCGGCCGCACAGTCGCAGAGAGTTAGCCTGGCTGGGCCATCCTGTTGCGTGAATCACTTGATGTTCCTTGACTCTGCAAAGTCGGCAGAAACCGTTTATATCCGACGTCTTCTGCGGATATAAACGATTTCTGCTGACTTTGCAGAGTCAACTGCAGAATTAATGGCGTTCTGAATGAACGGGGATTTGAAAAGTCCCGCAGCATGTGTTAGACGTCACCACTACACATGGACCAATCAGGGGCTGCCTTTCCCTGTTGTCCAGGTAACAGTGGAAACACGAAGGGCCGAAGTCCAGACTGTGGTGGGAAGGAACATCAAGTGATTCACGCAACAGGATGGACCAGCCAGGCTAGCACAGAGTCGCTGTGATGACGCTCGGCTCAAACAGCGTATCCCCCGGGAGAGCTACTCAATCCCTGAACGCCCATAGGCTGTATCTGGTGTCAATCATAGCAAACATTAACCCCCTAATAACTTTTAAAAATGGATCTTCACAGAAAAAAGAGGACTTGAGCACAAACCAGTGTTACAATAACTACATGTCAACATCGCAAGCAGGGGGGAAAAATGTATGTTCTGTGTAATAAATTTCTAAAGTCGGTCCACAGCCCCATAAGCTTTGCTTGCGGAGGTGGGATTTATGACCTATACTGCAGCCAAACAACAGAGGGTGCTGTTCTCGGAGTGGCTTCACCCAGCAAGGAGGCAGACGGCGTCCATTCTATATGGCTCTGCCCCTAGCCAGCTTTGAGAAAGCCTTTGGAGATGTGGCCAATCAGAAGACAGTAGGCTTGTTAAGGGGGGACCTTAAAGAGGCAGCAGCTAGAATGAAGCGTTTCAGACAAAGGCTGAGATAATATTTTTATACACCATTGTTAGAAATTTGAGGCTGTTTTAAAAACCTAAATCATGTGAAGATATTACAGAGGTATCAGAAGGGAAGTAAAGAGTTTAAAAAAATGCATAATACCCCCTCCTTTAAGATATACTCTTGATTGTTTGACAAAGACTTCTGCATCAAAACTTTGACCCAGAGAAAACAGTACGGGGTGAATTTATAGTACGCTGTCAATCACTTTGACCGACTCCTCCCCTTAACTCGTGATTTCAGACTTTAAAATAGAGACATCAGTATTCATTTCATTCTGATTTGTGACAAGATTAAACTCTTTACAGCGTCTTTTTAAATTTAGTTTTATGAATTACTTGTTTTTTTTGCTGTCCTTTTAATGTCATTTGTGACTTGAAAAAAGTGCTCAATTTAATTATACTCTCAGTTATACAAAGGCACAGTGTGTAGTCTTTAGGGTTAGGTTTAGAATATCACATTTATACATGTCTTAAAATTTGCTTGAGTAGAATTTAGCATCATTTTATCTAGAGTATTTGAATATATTATGCAAAGGTTTGTTTAAATTAGTTTATATTGAACAAAATATCTTGATCCCTTATTTCTGATGGCTTAAAAAGTCTTATATTAGAGTCTTATATAGAAGCAGCGGGTCCTCACTGTGAAGGCTGCCATGTTTTTCTACAGTAGCTCAGAATGGACAAACTAAAAGGAAGCAAACACATTTTGTTAATTACTAGGTGGAAAACAGAGAAGGTAGGGTGAGAGCAGCTGTTGTTGCATTAAATGAATTTATACTGGGAAAGCTTTTGATGGTAAAAACCTGACAAATGGAGGATCATAGCTTTTTATATGTGGCCCAAATACTTTATCGTACACAAGAAAAATTGGCTTTGTTTAAGATTATTTTGCTAATCTCAGTTTGTGTTACCAAAACAATGAAAAACTCACAATCACTAATTCTGAGCTACATGACTTGTGTCTGTTGTGGGTAATATCATCTCTTTTTCATTCAGTGTTAGAGTAAAAAAAAAATTTGACATCAGTGTCAACACCTCACATCTGAACATCGAAAGAGTTATAATTATAAAGTCTGTTTCAAAAGTTTATCCTGAAGTGTTTCTTCTCTGCAGATCTATGCAGCTCTCAACATCTTCTTCGGGATGGCCAGTATTGGCCTGCTGACCGTGGTGGCCATCGATCGCTACCTCACCATCTGCAGACCGGACATAAGTACACAAAACCATCAGTCGCAATCATCATCACAATGAGGATAAAATCAGAACTGTTGAAGATCACATGTCTTTTTGTCCTGATTTCTTGGTTCCACCTAATCTGTCTCTAGATGACAGCATGTAGAAAAGAGATGTTTCAGACATAAATTAACAACCTGTGTTCACACTGTGGGCCTTCCTCTGTAAGTCATGGTACGAGGCTCAAATGTTGTCCATTACCATTATCTGGGTTTGTAAGTCCAACTAAGGAGGGTTTGATGAGTGCGATTTCAATCAGACTAATACTGTATTTTATTGTAGTATACATACTTTAGATTTACAGGAAATTACTGACTACTGAGTTGCAGATATGATACAGTAACAATGTTAAAATCACAGATAAATATTATGAGTATGGTACATTATCATACTTTAATTAAGCAATAAAAGAAAGTAATTTTACAGTAACGTGGGGGTTATGTTCACATAAAAATACAGCAAAGTCCTTGTAAAGTAATTTTAATACTTATTACAATATCATATTGTAACTTGAAATATAATACCATCACAGTATGATTGCATCTGGGTTGCTGTGGAAACACAGTATGTTACTGTAATTTTTAATAAATTTGCTGTAAAATAATCACAATATGGTACTTTAAATTTACTGCAGTTATTAGCCAATAATTTACTGTGAAAATACTGTAAATTTTTGGGCATTGTGCATGTGTTTCAAAACTCCATTTCAGTTACACTGATGCAATGAATGGAGTTTTTCAACAACATGTAAACACTGATAAATATTCAAAGACTGAAGATTGTCTGGACTCTTCACATGGCTTGTTTGGTCCACAGATAATGACTTTTATGGTCTGTTATTGATTGAAAAGAGGGTAGAGGGAGATGCAGAAAGAGAGGGCTGGACAGAGACAACAACTAAAGTACAGAAAAACAAAAGGGTGAAAGTGTGTGTAATATCTTAGTCTGTTTTTGAGAACGTGTGCTCTTCATCCCTCCAGAGCAGAAAATGACGGGGCGATCATACAACCTTCTTATCCTGGCAGCATGGCTGAATGCTGTCTTCTGGTCCACCATGCCCATAGTGGGCTGGGCGAGTTATGCCCCTGACCCAACCGGAGCCACTTGCACCATCAACTGGAGGCAGAATGATGCGTGAGTTAACAGGAGGCTGCTTGATGATCTCTGAGTTTAGGGGGTAGCCTCAGGAGAAAGTTTAAAACCTGCTTTTTCCTCCTCCTCAGCTCCTTCATCTCCTACACCATGGCTGTGATTGCTGTGAACTTTGTGGTGCCACTCGCTGTTATGTTTTACTGCTACTACAACGTGTCAGCCACTGTGAAGAGATACAAAGCCAGCAACTGTCTGGACAGCATCAACATCGACTGGTCGGATCAGATGGATGTCACAAAGGTAAAAACTGAAAAAAGTGAGATAAGTCCTCTAAACTGGCATAAGAGTATGGCTGCTTTTAAACTTCAACACAGCATCCAAACCTTTAATGCAGAAATGCCTGAAATTGTTTCTGTCTAAATCTGAACTCTGCTGTTTGAAAAAACAAAACAGAGCTCAGAGGATGTCCACTTCCTGTTTGATTATTACCTCAAACATTTCCTCAATGTTGCATGGTCTCAGTTTGTTTTGGAACCTGAATTTTACTGAAAATGCACTTCACTAAGAGGGCAATAAACTGGTCTCTGCAGCATCTTTTTTGTTATTATTATTTGCAAATGTTGAATCAAATGCTTTGGCGTCTGCAGGAAAAAAACTGTCAGTATGGAAAGCAAAAACAGGAGGGACATAAACCATCCAAGAAAATCTGATTATGTTTATTGATCTTTCTCAATCTACGTGCAAGTAGGCCACAGCAAATGATCTTATCAGCATTTAGATTTCTAGATGTCCCTGAATGCTGCAGACATGGTGGATCTGACCTCCATCCAACAAACAAACATTTTCAAAGTAGTTTTCTTCTCCCCTTGAGGACAGACAAAGCCGACAAAGCTGGACTCTTGATTTTTGACGAATCTGACTAAATTATATTATTATTAAAGCAGACTAAAGACCCACAAATGAGAAAAAAAATTAAAAGAAAATCAGTTTCTTTCCAGGTTTCTGCTGCTGACATACACTAGAGTGAAGTGTTTACAGTGAAACCTAGACAGTGTGGTTGTGGAAACCTGGACTAAGATGGTGGGAAATATGGATTTGCTGACCTCTTGGCCAGGTCACCCTTGTAAAAGAGATCTCGATCTCAATGGGTTATATATATACAGTATATATATATATATATATATATATATATATTGATATTGCTGTCCATATGGTAAGGATTTGCTTTTCTATGTTTCTTGGGTGCAGATGTCTGTGGTGATGGTCCTGATGTTCCTGGTGGCCTGGTCTCCATACTCATTGGTGTGTCTCTGGGCATCTTTTGGGGACCCTAAGACAATCCCGGCCCCCATGGCTATCATCGCTCCTCTCTTTGCTAAGTCCTCAACTTTCTACAACCCCTGCATTTATGTCGTTGCCAACAAAAAGTATGTTTTTCTCTCTTTGTTATTACTTCATACATGCAGACTTCTTGTTGTGTTGCTGTCTTTGTTGAGCTGTGAGCAGATGATACATTTAAAGACATAAATGTTTCTCTCCCGCAGGTTTAGGAGAGCCATTATAGGTATGATTCGGTGTCAAACCAGGCAGCGAATCACCATCAACTCCCAGGTTCCCATGACAACCTCCCAACAAACACTAACCCAGTGAGGTGAAGCTGCCTCTGTATCCCGTGTATGGAACTATTCTGACATTAAACCAGGTGTAGAGGATTGGCAGGATGAAAATGAATGACTGTTTTTCTTTCTATTGTAGTTTTTTTTTTCTTTCAGTTTGTGGTGTTTACTGTGTAAATCTCACTCACTGTGCTGCCGTAGTCATTGTTTGTTTGCTGGTTACTTCAATAACAAACTGACGATAAAAATCCCTCTTTGTCTGGACTGAATACTTCATGTTTCATCAGTCTCACCTGACTCTGTTCAACTCTCCTCTCTGAACAGCCCTATACAGTTTTCACATACGGAGGAGATGAATCCAGTGAAAGCAGTTCATGCAGATCTATTGCTTTCATATAATGCAGATGTATGTTTACAACATCTTTAAAATACCCATATTGACATATATTAAAATGAATATATACATTATCTGTAAAGGCCATTGGAAGTTTTTGATGTAAGATGATTATGACATATATTACATTCATAAAAAAGAAGTATACAAAAAACACATTTATGTTGAATTCATATAAGGTATTATGTTTGTTCATACATGTTTAAATGGAGACGCAAGATAAAGAAAATGAAACCAGCTGTGTGTATGATTTATAGTGAACTTGAATCAATGTGGGGCCCAAAAGGGGGAAAAACACTGAATGAGTGTGGAAACTAAAGCTTCTTGACCAAAGCTGATTTTAGACGTAGTGTAGTTCAGAGGCATCAGGCTGTTGTGATTTGAGTCAGACTCATAGATACATAGATAAATGTTTAGAAATATCTCTTCAGCTGCTGTCTGTAGGTCTGATCATTGTCTGGTTTGAATAAGAGCTGCATTATTATTATTATTTTTTAACAATAACATGAAGTGTCTGCTTTAACATGGTCTTTGATTGGGAAAGGTACCCAAGTGGTTTGGTGTTTGTGTGCATACATGCACAACTATTTATTTGCACCTCAGTCCATCACAGACTTGTAACTCTGCTGAGCTCAGTAACATCAGTCAAATTTCAGACCTTGGTTTCACCCTTAGTGTAGTGACTGCACTCAGCCTGTAGGTGGCAGTAAAGCTCTGAAACAACTTTAACATCCAACAGCACCTAAATGTAATGTTACATTGCACTGACACACTCTATATAAACTTAATATGTTTGTATATAGTGTCACCCTTTGCTTCTCTGCACAGCATTACATCAGCAAATAAATTAATTAATACATTAACACGAAACAAGGTCTGATCAGGGCCAATGCAGGTACAGGTGGGTCTCACAGCCATAGCAGAATTACCAGAGCTATCTCACAAACCATGATGAGATACACAGTTTCAGTGCTTGGCCTGACAGTCAAAGTCATCTTTATTCAACACAAATAACTGAAAACAGATTTACACTTCACTTAGTATTTTTTAAACTGAGATCCATTATGGGATTTGAATCTGTAAAAGGTTTCCAAAGCAAATAGGAGAGCAGGATTTCTGGTGTCGAGCATCTAAATCAGCAATGAAGAAAAAATAATGAACATAGTAAAATAAAATGTCATCAAAAAAGCTGAAATGCAAAACCTTCATGGAGTGTATAAATAACTCTCAGGGACCATTGATTCCATTTAACCTGCTCAACTGTCTTGTGATGTCCTTTAATATTAGACACTGCCTGAGTTTTTAAACCCAAACTCCTCTCTATGAATCTTTACTGTTTTCAAACTTTATAAAGTCATTTCAAGTAGGTTTTTTTCCCCATCTGAAAATCACTTCATGTGTCTTTTTGTCCCTGTAATGTGCTTGTAAGGTGGGTGTTTACATTCATAGTTTCAGTGTTTTAAAACCTGGATCCCGTCTGTAAGTTTGTTTGGGTCTGATTGAGGATCAGCTGCCCCAGTAGATCTCTTGGTGACCGCAGTAAAATCCCTCTGCTGTAAAGTCTGATTTAAACATCTGCATCCAATCCATTTCATGTAGGTTTGCAGAGGCCTGAACCTATGTTGAGGTTGGAGTGTTGTTGCTGTTAACCAGGAGGCTAAAAGCTCCACTTCTTTAAGTGGCAACCATCATCAATGTGCTTCATCACAACATTTCTCACATCACTGAGACTATGTTTGATTGGGAAAGGTACCCAAAGACTCAAGCCGTACTAATAGGAGATCAACCTGAGCAAGTACAGAACAATCAGAATCAAAACAGACCAGGTGTGAAAACACCCAAATCCTCCTCTCACTTAGATCAACAGCTTCTTAATATTAAAATATTATAATATTGAATTCCCCTTTGGAGATCATTAAAGTCCATGTTTAGGTACAGGAGACTGTATACACTCTGGTCCAGAACAGGGGACAGTCTGTCTGTTCAGGCCACGTTGCTCTCCAGCCACGTCCTGATCTCTGCCTCGTTCGCTTTTATCCACGCAATGTTGTTCCTCACTGTCTCCAGCGCCTGCTGTCGAGGCATCTCGCCTGCACCTGCATTTGGTGTCAGACTGAAGAAATGCTCCATCTGCAAGAGCAGCAAAGAGAAGCATCTTCAAAGGATCTGCAAACGAACACTCAAACACCTGTATAAACATCTTCATCAGCAAGCAGGTAGGGATGAAGATGTTTATACAGGGGAACCGTATGTCTTTCTCAAGTCAAGTCATCAACAGAGGAAACACTGACATACAAAGTCATACTAAAACAAGCGAGCACAAACAGAGGGTACAGGCTAGAGGTAACTACCTGTTTCAGATTGGCAAACACTAGTAACAACCAAACAGGCAGCTCAGAGGAAATCATTGTAGTCCTTGTGATTTGTGCTTATTTAAGTCATTTCATTACAAGTGTCACTGTTTGGACGTCTCAAAACACGGTCATCCTACTTTTATGTCATGCAAACCTACAAAAAGGCATGCAAACCTGGAAAAAGCTTGTTAACCTGCAAAAGAGTATGCAACATGATAAAACAGTGTGGTTGATGGAGGAGAGCCACTGTCAATAAGAGAAATCCCTGCTCATCGCTCTGTGTGCACTAATACCCATGTTAAGACTGTAACCTACTGTAAGTGTGACCCTCTGTTGCATCACCAGCTCATATGTTGTAAACTTTACTCTGTGGCTGTTGCAGCATGTTTTTTGAAGTTGTATGCTGCCATTTCCCCTCACAGGGATTGTTTGCACATTGACTTTGGTGCAGCAAAGAAACAGAGGGGGACATTTTAAAAACTGCAGGTGTTTGAACTAACTGCTGTTGAATAAAGACAGAGAAAGCTCGTCGCTGTAAAGTGCAGCGCTCACCTTCCACAGCTGCAGCTCTGTGTTGTAGCTGGTGGAAATTCGACCCAGCAGACGGCCGAGGTTCCTGTCATTGATGGTGTACCTGTGAGGAGAGCAAAGAGGTCTTGAAACTACAACACGCTTATCTGAAATGTTCTGTTTGTGAGTAAGGACAGCTTTAAAGGATTATCCTGTCTCAAGGATAAAAACACTACTCTGCTTTTTGTTCTTTCTTATCAACACTCTGGGTTTATGGTTAAAAGAGTTCTGTCATTTTATCAGCCAATAACCTTGATCCTTATCAGCCCACACAGTATCACATGAGAGTTACAGCTGACCCCACAGGGTGTTTTTACTTAATTGACAAAACACCATTGAAGGATTTTATGAAAAGATTGAGACATTTTTGTTTAAAGAGAGATAACTCAAGAGTTAAAACTAGAAAGGTTACTATCTACAGTATGTTTGGAAACCCCACATCTAATGTGATCTGAGTTTCTGATCTCCATCTATCTCTGACAGTGTTGTAAAACTACAGTATTCAGGAGTACTTTAGTGCAGGGCTGTGTGCAGGGGTCCTTGTTAGTAGGAGCTTCTTCAAGAGCAGAAAAATGCACCTCAATGACCTAGATTTTGTCCATTTTTGGATTGTGTCTGTCAGTCCAGGAACCTTCTTTTACTCACCTGTCGACCAGGTAGTCCCAGTTAAGTGTGGTCCAGTCCCAGGCCATGCTCTGACCCAGCGGGTTCAGAGACACATATCGAACCAGAGTGAACAGATCCTGACTTCTCACCACAGTCTCATTTTTGGACGCCTCCAGCAGCCTGTTGGAAAGAAGACAGGTGAGTCCAAGCACTAACACCAGATCCTAGGAGCCTTAAAGTATGATGTCTTTTCAATTACTTGTAGAGGAGATCCACGTTCTCCACAGATGCCAGCCCATACAGCAGCTTGTCCTTCTCCTGAGCCAAAGTCGAGTCGGTGTACCTCTGAAACATGGTGTCCCAATTTTTTACACCTGAATTCTTCATGCCATATCGATAGACTAACAGCCGGAGGTTCACTGCCACACTACTGCAGGTCAAAGGTCAGGAAAGGGAGCATAAATGTCAGTTTGACAGAGATGACAAATCTTATATCTATATGGCAGCTGTCTGCAGGTTTCAATCACTCTTTTTTACAAACTTTCTTGTTTGGTTTCCTAGTAATAATCACCTACTCCATACTTAGAACCCAAGTGAGAAAACCAGCAGTTCCAACAGCATCCACTAGAGATTGGTTCTGATTTTACAGTGGAAATAAACCCATTTACAGCCTGATGCAAAAACACTTTTGGTGTTTGTAGTTCATTTTCATTTTCTCCTGGAGAGATTGCAGCAGACTGAAGTGCTTAAAATAGGGATGTGCATGTTTAACCGACCGAGCAAATCTATGCAGCCATGCTATAAATCGCCATTATTTATACTTTTAGTATTGTTAGCTCAGATGTTGAGAAAAAGAGTTAGATTGGGCAGGCTTCGAAGTCAAGCTCAGCCCACAGAACGTCAGTTTACCGTCTGCTATATTTTTACCCAAGGGTCCTTGCTGCTGATCTACCCGCCTTGGCATGTCAGGTATGCACATGGACGGGCAAAAGCATACCACTAAATAAAACTGTTTGCACACAAATAATCATTTCCTCTGATAACAGGGCCTCTGACTAAATGATAACTGCGCTGTCTAGGCTCTATCATAGCCAAATACTCCAGCCAGGGCCACAGCTCCAGTCAGTGTTTATAATTATGTCTGTAATAATGCTATGACACTCAACTACCTGGATGTAAGCAAGCACAGACGACAGATAGTGCGGTGTGGTCTGTAAGTTGTTACCTGATTTCTCCAGATATCCACTGATCAAAGATGCGAGAGGCTTGGTTCAGAGCGTCTCCATCCCCCATCTGACAGGCGATGCTGAGCACCGTCTCCCTCAGCAACCTGCAAAAACATCACAGTCACCAAACTTGTATTTAACACAGGTTTTTCAGTAACAAACGAATCAGTGTTAAAAAGAGAGTAAAGCTGAAAGAACTAATCACAAATACAGTATTTTTGCACCTCTCTGTCTGTGATCCTGTATCCTCCCATCCAAGCTCTTCAGAGATGCTTTGAACATGTCCTTTAAACAGTTCCTGGAAAGAAAAACTGGGTTAATCAGTAACAGCAGAGATGTTTACAGATTGACCCATTACATATTAATGTTTGAAACACAGGTTTGTTAGTAACAAACAAATCAGTGTTAAAAAGAGAGTGAAGATGAAACCATCAGCCCTCTGACCTGAAACTTTGGGTAGAGTGCAGGGTTTCCTGAGAGCATGTCTCGGACGTAGGCGATGGAAGAGGCCACTCTGTCCCACACGATGTAGTCCCTCTCTTTGTTCAGGTACTCAGTGAGGTTGAAGGCATTCCCATAATCTATGATGTTTGCCCTGACAGTGAAATAAGAACAGCGTTACCCACAGCTGTGTAGGGCTGAGGGATCACAGTGTTGTTGCTGTTCCTGTGGAGATTTTACCTCGCAAGAGCAAAAACATCGTCAATGTAGCTTGTTCTGTCGGCCGGATCAAACTCCTGTTTGAGACAGAAAACTGCATCAGAAAGAATATTAACATCAATAATATCTCCATTATGTGTAGAGAAGGATCCCTCTTTTCTGTGAGCATAATTTATAAAGCCCTAAAAAGGCATCAGTTAGACTTTACATCAATCCTGATGAGTGATCATAAGCGTTCATAACAGCTTATAGTTTGAGAGCCCATATGAAAGACTATCCGGTTTATATTAGAGACCCATGTAGAAAAGATTAGCAGATTGAGGTGAAAGTACTGATATGATGTCACATAAATACACTTTGTAGTGTGGAGATGGTGAGGCCACTGAGAAAGGAGTCTGAAACAGCGTTTTAAGGATGTGAGCACATCTTCACCGTGTGGTTGTCTTGCAGCTGTTTGCTGATGCTGTTCCACATGTTATCGTCGTGGTTAACTCTGTAAAATCCAATATGATCGTTGTTCACTTTTATGAGCCCATCTGCAGAGGGTGAGTAGTTCGTGATGGGCAGCTCTGAAAACAGACAGTGAGATGAGATCAGTAAAGACTACCACATTTCTGACCAACTGTCTTAAGTGAGTTACCCTGAAATACTATATTAAATCAGTAGTTTTTATTCCTTCTCTTCCTCCTCAAAGTACAAATATTAATTAGTAAAATAGACAATGAAATATGTCAGCAGACAATCAAAACTCTGATTATTTTGATGCAACATTAAAGTTTAAACTTTTACCTGGGCTGCTCTTATCGAACATCTCCAACATGTTTTTATCAGATGTTAAAGAATGCCATTCAACGGGAATTGTCCACTTATACCTGTGAGAAAAAAGATTTATCAATGTGAATGAGGGAGTGTGAGTCTTTTCATATCCTGCAAATAAATATATACACAAAAAATAAACCAACTGCTTCAAAACAAGGTATTCCAGTTGTTTTTTTAGTCTTTTTTTTTTTTTTTTTTCATTTATAAGTGTAACACACTGTGACTTATGTAAGAGGGTCAGGGTCCTGAACCACCCTGTTGGATTTCTAATTCACATTTAATTTAAAGAGGATTGGTTTATAAAGAGGTAGCCTCTAAGATTTGATGGTTAGTGGAGCATCTGTGGAAACAGTTTTCTTATCCGCCTGCTAAGAGAATGATTTCCCAACAGTTGGTGGGGCTGCTGTAAAACTAGCTAACAAAGTAACTAAACTAAACTAACTGATTAAAATTTGAATACTGTTTAGAAAGGAAGTAACATATTGTGACAAAAAGAACATTTGTGAACAAAAAAAAAACAGAAAAATGTTAGAAAATTTGTAGTTGCAAATTGTGACAAACAAAATGAAAATTGTTGAGAAAAAAAATGCTACTTTACAGAAAAAAATGGAAAAACAACAAAAAAGTTGCAAATTTCTGTGAAAAAGTTACAAAACTTTAGGAGGAGGCAATCAAAAAAAATTAATAAATGGAAAATTAATAGGAATTAATAGGAAGTATAAGTTTGAAAAAGAAGTTGCAATTTTTTTTTTTAGAAAATAGTTGCCAGTATGATAGACTACAAACTTACTATGGTTGCTAAAGAGACACAAACTATTGCAATGTAACTAAGACAACACTTATATTTTAAACAGCCTTTGAATCAAAGTCATTTTGATCCTTATTATTTTAGTATGGGTGAATTAATCATTAACGTAATTTAATAAATCTGTCTAATCATTAAATATTCATACAAGTCTTTGTGTGTTTTGATTTTCGCTTGTCTGGATTTGTTGGGGATGACAGAGCATAGACATGATGATCCAGCTCTGGTAATCTCAGGTGTCTTGGATGGGTTTAGCATTTGTTTCACTCACTCAAAAGGTGAAGGGGGTTCGGTGGCATTAGCTTTAGGATCCAAGAGGAAACGCCTCTGGGTCAGCTTGGCGCCTGTATCTGAGACGAACAGATCCAGTACTGGGTAACCCATCTGTTTGGTCCATGTGTCCATGACATCTGCAACTGGCAACCCACTCACCTGCTCACAGAGAGGGAGGGGATGTTTAATGGACTTTCAAAGCTTGAGGTTATATTTCCATCTCGAGCTGAAACCTCCCCCTCAATATAAAAAAACGGAAGTAAATCACTGACCCTGACTTTGAGGCTTAGGTTATAATCGGAATTTGTAAAAACTATGGGTGAAATGTACACATACACTTGCAAGGGATGCCCAGAAGTTTGCTGTTTTGGCGTTCTTGAAGTAGAAGTCCTTCAAATATTTCTGAAAAGGACAAAAAAAAACATAAACTGTTAATATAGAAGTAAAATAATGAGCAAAAGGTTTGAATTTTTGTCCGGAACTCACTCGACAGCCGTCTCTGAACTTCTCTTTTCCCATCCAGTCCTCCAACATCCTAAGGATGGACGCCCCCTGGATGAAGAAGGATCGTTATCAGTTTACCTGCTTGATAAATTGCCACTCATGAAAAACTTACAGGTGTGAGGTCTTTCAGTACCTTACTGTATGAGATGGCATCAAACACAGAGGTTATCTCTGCTGGGGTTGAAACGTTCACGATGATCGGGTGGGAGGAGAGCAAGGCGTCGTCCACCATGACCGGCAGCACGTCGCTGATGATCATGATGTCTCGCTGTGTCACACAGGAGTGAACTTGGTCAGTTTGTGAACTCTTTAGGTTTTTTTTTTACCTTTTTGAGGGAAAACTCACCATGCTCCAGCTCGGCTCTGCTTCCTCCACACCCACATACTCAAAGAAACTGGCGAAGCCCTCGTTCAGCCAGAGGTCGTCCCACCAATCCATGGTCACAATGTTTCCAAACCACTAGAGAAACATAGGCAGGATCAGGTTAGACGTAAAGACCTCATGCAGCTGCTTCACAGATGAGCCAACCAGGAGTCATGAGTCTACTTAAACACTGAGCTCTCTCTACTGTCAGAAGAATCCTACAGAGTTTACCCTCGACACTCCCACACTCCTCCAGAGATGTCAACACAAAGCACCTGAATGAAAATGCAAACAAATAACCCAGACGAACAGAGACTCTTACAGTGAACCAGGCAACAACAGACGGGAAGGTGGAGAAATAAAGTTTCTTGTTTTTTACCAGGCCATGTGCAGCACTCCCTTATTCCCTTTATAACCCATTAACACCAGACCTCGACTTGCTGCCTCTGCCAAAAATGAACACACGGATGGGCTGAAAAACCAGGCACAAGCGCAGCACAACACAGGTTCAACTAACGGTCAGATTACAAACTTATACATATGAATAAAAATTCTCACCCAGAGGACAGTAAAGTAGATCTATCCTATCTTATCTAAAAGGTCTGTGAACATCCTGCTGTGATGTAACTTTAACTGATTTAATTCTGGACTGTAATCTTTAATTTGGGAGTTTCAGAAACACCCTGAACATGGATCAATGAGGAAATCCAGACAGAGAGGAAAGAGGAAGTGATAGTGGGGAGGGGTTACACAGTATGTTTAACTTTTAAGACCAGGTGGAGGGAGAGAAGCATATCAAAAACTATGAAACTAAAAAGCAGAAAATGTTCAATAAGAGAGCTGACTTTTTCAATCCTCTAGCAGCAGAAATTAAACTGCACAGAGCTGGAACACTGAAGTAAACCCACAGGACACAATCAAAGCTGACTCTGAATCTTACTAGAATAAAGTCTTAGTAAAATCAGTTTTTCAAGAGTAAACGTTGACTCTGTGGTGAAACCCTGAGTATACAGTACTTTCCTCTGTACTAATGGTCTCAGGTTCAAGCATCACAAAAGCCTGTGATTCACCACCAACACTCTACAAAACTTGATTGACCACTTCAAGGCTTCTTTTCTACAAAGCGATATCTGATATCATAGAAAAAGTATCCCTAGATCATAAAACTGTAGCAGCAGGACAGGATTTGAAACATTTACACCTCTGAACTCTGAACTCTTCCATCTGTGATAAAAACAGAAAGGCCCATAAACCTGAGTCAGCCTGCAATTATGCAGCTAGTAAACATACTATTTATATGAACACAAAGCATTGAGGCTCACTTTATTATGTAAAAGAATATTTTCCCTGACCAACAGTTGTGATATAACAAACTATAGTAAACTACAGTGAAATGATAATAACTCTGAACCTGCTGGAAGTTACTGATATCTCTGCAGCATCGTTTTTCAGTATTGCACTTTGTAGACAGTTCCTGCTCATTAAACTTATTTTATTACTCATGATAATACATTTAAATCTTCCTCAAATGTGTCAGGAAGTAATATTTAGAAAATACTGATTTGAAAAAGGCCTTCATATGATATAATATAATAATAATCATAATAATCAAAATATGTTATTGTTGTGATTGATGTCCCTGTTGCCTTTGTTAGTCACAATTTCAGCCTGTTTAAAAATCCTTACAGTGGCTTTAAAATCAGAATTATATTCACACCTGACTGGTCAGTGGGATTCAAATAACATTAATGAGGATAAATACGCAAAAAGAGGAGGGTGAACTGGGTGTCAATTTTCAAATGACATCAGTCAAAGTTGAACCAAAGAGGAGGTGGATACCTGGTGAACCAGTTCATGGGCGATGACACTGGCCACTCTCTGCTTGTTGTAAGAGGACGACTGGTTCTCATCGTACAGCAGATTGGTCTCCCTGTAGGTGATCAGGCCCCAGTTCTCCATGGCTCCAGTGCCAAAGTCAGGGATGGCGATCTTATCTGAGACAAGAACACACAAACAGTCTTACAGTACCTGTAACAGACATTTGTTTGACTTTTTGCTTTGGCTTATTCACAGTCCATGGCCCTTGTTAGAACCGTCACAATAATCTTTATACTTAGAGACTAATGGGTGAACAGCCACAGCAGCGTGTATGAGAGGTAAAGGGGAGTGTTTTTTTTTTTTTTTGTTTTTTTTTTTTACAAACTTCAGCTTCATTCCTTATTAAGTCTGAACTTTTGTTTGTATTGTTCTTGTCTGGTCTTACCCAGTTTGGAGATGGAGTAACTCATGTTGAAGTAATCCTCAAAGTAATCGAAGATGATCTTGGTTGTGTTGGCTGCGTATTCTGCAGTCGCTAACTGAGAAGGCTGAGCGTAGATTTTCAGCTGAATGAGCAGAAGGAAACGAAACATACAAAGAAGAAAGCATCGGTGTAAATGTGAAAGTAAGACATTGCATTAAAGGGAAAATCCACTTTTTGTAATTGTAAAAAAAAAAGTTAGTTTTGAGAAGTATGAGGGTTAGAGTCTGATTCAAGAGTTGGGCAGCTTTTGCACCCGCTAATGTGCAAATGAGCAAAAGACATTATCACTGTGCTCCAGAGTTATTTGCATACATTTTAATGAGTCATCAAGGTCTGACATTAACACTCACCATACAGGTAGATTTTCCATTCGATGGGTAAATGTTTGCACCAAAAAGGTAGTGTATGTGACATAGGGATGGGCGATATGGGCTAAAAAATGTATCATGATAAGATTTGCCATTCTGGCTATAACGATAAAAGTCTTGATAAAAATATTATAATTGCAATCTATATTTTTAAATCATTTTGTCTTGAGAACACCAGTTGGAGCAGTCTAATAAGATACTTAACCACAAGTTTGAGTGGTAGGTTACGGAGAAAACTAATGACATCAAACAAGTCTGAAATGTGAAAATATTTTCAACATTTATTGAAAACTCTTAATGCACAGAGCAGCAGCAGATCCACTGTCCGATGTCAGGCATACCTGATTGCACTCATCTAAGCCCTAATTTGAAGAAAATCCCTCACGTGGAGCCTCGTTCAAAAACAAGCTGCTCAGAAATATCTTCTTCATTACCTTCGGCCATGTTTGTTTGTTATTCTGCTCTGTGTCGGCTATGGCTGTAAGTCTGTAGCTCGCGTTTATGTCATCAACTAGCATTTATTGTATTTATCATGAGATGGCAACTATTTATCATGGAGGATTTTTTTGATGATATATTGTGAATGATAATTTATCCCCCATCCCTAACGTGACAGCAAATTTACATTCTGAGTTTGCAGTCTCCTGACCCTGCAGTCTGCATGTCAGGACTTTGCAGGGTCAGATGGATGCATTATGTTAGCTTATCTATACACACTGATGCACATGCACAGTAATGGCTGCCACTATGTACCACTTTTCCCTGTATGAGACTGTTCCTCCAAATCCAGCCTTAAACACGACTATTCAGCCAGCAACCTTTGGGCAAGTTACAGGCGTTTTTATCCAAGTATGTCTTTATAAATGCCAAGCTCTCTTTGTAGCTGATTCATGAGTTGTATTTAGGTTTAAACTGATTAACAGTCCCGACAATTACATCACACAGTATATGTTGACAGACTTTAGTGCTGTCAAGATTAGAGTGCACAGTGCAGCTCTGTGCAGCAGAGAGTGGAGGTGCCCACAGCTCTTCTCAGTCACAATAAAACACAAAACTGCAGCAAACTCAGCAGGGCTGCAAAACTTTGTAGGTTTTTTGTGCTACAACATTAAAAGTGCAGATAAAAGATCTTATCGAAGATCCTGTTCAGCTCAACCCCTTTGAAACCAGCACAAGGTGAGGTCATTAAGCGCTACAGAGAAGGTCAACTCTATTGCCTCATTTAGCTCATTTTAAGAAAGTTTCACATGTCTGGGTAAGTGTAATGAGAGAATTCTTTCAGTGCTTTACTTTGCCTTGTGAAAGTCTCTTTGTGGAGGCACTATTTCCTCTGCCTGCAGCGTCCTGATCAGGTGTTTGAGTCAGTGACACATTAGTAAACTCTACTGAACTCCAGCTGGTTTATCAACAAAGAAACTGACCTGCATCTCATGTTGGTGATGGACTTACCATTAACATACCTCATAAAACTCACTTAAAAAGATGAACCTTTAATAATAATTGTATGTGATGGTGTTAATGGTAAAATGTGATGGTAGACTTACAGGAATCCCCGAGGCTGAAGTTCTCTCCACACAGTCAAACTGGTGCACAGCGAAACATACCAAATACGTGCTCATGGGAACCGACTTCTGAAAGGAGGTCTTGAGTTTACTGCCTGGCACTTCTTCAGAGGATCCCTGTGGAGGAAGGAAACGGGTTAATGTGGATGTCACCCAGACTGTGGAGCTGGGTGGATCCCCCTGCCCCAAAAACACAGGAACAAGATTGATTCCTTCTTTTAGTATTCAGCATCCCCCTCTAGCCCTCTTTGGTTTTTATTTCCTCAACCATGAGAGAGAATCTGCCTCTTCCATCTCCAGCAGCTCCTCATCACTCTTAACATTTATCAGCTTCTTGAAAAGCTGTTTTTCAATGGTGGCCTGTGTATCTATGTCATTGCTTTTATTGTAAATATCTCACTGAGATTGTTTAAAGACTGACAACACCGCTAATGTCTCCTGGATAAAGCATCCTTCTCCTTCCTGATTACTTCATGTATGACCTAAAACTCAGTTTCTCATTTTCTTGGAAATAAACTGAATATTATGACAGAAAATGATGGTGCTTAAAGATTGTGCTTATCATCTCATTGTTTTGTTCTCAGTCTTTGACGTCTTAACAACCACCTCACCATACTAAATCACTGTCTTTCAGGTGTCCTTATAACGCTCTGGGCTGTTAGAAAGCCCAAAATTAGAGTCTTAGTGTCCAGTCGGACAGTATGTGTTCTCGTCAAGTCCTAGTCTTCAGCTCCCTGAGTTTTATACCCTGTAGGGTGTTATTTTAACAGGACTTTACTGTGAGACCACTCTGAATGTAACACAATCCCTGATTTGGACTAAAAGCAATCTCAACAGAAATTAATAATAAAACAAACAAATTGATGTTTTTATCAATTTTTAAATACAACTTAAATAGTCATGTCATGGCTAAAATAAAACTGTCAGTTAAAGGTCCTAGAAGTTTTAGTTTGTGTTGACTTTGGCGCCCCCTGTGGACAAAGTGATTCCTTGTTTCTCTTAACTGATCTGATCCTGAACATGCTTCAGTTGTGTTTTCTGATAGATTCTCTTTCCACTGTAAAATGTTACTCAGTGAAAATACTTGAAAAAGTAAAACTCTGTTCTTTAACATCCTGTGAGTCATCACTTACCCCCTCACATTGCTGTAAAGCACTCAAAATCATAATATAAAAACTGTTAATATTGTTGCACATGCTAGTTTTTTCTTAATCTGGACAGTCTCTGAAAACAACTAACCATCCTATCAGGGTATAAAAAACCCTCAATGTTGCAGGAACTCAAAGTTGTTGGTCTTACAAACTGAGTGGATTTTAAAGTAACCAGTCTGTTTTCAAAACCACAACTTTTATCTAATAAACTACAGGATCAACAAAGCGATCACATTTTTTCCAGGTGATTTTTAATCACTTGGAAAAAGTGATGAGGAGAGAAAAAATATATCTCTTGTTTGGATCGATACAGTGTTTGGTCTCTTTCTGATTATGAGCTCCTGTTTAGATATTCTGTTTCAACTTGGTTTCAGTTTAACCCTTTATGAGTTGGTGCTCAAAGAATCTGACTTCACATCCCTGTCATCTGGTCCCTCTACCTTCCATCACTCATCATTGTAAGGTTGTGGTTCATTGTTGATCATTTTAATAGGTTTACCTGAACATGAACCACAGCCTTTCATGAATTTGGCGTTACTCTGACTGAAGAGCTTTAGAGATGCTGAAAGGAAACTGAGTCCTTACCTCTGGACAATAAAGTTTGGAGGCTTACCTCTTGCGGCATGTTGGACAAAGCTTTGTAGCTTTTATCATGAGTGATGGAGACTTTGTAGGTGGCCTTCTTGTTGGGTTCATCAAAGCAGGGGAAGGACTTTCGAGCATCTGTTGGCTCATGATCAGTTGCAGCAATCTTCCTGGTGATCAAGCAAAGGACTGATCATTGCAGAAAGATCAGGACATCAGTTTCATAGGATTTTTCTGATGTACACTGTCTAAATATTTACTAAAGATAGTTTCTGTTTGAGACCACCCTGATATATCTCCAAACACTGCTGCCCCAACAAACTTAGTCAGCAGTGTATACTGTAAGAGCGGAGACCTTCGCCCAAACTGAAACTGCAAAGTCAAACTTCTTCAAGCCTTTTGATTTGTGTTAATCTCTAAATACTTGCAGCATGACTCAAATTAATGTCACTTTTGAAACCATTCATGCAGCATAATCCAAAATGACACAATGACCGTTATGAGCAAACTGTACTGAAGGGCAGATACTGAAGGGGGGTGGATCTCTGGGCTTAGTCTCCAGAGTTTGTTTCTGTCCTTCAGTTTAAATGTGTGTCACCACAAGAATCCATCATACCTGACATGTATCCAAGCCGTGCACAGCTTTTACCAACAGAGCAGCCAACTCTGACTTTACCAAGAGCCCCACAGACTCAGCCAAGCCAAATCTCCGAAATCACTCTGATTGAAAGTGATAAAAAACACTCTGAGTGACTGACCCTCAATGTACGTCCAAGTGGTTTGGCAGAAAATGATGATGGATGAAGAGAGAGGAACATTTCTTTGGCTGGATGTTACATAATCTAAATGTTCTTGTAGGAGGGTCTTTATTGTAATGTGGACTCAGTTTCCTTTGGGATGTCCTGAAAGCATGATTATCTGAAGTTTGTGTGCTGACTCTTCTTCATCCAGTCAAGCAGCATCTTACTGGCTCTTTTGTGAGTTTCAGTCACTGAAATCAAGCACAGCCTCCTTGTCCCATTTTCTCAGTAAATTAATGCCATGTGTTTGAGTCACACTTTGCGTTCTGGGAAGCTGGCTCAAAAACATTGACATTCGCCAGACAGCAAGCTGAGTCATGGGTTTACTCTGGCAGGAAAAAGACCAAATATCTCCAAGACATCTGGACAGATAATGATTTCTGTCAAATGTTGGACACTGCCTAAAATACAGACAATTAGAAAGCTGTGAGTCAGAGTATGAAGTTCCACCAAAGAGCTGGTCAATATCAATCCAGGTCCCATTCATCGCAGCAAAAATGACAGCCAAGATATGGATTTGATTGACATGACAACTTAAAATCCAGATCCAAGGTCGAGAGGAAAACCTCCATGTAGTACTTTAAAAGAAAAATGATGATTGAAATGAACCAGCCATCTGAGGTAACGATTACAGTTTGTGTCATAAAGGAGTTTAAACAGTAACCTGTGTGGTTTCTGTGGTCTGTAATCACACCAAAAAAACACTGTTATCATTCCCAGCTGTTTGCTCATGTGATTGATTCATGAAAATTAAACCATAACTGTTATATCACAAGTCAGCGAGAGACCTCATAAAGACAGACTGATAAACTGGTGTTCAAAAAATCATTGACTTCAGCCCATTTACTCCTCTGATAAGAAAGATATTAAACACAATTAAAAAAACACTGAAAAATTTTCTGTCCAACAAAGCCATGCTTGAACGGGCCTGTCATGGATTAGACACATGGATCAGCCTGGATATAGGAAAACATGCACACAGGAGGGATCAACAAAAACCTGTAATGGGGCTTTTTCATGCCTTTGGAGGATAGGGTAGTGGGCAGAGCAGAACACAGGGTAAAAGAGAGAGAGGGGAATGACATACAGGGAAGGAGCCACATGCAAGGAATTTCACATGGGCCGTCCACTCAGGGCAAAACCCATGTATACCGCTAAGACCCAATAGCAGGTACTTAAATTACATGATATTACTGAAAGTCACAGAAGTTTTCATTTTAGCTGCTTTTCCACCGATATTAAGTTAGACATAGATTGTGGGTGTTACTTTTTACACAGCTCTGTGAAATGACCTGAAAGTTATGCCTTTACAGAAACATCTCAGGCTGTCACATTATCTGTAGTCCCATCTTGTCCTGTTGTCATGTTGTTTCCAGTTTGTGTCTCTGAGCTTCATGAAGGTCTTTCTACATGAACAGCTCCTGGTTTCAGTATCAGCTGAGACTCTGATCCAGCTTATTCTGGATATCAGTTATTTAGCTTTACCCTGATTGGATGGCACAACCTGATGTCAGGTTGTGGTCATGGAAAATGTGTCCCAGGTCTACATTGTCATCTGTGTTTCTCATTTTATGAAACTTTGGCTGTTCAAGCAGGGAAAAACACTCGCACACTGTCCAACTTGCAGAGAAAGGAACAATTTAATGCAATGGTACTAGACCTTCATCAGGCAAACAATCTGTTCAGAAGAGCAAGCCAAGTAAAATGGGAGATGGATCTCTTGCTCTTCAACACACCTATCCTGAGTTAAAGATGTGTGAAGTTACCTCTCCTTTATGACACTTTGGCTGGATTTAATGTGGACATCCAACAGCGTAGCATTATCTGTGTATTTAAGTTCAGATCAATACAATGGGTCCACTTTAAAGTCTATTATTTTACTAGTGTAACTCTGCACTGGTTTTACTGTTTTACTATTTAATGTTTTATTGTCCCTTTTTCAATGCACTGACTGTAAAGGCACTTTTTAATTTTGTTGTGCTTGTCACAATGACAATAAAATTCTATCTATCTATCTATCTATCTATCTATCTACCTATCTATCTATCTATCTATCTATCTATCTATCTATCTATCTATCTATCTATCTATCTATCTATCTATCTATCTATCTAACTCTTGAAGAGTGTCATAATCACTGACCTTTTCCTGTCAACGTCTTCTCTCTTCAGTGTTGTTTTGTGTCTTTGTTTTTTAAATGATTAGCAAATGCTTCACTTGTTGGAATCATTTATAGGCGTGTTAAAACAGTTTAAATTTTCTTAAAGTGCTGACAAATATCAAAGTTGTGAATATATCAATATATATCGTCATCATTTTCAATCTAAACATTCAGTAGCTTTTATAAAATGTATGAATGTTACAGGATAGAATGTTATGAATAGTGTGTGACTGTTGAAGTTTAAATCTGCTCCTCTTTGTTTTCTTTTATCATAAATATTCATTTAGGTTTGTTTTATATGTCAGATCAGAGGACTTACTTTTGGACCCCCTTCTCAGTGTAGATGACCCTGTAGAAACCGACCACAGAGCCATTGAGCCATCCCTGGAAGTCCAGACTGAGCACATAGACCTCTCCTGGTTTGGTCGGGGGCAGAGTCTCAGTGGCCTCCACCACCACATACTCACGTTTCTGATATTCAAAGCAACTCTTCACTCCTATCTCCCTCTTGCCCCCCTTACTGGACTGAATCTTCAGCCGGGGCTTGGCGCTGACATACGTCTGCCTAATGTGGAGCCACAGGTGGCGGGTGGCTTTGGTCACCTCCACTTGGATGTCCACAGTGCCGGTGTAGGTGTCATCATCCAGATTGGGCTCCAGGTGGAGGTCATAGTGGACCGGCTTCACATACTCAGGCAGACGAAAGTTACTCCAGTCCCCACTGTAGTCAGTGGAAGGTGCACAGGGGCCTCTGTCAGGTGCTGGGGGCTGTGTGGGTCCCGCTGTAGGCTCTGCTGTTGTAGGAGCTGGAGGGGGGCTGGTGTCTGATCCAGACAGACCTAATCCAAGGCCCAACGCCAAAGCACACACTGCCAGCATCCCACAGATGATGACTACATGTTTAGTGCGGATGCAGTAACGCTTCTCCTGCTTCTCGAGGTCCAGGTTCATAGGCATGATGACTCCTAAAAAAAACCCAAACCCTCTCCAAACTAAAACTTGACCTCCTCTCTCAGCTGACCTGAAGTCAGGTCTGCAGGATTTGACTGCAGCAGTTTTGAGATTAGCTGCGTGAGCTGATTAAAACTCTCCTCTGAGCAGTGGGGGAGTGCAGAGGAAAAAGAGGAGGAGAGGTGAGGAGAGGGAAACTGCCAGCCAGCAGAGAGACTTTGACGAACGGAGAGGGAGATTTATCCTGAGCTCTGTGCTGCTGACACACCTCCTTTTGTTAAACATCGACAGTATGACAGTAAATCAGCAGCTAAAGTTCAACATTCTGAACTGCAGAAAAACTAGGAGTTGTTCTCTGTGGATATAAGACAAGCGTGTCTGGTGCAGACACTACAGAGAAGTGAACACTATCCCAGTAATTGTGGGCTTGTTGCAGTTGGAAACCGTCCTGCTCACTGAGAGGGGTCTGTTGTTTGGACTCAGCTCTGCCTGTTATTGTGTTTGCTCTTTGGTCAACATTAAAGTGGCGTAACGGGGGAAACATTACTCCAGAGTCGCCTGTTTAGTGTTAAGTAGCAGCAGAGGGGTCAGTGTAAAGATGTTTTGGTTTTTATGTCATTATTAGAAGTTAAAGTGAAATAATACTGATGCTGCTGGGAATCAGTGTGTCTGCAAAGTTGATCTGCAGTAAAACATCTCAGTACCCGCTGGGAGTAATCCTCAAGGTTGGAAATTCACTTTCTCCTGAGGATAATTTCCCGTAACTTCCTGAGTTTTGATCACGATCAGGCTAAATCCATATTCAAAAACAGGATGATCCAAACATCCAGGATGGTCTTTCAAAATTTTACAAAGTCAAAGTCACACAGTTTGACTTTCACATGGTCTGGAGCTAGTTTGGACTCATCTGCAGGGTTATAAGATGCTCAGAGGAGCTGCTCTGACGAAAGTCCAGTGAAATTTGAGAATGTTTTAAAATCCAAAAGGCTGCCACAAAAATGACTCTGTGTTTCCAAAATGTTCAAGCCTTTATGCTCTGGTTGAATCAACAGTGTTGCAAAATGAGAAAAGGCATTTTGGACAATTTTGTTTATAATAAAGGTGTTATAATATGATGAATGTATTGGAGTTATTTTCTGGGAAAACGGTTTTACCTTTTTCAAAACAAAAGCCCGATCTTGTTTCTCATTGATCCCCTCATTTTCATTCAATGCTTTTGTTTTATTAAAAAAGTTAAAGAAAGGACAAGAAAGGACATGGATAGCTCTGTATTGGCTGATGGTGACTCTCTGTTGTCAAGAACAGGTTAGAGGGATTGTTCAGATAGAAGGGGTTACATAAAGAGAGAGGTGGACACAGACCAACCACAACAGCAACGGTACACACAGATGGATGGTTACAGTAAGTCTGTTAACTCTTACCAGGAACAGCATAATGATGATAACAGACAGATCTTAGTTTGATTTATAGAGAACTAAATATAACAGGTCTACAGCGATTTTACCCTATTTTAGTCCTAGAGTAACTATTTTGTGTTTTATTACCCCTTTTTTAATTTACTTTTTTTATTGTTTGATTTTAAGACTGTTTTATTTAACTAACTATTAATGCTTTATCACCTTTATTATATTTTATCACTGTTTCATTGCTGTAGTCCCAGATCCAGTGTTTCCTCATCTTTTTTAAACTCAAGATAGCGTTTCTTCAGTCATCTGTGGCAAGTTGAAGAGTCCTCACCTAGTCTTATATGCATCTGTGTGTGTGAGCGTGTGAGTGCTGTTTGTGTTAAATGGGGGGGTTGTATTTTTGTATTTTGTATTTGTTTATTTATTTGTATTTTTCTTTATTTTATTTCATTGTTTTTGAATATCCTGCCCGAATGAACAGCACTTTGTGCTACATTAGATGTATAAAAAGTGCTTTAAAAATAGAGTTTGATTGATTGATTGATTATAACAGTGAGAGCATTAATGAATGTGAGGTCAATAATGGGGGTTAGAGTTAGAAAACTAAGCAGAAAGAAGCAAAAAGTTAATATTAGCATTTATTAGCAAAGATAAAAGTAGAAAAAATAGGTGTACAATAGATTTGTATCAGAGTTCAAATGGTGAAACTGAAGCAGGCAGGTCCACAGCAGTGATCCGGAGGAAGCTCCAGGATGATGGAGCTCAGAGACTATCAGAAAAGGCAAGTGTACTCGGTCTGGACTCACCTGAACTGTGAGATGCTCCAACCAGAACCTACTACAGGAGGTTCTTCAAAAAACCCTGAGGCGACATATAAGTCAGCTGAGGAGTGCTTTTATTCTGTTTTCGTGTTTGTGCATGTCGAGGTCAAATGCTGATTTCACATATTTACATTTACATACATACAAATGTTCTGCCTGAACATCTGTGTGATCAAACTCCTGAACTGGCACAAAGAAGACGGGGTGATCAGAAAAAACAGATGTAGTCATGTGTACATGGGATGAACAGAGATAAACAAGTCCATCCAAACACACACCATGACCCAGGGGTCCACCAAGGACCTTTGTGTATCCCATCTTATATTCAAGGTTCTACAGAGACCATTTCTGTATTACCTGTCCAGCACATGACAATTCCAGCAACTGGGGGGCAGTACTAGAGCTTTATTATTTCAGATGATATTGTCAAGAGCTCCTAAAGTTTTAGCTGACCAGCTTTATGCAACCCTTCTGACCCTGAGCTTCTTCCTCTTCAGATTGTATCTTTATTGTCTGTGGTAGTTTCACAGAGATAAGACATTCATAAAGATTATGGCTCCTAATCTTCTCTGTTTTAGAAACAATAAAAGTAAGAACACAGGAGGCAAAGGTGAGCCTCTGTGTTCAGAGGGACGCAGTACAGATGATGATGGTGCAATATCATAAACAGACAGACAGACAGAAGTGCCATGAATTTGACTGCGATGCTGCACCAAACCTTTCTTGGTGCTCTCAAGTTGTCCTGTGAAATTAAGACAAGCTTAAAAATATGTATTTTTTACGTTTTGGAGTTAAACCAAAACAAAAAAACAAACAGACTTCCAGTCACCTGAAAAAACACCTGTCTGCACTTCTTAAGAGCAGAGAATCTTTCACAGAGTTTATGTTGAATCCACTGGTGCCACCTACTGGTCAAGTGATTAGAAGCAGATTTCCAGGATTTTAACCGTCACCCAGGAAGTCAACCAAACCCGTCCATGGAGAGAAATATGACAGATATTCCTGTTATAACTTAATTTTCAGCCCATGACCTTCAGAGATAATGAGCTTAAAAGTGAGTGCGATCGCATCTCCACTGTCCCCATGAAGTGGTTCGTGTTCCTAACAGCACGCACACTTTTAACTTGCATTTTTTTTTAATTGAACGTTTTTTAGTTTATACATTTAAAAATTAAGATCAGCCATCTCCATAGAAGCATATTGCATTTACCCAAGAAAATAAAAGTCTTTGATGCAGGCTTCGGCTCAGCTGATCCTAGAGAAACTCTGCAGAGTCACCTTTACATCTAAAAAACTGCAGAGTGCTAGAGTGACATTAGCAAACATTAAAAAATACCAGAATACCTTAACTCGTAAACACGAGGGCATCTTTTCCTGTGGTCTGAAAATCAGCAGCAGGACTCTAAAGGTTTCAAATCGCACAGGTCACACCACAGACTGTAAAACCACAACTTTATGTCAGACACTTTATTCTCACAAACAAGTTCTACTTGCAAGACACACATTACAAACAGGGCTTTAGTTTAAGTGCAGACAGTCAGAAAAAAGGCCTGGCGCTCTAAATCTAAAGATTGACCTGATAATAATGACAACTCGTGGTTTTTTGTCCTGTTGATCACCAAAATGGACCCTCAAAAACCTCATCTCATGAAGTCTTTGTGAGCAGGTGCAGAGTTCCCTGTAGAAGTTATAATAGTCTTTCTGAGAGTCACCGTCTATTTCTTCACTTCTGTTATGTTCATTTTGCGTATCCCGTCCAGGAGGACTTCTTTGGACTCCCGATTGACGGTCTGATTTTTGTTAACAGAAGGTGAGGAGATGTTTTGGAGGATCTGGTTCTCCTTCACTGAGGAGCTTCTGATGGATGGGGATGCAGCCTGGTTCAGCTTCCTGTATCTTGCTGATAGTTTGAGCGGAGTCTTCAGGTACTTTCTCTTTGGAAGGCGGGACAGCCTGGTGACCCCCACCACCTTCAGTTTGATTGGGGCTTCGGATAACCCAGCCATATTCCTGGCCTGGCAGCGATATTCACCCGCGTCTTTGTAAGATAACCCGTTCAGAATGATGATGGACCAGCGGACCCCGACTCGAGGAGATTCCTGTATAACTTCAACACAGAGAAACACAGGATCTAAGCTATAGGATAGGATCTAAAGGATAGTTTAGGGCTTTCACAGTAAACCTGCAGAGTTTGTTGGGGGTGTTTTATGGTTGAAGGAGATTAAGAAGACAACACTCACAGCTCTCCAGGTTCCTGGGTAACTCGTCAGAACTCTCAAAGATACTGTTTCTAAAGCAATCTGCTGAAGAACCAAAAAAAAAAAAAAAAAAACAGTGCTGGACTGATGTTGAGGGGTCAGTAATATGACCTCAAGACCTGACAGAGATCCTGGACCACTCACCTGTGTAGGCTGAGGTTTTGACCCAGGTCAGGGTGGGTGTGGGGTACCCAGTGGCTTCACAGCGCAGGATGACGTTGCTGCCCAGTGGAGAGATGACTCTGGTGGCCACAGGCTGGATAGATGGCCTCATGCAACGAGACAGCTCAGACTGAGTCAGGAGACTCCCTGACTGATCCATGGACCAGCTGCAGACCAGCAACTGGTCCATCAGGACCACAGGACTCCCCAGAGACATGGACAGGGACATTATCATGGAGATCTGGCAGTCACATAACCAGGGGTTGTCATGGAGACCTGTATAACAACATGACTTGGTTACAGTGAGACTCACACTGAGATGTTAGTCATGACTAATTTTCAGCACATGATATTTTATTTATGTCAACTCAAGCAGTTCTGTAAATCTAAGAACTAGGATGTACCCAGAATCCTTCTCTGGAGCAGTCCTTCCTGCTGTCCTGGAGGAGGAAACCAGAGGTCAAGCAGCTCGGCAGGTAACACAGTCAACCTGTGGGGAGAGAGAGAGAGAGAGAGAGAGAGAGTGAGTAACTCTCACACCTACAGCTCCTGCCTTTATGTGGTTTTGTTCACACCTGTTGCTGGACAGGTCCAGGAAGGTGATGTTGGGGAGAAACAGGGAGGCGTGAGCAGGGAGGCTGAACAGACGGTTGTTATGGAGACCCAGGGTCTGGAGGCGGGGCATGTCCCGTAGCCCCTCCCAGGGAAAGGAGGAGAGGAGGTTTCCGTCGAGTCGCAGCTCTCTCAGGGCCTTCAGGTTGACAAAGCTGCTGGGGTGGATGGAGGTGATGGAATTGTAGTTGAGCCACAGGAAGCGCAGGTCAGACAGGTTGTAGAAGGCTGCCCGGGGGACCCTGGAGATTAGGGTCTTCTCCAGACGCAGTTTGACAGTGTCAGAAGGGATGTTGATGGGAACAGCTGAGATTCCTGGATCGCTGCATCGCACAGACCTGCAGAGTTAAAGACAGAGACATTGAAGTGAAGTGGTCATCCAAAATCTGAACTATTTCCACTTAAGAGTGTTGTGGGTACAGTGACAGAAGGCAGCTAAGACCATGGGTGGGTTTAGGATTGGGATGCTAAGCTCTGTCAACACAAACTATATTGGGCTCTACAAAAAAAAAAAAAAAAAAGTTGGTTATCATATTGAACACATTACGCCTAACTTTTGGTCCACCTAGCAAGAGGCGAAGAGGCTTTAGCCTCCTTGCGAACAGCTTCAGTGTCAATCAACTGATGCCTCCAGTGATGTAAACCTCATAACCTCAACATATCAAATAATAAGTTTTTGGCTGTAAACATGGTTATTTCCTGTAAAGGAAGGACTTCTCTAAATGGGTGTGTATGTGGCTTATGGTGCCTCTGCAGCCAGCCTCTGGTGGAGACTTGCAGTATTACAATTTTTGTCACTTGACACTTGATTCATCATTTGAGATCACAGGTTACAGCCTGGATCAACCTTTTCCTTTTGTCTGTTTGTAGGTTAGTTGAAGTTAGAGTCATCATTTCCAATATGCTGAGGCCAATGCTGAATATAAGCTAGAATTTTAGCAAAAGTTTTCTGTATTCACTAAATAAAGGTATATAACACATACTGTCTCACTTGTGTGCAATACCATTTTTAATATAGCAATTCGTACACCATTATTTATCATGTGGAATATGGTAATTTTTCATACCTCATTTATCCCACTGAATTATCCTCCATTTCATACATTCACACTCAGCACCTTTGTAAATAGGATGTTAATTTCCAGGAGTGTGGCTTCACAAAGAGGATAAGGATTTTGTGATACTGAAACTATGCAAGGACAGCAGAAGCATAATAAGGATGAAACCAATTGCAGATATGACTTGTTTAAACTGTCTGTTGACCACATTTGAAAATAATGAAGACTGAGACCGAGAAGACAGAGAAAACAAGGATAACCGACTCTGAAACCCACAATCAAGTGAGGAACACTTCTGTGTTTCTGCTTAATGTATTGATTGTGTCTGCCTCCAGTTATTCAACAGTTTTTCGATCAAAGCATATTATAAAAAAGTTTATTTTTTCTTGTTTTGTGAAAGTAAACTGTCACGTTTTAATGTCCACTACACATTGAGTGAACCCAGTCATTTTTGTTTAACTTTTGATGCTTTGTATATACATATATATATATATATATATATATATGTGTGTGTGTGTGTGTGTGTGTGTGTGTGTGTGTGTGTATATATATATATATATATGTGTGTGTGTGTGTGTCTGTGTGTGTATAGATATGTGGATTTAAATTAAAAATTCAGATGCACCTGAACATTAAAATTATCAAAAAAAATAAAAATAACAACAACAACATTCTGACACGAAAAAATATTTGCATTATTACACTTTTGAGATCAGATCACATCAGCAAAAAAAAAAAAACATTTGATATCGCACAGCCTTACTCTGCTGGTCCACAAACATACTCAGAGGAAGATTCTCATTATAAATAAATAATGAAGGAAATAAGAAAGTCAGTAAGTAAGTAAATATATAAATAAAAACGGTCTCACACACACACACACACACACACACACACACACACACACACACACAGACACAGGTAAGAGTGAAGCCTGCCTCACTGGACCTGAGCTCTGCGTTCCCACTTGTCCCATATGAGCAGGAACATGCAGCTGGACAGGAGTGGACCCCCCACAAAGCAGACTCCAGCACCAGGACCAGGACCAGCGCACGCATCCTTCATCAGACAAACCCTAAACCCAGACAGACCCTCAGTGTTTCCATACTCCCACTCTGCTGCGGTCTGAGGCTGTGTCCACAGAGCAGAGTGAAACTGAATCCCAGATTAGCCGGGATTACCGCGCTTACGAGCGGCGTGTAATCCCACGCCTCACTGTCAGAGTAATAAATCACAACATCAGGGCCAGCACCAGGCTTTTTGGGCGTCAAGGACGGCTTGACCCAACAGCTCACCCTGTGGAGGATTTTATACTGAGCACCAAACATCTGACAGTCAGCACATAAATAAACTTAGAGAGTTTATGTCTTATTTATAACAAGAAAAAGTCTCTAATTGGGTTTAAGTTAAGTTAATTCACCTGGCAAAGCCAGAAAAATGTTTTATTCCAAGATATCACATACCAAAAAACATAACCATGCAGAAAGCAACACAGCTATGAATAAGACGGAGTAGTTATAAAATTTAAACAGAACCGCAGCATCAGTCTGTGCAGAACTCCTCAGAGGGAGACTAGACAGAGGCATCTGTTCATCGTTGACAGTCAATTTGGACAAAAACCTCATCCTACTGTTTTTAAACGGTTTTCTCACTGTGACTATTTCCCATTTTAGATTTAAAAAGATCATTTCTTAACACAGTCGGTCTTGATGGTCCTCTTTGCCCTCTAAGGTCATAACAAGGCATCAGGATGAATTTCAGCTATTTCTCAAGATGTTAAAAACTCCTTATGGAGCCTTTAAATTCACTGAGTTGTAATTTAATCCTCTGGTTTTATTTTGAAGGGAACATCAAAGTGATCTGCTACCCCCACTAAAACCTGTAAAAGTTGATGTTAAACGGACAAATGTGGGTCAACATTAGAGCTCTAACTGATAACTTTAAGCAAATACACAGTGAAGTGTTTGCGCAGGGTCTCAGTTCTTATTTTACTCACAAACCTTGGCTCTGCATGGACCAACCCCAGGGGGTTAATCCCGCTCTAAGACAGACTGATGCTGCGTCCGAATTGCCCGCTCGCATACTACATACTACTGCTAGATCCTACTCCTACATACTAAACACGTTGGCCCAATTCGGACACACTAGACGAGCGGTGGGGAAAGACGACCCCCGCAGGCAGAGAGTAGGTACTGCGCCCGTGCAGACAGTTTTAGACTCTTTGAATGGTAATTGTGCAAGTGATGGATGCTGCTGTATTATATTCCTGCACTGCTTTAGAAATTCACAAAGTAGCTTTTCCATTACTTTTAGCCTTCATTCACTCACGTAGTGATCGTTTGTTCAATGAGATCTGCCTGATTACTGCAGCTGTGCAGTTTAATGATGGAATAAGTGAGCTTTACCTCCATGATGTCACCACATATTTGCTAATAAAATGATTACTTAGGCAAATATGACACCATGACATGACAAAGAGATACAACCGCACATTTTTTTAGGACAGTGTGTGAAGTTACATGAAACTTACATCTGTACTGCTGCAGTCCTGCCTCCTGCTGCTGCTCCGACATGGTGCGCTCTGCTGTGGCCAGCCGGCGTTCGCGACGCATCTAAATATGCAGCAGCTGGTGGCGCTAGCATCACATGCGCTTCTACAACTTTAAAGAGGACAAAGAAGAAGCCCGCGGTGCATTTCGGGTCAGTAGCATGCCCGTAGGATGCATCGCGACCATACTACAATGTGGGCGTGTCTAGTATCTGAAGTAGTATCTGAAGTAGCATGCTACTCGCTCCGGTGGCCAATTCCGACATGCTACATACTACTTCGACTAATACTTCGACTACTACTTGGCAATTCGGACGCAGCATCTGTTTTGTTTTGCTTGTGAATGACTGAGAATTTTTGAGGAAGCTGCATTTATAACCAATCATGGCACCCACCTGTTCCAAATTAGCCTGCTCACCTGTGGGATGTTCCAAATAGGTGTTTAATGAGCATTCCTCAAATTTCTCAGTATTTTTTGCCACCTTTCCCAGCTTCTTTATCACATGTTGCAGCCATGAAATTCTGAGTTAATTATTATTTGCAAAAAATAAATGAAGTTTGTTATTTTAAACATTAAATACCTTGTCTTTGTAGTGTATTCAATTGAGTATCGGTTGAAAAGGATTTGCAAATCATTGTATTCTGTTTTTATTTACGTTTGTCACAATTTCCCAACTTCAATGGAATTGGGTTTTGTAGTTATTGTAAGACTGGCTTGTGCTCAAGTCCTCTTTTTTCTGTACAGCTCCATTTTTAAAAGTTATTAGGGGGGTCATGTTTTCTTTGATTGACACGTAATACAGCCTATGGGCACACAAATGTGTCAAAAATGACATGTGGGGTTCCCCAAGGCTCCATTCTGGGCCCACTCCTGTTCAACATTTACATGCTCTCTCTAACTCAAATCATAGCAAACAACAAAATATCTTACCATAATTATGCAGACGACACACAGATTTACATAACCATGTCGCCAGGCGACTACAATCCAATACAAACACTGAGTCAGTGTATTGAACAAATCAACGATTGGATGTGTCAGAATTTTCTTCAACTAAACAAAGATAAAACTGAAGTAATTGTATTTGGAGCAGAAGACGAGCGATTAAAAGTCTGCGCTCAGCTTCAATCGATAATGTTAAAAAGCACAAACCAAGCCAGAAACCTTGGTGTTGTCATGGACTCAGACCTGAATCTTAACAGCCACATAAAGACAATTACAAAGTCAGCCTACTATCACCTGAAGAATATATCAAGGGTCAAAGGACTGATGACCCAGCAGGATTTGGAAAAGCTTGTCCATGCATTTATCTTCAGCAGACTTGACTACTGTAACAGTGTCTTCACAGGTCTCCCCAAAAAATCCATCAGACAGCTCCAACTGATTCAGAATGCTGCTACTCGAGTCCTCACTAAGACCAAGAAAGTAGATCATATCACCCCAGTTCTCAGATCTTTACACTGGCTTCCCGTCTGTCAAAGAATTGATTTTAAGATACTATTGCTGGTTTATAAAGCACTGAATGGATCAGGACCAAAATACATTTCTGATATGCTGATACGTTACGAACCATCCAGACCGCACAGATCATCAGGAGCAGGTCTGCTCTCTGTCCCCAGAGTCAGAACTAAACGTGGAGAAGCAGCTTTTAGTTTTTATGCTCCTCATATCTGGAACAAACTCCCTGAAAACTGTAGGTCTGCTGAAACTCTCAGCTCTTTTAAATCACAGCTGAAAACGCATATGTTTGCTGTGGCCTATCATTAAATCAAACCTGAGGCCTTTAATCAACATCTTCATCATCTGCCTGTCTTGATCTTTTTTTTCTATCTCTCCAATCTAACCTTTGTTTTCTTTTATCTCCAATCTTATTTTAGCTTTGAATGTAACTTTTAATCTGTTAAATGTCTTTTACGCTGTTTTTACTTTTTAAATTGTGTTGAATGTTTTGCCTGCTTGTTTCATGTAAAGCACCTTGAATTGCCCTGCTGCTGAAATGTGCTATACAAATAAACTTGACTTGACTTGACTTGACAAAGATTGTGTAGCTCAGCCGGGGGATACACTGTTTGAGCCGAGCGTCATCACATCGATTCTTCGCGACTCTCCCGCCGAATGCATACAATGTTCCTGCACAAGTGATGTGGTGAGCCTAGCACGAGTATGCTCATGGTCTGTTCGCACCTCTGCTGTAATTTCTCCCACGGCCTGTGGGTGGCGTGTGTTTACATGTCTCAAACGGCTGTCGCTGCTGCTCTGTCATTGGATGATGTGGATGAGCTCTTACTGGCTCGTGACCGCGCGGCGCGCCTCTTGGGCGGACATTGATACCGTGCTATCAATGTGAGGTGTCATGTTTTGATCGCTGAAAGTTACTGTCAGCGGACTGTAGCTGGAAAATGTCCGCTGCGACGCCTCATTCAGGTGAACACTATGTTTTTCGTCGACGTGACTTTGAGGAGCACCACAGAAGATGGCACACTCCTCAACCTGCCCACGATGCGAGACAACCCAGACTCGTCCAACATACACACCGGGTAAATCGAAAGTGCCCTAACATGCTAGCTGTAGCTTTTTTTAAGGCTTTTCGTTAATCTTCACGCCCTGGCAGCCGTGGCTCTGTCGTGTCGGAGCTAACGATAAGCCCGGAGAGCTGCTGTGATTGTAAGAGATCATGTCAGTTTAATACGACGTCAGTTGGAACAGTTTCAGTCAGAGTTTGTCCGGTGTAACCAAAGCTCGGGCAAAACCCCATTCAAAAACCTAACACTTTCATATTCAGCTATAAAAGTCGAAAACATATGTAACTGCAAGTACGTGCTTTATTTATGGCTCTTATAAACAAGACCGACGCCATTAAATCGGCATATGTAACGTGATTTAAATCATCTGACACCTTTAGAATGAAGTAAATATGTGTCCGCACTCAAGTGTAGGTGGTTTTTGTAGTAGTAATAACAGGTCTAATTCAGTGTGATTGAAATAGCACTGTTTTGGGGCAATGAAGTGAGTTTTCAGTGTTTTTCAGTAAACTTTTGTGTCTTTTTTTAGGGTTTTGCGTTTCTTGACTTAATTTCCTACTTAAAGTGGGACAAAGTTTAAAGAAAGCCCCATCCCTAAACAAACACTACAGCTTTACACAAGATTATGGTTACTCAGCCTAACAAGTAAAACAAGTTACAGCACATTTTTCCCTTTGAAAAGATGTATCTTAGTGACACAACACTGATGCTCTTTGTAATCCACTGTGACAATAAGTCTAAGTGGAACTAAAGCCATAAAGATATAAATGTTATGTTTTAAGAGGCTGTTGTACATAGGTAATGCTTTGAAAGGTTAAAGCGTTTAAGCTTGGGAAGTTCTGCGGATATTAGGGAAGTGGTGATATTAACTATGAAGTACTAGACATGATAATTTTTGATCAAGTGTGTCACGCCCTCAGCTTTTTTCTAAATCTTCTTGTGAACAAGAAGATTCAAAATCCAATGACATGAAGCACTTTCATTTGCTTCTCTCTGAAGTGTTTCACAATACTGTGAAATAAAAAGGGCACATTTCACAATTGCATGATGACAAAACAATTTCTAAACCTAAATATCAGAATTCAAATGGAACTCGCTGCAAAAGGACCAAACAGGGTGTTTTTCATCAGCTTGTGATGGACCATGGTAGAGGCTGGCTGGAAATAGTAAAAGAAAGGTGGCAGAAAAGTCCCTGAGGGCTGGACCTTGCTCCTCGCCTGCTGGATTCCTTTATAAATCTGGGTGTAGTCATTGGTATACTGCTTTTCAGTTGTAGATTTGTTTTTCTGTGTGATGTAGATTTCTCAGCAGGTCTGTTTCAGGTTTCTTCTCGGGTTTGATTTGTTCTGCAGGTGTGTGGGCCCACATTGGAAACATGATAGGGTGTGTCTACTAGCCCCTTCCTTTCAGTAAGAAGGCAAACCACAATACAGCACATGGGATTAGGAAGGACGTGGCCTGGGATCAGGGAAATAAAACAATTAACTGTGCCAGCGGTGAATACTAATAACAATTTACATTGTCTCCAGATTAAGTTAAAGTATAACTCCACCTCAAAGTCTTTACCTTATTACATCCTCTGCACACGTTAACAAAATCAGGATGGGCACAAAGGTGGGAGTGTGATGAAATGAAGCTACCAAACCCAGTTACCAAACATAAAGACATTATGACATGAAAAGATTGCAGTTCCCACACCAGGTCCATGAAACTATAAGACGTGTTATAGACTGAAACATAATCCTTCAGGACAAATGAGCTGAACAAAAATACACATTTCTCTCCTCTGACAAGCTTGGATTGTTATTTAAAGCGTCTGTCAACATCTCACAAAGATTTGTTCAAAAATAGGTGAATACTAATAACAATTTACATTGTCTCCAGATTAAGTTAAAGTATAACTCCACCTCAAAGTCTTTACCTTATTACATCCTCTGCACACATTAACAAAATCAGGATGGGCACAAAGGTGGGAGTGTGATGAAATGAAGCTACCAAACCCAGTTACCAAACATAAAGACATTATGACATGAAAAGATTGCAGTTCCCACACCAGGTCCATGAAACTATAAGACGTGTTATAGACTGAAACATAATCCTTCAGGACAAATGAGCTGAACAAAAATACACATTTCTCTCCTCTGACAAGCTTGGATTGTTATTTAAAGCGTCTGTCAACATCTCACAAAGATTTGTTCAAAAATAGATCAACAGAGTCTTCCATGGCTCTACTGAAAACCACTAGCATTTGCTTCTTCCTGTCCCTTCTTGAACAATTATGGTTGTGTTTATTGTTGTTGCTGATGTATTGGTGTTTTTTTTGTTCAAGACAAATAAAATAGAAATAGAAAAATAGAAATAGACAGACGAAAACATGGACTGCTCTGAAGCAGCAGTTTCTGCTTAGGTCCTGTCCATGTATGTATACTTTTTGATTTGTATGCAAAGTTGTAATGAAACTCAACATTTGTTCAACACATTCTTAGACAGAAAACAATTGTACCAGTGCAGTTCTTATGTGAGGCCATGTGAGACTTTTGCATTTGCCCGTAAAGTCTTGTGGTTTGAGAGTGGTAAGAAGATCTGCTGAAGGGTTAGACAGAAAAGTGGGTCAGTTTAATTAACCACTTAAGATCTGAGCATTAATCCGAGCGTTTTATGAGCCTATCAAAGGCAGATGTGTATGATGATTTGATTCGCCAAGACTCCAGAAATGATTAAAAAACTACAGAATGTTACAAAGTGACGTATCCGTGCTCCTGGCTTGAATATAGAAATGTGCAGCAGCCCCGCCGGCTTGGAAGGTTGAAATGCGTACAACGCTTCTCCCGGCTTGAAGGGTTGAAATACCTACATGCACCCAACTTTCTGAGTAGAAATGCACAGCCGCACTCCCAGCTTAGAAGGTTGAAATGCGTTCATGCTGTCCCAGTTTAAATGGGTTAAGGGCTGAAATTAATGACTGTCTGGTTTTCCTAAACTTTGTCCCCACAGGTTGACGCCACCCCGATCCGACCTGGATGGCCTTTCGTGGACGACCCGACCACCAGACCTCAGCTGGATGACTGTGAGCGGTTGGGGACTCTTTTCGGGATGCTCAACAAGTACCTGCGGAGAATTGGCTTCACCCAGATGTACTTTGGGGACAAAATAGTGGAGCCGGTTGTGGTGGTCTTCTTCTGGCTGCTGCTCTGGTTCTTAGGAATCCATGCTCTGGGACTGGTGGGAACTCTGTGCCTCATCATCATCTATATCCAGAAGGAATGACCATCAGAGTGGAGGCTGCTGCTTTCACGGTTAATGCTTGTACATGCTGATGGCTGCTTAACTGGGGTCTACAGTGGATCTGTGATTTTAGGGGAAGGGGAGCTGCATCACTATGAAATGATGTGGCTCAGCAGGTTGCTGGGAATGGTTTGAAGCTCATGGAAATCCAGAGTTGGTACTTCACTCAGGATCTTCTGGTCTGGATGTCTTCCTGCCTCAGAAACAGGAGGACTGCATTCCTGCTTCTCCTTCAGGGCTACGACGATCCAGAAACTTCGCTCAGAGAGACAGCGAATGCAGCCCTTTGATTCATCATTTAAGGCTGTTTATGCACCTCCCAAGCAAAAGTAGTACAACTCTGCTCTGCTCCATGTTTAACCTTTAAAGGTCTCATATTATGCAAAATTCACTTTAGAATAGTTTTCTAACGATATTATGCATCTCTAGCCTGTCTACAAACTCCCCCAAAATGAGACAAATCTATCCTCTCCCTCTCTTGCTTGTTCCGCTTTTTAAAAAAAAGTTCTGCTCAAACGAGCGGATTGAAACTATCGCCTTCCATGACGTCATGTATGGCCATAACTCCCCCCAACCAGGTTGGTGACCCTGCCCAAGATGTTTATTCTGCCCCCCCAAAATTTCCACTCAGACACTATTTTTCTCCCTCCCAAACACACGGCCATTGCTCTGTTGTTGGTTGTACGAAGCAGCACAGAAGTCTGTTTCCGTAGACTGCAAGAACATAGCCACGAGAGATAACTATACTTTCGATCTGGGACCTCTGAGACCTATGTAAACCTGCTGAAAAAGTAGTATAATATGGGACCTTTAAAACCTTTTTCACTCCCCCCTGTTAATTAGGGCTGCAACTAACGATTATTTTGATAATCGATTAATCTGCCGACTATTTTAATAACTAATCGATTAATCGGATAAACAGGCTAAATTCATCAATGCAGCTGTTAATAGCAATAGCATAGGGCTTTAGTTTATCATATGAGTTTATCTGCCATGAGGTGTTGAGGTCTCTGCATGTGTAGGTTACTGACTTACTGTAATCATCGGGTCTATCTCGTCCTTATAAAAACCTGCTCTATTTCGGCGAGTGTCTGTCTTCTTCTGTAGTCAAACCGCAAGATATCAAAATCTACCCGGATACAGCAATGCTGCTTTTTGATTGGCTGTTCAGCAGATATACTTTATTTGATTGGCTTGCGCGTGGCACGCAGCTTCTGAACTCTCTGAGAAACTAAGTTGATTTCCCCCTGTTCCATAGTTAAAGAAGTGCAACTTGGTGGACATCACCATGTTCATTTAAATGCGTGAGAAATACAATGTGTGGTGTGTGAGCGTGTGAACGAGTGGGAATGCGTGTGTCATACGCTGGATGCGTGAGACTTGAGAGCCCTGTGCTCACGCATCATCGATGTACTCCCGTGCCATGCAAAACGGGTTTTGCAAATGTTGCACTGAACGCCTTCCTTTTCAGTCTTGGTAAAGTTTTCCCACACCATGGGTTGTGTCCATGTTTTTCTCAGCCGCTGCCTCGGCCATGGCTGTTTCTTTTCTGTGCGTCCTGCTGATGTTTACACGCCGGTGTCCATGGACATATATAAAGACCCGACGAATTGATTACAGAATTAGTTGGCAACGAATTTTTTCGTCACGACGAATCGACTTAATCGATTCGTTGTTGCAGCCTTACTGTTAATGATAGACATCTGGAAACTGTTGTTGTTATGATGTGTTGTTTTGATCAGCTCATTTAGAGGACGAGCAGAAATAGTTTGTTTTACTTTGAATTGGAGGCTGCAGAGTTGAGGCAGCCCTCTCTCACACACACTGACATGTAGTATGTTGATAGGTTGTGCCAGAGCAGCGGTTATATGACTCCAGTCTGAATGTACAGGCTGCACCCACAGCACATGATATGTTCATTTGAAAGCTCGCTGCGTAATGTTTGTTCTATATCCAATATATCGACAGTATATCCGTGTTTGTGTTGAGATTTTAGCATGAACATGTAAATGCATCCAGCTGTGGGAAAGAGGCCACCTGTGAAACATGGATCTGATCAGGTGTCTGTTTGAAATAGAGATGTTTTTATGTTCTTTTAACTTTCTCACACCTGTGTTTTCCTTTCAGCCAAGAACACATCTGGTAAAAGTAACAGATATGTAAAGATGTGTAGTGTGTCCCCACCTCTTCTACTGTACAAAAATGAAGCCAAAATATTCCACTAACAACCCCAAAATCTTGTGCTTTAAGAGTCTGTGCAGGACAGATCCCTCCTACATAGACCCCTAACTTAATTAACTTTGACTTATTGTTGTAAAACTCACCAATAAAATCAAAATAATACTCAGAATGTCAAAAAGATTGTAGCTTAACTTAATTTGAATTTAATGCCAAGATACCACACTAAATGTGCAGAAATTAAACTATATTGGGGTCATATGGTAAATAGGTATAAAGTCTGTCACAGCATTACAGCTTCCTAAAGGGACTGATATAAATCACAAGGAAAGCGGCAAAGCTCCCTCAGGTTGGTCTAGTCCAGTGCAGATCAGGCTCTTGTTTGGGTTTGAAGCAGAAAGTCACAGTTATGGAAAGTGTCATGACTCTTGTGTTATTGTTTGTTATGATTTCTTTCATTGTTTCTCCTCCACTCTGATAATGTGGTTTACACAGTGCTCCATGAAGCTTATTGGTCAGAAGAGCTGTCAATCATGGCATCTTGGACATGGCGTCTTGTACTCAAATCAGTATGATAAGGACTTATTAAGACATCAATGTCCCATCTGTTAACATGAGGGAGGCAAGCTTTATGACTTACACTCCAGCCAGTAATCTTATCTGTCCTTAAACTTCCTCTAAAGAACTTTTAACTAGATTTGAAAAAAATCTCTTGTTTCTGCTGATGTCTCCCTGTCACCTGCAACAGCGAATGAGCCCATCTGTGACACTGTGTCATGCTACAGCTGCAGCCACGGAGTGAGAAGCTCCTCCACACCGGAGGCAGACTGGCAGAGCAGCTCTATGTCACTAATCTCAGTAGTCCTGCTGCTCCACATCTGTCTCACACAGATGAGTCTCTAAGTTGCCTTAAACTGCTCACACAAAAAGTTCGTTTCTGGAGCCCTGACGTGAAAGCCAGATAAGTGTCTTTACGACAATACGTGCTAAAATGCTTTTGTCCATGGTGGCCGCCAAAATCAACAGAAAATGAAAACTTCTTCCAGCTGCTTTAACCAACAGCACTAGTAAGGTAAATAGTCCTTAACCAGCAGCATCTTTTAATTAACCAGTTATTAACCATTAGCATTTGTAAGTTAACCTGTTCTTAACTATCAGTACTTGTCAGTTAACCAGTCCTTTACTAGTGGTATTTGTGAGGTAACCTGTTCTTAACCTCCAAAGTGTGTAAGTAACCAGGTCCTTAAGCAACAGCACATTTCAGTGAACCAGTCTTTAACCAGCAGCCTCAGTTATTTTAGGCTCCAGTGGTGGGCTGGATGTCATTTACATGTAAACTTGTATAATAACCCCAGTGGGTTATTCCACAGACACCAAATCTCACAGAAACCCACATGATCAAATTTGAATTTGGAAGACCTACGTGGTTGACGATGGCTGTGGTCAGTAGTAACCACTGAGGGGCGTTGTAGCCTGTCAATCTGAAGCATGAGTGGTGCTTATTATCCAGGTCAGGAGGCTCGCACTCGTTCAGTAGCAGTAGCAAAGTCCTACCGACACCACACACCTGAAGATTCACTAGACACATAACCAGTTCCAAGCCTCAAATCAGGCCCCATCCCCTGATAGTGGTTTCTAAAGGGTCCCTTAACAGCGTGGTGTGAGGCCAGCCAAACCTGGTGACTATCAGCAGACAAACCATGGTCAGGCCCCTGTGATAGAGTGTGACACACATTTTAATGTTCCAGTTCTTCTTGAGAAAAATCTGACTGATCAAATGTCTCAACCTGTCCAGTCTCTGTAACTGAGCTCTTTAACGTATCACCAAATCTACAGCTTCACCAAGCCTTCAGCCTCTTTTAGCCCTGTGTTGTGATTCAGTCAACGTATCAAACTTCAAGTTTATAGTTAAAGGGAAAGACATTGGCAGCAAAACAGACATTAGTTTCTGCAGAGGTGATGGAAACAGAGGAAAAAAAAACAGAAAAAATGTCATCAGCAGAACACAACGCGATTCTCAGTGAAGAATCATTTATCTCTTCAAGAAAATAGAGGCTGAACTATACAGGTCCTACTTTGATAAAGGAAAGTGTCTGTTATTGGACTGTTAAAGAAATCACATTTGTTTTTCAGAGCAAAAACAATAACAGCTTTGTAAATACGGTGTCATCTATGCTCAGGATAACATGTCAGCTGCTGTCCTCTGGCTCCCCCTGCTGGACTTGTCTGACTATATGAAAGCGGACAGTGACTCACCTTCTTCATTCAAGGCCATGTTCAAATTCAGACTGTACTATAAGCTTTCAGACAGCCGCAGAGACAGTTTATGATCCAAACTCTCAGATGTCCTTGCAGTAAAAACTGATTAACTGAGGTGAGGTCATAAATGTGATTGGGTTCTCCAAAGTGGACTCTGATGCTGTCGTTCTTTATTTGTTTTGACAGTGTGGTTTCTCATAATGCTCCAAAAGCTTCATCAAGCCAACATTATACAATCTTTGGGTTTCATTCATGAAACATCAGTCCATTTTTATGAAATGTAATGCACACATCATAGTCCTTTCAGTAAAGTAATAGAAAGGGACGTAAACTCACACCAGATTCAGGAGCATTGGAAAAACTTGGATTTGATCCTAAATTTATGAATGCCAGTCACTCCTGAAATGACAGAAATCAGACTAGCCTATGAGCGCCATATACAGAGGTGTGGGTATGTCCTTCCCATGGACTGGTGAGCACAATGCAGAACAGACAGAGAAGAGAAGAGGGAGACACTTTCAAATCTGCGAGTATGGATTATTGTCTGCACAGATTACAAGTGTGCAGGAATCTGAACATTTTTTTATTATTTTCATGATCTGAGAGCTCAGTAAACATGCAGATCTGTAAAGTCTATATTCTGACCAATAAATGGAACAGACTGTGTTTAAATCTCTGTCTCGAGTCTTTGACCACTGAAAGCTCCTTGACATCACAGACCTCATTCACACACCCATGGCAGAGGCTGTCCTGTAAAGTAACCCTCAAATATGATCCATGAGTTCACACCTCCTGTTAAAAATATGTATTTACACCAAATAAACAGAGGGAAGCTGATATTGGGTGTGAGCCTCTGTTATGATGTGGGTGATGGCATGGTGTCTCATCAACAGCCTGTGATCGTGGCATGTGTTTGGGATGGTCAGGGGGAAGAGTACAGGAACCTCATTCATGACTTTGTCACCTGGTGTCAGCCTGTGACCATCGATGGTGTCCAGGTGGAGTTTACCAGGACCTACAAATACCTGAGACTGCATCTGGATGAGAGGCTGGACTGGTCACCAAACTCAGACGTCCTGTACAGGAAGGGGCAGAGCCAACTGTATTTCCTGAGGAAGTTCCATTCCTTCAACATCTGCAACAAACTGCTACAGATGTTTTATAAGACAGTTGTAGCTAGTGCCCTCTTCTATGCTGTGGTGTGCTGGGGAGGAAGCATCAAGAAGAGGGATTCCTCACGTCTGAACAGACTGAAAAGGTGGGGCGGCTCCATAGTCATTGCAGAACTGGACTCCCTAACATCTGTGGCAGAACAGAGAACTCTTGCCAGGTTCCTTTCCATCCAGGACAACCCCCATCACCCTCTGCACAGCACAATCTCCAGGCAGAGGAGCTCCTTCAGTTACAGGCTGTTATCAGTGTCATCCCGCACTGAAAATTTGAGGAGGTCATTTGTGGGCCCGAATGAGCTTCAAACCCGCCAAATCTAGGACCATGGTGCTGAGGAAAGGAAAGGTAGAGGACAAGTACCGGTTCAACATCGCAGGCACAGACATCCCAACGATCACAGAGAAGACAGTCAAGAGTCTGGGCAAGGTCTTTGACAGCTCTCTCAAAGTCCGGCTCAAGTCCGTGGACAAGTCCGGTCTACCTGGAAAATTCAAGGCATGGGTCTACCAGCACGGCATCCTCCCCAGGATCCTGTGGCTGCTCCTCGCCTATGCTGTCCCACTATCCACAGTTGAGACCTTGGAAAGGAAAGTCAGCAACCACCTGCAGAGATGGCTTGGGTTACCCAAGAGCCTGAGCAGCATCGCACTCTATGGGTGCAATAACAAACTGCAGCTGCCCTTTAAATCCTTGGAGGAGGAGTTCAAGGTAACAAGAGCTAGAGAGGTGGTGCTGTACAGGGCACCACAGCAGGGCTGTGTAGAAATGAACTTTTTTGTCCACATGCTTCTATGGCTGGTAGACAATATCCTCCACATTTAGTTCCTCCTTGCAGCTGACATGATTCAGGGGGATATTCAATATTCCACTGTCGTCATCACCACCACCACCACCATCATCATCATCATCATCATCATCATCATCATCATCATCATCATCATCGTTCTCATTTACGGCAAGCCATTTGAACATTTAAGAGCTAAGTTTAACTATCCAGAAGTAACATTGTAGATATCAACAACTTCTTTCTGACTAGTAGTAACTACATTTCATCCATAAATCCATCTTCAGCCGTTTATCTGGAATCACTTCCAAGGGGCAGCAGCCTGTGCAAGGAAGCCCAGACTTCTCTCTGCCCAGCCACTTTGTCCAGCTTTTTCTGGGGAACCCTGAGATGTTCCCAGGTGAGCTGAGGGACATAGTCTCTCCAGCATGTCCTGGGTCTTCCCCAGGTGTCCTTCCAGTGGGACGTGCCCTGAACACATCAACAGTGAGGCGTCCAGGAGGCCTCCTGATTAGATGCCCAAGCTACCTCATCTAACTCCTCTAAATGCAGAGGGCCAGCGGCTCTACTCTGAGCACCTCCCGAATGATTGAGCTCAGCACTGGTGTCCATCAGTGGGTTTGGGTGTAGCCGCTACAACAGGCACCGGCCACCTTACAACCACAGCTCCAACTGGCTGTCTCAACAATTGAGGCGCTGAACACAGCCCACTCAGACTCAATGTATCCCGCCTCCCTGAGAACATGGTTTACACTCTCCCTGATGGAGACACTGCCAGATTTTCCCAGCAGACCCTCACAATGTGCTTGGGTCTGCCAGTTCTGACCGGCATCATCCCCCATCATCGAAGCCAACTTACCACCAGGTGGTGGTAAGTTGACAGCTCTGTCCCTCTCTTCACCTGAGTGTCCAAGACATGTGGCTGCAAGTCAGATGACACAAAATCGATCAACTAACTGTGGCCAAGGGTGTCCTGTGCTGCGTCCTAATTGCCCGCTCGCATACTACATACTACTGCTACATACTACTGCTAGATCCTACTCCTACATACTAAACACGTTGGCCCAATTCGGACACACTAGACGAGCGGTGAGGAAAGACGACCCCTGCAGGCAGAGAGTAGGTACTACGTCCGTGCAGACAGTTTTAGACTCTATGAATGGTAATTGTGCAAGTGATGGATGCTGCTGTATTATATTCCTGCACTGCTTTAGAAATTCACAAAGAAGCTTTTCCATGACTTTTAGCCTTCATTCACTCACGTGGTGATCGTTTGTTCAGTGAGAACTGCCTGATTACTGCAGCTGTGCAGTTTAATGATGGAATAAGTGAGCTTTACCTCCATGATGTCGCCACATATTTACTCATAAAATGATTACTTGGGCAAATATGACACCATGACACGACAAAGAGATACAACCGCACATTCTTTAGGACAGTGTGTGAAGTTACATGAGATTTACATCTGTACTGCTGCGGTACTGCCTGCTGCTGCTACTATGCTGCTGCTCCGCCATAGTGCGCGCTGCTGTGGCCAGTCGGCGTTCGCAACGCATCTAAATAGGCAGCAGCTGGTGGTGCTAGCATCACATGCGCTTCTACAACTTTTAAGAGGACGAAGAAGAAGCCCGCTGAGCATTTTGGGTCAGGTGCATCCGCGACCATACTACAATGTGGGGATTGCTGCGTCCGAACTGCCCGCTCGGATACTACATGCTACTGCTACATACTACTGCTAGATCCTACTCCTAACATACTAAACACGTTGGCCCAATTCGGACACACTAGACGAGCGGTGGGGAAAGACGACCCCCGCAGGCAGAGAGTAGGTACTGCACCCATGCAGACAGTGGTAACTGAAGCCCCTCATCTGCGGGCCTGGCTGTAGTACTGCAGCTGTGCAGTTTAATGATGGAATAAGTGAGCTTTACTTCCATGATGTCGCCACATATTTGCTCATAAAATGATTACTTGGGCAATTATGACACCATGACACGACAAAGAGATACAACCGCACATTTTTTAGGACAGTGTGTGAAGTTACATGAAACTTACATCTGTACTGCTGCGGTCCTGCCTCCTGCTGCTGCTCCGACATGGTGCGCGCTGCTGTGGCCAGCCGGCGTTCGCGACACATTTAAATAGGCAGAGCAGCTGGTGGCGCTAGCATCACATGCGCTTCTACAACTTTTAAGAGGACGAAGAAGAAGCCCGCGGTGCATTTTGGGTCAGTAGCATGCCCGTAGGATGCACCGAGACCAACCTACAATGTGGGCGTGTCTAGTATCTGAAGTAGTATCTGAAGTAGCATGCTACTCGCTCCGGTGGCCAATTCGGACATGCTAGATACTACTTCGACTACTACTTCGACTACTACTTGGCAATTCCGACGCAGCTCATGTCTAGTATCTGAGGTAGTATCTGAAGTAGCATGCTACTCGCTCCAGTGGCCAATTCGGACATGCTACATACTACTTCGACTACTACTTGCCAATTCGGACGCAGCACTGGTGTCAATTACACATGTGAACACCCTTATGTCTGAACATGGTGTTTGTTATGGACAATCTGTGACGAGCACAGAAATCCAATAACAAAGCACCACTAACAAAATTCAGATCAGGAGAGGATGTTCCTCCTAATCATGCCTCTCCAGGTCTTACTGTCAACATGGACGTTTACGTCCCCTAGTAGAAAAAGGGAGACCCCCGAAGGAGCACTGTCCAGCCCCCCTTCTAAGGACTCAAAGAAGGGTGGATACTCTTAACAGCTGTTTGGAGCATATGTGACGTGTGGTGTATTTTGTGGACCCTGAAGCAGATTCAGAGGCAGATAGCAAGTTAAAGATGTATTTTTAATGTCCAAAACACAGGGGAAAAGGCATGAGGAAAGTCCGGTTGGCTGGCTGACTGTTGTGTGGGTTGTAGACACTGTGGACAAACAGAAGAGAACGAGGTTAGAAGTCATACAAGGGATCACAGGGAGCAAAAGTCACGAGCACTTAGCCGAGGAGAAGGCCAGGAGAGAAGTCTGTACCACTCAGACAATACTGAGGGCTGCTGGCTTCTTAAAGGGCCTTGATTGTAGATGCAGCGCAGGTAGGGTTCCCAACCGTACCGTAAAAAATGAGATTGTACCGTATTTGAAAACAAAAACACCGTAATGAACTAAAACAGGACGCTCCTTTTCCCGTATTTTCTGACAGCGTCTCTCTGCCTAACACACTGTCACAGGCTCACATCAACAGCTTGGCAGCTGAGCTATGGGACAAGTTACGAAACACAGCAGACTACCAGATATGGGTTGTTAACAAGAGCGCGTTATGCATAGCAACTGTAACTGCTTCTCATTTACACAGCTCTGGACACACGTACTTACTAAAACAAAGAGGGGTGTGTGATTATGTCCTCTCTGGTTCCATAGGCAGTTTTAGGATTTGCCAACAGGGGGTGCAACTTGCCAGAGAAGTTAGTCGTTGTTTTTTGCAAGGCTGAACCTGGAAAACTCATGTTTACTGATTTACAATACGATGTGATGTTTTATTTTGTAATATTTTGAGGAGGTTATATAATTAAGGTTAACTGTAATAAAGTGTTAAGTGTTAAATTAAATACAAATTAAGGTTTAATTTATGGTTATAAATTAATGTTTGTGTACATGCCTTGGGCTCGCTTATTCTAGTTGCATTTACTTTATCTAATTGCATTTACTTGGTATAGGACTTGGTGTAACATATTAGGCATGATGTTTGTATAACTGTGACTATTATTTTTTTTGTATGCATATATCGGGGGGGTGGGGGGTGGGGGGTGGGGGGGGGGGGTTACCCACCCTAAATCCCCACATTTTTCAGCCCGGCCTGAAATAAGGGACACCCAAATTTTATAAGGGACACCAAAATTTTTTAACTGTCCCTTGTTTCAATCTCTTGGCGTTGGCATCCCTAAGCGCAGGTGTGGAGTCTCGCTCAGCCTCAGTGACCAGGGAGAGGGAGTGTGCCCTGAAATCAGTCAAGCCAGACCAGGGTAGCAAGGAAAACAGGAAGTAAAACCAGAATAAAACAGGAAGTGGAGGCGTCTCACCACAGTACCCCCTCTCAACGAACGCCTCCTGCTGTTTTGCCGGGTCTGTTGGGGTGAGCGGCGTAGAAGTCGTAGAGGAGTTGACGGTCCAGGATGAGGGAGCGGAGATCCAGGACCGCTCCTCTGGACCGTAACCCTCCCAATCCACAAGGTATTCGAAGCCTCGTCCCCGAGGCCGCACGTCCAGGATTTGTCCCACAGTGAAGGAAGGGTGGTCATCAATCATCCTAGGGGGTTGAGGGGTGATGGAAGGAGGGCTCAGGGTGCACAAGGTGACAGGCTTAATCAGGGAGACATGAAATGTGGGGTGAATTTTGATGATGAAGTGGGGAGATAGCTTGCGGGACTCGGTCTGCAGGGGAAGGTCACGGGAAGATAACCAGACCATCTGACCGGGACGATAGTCTGGTGCAGGAGAGCGGTGAACATCAGCCAGGCGTTTGTTGAGTGATTGAGTGCGGCCCTGGTGGATTTCCACACCCAATCATTTCTTTATGGAAATGCAATCTGACAGATGCAAGGCAGAAGAACTACTGCGTCTGCAGTGCAAAATGATTAATATGGTGGTTATTACTTCAAGGGAATGATAAAGTAATGATCATACATATTCTTCCTTGAGCTGCGTCACCCCACTGTAGTCTGTAACGGACTGGCCCAAGGTCTCACTACAAACAAGCGGCTGCTGGAAGAGAGTAGGTGAGTTGTGTTTAGTCTCTTTGCTAAAGAAATCAGGCAAAGCTAAAAAGATGTTCGGTGGCTAGTACTATGGCTGGGACCCTATATGTCCTGTTGATGAAGTTAGGTGCTGTTCTGAGCATTATTTGGGGCTATAGAATGGCGTTTTGCTTGAGGTTTGTTTATGGCTCCTCAGACCACTGTATATTGCTATCCTGCGGTCGTTACTAAAGTTGGTACAACTAGAGAAGCAAGCGGTTTGCAACATTTATCAACAAGGGGGTGTCTCAGTGTTAGTGTGTGTTTGACCCTGAATTAGTTCTATCCCTTTAAGCCCTGTGGTTTGATGAGTTAGAGGAAGAATTAGTTGAACGGGGACAAAAATCCTTGACAGCGGTTGTTCCTCAGTCACTGTTGTGTTCTTGTTTGTCATGGGGTCTTCCAGTCTGCTGATATTGCTGGGCTGCAGTTTGACGGTTAACTGTCACATAATCTCCATTTACAGATGCTGCACAAAAATATGGAGTTTCTTCTCAGGGGCCTTAGTTTAAGTGTCAGAGTGTCCTGGTCTCTGTCCAGCAGTCAGAGTCTGATGTTTGTTGACAAATCAGGTTAATCTCAAAGGATTTTTGACTGATTTGACCCCAAAAACAAACATTTTAAAAGTTGTTTTCTTCTTGAAGACAGACCTGACAAAGTTTAGATTTGTACTTTTTAATTGTTATTCGCGCAAATTTCCAAATCCAAAAAAGTCAGGGATTTTTTCAGGTTTATGTCACTAAGTAACAAACTACTTACAGTAAGTCAGACTCAGCACTAACAGAAAAATCAGTGCCTCTCTTGAAGGATTTGTTGAACTTGAACATGAAGAAGTTCATTTGTAGACAAACCTGGTGGGGAAATTTTTTTTATCACTTGATGTGACTACAGGGTTTTTCCATACATTGCTTCGTACAGCTTGTTCACATCTTCACACAGACGCGTAGGATGGTGCTGGTTTGTTTTGCCTGCAGCTGCAGTCGTGCTTGTTCCTGCATGTTGTGTGTCTCTCTGCTCCGCCCTCTGCCACAGCCACCGCATTGCTAAAACTCCTTATACTCTGGCTAGCAGATACTGATGTTTGTGTCTTTATGTTGCAGATGAAGTACAGACAGAGGAGACAGCCATGCCACCTTGTCTGTGTGTGCCTTTATTAATGAAACCTGTGGTCTGTTGGCAGGAGCCTCACAGCACTGATGCAAATGAAACAAGCAAGTTCGTCTAAACATTTGAATATACACACAGTGAGCACACTCTGCAGATACATGCACCGCCACACACCTCCACTGGATTATGAATAATTCAAAGCAAACATTTCAATGTGGTTGTACAGCAGCATCTGAATAAGGAAGTATTCTCTTCATTTTGAGTCGTGTGCAGGTTGGAAATCAAAAGTAAGAAAATCATGCTGCTGTCCATTCCTTTCTGCTGTATGATCATCAGATTCAGGTCCTCAGATGATCCAAGATCATCATGTATCTCACCAAACCTGAACACAACCGCTGCTTTTATCATCTTTGTGAAGCTGGCATAAAATGTTAACTCATTTTTGAGCACACAGTGCTTTGGTTTTTTTTATTAGATTATAGAATTACTTTAATTTCTGTCTTTCTCTCTCAGACTGTCTGATTGTAACAACAGAAAACGCTCCTATGAGTGATTGTTGTGTCAGAACTGATTGTTCGAGGTTTACATAAATCTGAAAGCCTCCTCGGTCTGCAGCGCTTAGATTTTTTACCACTGAAAATGTAGTCACCAAAAAGCAGCTCTGTTCAGGTTTTAAAGTGATGAGGTGTCAGTGTATGACAGCGATCTTTTCAAAGAATTTAGAGTCTAATTGGGTTTCTTTACGTTGAAAAAATATCAATGAAGATTTTTTTTCTGCACTCCTGCATGTTTTACAGTGAAACCCATGCAAACAGAATAAATCAGATTTAAGTTTCTGCTTATTTTTTTTCCAGAACTTTTCAAATCATTCAAACAAAAGACTAATTGTCACAGAAATGAAACTGACAAACAAATATTTGACACCCCAGAATGTTGTACAGGCTGTAGATAAAGGGTGGATTTAACCTCCAGAGTTGGGGTGTTAAAGTCTGGTTAAACGAATAAAATCAATCTGGTCCGATTAGAGTCTAAATATTGACCAGACAGTGGTTTCAGGGCTTGAACAGGACCTTTTAACACATGCACCACACAGAGTAAGAGATTGTTTAGCAGCTTTAAATGAGTTATCACACGGCAAATCAAGATAAGAATCTTCAAAGTTTTCTTCAATATCAAGAGAATTTTGAGGCTTCCTGTTTGTTTTGAACCATTTAATGTTTTCATACATTTATACATCATATATACAGCAGATGGTGTTAAACACATTATATTGCAGGATTATCTGTTTGAATTTGCTGACATGACCCTTATACTCCATCACAGACTGATACCAGAGACACAGCAGGTGTGAGATAAGAAGATTTATATAGGAGACTCATAAATATTTGTGGTTTGAGCTCATCAGGGTGACAAAAACATGTAGAGTCAAGTTCAACTGAAGGTACACCTGTAGGTGCAGTCAAGTTTCAATACTGCTCACTGATGTTTAAGATGAACTTGAACCTGTGTGCATCAGCAAATCCTCAAAACACAATCACAGTGATATTTACAAGTATACAGATATTTACAGTCATTTACACACATGGAAAATGATAGAGGTCAAACTTGGTGTAAAGGTGTACTTTTGGACCTTTTCTTGTCATTTTAAAGTCAGGCATAAACACAAAGAGAGAAATCTAGACCTTTAAACTCTGAGGGGTGCTCACAAACAGACTTGGGCCTGTATTGATGGAGCTTATATTACAGATTTTACGGTAGTTTGAGTCGTTAAGTCCAGGGAGTGTTCATATACATAAAAATTTTGTGAAGGTAAATTTTACTGAAGCCCTGACCAGACATGCATCCAAACAATTGATCTACCTTGTTCACCCTGATTAAGATAAATCTTTGAACACCCTGGAGATTATAGGTATGATTAGGGGTCCATAACATCTCAGAAAACGCTGAAACAAACTCAGTTAAACAGATGAAATGTATCGATGCATGTCCGCTCAGGGCTTCCGTACATTTCCTCAGACTACTCAGTGAGTCTCTCCTTCACAATCAACAGGTTTAACTACACTTTACATTTAATATATTGACTGTATTTACAAGAACCTGTACAGGAAGCATAAACATGCACATCAAACTGTTTCTCTGAAGGCTTTTACATCAAAGCTCCGGGGGGACCTACTGGTTTAATGTTGGTTTTTGGCACCTCCTGTGGACAAAGTGGTACATTTGAATCTGCTGATTTTGTCCTGTGCATGTATAAGTAGTGTTTTGAAAAGTCTGACATATTACTGTTTGAGTTATTATTTTTGCAGTTTAAACAAACAGTCTTTTTCAGCAGCTACTTCTCAGAAGAGGTTCATAGATACAGAGGTATGATCAGTCTTATTGATGATGGTCATGTCTGCCTTAAAATGTGCGAAGATGCATAAATATCAGCTTCAGTCTATCTTATCACTTATCACTGGAGCTTTAAAGGGAGGGTACATTTCAGCCATGTGAACCCTGAACTGAGACGGACCGAGACAGTCTGTAGTTTTCTGCTGAGAGACATAAAAAGGCAGAAAACAGAATATTTGAGCTGATTCTAGTAAAAGGAGGCGACAGGTCAGATGTTTTGATCACATCAGCTCTTAAAGTGAGCCTTTTACTCATTCAGTGACTCACAGCTGCAGCTCCCTCTATGGCTCAATCACCTGTTTAATTTTACTTTACGATTGATCTGTAAGCCGATGAGTTCAGTGCCCGTTTCCGCCCTCAGACAGGATCCGGCTTGGCTCGGTGAACTTGGCCGTGGCGATGTAAAAAAGGGCAGGGCCGGGGACCAGGGCCAAGAGCGGCAGGTCCTGCTCCAGCTTGTCCAAGCGAGAGATGGAGATGATGCCATAGGCGTGGAGCAGCCAGTGGCTGAAGAGGACGACCAGACGCTTCTTCTTGGCAAACAGGTGCTTAAAAGACTGCAGAGTGAAGGTGAGCACGCAGACATGAACAGGTGAGACACAAACTAAATATCCCATCATTCTAAAAAGTTTCTAAAACACAGATACCAGAAATGATTTTTTTGACTTTTGGTTCCTCAAAAATATTGAAGGGAATGTTTCTTCTTCTTCTTTTTTTTTTTTTTTAGAAATAAAAGGATTTTTGTTTCAGAGATTATTGATCTGAAAGTTCGAAGTGATTTTTTAATTGATCCTGATCCCTACATATTTGTACTGTGATTTTCTCAGTAGGGACTTAATCTTTAGTGACTATGGTGACATTTTTATGATGTGTCACTTTTGTTCCGGACAACATTACTTTTTGAAGTCATAAACTAGGAGTTATTTTGGTCAAAACTCAGGTACTCATTAGTACCGAGGAAGAAAAAAAGAGTTTCATCATGAACATGATAAAAATGCAGCAGAGCACAGGAGTTTGGTTACCTGAATCTCAGAGGCAGACATGTAGACAGCCAGTGTGACCAGAGACAGGACCAGGATGATGTACGGGAACGCATAATCTGAAATGGAGGAGCGATTACTCCCAGCGGCACAGGTCCATACAAACACTTTAATACTGTATTTAAACTCAAAGGCTGAGAACTCAAACACACCGTAACGCCAAGTTAGACACCCCCTCCAGAGACAAATGTTGCTTCTCTAGTTATACCAACTTTAGTAACAACTGCAGGATAGCAATACACAGCGGTCTGAGGAGCCATAAACAAACCTCAAGTTTAGTTGGGGGGGGGCTTAACTCAGTGTTACGGTGTGTTTGACCCTAAATTAATCTTTAACTATAATAACACCACCTCACTTAAAAGAATCATCTGCATCACTGGAAGTTTAATGTAACATTGTGTCTTCTGAAACTCACAGAGCAGACCTCCCCCGACCGCCTGGAGCACGGTGAGGATGGGAAAGAAGTACAGAGCGGCGTAGATGCTCTTAAAACGATCAGCTTTTCCCAGACCACATGCGATCTTCTTCACCAGCAGAGGGCGCAGCAACATCATCAGCACCAAGCAGAAGGCATAATAGATTAACACGATGGTGTAGCTGAGAGGAGAGAGTCAAAAAAGAATGACTGAGCTGCAATTCCTGCATTCTTTCAGAATCATTAGCCATCTTTAAGTTTAGGATTTTCTCAGTTGGGTTGGTTTCTGTGCTCACAGCGGATATACGGCCTCCTGTGTGCAGTGTAATGTGTTCACATAGTCCGGACTCGGGTTGTATAGCATCGTGTACCAGTCCGACAGCATCTGGACCCGACAGGAGCGAATACTGAGCATGCCCACTGGCTCTGTGACCAGCAGGGTGACCACAGCTGACACACTGCACTCCAACATGGCCGTGATGTGCTGCAGCAGAGCACTGGAGCTGCAGAGTGACACAGAACAATCTGAAGTCAAATACACAAGTACAACAACATCTCAAACACAGGACACACAGAATCAAATTTCAGAGCTGATCAGTGACATAAATGAAGCAGAGCGGTGTACAGTATACTCTGGCTCAGCAGCAGCAATTAAAACCTTCAGTGAGGGAGCTGCCTCACCTCTTCTTCCCAGAGTACCACTCGATGAAGAACCAGTGCAGCACCAGGGGCAGCATGGCCATGAAGCCCAGATACAGCCAGTCATAGAGCTCTGGAGCCTCTGTGCAACGTTCGCACACCTTCTGCAGGTTTGCACGCTCTCCTCGAGGACAGACCTGACCGGACCGAAAACATTAGCGAGATCAGAAACTCTCTCATCCAAACCAGACAAGAATTCTAACTGCTGCAGCAAGAGTAATAACATGTGTTCATTTTTATCTTTTGAAATCACAGAGGTGCTATTAAAGGGGGGCCCGAGCACTACATAATTTATTTCTCCAGCTGCATCACAATGGGTGCACATTGCATTGATACACTATAAAAACAAGTGTCTGGCTTCCTGACATTTAATGACTGGATCATTTAACACTTACTGAGTTACTGATTACAAATGAAGGAGGCATGGTGTGCATTTTACTTTTGTTAATCATGATTACTATCTGTTCTCTTTCCTTTCAGGTTGGAGGAACATTTCCAGTATTCAGTATGGTTCACCTCATTTGTACCTGTTTAGTTCAGAGTGGTGAGTTGAGATGTCTTTTCAAGCATTATTTGGATTAAACTTCATGTCTCAGTCTCACTCATACCCACCAGCAGTCCGACACAGTTTTATCATTCAGTACTCACTCCACACTCCCCCTCCACCGATCCGTTGACCATGATCCTGCCACAGTACAGACCCGGACATCGTGAGCTCATGGCCACAGCTGCAAAGAAAAAGAGGCACCAAATACAGCAGAAAACTTTAATACCTGTTTCTAAAATGAGATTTTTCTGTTTCAAACATGAATATTTTGAGTCTGTCCTGGTTTTGCAGTCATCCTCTGATCCCATCCTCCTAACTACAGCATACAGGACCAAGCACCAAACCTGGGGTGACAGAGTTCTCCATCACTGCCCCCTCCCTCAGGAACTCTGCCCCTAAACCCACCCTGGAGTGTCCTGATATCCCCAGATCAAACCCCATCTTTTCAGGACTGCTTTTAGCTGCTGATTCAGTTTGAACCATGGGTTCAGCTGTTTGAGGGGAAGGAAGAGTATCTTAGCTGTCAATGAGGATTTTCTATGATTGAGTCATGTTAGTCATGAAGGATTAGCACAGTTTCCAGTCTTTACCTTTTATCTAAACTGAGAAGAAATTGAGTAATTCACCCTTTTTTTTACTTTTACACTCGAGCTGCTCATTAATGGTAGAAATCGTAATCCTGACTACTTTGATTGATATCTAAATCTTAATGATCGGAAGTGGTTTCATAGATTTGACATCTGCATCACACTCATGTGAGCTATAAACCCCTGAATCACTCGTGTAATATACACTCACCGGCCACTTTATTAGGTACACCTGTCCAACTGCTCGTTAACACTTAATTTCTAATCAGCCAATCACATGGCGGCAACTTAGTGCATTTAGGCATGTAGACATGGTCAAGACAATCTCCTGCAGTTCAAACCGAGCATCAGTATGGGGAAGAAAGGTGATTTGAGTGACTTTGAACGTGGCATGGTTGTTGGTGCCAGAAGGGCTGGTCTGAGTATTTCAGAAACTGCTGATCTACTGGGATTTTCACGCACAACCATCTCTAGGGTTTACAGAGAATGGTCCGAAAAAGAAAAAATATCCAGTGAGCGGCAGTTCTGTGGGCGGAAATGCCTTGTTGATGCCAGAGGTCAGAGGAGAATAGCCAGACTGGTTTGAGCTGATAGAAAGGCAACAGTGACTCAAATAACCACCCGTTACAACCAAGGTAGGCAGAAGAGCATCTCTGAACGCACAGTTCGAACTTTGAGGCAGATGGGCTACAGCAGCAGAAGACCACGCCGGGTGCCACTCCTTTCAGCTAAGAACAGGAAACTGAGGCTACAATTTGCACAAACTCATTGAAATTGGACAATAGAAGATTGGAAAAACGTTGCCTGGTCTGATGAGTCTCGATTTCTGCTGCGACATTCGGATGGTAGGGTCAGAATTTGGCGTCAACAACATGAAAGCATGGATCCATCCTGCCTTGTATCAACGGTTCAGGCTGGTGGTGGTGGTGTCATGGTGTGGGGAATATTTTCTTGGCACTCTTTGGGCCCCTTGGTACCAATTGAGCATCGTTGCAACGCCACAGCCTACCTGAGTATTGTTGCTGACCATGTCCATCCCTTTATGACCACAATGTACCCAACTTCTGATGGCTACTTTCAGCAGGATAATGCACCATGTCATAAAGCTGGAATCATCTCAGACTGGTTTCTTGAACATGACAATGAGTTCACTGTACTCAAATGGCCTCCACAGTCACCAGATCTCAATCCAATAGAGCATCTTTGGGATGTGGTGGAACGGGAGATTCGCATCATGGATGTGCAGTCGACAAATCTGCGGCAACTGTGTGATGCCATCATGTCAATATGGACCAAGCTCTCTGAGGAATGCTTCCAGCACCTTGTTGAATCTATGCCACAAAGAATTGAGGCAGTTCTGAAGGCAAAAGGGGGTCCAACCCGTTACTAGCATGGTGTACCTAATAAAGTGGCCGGTGAGTGTATATGTACCAAGAGAATGTGAAACCAGTTAAATGTACCTTTGCTTAAACTCTGAACAGTTTTTACTTTCCTCTAAACAGCTGAAACTAAAAACCTTAAAACAGAAAACCCACTTCAGTGAAACCAGCCCAGACCCGAACCTCATCGACTAAAATACCTGCCCAATTAAGTAAAACCTCACCAAAAATGTTCACTGTTCAAAACGCATTAACAGAATCAGAAGTATATCTTTCTACAGAAATGTTTTAACCGAACATTTGAGGGGTTTGTAAGGAAACCCTGATGCGAACTACCTCCAACCTACAAGACTACAGATACGTGTTTCAAACGGCTGTTTAACTATCCCGAAAAGCTAAATGCTTCAAATAAAAGTGGAAAATAGACTTCTGCTTACCCATTATGAGCTAAACATCAATGAAATACTGAATTTTTTGTCCTTGGTGGTGAATTTGCTAGCGGATCAAAATACTGTTACAATGTAGACCGGAAGTCTTTCTTCTTCTTCTACCGTTGACTCAGCTTCCGGTAACGGCCGTCAGGCGCTGTTAAGGCCCATGATCGCTTCTGCCTGGCAGGGAGACCGCATCAGCTGAGCGCAGTGCCGTTATGTGGACTGGAGTACTCTGAGTGAGATGGTCCGGCTTTTGTGAAATGGGACACTAGGGCTGTGTCTCATTTCAGAGACCGCACCGTCAAGCGGCGCATTCATCTTAAGAGAAAATCCCAAAACAGCAGACAGACAGCTCAGGCTGTATGAGCGCATGATCTCTGAACTCACTAAAATCTGTAAATCAAACATTATAGTATTTAGAGACGAACTGATCCGCTCTGCTACTACAATCAAAAACATTAGAAATAAGAAAGCTGACAAAACTACAGCAGAGTATCATTGACACATTGAGTATTTTTTATTATTATTTTTTATAAGACTTAGAGATTAAAGTTGTAAATTTAGGAGAATAAAGTCATAAAGTAAATAAAGTCATAAAGCTGCTTTTGTGGAGGGAGAAATGACTGAAGCTGGTCATCTGCATTCACGGATATTTACGGCTGCATTGACAGATTTATCCTCAGCATATTCATTTCTGCCTCCACAAAAGCAGCGATTTCCTCCAAGTACACCTGTTTTTTTTTCCCCGTGGAAAAGACGTATTTCTCATATATTCTTTTTTAAGTCTTTATACTTGTGACAATGTAATGCTGATGTGCCAAAGGATGAAATATCTCCTTGTTTGTGAAACCTATACTGAAGCACAGTTCCTTCAAATGCTTCATGGCCCACGCTTGAAAAAGGGGCGGGGGCAGTGTGGTTTTGAGACCGAATTTGAAACGCGCTTAACATTTTGTGCCAAATGGGACACCGTTCCTGCCGTGTGATGACCTCACGCACGCTTCAAATGTGTCATTTGACGGTGCGGTCTCAGAAATGGGACACAGGAAGGGTACGTAAGTCCACATAACAGCACATAACGGCAGTGCGCTCAGCTAAGTGCGCTTAAGCGCTCATCCCGATGCGGTCTCTGAAATGAGACACAGCCTAGGGCTGTGTCCGAAATGTCATACTGCCTACTGTCTACTTACCTACTCAATCAGTACATACTGCATACTGAATACTCAAAGATGATTTGAGTATGCCGCGGCTGCCCTAGCGTTTACATACGGATGCATACTAAATACCCCAGAATGCATTTCGTGCCGGCCGGACGCAGCGCCAGGAAAATTTAAATAGTCCTACCACAAGCTACACAATACAACTGCATTCCGGACAAATTATATAAATTCATTCAGTAGCCTAATAATATTTTTTCTAGCGAGAAAGTAAGTGTTTACATCACGATTATGTACCCAGTTGTTTGAAATAGCGGCAGTTTGTAAATTTGTCTCGGCGTTTTCAGAGACCGAAGTGTCCGCTTGGTGGGTGTTTGCATCTACGTACCGTAAACACCGGGCAGCAGCTAACCACTACCACGCTTGAAAAAGGGGCGTGGGTAATGAGACCGAATATTAAGCACGCTTAGCATTTAGTGCCAAATGGGATTCCGTTCGCGCTGTGTGATGACCTCACGCACACTTCAAATGCGCCGTTCGACAGTGTGGTCTCTGAAATGAGACATGGCCTGAGTATTCAGTATATGAATACTAAGTGTTAAACTAAATAGCTTAACACTAAGGTGTCATGGTATGTGTAGTTTTACTTCCTACCACAGGGTGTCAGCAGGGTTCCTTACTAATGAATGGTTTACATGGTAGATAAAAGATTTAGAGTAGACATGACGGAAGACGCATGTAACAATATGCTCCGTGTTAAATAAAATACAACGTTGCTGAACAATGTTCTTTTATTTCAACAAAAAGAATAAACCATGGTACCAGGAGTGAACAGAGTAAACTGAGTGAGGCTACGGCTGGAAAAGCTGACTGCAACGCCAAGAAATCAACGATGATGGAGTTAAAACCACCGGAGCACCTGAAGTTGAATGGGAATGTCGACGGCAATTGGTGCACTTTTCAGCAGTAGTTTCAGCTCTACATCGACGCAATGGGGCTGGACTCGACACTGAATGCCAGAAAGGTAGCTTTACTACTAACTGTAGCTGGGCCACAAGCCATTGAAGTGTACAATACTTTCGTTTATGAGGAGGGAGAAGACCACTCAAAGTTGGACATTGTGTTTGCCAAGTTCGAAGCTCATTGTTCTCCTAAGAAAAACGAGACATACAAGAGAAATGTATTTCGTTCGAGATTGTGTTTGGCGTAGAAGATAAGAAGGTTAGGGAAAGACTGCTAAGAGAAACTGAACTGAAGCTAGAAGTAGCAGTGAAGATTTGCCATGCTAGCGAACTTAGCAAAAAGCACGTGCAGACTTTCCTTGAAGTAGACTTGAAGTAGCAACTAGCCATGTGAATGTGAGGGAAACAGCAGATGTTGGCGCCATTTCCAAGCTGCATGCTCATCAAGGAAAGGCTAGTGGACAGAAATGGGGCAATTCCAGTGCAAACAATGCGGCACACAGCACAAGCCAAAAGAATGTACTGCCTTCGGTAAACAATGCAGCATCCGCCAGGACAAGAACCACTTCGCCAAACAGTGTTTTTCGAAAAGAAAAGAGAAACAGAGGAAAATCGATGAATATCGTAGAAGATCCGGATTCAGATGACACATTATTTGTTGGTGTGGTGAATTGTGAAGAAGAACCAAGAACACAGTGATCACTGTCGAAGCAGACAAATGGATAGCACCACTGCAAATAAATGGGACTATAATCACATTGAAGCTGGACACTGGTGCAAAAGCAAACTTAATCAGCATGTCAGATGTGAAGGCAATGAGAGAAAAAACAAAAATAAAGAAGAAAACACTCACACTGAAAGACTACAATGGACAGAGCATCGAGTGTTTTGGCACATGCTAGCTAAAAGTCACAGTCAAAAATAAAGTGCATCACCTGCTCTTCCCAGTTGTTCCTGTAGCAACCTCAGAAACCAGGATGTCGCTTAGAGGATGAGATACGGGCCTAGTCTAGTTGTCTGACGCGCTTTGTCAATGATCCGCTGAGACGGGAATAACTTAGAAAAAACGTGCTTTAATACGAAAGAAAACAATCAACAAAACGATACCAACTAAAGAAACAGCGATCACTGGACTTAACGTTCGTGCGTGCATGCATGTGTGCATGCATGTGTGTGCGCGTGCGTGCGGTCAACAAAAAATACGGCAACCCACTCAAACCTTTTCCCTCGTGAACACAGGTGAACAGGTGCTTAAATCAACTAAGTGACACCGCCCATATTCCTGTGACCCAGATTCCACAAATCCCTGCCACTAATCACAACAAAATACCAACACAAATCAAGAGCATAACCACAAACCTTTACCTTGCCCTCATGGCTTCTACAGTTCCCGAAGGATTCGATTCACTGCTGGGGGACAAAGCCTGCGAAAACCTGGAGCTCGTGAAAAGGGTGTATCCATAGACTGTATATAGAATGGATGCCGTCTGCCTCCTCGCGGGGTGAAGCCACTCCGAGAACAGCACCCTCTGTTGATGGGCTGCAGTATAGGTCATAAATCCCACCTCCGCCAGCAAAGCTTATGGGGCTGTGGACCAACTTTAGAAATTTATTACACAGAACGTAAATTTTTCTCCCCCCTGCTTGCGATGTTGACATGTAGTTACAGTAAGACTGGTTTGTGCTCAAGTCCTCTTTTTTCTGTAAAGCTCAGTTTTCAAAAGTTATTAGAGGGTTCATGTTTGCTATGATTGACACCTGATACAGCCTATGGGCATTCAGGGATTGAGTAGCTCTCCCAGGGGACACGCTGTTTGAGCCGAGCGTCATCACAGTGACTCTCTGCAACTGCGCGGCCAAATGTGCACAACGCTACTGCACAGCACTGATTTCAGGAAATGAAGAAAAATCCCGGAAATACCGAGAGCTTTTTTGCTTCAAATCCATATACAGGCGGTAGGCGGAACCAGGTTGTCCATAGTATATACAGTCTATGGGTGTATCTGATCAATACCAGCATAACTGACTCACCTGACTCTGCTGACGTGATTGTGCAGAACTTCTCCAACATCTTCAGAGGTTTTGGTGTGCTGCCATTCACATACAAAATTTAGCTGAAAGACAACGCACAGCCAGTTGTACATGTCGCAAGAAGAGTTCCACTGGCCCTCAGAGTTCCACTGGCACTCAGAGACAAGTTTAAAAAAGAACTGGAGCGGATGACAGCGCTTGGTGTGATAAAAAAGATAGAAGAACCGACAGAGTGAGTCAATTCCATGGTCTGTGTGAACAAAAAAAATGGAGAGTTGAGGATATGCATGGCTCTGAAAGACCTCAATGAAAACATCAAGCGTGAACACTATCAAATACCAAAGGTTTTTGGCAACTTAGGCTGGATGAGAGCAGTACCAAGCTGTGTACGTTCAATACACCACTTGGACGATATTGTTTCAGAGGCTGCCCTTTGGAATAATATCCGCCTCTGAGATCTTTCGTAGGGCAATGGAACACGTAATCGAAGGCCTGGATGGAGTAAGAGCCTATATGGAGGATATAATCGTATGGGGGTCCACAATCCAGCAGCACAATCAGAGACTGACCAATGTTCTGGAGTGAATACAGAAAAATGGATTAAAACTCAACAAAAACATATGCCAGTTCGCTGCTCGAGAGATCGTGTTCCTGGGAGACAAGCTCTCAGCTCAGGGCATACAGCCAGATGAGGAAAAGATCAATGCCATACTGAACATGCCAAAACCCACAGACAAAGCAGGTATCCTACGCACCATGGGAATGGTAAACTTCATCAGGAAATTCATATCAAACATCTCAGCAAAGACAACATACCTGCGTGAACTCCTCCACAAAGCCAACAACTTTGACTGGACAGTCAACCATGAGAGTGAGTGGCAAAAGCTCAAAGATGCACTCACTGCCACACCTGTGCTGACATTCTTTGACCCAACCAAGAGAATCAAGGTGTCTACAGATGCTTTGAAAGATGGAATCGGTGCAGTACTACTACAAGCTGAAGGTGAGCACTGGAAACCTGTAACATATGCATCCAGGTCAATGACAGAGACTGAGTGCAGATACGCACAAATTGAGAAAGAGTGTCTCGGATTGGTGTTTGGCCTTGAGAAGTTTCACAGCTACATATATGGCCTACCCACCTTCACTGTAGAGACTGACCATCGTCCACTTGTAGCGATCATGAAAAAAAACTTGAATGAAATGTCACGAAGGATACAGCGAATGATAATAAGGATGCAGAGGTATGACATTGAACTCATCTACACACCTGGCAAACATCTCATTCTTGGTGATGCATTGTCAAGAGCACCTGTGAAGTGTTGATGTCCAGGTGCACGTCAACATGGTGTCTGCAACGCTTCCTGTGTCCGACACCAAGACCAGGCAGATTATCGATGAGACAGTGAGAGATCCAGAATTACAGCACGTGATGGAGAACATGCAAAATGGATGGGCTGCAGGATCCTGTCCACAGTTCTACCACGTCAGGGGTGAGCTGAGTGTAGCTGATGGACTGTTGTTAAAGCAAAACAGAATAGTCATTCCAAGTACGCTCAGACAAGAGCTACTGCAGAGAATACACGAAGGACACCTAAGTGTCGAAAAATGTAAAAGAAGGGCGAGAGAGACAGTTTTCTGACCTGGACTTAACAAAGACATTGACAACATGATAAGCAGATGCGAGACATGCCAGAAATACAGAAACAAACAAGCAAAAGAACCAATGACTGTAACTGATTTACCAACAACACCGTGGCACAAAGTGGGAATGGACTTGTTCCACCTGAAAGAAAAGGACTACTTATTAGTCATTGACTATTTCTCAAATTACCCCGAGATGGCATTACTCTCAAGTACACTGTCCAACTGTGTCATTACACATGCCAAATCCATTTTTGCCAGACATGGCATTCCACACACAGTAATGAGTGATAGTGGACCATGCTTCAGTAGCAAAGAGTGGCAAGACTTTGCAAAAGTCTATGAATTCAAACATGTCACATCTAGCCCTCTGTATGCACAGTCTAATGGCAAAGCTGAGAAAGGTGTTCACATCCTCAAGCAGCTGTTGAAGAAGGCTTCAGATAGTGACTCTGATCCTTACCTGGCTCTACTGAGCTACAGAACATCACCTCTAGAGTGCGGGCTGTCACCTGCTGAGCTGCTGATGAAAAGAAAGCTCAGAACAACACTTCCAACCTGTTCAAAGCAAAAGAAACACCATAAGCTGGAACAATAGGTGAAACATCAAAAAATGAAACAAAAAACTTTCTATGACAGAACAGCAAAGCAGCTTCCACCACTGTCCAGGGATGACGCAGTCAGGATTGAAAATCCTGAAGGATGGATGACAAAAGCCACTGTTCTATGAGGTCGCTTCACAGTCCTACACTGTCAGAACATCAGAAGGACAGATCATCAGACGAAATCGGCACAGTCTCCTGAAGACACCAAAGACACCAGAGACTGTTCCAGACCAAGAACTCAGTCAAGCACAAGCTGAGTCCAACACAGACACACACACTGACAATCTAACCAATGCATTTATTCCAGGTGAAACAGCGACAAGAAGATCCACAAGAACAATCAATAAACCTGAGAGACTTGACCTGTAAAAAAAAGTTAATGAGCTTTGTTATATGTTGTGTGTTATGGTTACAGTAATGCTCAAGTTACCATTGTGATTTATAGTACCTAAGTACTGAGAAATGAGTTATGCAGGATAAATGAAAAGTTAACGTAAATGGTTAAAAAAAAAAGAGTCAGTAGGGTTCCTTAGAAGGTGGAAGAATTGGAAGATTTCCTCATTGACTTCAATGTTAAAATTTTGGCACAAAAAGTAAAAAAAAAAAAAAAAAAAGTATAAAGGGTAGAAAAGTACAAAATACAAGCACACATGTCCTGAAGGAGTGGAACAGTTTAAAGTTTGAATGGTTGAAATAGCACAAAGTTTGAAGGAGTTGAAAAGAAATAGGAGAATAACAATAAGATAATAAAGAAATAGGAGAATAACAATAAGTGGAAATGCTTAATCAGCATTTCCACTTAATTATATAGCTTTCTTTTAAGTGGCAGCACACAAAGAGAGTGATTAATCATTACAGTGAGATACCTGCTCTGTAACATCTCAAATAGTCTAATTTTTATACACGGACGTTAACGATGCAAAAATCGATCGGCAGTTACCATGGCAACTGTGTAAAACGTCACACAAGCTGTGAGCACGTTCATGAGGAGGGCGTGGCTTCAGAAGAGAATGGGGTGGGGGAGTTTGGGGTGGGGGAGTTTGGGGGGGGGGGGGGGGGGTCTGTTGGCAGGTAGAGAGACCCCGAGAGAGAGAGAGAGAGAGAGAGAGAGAGAGAGAGAGAGAGAGAGAGAGAGAGACTCTCACCTGGGTCTTTGTTTAGCAGAGATGCGAAAATGCCCATTTCAGACCCAAAACTCTGATTTTGCAGAGACAGTCCAGTAGAGGAGGAGCCGTCCGTGTCTCCGTCAGAGGAGGTCTGGTTTTCTCCCCCCAGCTGCGGTGAGGGAAACAAATCAGGGACTGTTTTTCTTCTTCTCCCCATACGAAGGATCTGAAAAGCCAAAACCCGGACCGCATATCCACAGATCAGACTTTAACGCCGTGGATTTCTCTCTGGAGGTATACCCGGACTTCTCTGTGTGCAGCCTGCAAAACACCCGGACAGACAAACACGGTGACAGGATCCGCTCGAACCAACGTCTGGGTTTGGATGACAGACGGACAGGGACATGTTGTTTTTCTGTGGAGGACAGAGTCTGATTCACATGATCCAATTTTGACTTCAATTTCAGGGAAAAAGAAGCAGATTCAGCTCACGCAGATTCATAGGATATGTCTCATGCCCTGTTATCGGGAGCTTTACCCAGCTTTAGACTTTTTAACTTTGAGTGCAGTTATTCATCAGAAAACATGTAAGACAGGCCTGCATGTGTTTGACCAAAATACAGTTTTATTATCTTTATAATAGTAATCTTGTCTTTGATTTGACTGAATCTTCGTTGTTTCAATATACAGGAGAAATATAACAATGCTGGGTGTCTATTTTTACCGGTGAGAACAAAAGAAGGAAAGCTAACAGGGCTGCTGGATCAAAGAAACAATCATTATTAGGGTTAAATTGGTTAGTTTCTAACGCAAGATTATTTGGAAGGATTACTCTACATTTATTAAATTTAAACACTTCTTTAAAACTTAAATATTCTGAACAAAATAAAATGAACAGAAATAGATAACAGAAATGTAACCTTTTTACCTTTATTGTGAACCAAAACCTACATGTCTGTCCAACCATATAAGTATTTCTATAAACAAACATATGCAATTATAACTCTCTCCTCCTGCTCCTCTCTCTGTTCTCCTCTCTTTTCCAGCTCCTCTTTCTACTCTCCTCTTTCCACCTGTAGATACTGATAATTTGTACCACTGCACATAGTGTCCCTAACAACATATTTTCCAACATCTTTGAGCTCCTAAACTTTCTGGACAACAACACCTAAGAAATGCATCCACTTTTTAACATCACAATATGACCAGACATATAACAGTGATGTAATTTTGAATAGCTATAAAAGTGAAAGCATTTTGGAAATCATATAATTCTGCAAATTTGTCACCATAAATTTGACTATTTTGAGTTCATGGCATTAAAAATACATTTTCACTTGGATTAATGAGCATAAAAACAAACCAGTGTGTCTGATTAATTGAGGAAAAAAAATATGGGCTAAGTTTGAATTGATATGATGCAGCTGAGTTATCTGAACACATGCATCTTTTATGAAAGGCTCCTGCAGCAGTCACTGACCTCTACATCCTGAGAGCTGAGCGTCAATTGGAAAGGTCAGGGGAGTTTTTATCACACAGGAGGTGCAAAGATAGCAGCAGCTTACTCTATGTAAAGGTTCAGGGTTTATGATATATGTTATATGTGTGTTTCTGATCATAAATCAAGGTTTGGTTATGTCCTCACCGTTGAATGAGTATGGACTTTGTCTCCTCCATTGAAACTGTGAATATTGAGAAAGAAAAGCAGAGATGGATGATGAGGACCTCCAGCAGCAATATCTGAACCCTTTAGACTTGCTCAGACTGACTCTGATCTGAATGGATGTGAGTGAGGGAGCTGCTGGCTTGAGTTTATTTTGTGCTCAGACATTGATGGATCCGTCTGTAAGCACAGCCCTGTGGGGCAGCGGGGGCAACAACTACTCAGCTGACACCCCGGCACTGAGCTTTACTGACCAGCTGAGCACCGCCTCACCTGTCGTACCAAGGTAACCACCCACCTGTCTTTCCCTGTATGCTTTCAGACTGATGTCAATATGTGCATATGTGCAGCAGTAAAAGGTGTGTGCAACCATCCAAAGCGAATGTCATTTTATAACTCAGATGTTGAGATAGCTGGTGGCTTAGTGGTACCAGTTCTAAAGTACGGAAGCCACGAGCGGACATTCATCCAAATAATTGTTGTGCTGTATTTGTAAATTTAGATTCTGTTTTAATTATGTTCATTCTAACTGACACGGCATGATAATTTCCTGGCACTCAGTACTTAAAAAAAGTCAAATGGTTAATGTGGCTTTGATCTCAGTGACTTAAAGCAGGACGGCATGTCTGACTGTCAGTGCACAGGGAGACATGGGCCTGTCAGTCATTTATGTTTAAACAGTGTTTGTTAAGGGAGGGAAAGCAATGCCTTTGTCCCAACATGTCCACCACCCACAACAACAGAGCATCATCTTCTGAAAAAATAGCTCTCACCCTGTGTTGGTGAACAGAACCAGCTTTGATGGGGAGCCCGCTGACCTCTCAAAACCTAGGAACAAAAGATGCAACAAAAACACTTGAAACCTTGTCAAGCACCTCAGTGATGCACATACAGACCCCTCCAAGGAGGGCGAAAGCTGACAAGCTAGCCTATTAGTAGGATATTAATGGCTGTATACTTGAACTATATTTTATACATAATGACAGCATATCACTCTGTCACTCATGACAGAGTGAATGACAGAGTGATATGTCCACATGATGGACAGTGGCCCATCTCATCTAACACGAGCCACTGTCACTCATGTTAGATAAGATGGGTCAAATCTCATTTTAGGTTGGATCTTGCTAATTCATCAAACAATGAGCGTGATCTAGACCTGCTTTTTTTCTTTGGAAAGCATCTTGGGATGATGACTGTTGTGAATTGGCACAATATAAATAGAATTTGATTGATTGATATCAGTAGTGTGTCAATCAATAATCAGGGAACAACAACAGGACAGGTAAAGGTTGTAAACAAAAAAAAATAAACAAAATCTATCTGAATCAGAGTTGTTGTGTTGTGAAAACACTAAACTGCATATTTTATTTTTCCCGTTTTCTTGTTTATCTGCGAGATTCTTTGATTTGTTTTCAGGGTTGTTTCCATAATGACCAGTCTGGTGACAACCACCTCAGAGTCCACTGCAGGGACCAGAGGAAATCTCTCGGCTTTCAGAGACCAGATTGAGAACGAGCTCAGTCGCCTCCACCAGGCGTCTACTCCTTCAGTGCTGAGCGCTGCTGAGAGTAACTCCGTCCTGCGGGGCATCACAGTGGCGGCCCAGGCCCTGGTCCTCCTCTCCATCTTCCTCCTTTCCAGCCTGGGCAACTCAGCTGTGGTCATCGTCATCATTAAACACAGACAACTCAGGACGGTGACAAACGCTTTCATCATGTCGCTGTCGCTGTCAGACTTTCTCACAGCCGTCCTGTGTCTGCCATTCTCCTTCATTATGCTCTTCAGTAAGGACGGCAGCTGGATGTTTGGGGATCGGTTCTGCGTGGCTAACGGCTTCTTCAACACCTGCTTTGGGATTATCTCCACCCTCACTATGACTCTGATCTCCTTCGACAGATACTACGCCATTGTCAGACAGCCGCAGGCAAAAATTGGACGCCAGAAAGCCACTCAGCTGCTGATAGCTGTGTGGCTGACTGCAGTGATTTTCTCTCTGCCTTGGTATCTGCTGGTGCGAACGCCAACAGAGATCCATAAACAAGGGTTTTACCATTGTATGTACGTGTTCCACTCGGGGACGTCACGCATGGGGAAAGCTTACAGCATCTGTCTCATTGTAGTGTGTTACTTACTGCCTTTCTCCCTCATGTGTTTCTGTCATTACAACATCTGTAAGACAGTTCGGCTGACGGAGATCCGGGTCAGACCAGTAACGACATACGCATACCTGCTGCGCTTTTACAGCGAAATGCGAACAGCTACCACAGTCCTGATTATGATTGTTTTTATCATCTTTTGTTGGGGGCCGTATTGTTTGATGGGGTTGATCACAGCGATGGGGAACTTCACCTTCAACCCTGCGATGGACACTGTGGCTATCTGGCTCGCCTGGGCTAATGGAGCTATTAACCCCCTGATTTATGCCCTGAGAAACCCCAATATATCCATGTTACTAGGGCGCAGCAGGGAGGAGGGATACCGGACCAGGAACATTGCGGCTTACCTCTCCAGCCAAACCCACAATCGTGAGATCCGACTGAACCAAGCGGATAGGATCAGGGACCGCTATGTGAGTCGTGTCGGGGTGAATAACAGCCGGCTGTCGAGTTCAAGTCCAGGGAAAGGAGGAGAGGTGGCGATGTGGGCGTGTAAAAACCCTGCTGTATTCTTCTGCAGGGATGCCCAGCCAGACACGGCAACGCTGCCAAATGCCGTCTGCACCCCAAAGATGAAGACAGCCGACACCAGCCTGTGACAGTGTTTACCATCCAAAGACTGGTTTCATCTGATTTGTGTGTGATGTACTGAATCTGAAGTGTGACATTTTTAAAAACTGTGGCAGTATTTACTACAGATTACAGATGCTGAAATCTGTTCATAATGTTTGAATTCATCTCATGGTTATCTGATATTTTCTGGGAATCAAAATGATCATTTGTGTTGGGATGCACAATAATATTTGCAGAAAATCAGCAAAACAGATGACAGCTAAAAAAGTTTATCAGACATACCTGTGGCTGACAGAAGGACAAGTTAATTCTGCACACATAACAAAAGGATATGCATGGCTGCATAAAAGTATTTGAATGTAAATAGACAGAAATAATTATTTTCAAGGCTTTTAAGTGCAGAAACAATCCTTAAACAATTAATCTAAGAACTGTCACTGTAAACATCACTAGGGATTTCTGTGAAAAATGATAGTGTTGCACCTGCAAAAACCAGACTACCTGCAGCATTCTGGATTTTAGTCATTTAACAAAGAGAAGGATTTAAGTGGAGACCACCCAAAGCCAATGCAGCTCAACATGAAAATCACTGAATTCTTGATCTTGATTATCAGCCTTTCAGCGTGGTGGAATATTCTGGTTTCTGCAGCCTAATGTTGATATCAATTCATATTGCGCATCTGCAGAAATCTAATATTGTGCATCCCTAATCTGTGTTGTTGCTGAGGTGTTTGCGCTGTGTGGAAAGACTTAAGTTACAGCTGTAGGACCTTGTTTTAAACCCACACAGCTGTACTACCAATAACTCTTCGAGGACGTAATGGAGTCTTTGGACAACAACAAGCTGAAGGACCTTCTCCATGATGAAGTGTGAGGGTAGTAAACCCTGAAGAGTCTGCCTCACAGGTCTTTTTGTTGGATCTCATTTCATTTGTAAAAGTAGCATGTTGGCGTGGAAACTAAAGAAGCCTACTCTTGTTTTATCCAGAACTTTTCATGATTATGTTCTTTAAATGTCACTTTCAGATGTTCCCACTGACTCATCATTTGTTTAAGGTTTTAAGAGAGCAGTATTCAGGATTTAGAGCATCTGACAAAGAAGTTACAGACCCAGTCAGACTGAAAACCATTCACCCTTATGAAGAAAGTGAGACACTTTTACAGTCCTATCAGAAATGATGGAAGACAACAAATGCTGAGGTCAGACTACGCATTTACTTGTTAGGAGGTTTGGTGATCGCAGACAGATCCATAAATTAGCGCAGTGACTTAACACAGAGACATGACAAACTACATGGTGGTACCAAGTGGAGACCTGTGGTTGAGAAAAAATGAAGCTGGTGCTGATGTGCTAAAAACTGCGTTCCTCGAATTTCCAGTTGAGGCTGTCTGCAGAAATACTGGAAACCACACACACACAAATTCAAAAGTCTATTTTTCGTCTCTGGTCAAGAGATCATGAGGCGTCACAGATGGGACATTGTGAGTCATTCCACTGTGACACACCACATGAGGAAAAACCCTCACTGTTCAGGCTGACGGGTCCTGACACTCCACCTCTGCAGGATCAGGATCCAACTGTGTCTAAAACTTATTGTCTGACCTCAGTATATGGTTTTGGTTCTACTGAGGATATACAGTTTAAACCATATCCACACAGCAGCTGATACCCTGAGATATCATGCTCATAAGAGGAAGCTGAAATGTGATCATGTTAGCTGCTCTGTTTGTGGATGTAAGTCATATATAAATAGAGATTTTATTTTATATTTACTGCTTCCTAGTTGATGAAGTACTACCAAGAATATACATGTGAAAATACAGACATCAGGCCACAATCCAGGTTTAAATAATAGGATCAACAAACAACCATCACAACCAGGCTGTCTCTGTATCAGATTGTCACCTCACAAAAATTATAGGAGTATATGGTTGTGATACTTATGGAAAATATAGAAAAATTATACCATCAGTCATCAGGTGCTGATCATGAGGATTTGATGATCATTTTTGGTCTGTTTGCCTGAATGTCATCTCATCTATTTTGTCAAGAATAAAAGCATCACATTTGTATCTTTAATTCACACTTTCAGGACATTTCTTTGAAGTCAAAGATTGACGACCATAACCAACATCCCAAGATAATAATGCATTATAACACCTAGCAGTAGTAATGAATGGTACAATGATAAATTTACAGCAGGCTGAGTTTAAACTGGATTGTGTGAGCTGTAATACAGGTTGTGTCCTGCAGGGGAAGCTGTCGGCCATTAAACCTTGACTCTTTAAGTATTAATGCTCTCTCTCTATCTCTCTCTCTCTCTCTCTCTCTCTGGGGTGTTTAAATGCTTGAGTAAGGGTAAGGCAGCTGCAGGTGTTGCAACTTTATTTGTTATGTTTCCAGCTCATTAGGCCTAACAGGACATTACCTGCACAGGTGAGCGTGGTTTAAGACAATCTGTTAGTGTGACAGGTTCACTCATTAGGAGTTTCACCTCAGAGCTGACATCAGTTTAGCTCTGCAGACAAAAGAACAAACAGCCTGTGTGTGTGTGTGTGTGTGTGTGTGTGTGTGTGTGTGTGTGTGTGTGTGTGTGTGTGTGTGTGTGTGTGTGTGTGTGTGTGTGTGTGTGTGTGTGTGCGTGAGAGAGAGAGAGAGAGAGAGCTGGAATGTCACCTGGCTTCATAACACACATACACACACACACAGGGAGCAGGTGTGACTCATCAGGTATTCGCAGCACTCATGACGTTGGATGATGATGCAACAAAAGACAAACTGTAAATTACACCCATACCGATCTGACTGTGCCTTTTATTCACACACACACACACACACACACACACACACACACACACACACACACACACACACACACACACACACACACACACACACACACAGTCTGGTTCACAGTACTGCGGGAGCCTCATTTGTCAACAGAACTGTCAATCATACAATACAATACAATATAATACAATACAAGAACTTTGTTGATCCCCAAAGAGAAATTAATTTGTCTAGAATCTCATCTACTATTTGTAGAAGTCTGTCAAGGTCAGGTTTCTATCTGGTTTCCTCTCTGATGGTTCAGTTTAAACCTCATTTGTGGATGTGATGTGAAGTGACTTTGAGCCCATGCAGTGATTTCCATCCAGTTTTGGTTTTAGTCCTTGTCCCTTTAGTACAGAGATTTCTCCAGATTCTCTTAAATTTTAAATGATATTATGTTCTCTTAATGATGAAATCCTCTTATTCTTTCATATTTGACACTCAGGAACATTATTCTGAAACTGTTGAACTATTAACTCACACAGTCTCTCACAGAGTGGTGAACTTCTTTCTCGCCTCTTTTGCCAAAAGACTCAGATATTAAAATAAAAAATCAGCACTTAAAGCTATAGTGTGTCCTGTTATTAAATCTGAATTGAACAGCCCTGCAGGAGCGAAAAAGACTTGTGGTTTCTGCGTATTTCACGTTCTGACTGCATGCTCTCTGGGTCGTTGTTGCAGTCTTAGTCCTGCACCCTGTTATCTCTCTTTATTTCAACAATACCCTGCTGCTCACTGTGTGTGCAGGTTTTCTTGTGCATTATTGTTTCCAGCTGTTGTGGTTTCTATCTGTCACATCAGTCATCAGCTTTTGTGTTTCCTCCACACCTGAGACACTGTGCATCATCAGTAACACCTTTCCTCTCAAAACATGGGACAGTCAAAGATGTTTGTCATTTGTGAGGAAGGCTTGTTAGCTGAAAGGAAATCAACCTGCAGGAAGGAACAAAATGATCAGACAGGAAAACACCTACCACAGGTTCAGCCCAGGATCAGCTCACGGGGATGGCTCACCTCATCTGACATGCTGTGGGCTGTCAAAACCTCTTCATTTTGGAACAGGTCATTTGATTTGAGTCTGATTTCTTTTTAAAGGGATGGTTCAGGATTTTCAAAGTGAGGCAGTTTGAGGTATTGATAGTTTGTAGAAGTTGTAACTCTGCAGACTGAGCAGTAAATAAGTCAATAAGTCACATTTTTGATCAAATGTAAAGTTCCATACCTTACTATGACTGTCTGCAGCCCAATTTGCAGGCAGAAACCTCAAGCAGAACCAGACTCGTATTAGGCAGTCATCTGCTGAGACTGAACTGGGTTTAGAGAGGGGCGAGAAATAGAGATAGACAGAGGAGAGACTGATGCACGTAGTTGAAGCAGCTATGAGCAGACAGGTCCACAGCAGCAAAATGCCTGCAGCAGTGATCCAGAGGAACTTACAGGACGATGGAGCTCAAGGAGTCCCAAAAAAGACTGAGTATCAGTGACTCTAACAGGACATGATGATACAAAGTGAATGACACAGACGGAAAGAGGACTTGTAGGTCATACATATCATGTCTCTCTTTCCAGCTCTCCTTTCCTATAATAGCATGAACATAAGCACAAACATAACTTTATTATATATATATATATATTTTAATCTGGCCCTGTCTGCAGAGTTTGATCACCTTACTATCATGTTGGTTCCTAATTTCTATACAGAAGGACCCAGTTGACCTGGATCCACAATACACTTAATAAAGACAGGTACCTCGCTTAACCACACCTCAGAGAGAAATGAACTTTCTCCTCAACATGATGGAAAACCACATCTCTGCTGCTGCACACAGCCTGAACTCTCTGGCCCTGCCCTCCAGAGGAAAGACAAGAAGTGCACAGCAGAGTTGGTGAACAGCTATGCTCTCAGCCTTAGTGCGAGGAAATGCTGCATTACAGATCAAGCAAATCTGCAGCCCTGGAGTCACATGACATGGACATGGACGTAGATATAAATGAGACTGTAAACAAAGTTGTTGAATCATTCATGCAATTTTAAAATGAGAGCTGGAGCCAACAAACAAAACAGAAAACAAGCCTCCACCAGAGTCAGACATCTCTCTCTCTCTCTCTCTCCCTCTTGCTCGCTCTCTCTCAGTCACACACATACACTCACATGCAATGGGTGAGGTCGGGTGTGACTGCCTCCACCAGGAATGCAGTTGTGTGTGTTCTGCTCTCTCCACATACTGAAAACTCTCACCCAGGCTCATCTGTCAGCTTCTCTGCCTGACACAAACTCACACAGGGACATACAAACACACACACACACACGCTGATCAGCCATATTGATCAGTTCACAAAGCAAAACAGAAAAAGCCAAAAGCAGACGGCAGAGAAACGTGGGCAGGAGAGGCGAGGAAAACAGCAGAGATTTTTATTTTTTGAAAGTTTCTGCAGAAGTTTGAGGCAAACTTTGTCTGAAGCAGTTTTTGGTGACGGTCTCTTGTGGATTATAACCGTGGACTGTTTTTTTTAACTTTCAAAATTTAACTTGAGCTCTTAACGAAGTTACAAAAAGTTTTCCTACTTAGGATTTTATTGATTTTTGTTGTTGTCTTCTCTCTCGGAGAAGCTTAATCTGTGTTCTTGTAGCTCAAGCTTCTTCCTAGTCAAGTTTTCTGACTTTTTTTACACATTATTTTGGCTTGTATGGTAAAAAAAATGTAAAACTAAGTCTTCAGAGCGGATTTGGTGTAAATACCGGTTGTAATAATGCCAGGATGATGTTGGATCTGGAGCCACAGTGACGGCAGAGTGATCTCTGCTGCAGATGTTCATTTGACACCTGACTGCTGATCTCACCATGGCCTCTCACTGCATCACATAAAAAAGGAGCACAAAGGTAAGAAGCACAAACACACAACCACACACACACATTGTGTACCCTTGATCGGGTCTTTCAGTAGTCTCTCTCTTTGACATGTTTTATCTCACCTGTATCAGTTCACCTGTTGTTTGCATGTTCCTTTTCAAAAACATTGACGTCTGTGAGTCAGGACCAAAGAGACGAAACTGTGCTTGGGTCATGTGGTTAGACAGAATTATACAGAGGAGTGTCGTCAGCATAAATATGATAATTGATGTAATTTGATTGATGAGAGGAAATAAAAAAGGCCCTGAGGAACACCATATTTAAAATCATGTGGTAAGAACTGAATCAAGCTAAAGTCAGAGAGGGATCTGTCTCTCAAAAATCATAAATCTTGTTGCTGAAGCATCAGTATGAATTTCAATATGATTCATGAATGTTAAAAAACAGCAGCTTTAAGGTAAAATATATGGAGTCCATCCTAAATGTAGGCCAAGTTTCAGATGGGCCTGTTGGAGGAATCACTGCAGGCGGCTCTGAACAGCTTGTTCAAAAAGTGTCATGAGAATTAGAGATGGACATGAGATTTCCTGAAATCATGACATCACCAAAGGGTGAATTTCCTTCATAGAGCACAGTGAAGCTGATTTAAGATTAACTCAATGACGACAATTATCACAGACTATCATACACCGAAAACAGAGAGACACACTAACATGACTGCAGACTTGACTTGGACTCGACCCTTAGAGACTTGAGGCCAGACTCAGACTCGAGCTTTGGGACTCATAGGCGGTCTCTGTATTTTATATTTGGTAAAGAAACAGCATTAGATAATAAGATAATAATAATGAGAGAAACTTAATTGATCCCTTAAGGTATATTTAATTGTCTGTAGTCTAATGTCTGAAAGACGAAGGGAGACCATGGTGCTGCTGAAGGAGGGGAGCTAAGGGTGACAGGGGTGCATTCAGGGCTTATTTAGGGGTGCCCAAGCCCTAAGCCCTTTTCTACACAAAATCTGATTTGAACTTTCTGCTAGTTTAATGGCCGTAATACACCTCTAACATTATTCTCTATATGCACAAACACTGTGGTAAACTCACAGAGCATTTAAAACTGAAGTTTTCTGCTGACATCTGATGCTGCTACCAGCTAGTGATGGGCACTGCAGTTCTTTTAGATGTACTGAATCACTAGAATCAGTTCACTAAAAAGATTTGTTCCTTTAAACAAATCATTTGTGAAAGACATAACACTACTACCGGCAGCTCTGGATTTTGTGCTTCAGTTTGTTCTCGACGCTTTGACTTCATCACAAAACTGTCTGATAGTTTGATCTCAAAATCTTTCTTAAAGTTTAAAAAAGATTTTCCTCTGTTCATTTTTCATCATGCCTGGCCCCTGCACTCATGATTCCACTTTATCATCAATGTCTGAGGTTTTACCTGCAGAAACACCTCCACCCTTCTATCAGAGGTCCTCAGTCAGAGAGGATCTCCACAGTCTCATGTCTCATCAGGACACAGTGGCTGAGCTCTGCTTTGTATTTAGGCTGTGAGAAAAACAACTCTGGTAAACATTTCCTGCCTGGATCGTCCTTGAGTAAGAGTGATAGTGAATCCCCTCCAGCTGCAGTGGGCTGTTCTGTCACTGACAATGACCTTTGACCTCTGTGTGCAGGGATCGATGCGTATTGATTAAACCCTGCGAACTCTGAGCTCACTGGTTTATTTGACTGTCTGAACAAATAATAAGCCAGCCATCGATCTCCACACACACACACACACACGCACGCACGCACGCACGCACACACACACACGCACACACACACACAGAGCTGATCAGAGTCCTGCAGCATTGACGGGTTGTTAAGTAAAAGGCAAAGGAGTGGGAGAGGCAGTAAACTGTTAAACAGTTGCAAACTTCAGATATTTGAGCTCTTTAAACATTGAATTATACTTTAATTACACTTTAAATTATTTTTATTTTGGATGTTAAAGGAGCTGAAATTCAGTCTCTGATATAAACAGGTCTGTGACTCCATCTGACAACATTTAGGTCTGAGTGTATATGATTCATTAGAAAACAAACCCTGTTGACTTGATGGTTTGTCATGCCTCGATGGCAGCAGTATCCTTATAAACCTACATTCAAGTCAAGTTAACCGTAAACTGAACATTTTCATTGGCCCTTATGGCTGTTTTTCCTTTGGTAATTTTTACAGACTCAGAAAAGCAGAGTGTGAGGTCCTCCTTACTTTTACTTCCCAAGCCAACCATTGCTGAGGCTCACTAATGCATGAAATTCTGTCGCTCTGTATGTTTGAAGTGTTCTACTCATCCACTAGAGGGTTCCATTCAGGCCCCAAATTAACTCCACAAAAAGAAAAAAGGAGCCAAAATAAACATGGTGATGATATGGGAGATATTAATAACTTATTTGTTCAAAAGGAGACAAAATCACGTCTGTGAGATCATGAAATACTTCAAACATCGAGAAGGAGAATTTAGTTTATTAAAGTTAGTTTTTCATGCGATCTGTGGTTCAAACTCTTGGTTTCACCGCTGACATTAGATGTTTAAATCTTAGAAGAAGAGCAGAAATATAGATGAAATGAACACGGAGCACTAAAAGAGGAGCTCTGTCTGTACTCTGTGAGTGTTTTGAGAATTAAGCATAAATGTCTGTTTTCTTCAGTTTGGTTGATGCCTGTGGTTTGGCTCTTTTAGTGTTTTTTGAACATCGTCTTATCTCTGATGAAAACTGGTCAGCTATTAGCCACCAATTGAAAGTTTGGTACATCCAAATCAAAAGAGAGAGGAAATGAATATATCGTACGGAGCTGACATGTGCTGAGCTTATATTGAGGATTGATTTGATATGATTTGTGTGATAAGGAGTTTTCAGCTGTTAAGAATTTATTACTGCTGATACAAAGAAGATATTAAGACTTTCACTGTCTTTATAGCCATTCAGGGTTAATATTAAAGAGACATACAACCATTTGTGCATGACTATTAGCACTTTAGAGTGCCCAGTAAACCCTGATGAGTACCTGTGTACCCAAAGAGAATCCACATGTGCACAAGGTGCCCATCCCACCCCACAGAGAAAGGATTAGATCTGCGCCAACACAGAACCCCGTATTTTTTGTTATAGCTGGTAAAATTCAGATTTCCTGCACAGTTTTGAGCAAAGCAGCTACACCTGTTTAGATATATGTGTATTCAGAGCTCTGAAGTACTGAACAAACCAAACTGGGAATCATCTCCAGGGAGAAACACACCAAAATGAAAAAAGACAGAAAAGCTCTCAAGCCTCAGATTGAGGTATTAATGTCTGCAGCCTGACAGAATATCTGTAAGCATCCTCACAGTGATTATCTTTGAGTCGTTTGATGTTGGCTGGTTGCTGAGGTGGTGGGAGTGTCTCTGCTCTACTCTCTGTGAAGTCTGAATACTTCACATTACAGCCCCGTCACTCCTGAACCGCCTGTCAGTCCAGTCTCACCTCAGCACTCACCTGGTCTCTACTGTCAGAGAGAAAAATCATTCTCCAGTTTTCACCATGTTAACTGGAGGCAGGTGTATTAGCCAACATATACTGTCTGTCTGTGAGAAACCTTTTACCTGTGTTTTCCAGTCATAAACAGGTAAAAGTCCTGAACAGAAACATCTTAATTGGGATATATATTTAACTCAGCACTGTACCCATGAGTCTGTAGAGGAGTGTGTTGTTAATTTATAAGGAATCAAAACCATTTTCATTAACAAGAACATGAATCAGCACATCTGAAACAAATCTAAGATTTGGGAATTTCAGTGAAAATAAAAAAATATTTAAAAAAGCAAAAATACACAGATATAACAGATTTAAAAAGACAGGTCCATTTCTACACATTTGATGTATGTTATTATTTATTAACTTGATCCTTAAAACAAAAGACTGAAAAAGAAAAATCCTGAAAACATGTTGTGCTCCTCTGCTGACTGGCTGCAGTGATATAGTTCCTCAATCCGACCCCCTCCATGTAAGCAGATGGGTTATAACTGAATCATGCAATGAGGGAACCATATTTTACATAACCTCTCTGCTTTGAGTCCACTTAAGATGGTCGAGGCAAAGTGAAACACTGTCTTGTATGACAACTCAAAGTCTGATGATCTTTTTGGAATCATAGACACTGCGTCCTCTTCTCTGAAGAGTAAAGGGTCCATCTGCCTTGTTCTCAGCTCCCAGTTCAAATCCAGCATCCCTGATGGTATGGGGATCATCAAAGTCTATGTCATCGGTATCTTTCACATCTGTAAAGGCTCCATTAATGCTGAACAATATCTACAGCTTTAGGAGCAACATCTGCTGCCATCCAGACAAAGACTTTTTCAGAGAAGACCTTCATATTTCAGCAAGACAATGACAAACCACATTCTGACAACAGGAATTACAACAGCATGGCTCTGGAGGAGAAGAGTCCTGCTGAGAAACTGGACTGTCTGCAGTCCTGACTTGTCCCCCATTGAAACATTTGAATCATCATGACACCAAACAATACAAAATTCCCAGTTTCAACCTTTGATGTGTCCTTGCACCGTTCTCCATCAGTTACAGACTTTCAATTATCTAAAAACCATCTGAATCTGTTTAAATCAGCATGAAGACATATTTGCAGTTGGGTGAGTACAAATAATCTAAAATTAAACCAAAGTCTGTTTAATAAAAGCTACAGTATGGATGAGAGTATGACATAACAGCTTCATCTTTGGAGAACAGACTGTGTTTGTTGAGAGTCTGGCATTGCAACATCAGAACTTCTGACCAAAACCTCTGAGTATGGACTGCAACTATGTCTGAGCTTGACATACCAATGAGCTGTTTGCATAAATCAAAACCTTCCATAAATGATCAGACAGGTCTGCAGCACCCAGAGCCACACCTCATGACTCAGCCAGACGAACAAGACCTGCTCTGTTTTAATCACACCCTGATTAATATGTGTTTGTGAGTGTGTTTGATTATGTTGGTGTTGATGGAAAGGAGACTGGTGTCAGTGTTAATGGCTGTGTTAGCAAATAAAATGTTACGTTCATTTCATGTAAAAAGATTTAGGAGAAAGAAAGTGTTTGACAAGAAACAGCTATTATTGGCTCTCTTTTGATAAATACTGTATTAATGAAATGAACTACCTGATAATCTGGAGGCTCATCATTTATTCATTAGTCCTGTAATCATGGGAGTTTCTGAAACAGGAAGTCATGTTTATTGCAGGTGAATGATATATAATTTTTTTTCCTTCAGTCAACACTTCTGGTGAAGTCCACACTGTAAAAATGGCGAATCGGTTAAAGCAGCCTGAGGGGCAGAGCCTGTCCTCCTTGTTTTCCTGCTGCTTTAACGGAAGTGACCAACCAGAGATCACCCACATCCACCATGTCAACACTTCAGCAGTCCTGGAGTCCATCCTGCCCATGCCGCCCCCTCAGGAGCTGGACTCCATGTTCTCCGAGCTGGTGGTGAGTACCAGACCAGAATCAGAGGACCTATATTGAAATGTGGACTGTGTCAATAATGGATGCTGTCACAGTGATGTCCCCCACTGGTTTGAGTGACTCTAGCAACAGGGAAAGAGGTGAGACAGATGCTAAAATGTATGCCCATTAACTACCAAGACAGATGTGTCATTTGTGAACTTCTCACTGAGTAATCGTTAATCTTTAAAGAAAAAATGAAATATAGAAACAAGACAGTATTTCATTCTAGGCTGTAAACAGGTTTACCTATGCTGTTCAGTGTAACGAGGGACCCAATGAGGACTAACTCACTCCTGGGGCCCCCCTCCAGTGGTCACTCTTGGAACTGCAGTTTTTATGCTTCTATTTCACATGTTATTTTTTCTCACTGACAAGTCTTCACTTTCATTAAATACATCCTTTCGATATCTTATCACCCACCCTCTCTCTCCTCCCTTCTGTTTCAGGATGAACTGGACCTGACGGAGGAGCACAGAGCCGCCATGTTTGCTCTGCCTGCAGAGAAAAAATGGCAGATCTACTGTAGCAAGAAAATGGTGAGAAACTACAGCAACATATCTTCAGGTCCCACAAGTTTTTATTTTCTGGATTACCTATGTCACATTAAAGCACCTAATTCTAATGCTAATTCTTAAGCAAAATTGGCCAGTGTCTTGTCAAGTATAACCATGTTCTGTGTTTTATGTGTTTTCTTCATTGACCCCAGCATGGCTCTATTCCTACACCAAAACTTTATTTCCTGGCAAAAGTAGGCATTACAACTTCCCTGAAGTTCAAAAACAAAGATCAGATCCAGGAGAGTGTTAAAGGCACAGTGTGTACAAGTGGAAATATGTAGTGACATCATGCTGTCAGATTGTAGAGTCAAATGCTCCCTTGCTCACCCCTCCCATTAACAATACTTAGGAATACTGGAATCCATTTCTCCCAGTTCTGTTCAGCAAAAGGCTGCTAAATTCTAGAGATGGCACTTTTAAAGCTGCTGTGAGGAACTTCCTGCTCATTTTTATTTTGGTGCCCCCTGTGGACAAACAGATACCTTGATTATGTATTTGTTGTGTAATCATTTCCTATTATTAGTCCTTTTTTTAAAAAAAGTATTAAATGTCTTGTTTTCCTCTGTTTGTCATAAAAAAGGCATTTCTGTTGATTTCAGTGTGTTTCATAACCATCAAAAATTAATTATAGCAGCTTTAAACTTAAAAATGACATGGATCTTAGATTGAATTGATTTAGCCTTCAGGCTTGTTTGTTTAGTATTTTTATTTGTGTGAGTGTATAACCAAACCCTGACTTGTGTGTGTTTTTGTGTATTTGGTGCATTAAAGGAGGCGGAGGAGAATAAAGGAGCGACCAGGTGGCCAGAGTATTACATAGACCAGCTCAGGACCATGGCTGCCGTGAGTACCTCTTTCTAACATCATCCTGATGTCACTCTTTGTTCACACACAGAAACACAAATATTAAGAAAACTAAAAACTAAACAAGCAAACAAACACGCAAGCTCTCTGGGGCCTATTCTACAAAGCAGGATAACTGCTTAGCGAGGTAACTTCGAGGGTAAGTTCGGGATTTCCTGTTCTACGACGCAGGTTCACTTCTTAGCGAGGCGAGTTTCCATGGCAACGTACGCTGAACGGTTCCAGATTGAACACACTGGGTATAAAAACCCTGCCCACTGACCAATGAGCTCTCTCGAAAAATGGCTTGTCCTAGACCTCGGTGCTCGCATTGTCCAAGGAGCACTTGGGCGCGAGAGTTTTCAGGGACCACACGGACCCACTTACTTTTCCGAATGACCACCTTTAAGAAAGGCTCATATGACCTACATATCACACAAAACATGTAAACACCATAGGAATGAACAAATGAATGAAATTATCTTGGAAATGAATTAGACATGTCTGGTGCATGTTAAAAGCGCATGTTGAACAGTGCTATTTCAGGGTGATAATGGCATCAAAGATTTTTTGCGCACTATACTTATGCATTGAGACTGTCTGCAATTTTCTGCCAGCATTCCTTCCGTGCTTTTGCAGCGGCGACGGTGTTACTTTTGAGGTTTATGATAGATTTGAATTCTTCATACTTTCTCATGATCGTCTCCTGCTCCTTGTTTGTAAAATACGCGGTTCTTCGCTCTCCGGCCTGGTCCATGTTCGCGATTGGTCAGATGTGGCGGGCTCCGCCTTGCATGCGTGCATGTGCTCATAGCAAAGCTGGATCCACTTACGAGTTTGATAACCAGTGTCGTAAGACCGTTTAGTGAGACCGCTGGCTACCGCGCTAAGTTAAGCAAGGTAGCTCCAAGGCTACTTCGCTAAGTCGAACTTCCTTCGTAGAATAGGCCCCTGGTCTGTCTGGAAACTCCAATGAAAGTTTTTGACCCTGATGAAAGGGTTGCTGCTGGTTAAAAATCTGTATATTTCTATTTATGAACAGCTGTATTTCTGTGAGGATCATTCTGATGATGCCTAAAATAGCGACCAAAGCATGACAATTTTCATTAGGCTTCTCTGTGTTATTACTTTTTTTTCGGGGGGGGGGGGGTCTTTAAGTTAAGGCAGCCCCAATAATAAGACATGATGAGGTCATTTCACAAATCCCCGATCAACAGAGATAATTAGGAAAAAGGTCAGTGCATATAAAGTTAAAAAACATATTTTATGGTCTTTCAGCTAACATCAGAACACAGCTAACATTGGCTTTCAGCCACTTTCTAGCAAACTGTTTTAAATCACAGGTATGATGGAAAAGTGAAAACTTAACATAAGCAAAATTATAATTTTATAAATGAATGCATTTGAAACGCTAACATTAATGCTACTACCACTTAAATGAGGTTAGCCAGGCAATGGAAAGACGGTGTTGTAAAATTGGCGACTGTCGGCCTGTTACTATGACATTACACCTGTAGTCATACAGCCATCTTAGGGAATATGATCATTCATAGATATGAATTGTAGATACGCCATGCCCTTTCGAGCTGTGACAAAAAATAAATGTTCTAATCATTATATGATATCCATGACTGCTACAGCCTGCTAGAGTATCAAGTCCTCTTTATACAGTATATCTGTGTGAGCATCATTCTGGTGAGAAGTCTGATTTATGAATCAAGAAACAGGAGAATGCCAACATTCAGAGAAAAGGCTTTAAAGTAGAACAGCGACTAGGTTGATGGAAAAAAAAAACAGACCTTAAACACTGAGTTGTAGCTAAAATGTAAAACAGACCCCAACTTTAATATTATCATACACTAAGTATTCATCCTTTAAATAATCATTTTGTTGGCTCAGACAAACTGTGAGGACAGAAAGTCTTTAGTGTGGGTCACAGTGGAGACTGTACCTCCTGTTGTTCGTCAAATCAATAAGGTTACCTAAAGTGTTGTTGTGTTGTTGTTTAATTGTTGTTTTTAGCCTCTGTGAGGCACTTTGAAATACACCTTTTTGTCTGAAAATTTCCATACAAATGAAGTTGAATTTGAATTTGAAAGCTAGACTTTTTATGAAAAGATTTACTGAATTCTCCTCTCCTACTGTGTAAACAGCCTCATAATGTTCTAATAAGCACCACTTTGTCTCCCTGTTCTCTCAGAGGAGGACACTGCTGACCCTAGAAGATGAAGACGAGCAGGGGAGACATAAGATAGTTGAAGGCTTGAAGACAGCACTGAGGACTCAGCCAATGAGGTCAATTTCCTCTCCAACACATGGTATCTTTGTTAAGGTAGACTAACTCTGACCTGCTGCTCTTGCCTGGTTTCCTGTAGGTTTGTGACACGGTTCATTGAGCTGGACGGTCTCTCTTGCATCCTGAACTTCCTGAGGACAATGGACTATGAGACATCTGAGTCTCAGGTCCACACGTCACTGATTGGCTGCATCAAAGCTCTGATGAACAACTCTCAGGGCAGAGCTCATGTGCTGGGACACTGTGAGAGTATTAACATCATCGCACAGAGTCTGGCCACAGAGAACATCAAGACAAAGGTGCACAAGGAACACTAAAACACCCCTGAACTGTTACATCTGAAGTTTGTTAAAGAGAGGGAGTAAATACACACAAGAACATCAAGGAACGACCCACTCTCTGCCAGCACTGTCAATCAGCTCTTCTGTCTGATTTGAATCCCTGAGACATTTCTCCTACTGATTTCTCCCTCTTCAGATCGCAGTGTTGGAGATCCTCGGTGCTGTGTGTTTGGTTCCTGGAGGTCACAAGAAAGTCCTGGAGGCGATGCTGCACTACCAGAAGTTTGCAGCAGAGAGAACTCGCTTTCAGGTCAGCTCCAGGTTTTTATGTCTGCAAACTTAGAAAGATTAAATAAGATTGAATATAAATAACACAGAAAGTCCATGAATGTCAAAAGCAATAAAATTCAAAAGAAAGCCTGAAAATCTGAGAACATGTTGCATACAACACATAAACAAAACCCACAGTTCAGGTGCTCTTGAAAAAAGTGTCAAAGGCCTGAGGTTTGTCTTTGAGTGCTCTGACTGAAGTCCTGCGAAAGTTCAAAAGTTTTCATTGGTTCAGGGCAGATCCCATAACAATGTTTCATATATAATAATATAAAGGTAAATATTTTCTGTCCATTGTGCAGACTCTGGTGACAGATTTGGACAGATCAACCGGTCGCTACAGAGATGAAGTGAATCTGAAGACGGCAATCATGTCCTTCATCAATGCTGTGCTAAGCAAAGGAGCAGGAGAGGCGAGTCCATCTTTTCTTCTCTGAAGTTTTGGCTTTTACCTGGTTAATTTTAACAGGTTTTATTTCTATATTACAGCTTTTCCTCTATGCTTAACCTGACAGGGTCACGTTTGTGTTTTCAGACCAGTCTAGAGTTCAGGACACATCTGCGTTATGAGTTTCTGATGTTGGGCATTCAGCCGGTGATCGACAAACTACACTCTCATGAAAACGCCACACTGGACCGGTACATTAACAAACATCATTTCCTCATGACAGAAATTTTAAAAAAGGTGACTTGAACTTTTCTGTGTTCAGTTTCTTCATCTAACTTTGTTGTTTGCAGACATCTGGACTTCTTTGAGATGTTGAGGAATGAAGACGAGCTCCTGATGTCCAAAAAGTTTGATGCTGTGAGTCTTTAGACAAATTTTATACCTTAATATTTTTTTACACTTTTTAAATGGGGTAGCTGGTTACACATGGTCGTAGTTTCACATATTCATAGATCATAGAAACTTTTGAGTTTAGTCTGGTAAACTGTTAAAGTTTGCTGCTGAGAAACTGGAACAAAGGCAGGGAAATCCTTGGGACCAAAGTCACAAAAAGTTATTGATCGTGTCCCTTACAGATTACTACCGCCCCAACAGCATGATTTCATCTATTAGTTGAAACCATTGGAGGAAGTGCTGTATGTTCTGGTGTCCCATAAAACAAACAAACAGCAGCTTATTTCTGTAACTTCACATTTTGATGCTAAACAGTGTTAAAAATGTGTGAGACATGACAGATTTGTTTTTGTTTGATTTTTCAGGTCCACGTAGAAACCAAGAGTGCAAGTCAGATGTTTGAGCTGATCCAAAAGAAGCTGAAGCACAGTGAAGCGTACCCTCACCTCCTGTCTGCCCTGCAACACTGTCTCATGATGCCCTGTAAGACTCTGAGCGCACCTCAGAACTGAACCTACCTGGTTTTGACTTTTCTGTGTGCAGGGGTGCACTCAGGATGGTTGAGGGACACCATAGATTATAAGAGCACCTGCTGTATAACGCAGAAAACACATGCATGACAACCACACACATAGTCAAATGGGAACACCTATTTGGCACTTTGTTGATATTTAATCCTCTAAAGAAGAAACCAGGGGGCACCTTGTTTACATCTCATGTACTGCAAGAGCAAACAGAAGGCACTTTCTTTCCGCAAAACTACAGGAAGAGTGACTAGGGGCTACTTTGTTCATATTTGATCCAATAGAAAAGCAACCATTGGTCATCTTATTTACTCTTTACACTCTCAGAGAAGGGTATTAAGAGGGCACTTGTTTACATTTTATATGCTAAATGTATTTAGGGGACATTTCATTTGTTAAAAAAGCAAACACAACAGACAGTTTATCTGCTGGAAGGGTAATCAGAGGACACTTAGTATACATGCAATGCACTGAAAGGGCAGACCGAGGAGCACTTTGTTTACATTTTAGTCACTAAATGAGCAACCAGAGGGCATGTTCTTCACATTTGTATGCAGAAAATGAAGCAGAGGGTACTCTGTTTACATTTTTTTTTAAATGCAACCCTTCTCCTGGGCTCTTCTGACATTTTATCCAACAAAAGCACAGCCAGAGGTCACGTTGTTTGCATTTCATATGTTTAACATACAGTACCTCTGCAAAGTTTTTTTCTTACATGAATTTTGGGTGTGTTTGCAGACAAACAGAGCAGCACCACTCTTCAGTACTGGGTTCTGTTGGACCGGATCATCCAGCAGCTAGTTCTGCAGACAGATAAAGGTGAAAACCCTGATGTGGCCCCGTTGGAGGACTTCAATGTGAAAAATATTGTCCGCATGTGAGTTTCTGAAGTTTCTGACTCTGTGTTGCTTCAATAAAAACTAAATTTAAACTGCAGCACTGTGCTCTGTGGTACAAGAAAGTTCATGATTTAAAGCTCCTGTGAGGAACTTTTAGATGACACTAGACCATAAATATCTGCTGATTTTGAGCCATAAGTATATAAAATGTATGCAAAAAAAAGGTTTATTTCAGTCCAGTAAAATTCACTGCCTTGTGCTGCAGCAGCTTTAACAGTTACAGTAGCAGAGACAGTGGTAGAAATGAAGCAGATCCTAACTGTAAATCTTTTGTCTCTTTTGTCCTCAGGCTGGTGAAAGAGAATGAGGTGAAAAAATGGAAAGAAGAAGCTGATCAAATGAGAAAAGGTAATATATATATATATATATATATATATATATATATATATATATATATATATGTATATATATATATATATATATATTTATTTATATTGATTGGGGGATTTTTCTGCTTAATATAATATTTGGAATTAAAAATCATTGCAGTGAGGAAACCTTTCAGGCCAGAAGGAAACCCAAACTCTGATCCAGATGGTTATTTTGATGGTTTACTTTTCAAAAATAAAACTAAAGAGTTATACAAGGATTATTTTACAGCTAGTTTATCGAACTGGTGTAAATATGCAGCACAAGTATTGTGTGTAAAATATAATGTGTCTATTTGATATAAGGGGTGCACAGAGGAACTAAAACTCTCTTTAAATTAAGCAGGATGCTGTCAAGAGCATGTAGTATTGGGGCAGTATTGCCCCTTGTGGCTGAGGAAAGTATTACAATAACACGTTAAACCAGCTTAGCAAAATTGAGTTAGAACTCATCTATAATTTCTTACATGTGACTCTGAATTTTGAGGTTTCACTTTTTGATTAAGTTATTATTTCTTTCTTGATTTTAAGTCAAAACTTAAGATAATCCAGCCCTTTAGAGAATAAATCCCTTGTTTCCTCCCTCATTTGCTTTGTTTAACCTCCATGCTGCAGGTTATGGCATACGCCAACATGCAGAAAGGAACAAATGTTAATGGTACCCTGCTCTGCTCCGTCACTAACCAGTCATCACTCTGCAGCTAAGCCATTTGTCTTTGTCCCACCATTCCTCCTCTGCAGAGCATCAGAACTTGCAGCAGCGTTTTGAGAAGAAGGAGAGAGAGTGTGAGGCCAAGAACAAGGAGAAAGATGACATGATGGCGATGCTGAGCAAAATGAAGGACAAACTGGAGCGAGAGGGCAAAGACCTCAAGAGCGCAAAGCAACAAGTGACAGAGCTGTCGGCTCGCCTGCAGCAGCAGCTCAGCGCCGTACGTCGAACAGACTCACGTTCATTCATCTGTGTCAGTCAGAGTGATCATAAATATGAATAGTCCTGTTTTTGCTCTTCTTCTCAGAGCTCAGGTGTTCCAGGTGGACCTCCTGTTCCTTCAGGTGGATTAGTGCCATCTGGTTCGATCTCCTCCATCATTTCTCCTCCTCCTCCGCCTCCTCCTCCTCCCCCACCTCCTCCTCCAGGAGGCCCGCCAGCTTTCGGCATGGCTCCATTCGCTCCCCCTCTTCCTCCTGGAGCTCCTCTTGGAAATGTGCAGAGGAAGAATATCCCTCGACCGTCAAATCCTCTGAAGTCCTTCAACTGGAGCAAACTTCCTGATGTATGCTAAGACCTATCAAATTATTTAACTCTTATACAGAACTAACCCCCACTGTGCTGCTCATACTGTAGATCAGTAATTTAAGAGGAAATAAATAAGAGCCACCAATGAAAACAGAGCCCAGTGGAAAAAAAAAAAATAAAAACCTGATGCAAAGTTTGTTTTTTCAGAAAAAAGTCGAGGGAACCATCTGGAGAGACATCGATGACCTGAAGGTGTTCAAGGTTCTGGATCTGGAGGAGCTGCAGAGGATTTTCTCAGCCTACCAGAAACCACAGGTGAAAAATCACAGGTGAAAAATCACACACACTCACACACACACACACACACACACACACACACACACACACACACACACACACCTGTTCCATTTATCTTTGTGTTTAAAGTGTCATTTCACTTTTAAAAAATTTAATTCAAACCAACAGAAGGACACTGAAGATGATCACTCTGTCGCAAAGAAAGTCAAGGAGCTGTCAGTGATCGACGGACGTCGAGCACAGAACTGTAACATCCTGCTCTCACGGTCAGTGTGTGTGTGTGTGTGTGTGTGGCTATGTGACTGTCCTGTGCTTACATCATTCACTTATAACTACTGAGTTGACAAAATTACATCTTTATTCCAGGCTGAAGCTGAGCAACGATGAGATCCGACATGCGATCCTGTCAATGGATGAACAGGAAGATTTACCCAAAGACATGCTGGAGCAGGTGAGAAAATAAAAACTAGGGGTATGATGATACACTCAGCTCAGGAGAAGGGTGGAGATGTTATAAACAAGAATGAGGTGTTTGTTTGGGGAGCTGGAATGATGAAATCCACAACTACAAAAACCTGTCTGTCTGTCAAACTAAAGTCAGAAAAACAAAATAAAGCAAATCCATTTAGATGTGTTTGAACCTGTCACTATCTGGTTTGAATGCCACGTCAAATGAACCTTTAAAACTTTTCCACCTTTCAGCTGTTAGATTTTAAGTTACAATCTGAGAAACGATATGGAAACATTTTTAAACCTCACCTGATTCACATCTCATCTATGTTTCAAACATTCTCCAGATTCCCTGATATGTATGTATTCTAATATTTGATTCATAAACAGAAACATGGGCTGTTTCAATGCACTTATCGTAATGACTGGAATATAGGTGCACTTATTTTTTTCCTGCAGCTGGTTTGACTGACTGTGAATGTGAACACGTGAATATGTGATCATGCACTAATGATATTTGTGTGTTTATGTTTGTGTGTGAAGCTGCTGAAGTTTGTCCCTGAGAAGAGTGACATCGAGCTGTTAGAGGAACACAAACACGAGCTGGACCGGATGGCCAAAGCAGATCGTTTCCTCTATGATATGAGCAGGTGTGCCAAATTCTGACTCTCATGGTTTGTAAAGCACTTTGTCATGATGGTTTGATCAAGTGCATGAAAAATACCCTATATTTTTCTGCATTAACAGAATTATCATTACCTTGTAGCTTCATCAAACAGGGATTTAGGTTTTGTTTACTCTCTGTCTCTCTACCTCTGCAGAGATGTTTTGCACCATCAGTCCTCTCACAGTCTGTCTGTTTTCTGTCCTCCAGTATTAACCACTACCAGCAGCGACTACAGTCCCTCTACTTCAAGAAGAAGTTTGCAGAGCGAGTGGCCGAGGTCAAACCCAAAATTAAAGGTGAGGCTTTATATCCTAAAAAGTTCTAGAGAAACAGAGTTTAACTTCATCTTAACTGATGATCTTTGTGTCTGGGGTCTCAGCTCTGAGTATGGCGTCCAGGGAGGTGCTTCAGAGTCAGACCCTGCGTCAGCTCCTAGAGGTTGTCCTGGCCTTGGGAAACTTCATGAACAAAGGACAGCGTGGAAACGCTTATGGATTTAAAGTGTCCAGTCTCAACAAGATCGCAGACACCAAGTCCAGCACCGACAAGTGAGCACAGATTTCTGCGTGGTTTCAGAGGAGTGTTTGTAGCAGATCTTTGTCTGAGAAGCCAGAGAGAAGAGACAGTTTTAAATTTGTGTGTGTGTGTGTGTGTGTGTGTGTGTGTGTGTGTGTGTGTGTGTGTGTGTGTGTGTGTGTGTGTGTGTGTGTGCGTGTGCGTGTGCGCGCGCGTGTGTGTGTGTTGTGTTTGCAGACACATCACTCTGCTGCACTACATGATCACAGTGCTGGAGAAGAAGTATCCGAGGGTGATGTTATTCAGCCAGGAGCTACAGAACGTGCCAGAAGCTGCTAAAGTCAAGTAAGAGCAGTCACACACTTTTGGTGCAAATAATCCATGTTTGACAGAGGCGACATATACAAGCTGAAGTTTGATTTGTTTCTCTCACCTCTCTAACTGAAAGGATTGTTCTTTGGATTTGAACCAATCTGTCAGAGCTCAGTTGTTGCAGATTCAAATGTCATTATTTGACTATGTAGATGTTCAAAGGAGAATACAAACTAACTTTGAGCTACTGGGGCAGCAGTAGCTCAAGAAGTAGAGTGTTTGTCCAATAACTGGAAGGCTGGCTGTTCGAGTCCCCCCTATCCTTTGCCTACCTTGCTCCCAGTGTGTGTCCTGATTGTGAGTGATGTTTGGTGGTGGTTGGAGAGGCTGTAGGCGCAAACTGGCAGCCATGTTCTGTCAGTCTTCCCCAGGGCAGTTGTGACTACTAAGGCAGTTTACCACCACCAGGGTGTGAGGAAATGAATGATGTATCCAATGTAAAGCGCTTTGAGGGTCCCTGATAAAGCACTATTTGAAATCCGATGCACTGTCATTATTAATATTTGAAAACCGGTTCAAGATGAGCCACTTCTAACAAATACATCATTTCCCTTTTCCTTTTGCAGGGCCCATATTGAAGCCCTGCACTTAGTCTCATCCATAAGATATTGACGTGACACATGCCGAGACTTTGTCAGTGCAAACGACAAAAGAGTCTAGGAGTCCAAACTGCTGTTGTATATTGTTACATGTTTATCATTAAAATCAGTTTGATTGATGTTTATGAAATGTCTTAACTAGATTCTAGCAGGAAATATCTGCTTCAGTCTCAAAACTCAGAAATGGTCACATACAAATGTGAAACTGTAAAGCATTTATTTGGAGGCAGCAAAACCGACAGTTTTACCGTGCTCAGAAAAAGGTTCAATGTTCTACCTGAAAACAAAAAGGGACAGATTATTAAAAAAGATATAAAGTGTATTTGGAGAGGAGATTATAATCCATAAATATCCATAATCCATTTGAATAAAAAAAATTAAATTGTAATCTTGACAGTAATATTACTGGTTGTCTTCCCAGTATGACAGAATTGGAGAAGGACATCGGGAACCTGAGATCTGGTCTGAAGAGTGTGGAGGAGGTAAGCGAGCTCAGTGAAAATTTGATCACTTTGACCTCTGAGGCAAAACGTGTGTCAGATATTTACTTATTTCAAAAAAGCAGCATCTTTAACCATGTGTTTCTGTACGGTCTGCAGGAGCTGAAGTACCAGCAGGCTCAGTCCTCCACTGGGTCAGATAAGTTTGTCCCTGTGGTCAGTCAGTTCATCACCGTGGCGTCTTTTAGCTTCTCGGAGGTCGAGGAGTCACTCAGCGAGGCAAAAGAGGTGGTGAGTGGACAAAAAGTAACTTTGATTTACTTTTATTTCTGTTCTGGTTCAACTCCTTGTCAAAAGGTTAGGAAACTAAGGTGTCTGCAGAGTTGATATGCAGAGTGTGGCTAAGTCTAGCAGAGCGTGCACCACCAGTCTTCAGCTTAACGTCCGCATGCAGCCAGTACAGCCCGTTTCACTGGGTCTACTGCATGTAGACACCATTGATAAGAGAGAATTAACTGACCATTTAAACTCCTAAAACCGCTGTGTCTTCGGTTTCAGTTTGAGAAAACACTAAGACACTTTGGAGAAGTTTCCAACCTGCAGCCGGACGAGTTCTTCGGGATCTTCGACATGTTCCTTGCGGCATTCTCCGAGGCCAAACAGGACAATGAGAACATGGCCCGACGCAAAGAGGAGGAGGAGAGACGGGCGCTCATGGAGGCACAGGTCTTTATCGGCTCGGATAACTTCAGACTGATGTTATAAAAGATATTGAAATTAAAATGCTGACAATAACCCGGGTACTCTTGTTCTGCAGCTGAAGAAAGACCGGGAGCAGAAGGCGAGGAAGGCCAGAGCAAATGAAGAGGAGGGCGGAGAGTTCGATGACCTAGTGTCTGCTCTGCGCTCTGGAGAGGTGTTTGATAAAGATCTGACCACAATGAACCGCAGGAAACAGCGGAAACATAACCTGTTTGACAGCGGCCGGGAGAGACCAGTAACTAAACTTGACCAGTAACAGGACACTGTGAAGCCTCACTGGGACTGTTAGCACTGCTGTATAGATGAATACCTCAATAACGCTGCACTATCTTTCCTGAGATGCCTACTGTTCATTTTCCTCATATAACATCTCATCTGTGTTGTTAACTGGAGAGGACTCACATCAGAAGTTAGCCATGGCAGCAGCTTTACGAACACAAGCAAAACAGCAGAAAGAAAATCTTCATATTTTCAATAGGGAACCAAACATGCACACTACAATCACTGGGCACTCATCCTTTAATCATTCATTTTTAACATGGATGTCAAAACCTTTAACTGCCATTAAACTTTGCATTGCTTCGTTGTTAATGTTTGTCTAGGACAGATCACTGTTGAGGAAATATAACACTCAAACAGTCATTACAGTGGATTTTGCTCTGCCTGCTTTGGCTCTCAGTACTGACTGTTTTTCCTCTACACAAAACTACTGATTTCTGATTGGTGGATCATAGTCTACACCATAGACTGTATATAGAATGGATGCCATCTGCCTCCTTGCTGGGTGAAGCCACCATGAGAACAGCACCCTCTGGTGACAGGATGCAGTATAGATCATAAATCCCACCTCCTCCAGCAACCCCTATTGAGCTGTGGACAAACTTTAGAAATTTATTACACAGAATATAAATTTTTCTCCCCCCTGCTTGCGATGTTGACATGTAGTTACTGTAAGACTGCTATGTGCTCAAGTTCTCTTTTTTCTGTTCAGCTCCATTTTAAAAGTTATTAGGGGGTTAATCTTTTCTATGATTGACACTTGATACAGCCCATGGGCGTACGAAGATTGCGAAGCTCACCCAGGGGATACGCTGTTGAGTGTCATCACAGCGACATTCCCCCCCAAATGCATACAACACTACTGTGCAAGTAGTGGTTTCAGGAAGTGGAGAAAATCCCGGAAATACCAAGAGCAATTCGGCTTCAAATCCGTATAATGACTGAAGGCGGTACCAAGTTATCCATAGTATATACAGTCTATGGTCTACACACAAAAACCAGAGCACTTCCCAGACTAAAACCCAGACCCCTGCCAACATTTAAAAACAAAGCTCAACCACACAGACTTCACTCTGCACATTAACATGACTTTGTGTTTTATTCCACATTTAAAGAGCAGCCAACAGGACACACAGATTTCCTTTGTAAATTTATCTTGCACTACGTACCTGCCTCCTCCCCCTCCACACCTGTCTGTCTGTCTGTGTGTGTGTGTGTGTGTGTGTGTGTGTGTGTGTGTGTGTGTGTGTGTGTGTTTTTCAACGTACGTGTAAAGCATAAAGAGGACTTATTGATGTTTAAACCCGTTCTAACAGGCTGTTTGCACAGAAGAGAAAAACAGAATATTTAAGACTTTGAGTGATTGAAATAGTGGAGAGATTCTGAATGTGTTTGCTGTTTGTCTGAATGGTACGTGTCCTGTTACATAAATGAAGGATGGTAGACATTCGAGCTGTCTGAAAGAGCACATACAACCTTTATCAGTGTAAATGCGTCACCTACACTGTACACATGTAACAACCTTCAACTTTAAAATGTACCCTTTTGTGTAATATAACCACTGAGGCTCCTCATAAATACATTTGGTTTTCCGTGATTCAGTTTGTTTGTTTAGATTTTCATTTTTACTTTTAATACTTTTCTTTAACTTTAGGATGTATCAACTAGTAAGGGATGCTTTAACGACTCATCCAATTACAAAGTTCACAGAGAGTGAACTTTTTATTCACCAACAGAATCATTTTTATTGTTTATCCACTGGTAAGGGCATCCAGAGGGCAGTTTGCATTGTTTTATTCAGTGAAGAGGGTGCTCATGGGAAAACTCTAATATTTATCTGCCAGAAAAGGCATCCAGAGAGCACTTTTCTTTTTTCTTTTTTTTGACCAAAGGGGCATTCAGAAGGAACCATTTTACGTTGACTCTACTTGAAATGGTATCCCGAGGACATTCAATGTTTTATCCACTGAAAAGGCATTAAGAGGTCTCTGTTTTACTTTTTAACCCTGTAAAGTGAATCCAGGGGGTTGTCTGTATTTGATCTTTTGGGAAGGGCATTCAAATAGATAACTTTTAATATTCATCCACTGTCAAGGGCAACCTAAAGGTATTTTTATGTCAAATCAAACAGGAAAGGCATTGAACAGGCACTTTAAAATGTTTTAATCACTAAGAAAGACATCAAGAAGCAGCTTTTTCATAATGGATCTACTGGAAATGGCATCCGGAGGGACTATGTTTTATACACTGAAGAGGCATCAACTCAGCAATCTGTCATGGTTTTATCCTCTACAGTAGGAAGGGAATGCAGAAGGTTCTTTTACTTATAAGCCATGTAAAAGAAATACAGCAGGTACTTTTTGGTTTGATCTATTAGGTAGGGTGATCAGATGGCTCTTTATCGTGTTTTATCCACAAGAAAAAGCTATGGGAGCAACCTCTAATGTCTTTCCAGGAGAGAGCACCAGAGAGGGCATGCTATTTTTCAACTACTTTCATGGGCATTCAAGAGCGTATTTTTGCAGCAGACATGAGGCCATGTTGCACTTCCTTGAGCGCAAATGGGAGGCAGTGAAATAAGAGAAGCACAGACACATCAAGCTGTAACTTTGTGAGAGAATTGTTGCGAGTTCTGAGCACATTTTTGCTGTTTAGTTATGCATTTACCAAGAACAAGAAATTTTGATTCAACTCCAAGCATCTTTTAACCTTAGCTGAATTTAATGATCTTTTTGTGCCAGCATGGAAAGACAGAATCAGGTCTGGTTTTAAAACACTCAGTAATCAAGTTTTACAGACAGGGGGTCTTATTTCTAAATGATATACGGGTTAGGCCTACATCATCTGGATTTAGTTATTTTAATCTTTTGAAAGAAGTATTATGGATCCTGAAGTATTCTTATCGCTCTGTGTGTGTGTGTGTGTGTGTGTGTGTGTGTGTGTGTGTGTGTGTGTGTGTGTGTGTGTGTGTGTGTGTGTGTGTGTGCTCTCACAGACACTATCACACTGCAGGCTGCAGTCAGAGGATTACAGTATTAGTAATGGAAAAATTGTTTGTCGCCCCTTGTGGAGACTCTCATCCGCCTAGAAACAAAACAAAGCTGCATTCAAGAGCGCGAACCAGCGGTGTTCGTGTTTAATAAAGCCACCCATCTCACTATTGCACTTAAAATCCAGTTTCAGAATTGTCATCCACACGTGAATGCAGTTCAGTAGTTTAAAAGACTGAAACGATGGTAAAAACCAGCAAAATGTTCTGCTATGCTGCGTTCCCCGTCCTTGAGCGATGGGACGTTCAGGAACACTCAGGTGTTTCATCGACGCTGCGAAAACTGCTGTTGGTGGCTGTCTACTTCCTGAATTTACCACAACACATAAAATCGACCGACTGACTGGAGCTAAAAACCGACTAAAACCGACATTATTTCACCCACATAACCCAGGGAGGTGCCCCGAGTTTCAGCCCCACCACCAACGGCTTGTCTTGAGGAGGGTCCCCGCCGCCCTGTCGCCGCGATGGTGGAGACTCCAGCCGGCTGTCTGTTTGAAGACATCCAGTATGAGGACATCCAAGTAGAAGCGGTAAACTTACTCACTGTTACAACACAGAGACACGGCTGTGACTAACCCTAGCTGTGAAGGAATGATGGAGAAATGTAAGAGTTTAATTGAAGCTTCGTGTCCTCTGTGTTCGTGAACACATCAGACTGCCTGTCTAACAGCACGGCCAACTGTCCTTCAATGGAAAGCACAGTCTGAGTTTGTTACACTCAAGTATGGATAACGTATCAGATAAACAGCATTTAAAGCACTATATAAGGCGTTTTAACAATCACAGCTAGGCCCCAGATTTTACAGCACATGATTATGAAACTTAAGGTGTAGGTGCTGAAATGTTAAAGTCATAAAAATACACCTTTTAGCCCTGATGGGACTAAGTTTACACATTCAGCCCATTCGCCTGATATTCAGGTCTGTGTTGTGTTTAACGGGGACAGACAAACTTCTGTCTGAAAGTGTTACAGAAAGGATCCTTAGTGAGCTTTTAGATAAAGATAAACCATTTAAACAGGCACCACTTTCCCCATAGCGGCAAAACTGCAGCTGCTTCAACTTTCACATCTGGGTAGCTGCTATTCTTACTGTTTTTTTTTTTTTGGTTTGTTTGTTTTTTTAGGGGGGGCTTTAAAATAAATTGGATCCAACAGAGTTTCTGCTTTCTTGCCCTAAACTACAAAATCAAAGTTATCAACCAGAGCAGAAGTTTACAAGAAACTCCTGTGTCCAGCAGAGTCACATTGAAGCTGCCGTCTGTATATTTTGATAATGGTTTGACGGCTGTTTCTGGGGTCAAAGAATTATCTCCCCCTTTAACAAAGAGGTCTATCTCTGTAGGAAACCTTTCTTTACTGTTAACAGACAATCTGAGCCTGTTAGTGACATGTTAAGTATTTTTTAGTTGTGTCAGATGTTGTCCTGTGCATAAGAGCTGCATAATGAAGCAGTCAGTCAACAGGAGTGAATCAAAAGGTTTGCATGTCTTGAAATATTTGGAAGTGTCTGATCGTTGTCGTTGTCTGTGGAGCTGCAGCAGCTGACTGACTCTTCATGTCGCCTTTGTATTTTTTTACTCATTATCTGACACAACTTTGGATTAAACTGAGACCAAACGAGTGGAGCTTTTCACAGAAGCATCAGCCCTGATCTGAAATCCATAAAACAACCTGATTTGTTTCTCTTTTTTGCTATTCATTAAAAACTCATCAATTATAGGCTAAGATAAACATGTATACTACAATATAATTTGCCTTGAGAAATGTATTTTTACATCACTGTATACATCAGAAAGTCTTGTGAGGATATGTTACTTATCTGAATATTCTGATTTGTTGAAAATTTTCACAAAATCTCACCTCTTTTTAATTAAAACAACAAACAAAACATTTAAATATCAGTGTTAAAATCCACCTGTCTGCTCCCTCAGTCGTCTGTTAAGCGACAGATACTAACTTTTCAACAATTAATGATGATATTGTGAGAGCAGCTCATCTGATGGCTGATGAAGATGCCAATATCACGTTTTTGTTGTTGTTGTTTTTTTTCTTTTAATAAGATTGCAAAAGGATCTAAATTAAACACTGCCCAGTTACTCTTTTAGATTTAAAATGCCTTTAGATGTGAAAAATATGTTTTCATTCATAAAGATGGTTTTAAAATCGGTCTTCATGGTGTGATGCAAATATGATGTTGATTTGGCATTTATCAGCCTGATTAGGGAGTCTGTCTCTAACACAGTCCCTAAGAAAACAAAGTGATCAGATGCATGCTGAATCAATAATTTTAAGAACAAGTTAAACATATTCCCATGAAGTCATGAGGTGGTTTGACTCCCCTCCTTTCTCCTCCCACCTCCTCCTGTCTCTCTCTCCAGCTGTCCCATTAAGTCATCAGAAATGATTTAAGTGTTCCTCCGTGTGTTTACATGTTATGTTTCTTCAGGCTGTGGGCAGAGGGACATTTGGGGTCGTCTTTAAAGCCGTCTGGAAAGGAAAGGACGTCGCCATCAAGACTATTGAGAGTGAGAATGAGAGAAACGCTTTCCTGGTGGAGGTGTGTAAAAAAGCTTTTGTCTGCATGACATGAAACCTGCAGACTGTCAGATACTTTAATCATGTTTAAAAACCAGAAGAAGCGAAGATATCCGGTACTTTTACAGGAGGAAGTCTTAACTTCCTTTAAAGTTTGTAACACGCCTCTAAGACTTCTTCTTTAAAACTGGAAATGAATGAAGTCGATAAAACTAAAACTTGACTTTGGATTGTGATAAAAGTTTAATCCCACTGAAGACAGATTTTTATAAAGGTAATTTGTTTTAGTATCAAACATGTAAAATGTCTTACCGAGGGTAAAATCCTACATCACTTTCAGGTTAAGAAATAAAAATATGTGTTTCTTCATGACATACTTGTGTCATGTTCAGAATTAGGCTCAGGAACTATCAAAGCAAAGAATAAAAGCAAGTGAGATGTTCAATGACATTTCTTAATTCTGTAATTCTCCTCAGATGATATTCAGTTTCTCTCTGATTGTGCAGCAGTGCTGTGGTGTATTCAGGGAACCTCTGACATTAAATTTTTAAAAGAACTTTGAAAATCAAAGTTTTATTAAAGTGAAAAAAAAAAAATATATATATATATATATATATATATATATATATATATATATATTTAATATCAGTGTATTTATTGAAGACATTAGAAAGGCAGATGACTCTTTTTTTTTTTAGGTCATACTGACACGGTCTCTGTAATGATATATAATTAATGCATTAATAATTATCTTTATGTTGAAATGAATGTTTTTGTCTGTGCACAGCTCCGGCAGCTCTCCAGAGTGAACCATCCAAACATAGTGAAGCTGTATGGCTCCTGTGACAACCCAGTATGAATTGAGCTTTTTAACACTCTGACTAATTGTTATTGTTTTTAATCCTAGAATGAGTTTTTCTGTCATTTATATACAACCTCAGTGTGTCTATCACACCACCATCATCATATTCACATCAAGTAGATGCATATTTTTAGCCTTAGACATACATATATTTTGGAATATCCTAATTTGGTATTATAAATTATATTATACTATGTAACATGTCTCTTTTATTCTTAATATTTTCCCTTTTTAAATAAACCACACTTTTATAAATGCAGCGACAGTCAACAACATTTTGAGTCACAAATCTGTGTCAGTCATGTCTGCTCCGTCTGTTATGATGCGTTCAAGAAAAAACAAGCTCCTGAACAAAAAATAACGTGTGTTTTTTTATTCAGGTCTGTCTTGTCATGGAGTATGCAGAATGTGGCTCTTTATATAACCGTAAGTCATGTTGTTCATTTCCACACTTTGCAGTACATTCACATTTCAAAACATGTAAGAAAACCCTCATAAAAATACCAAAAGATGTGGATATAAAGATTAAATACAATAACTGAAATATGCAGGAAAGTATTCATTACAAAGCAACACCAAGCTATTTATTATTATCTCTTGTATTTATGTATTTATTCAATAGAGTCAGAAACTAACACTGTAAGTGGGTGTTCAGATCAAAATACTAGTGAAAAAGAGAAACACCTGCAGAGTAAATGCTGTCAATTTGAGTTCATTACATTCCTGTAGTAGCACCAGTTCATCTGTTTTTTTGAGTCTCAGTTTCACCGTAAATAGTAAGTTGCACAGAGGCTTCACTCTGGCCTACCACAGGAGTGCAAATCTGAAAAAGAAACCAACTCTCCTGATATTTAAACTCAATTTGCTGGGCTGAATTTAGCCTTAATAACATTAGGATGCAGAGTCTCAGTGTCACTGTTAACAATGAGTTACACATCTTTAGTTTGCTGCAATAAAAACATCATGATGCAGATTAGTCTAAAGTCCAGCTTTGTCAGGTCTTGAAAATGTTTGTTGAATGGAAGTCAGGTCCCTAATTTATGATGCATTCAGGGAAGTCAGGAAATCTAAAGTAAATGTTTGATTGTTAGCTGAACTTCATGCTAATATCTGTCTCCTTAGATTGCAATGGAGTGTGTTCTGCCTGTTTTTGCTCTACATACAGACCTGATTGATCAAAACTACTTAGATTTCAAACAGAAACCAGAACAGTATCCAGAATCTATTAACAGAGACCTGTTTGAATGGAAAGTGTACTTCATCACATTTGTGGTCTTATGATCTCTCTGTCTGTATTTCTGTTTTTTTTTTGTACCTCCAGTCCTCCACAGCGCAGACCCGCAGGCTCACTACACAGCAGCTCACGCCATGAGCTGGTGTCTGCAGTGTGCACAGGGAGTGGCATATCTGCATGCCATGAAGCCAAAAGCCTTAATCCACCGAGACCTCAAACCGCCAAAGTAAGAGTCTCTGAAGGGTCATTAAAGTCAAGGTTACCCACAAAAGTAGGATCACTGACTGCAAAAACCCCCAAAACATCCTGGGCTTAAGTAAAGGTCTGACCCCTGTCCTGTGCTGTGCCTCAGTCTGCTCCTGGTGGCTCGTGGGACGGTGCTGAAGATCTGTGACTTTGGGACAGCCTGTGACATTCAGACCTACATGACGAATAACAAAGGCAGTGCCGCCTGGATGGCTCCAGAGGTGTTTGAAGGTAAAAGTCAAACACTGCTTTCACTTTTTACTCAAACGCATGGTCGTGGTCGGGTTCATATTAATCTGCCATGTAAAGTGCCTCAGTGAATACAGCTAAATCCTTCCACTGGAGACAGGGAGGGAGATTCACTTGGAAACAATCTGCTCTAGTGATATTCAAGCTCATGAAACCCCCGAAGTTCTGCAGATCTGTACACTTTGCTCTTGTGTTGTGTCTGGTTTTGGAGATGAGCTGTTAGCATCTCTTCTTTCCAGAGCACAGAGCTCCACTCTCATTGTGGTGGTGATTAAAGAATAAAAAGGCCAACATGAGCAAATGTGACCAGTTTGTTTGTCAGTTTGTGGACAGATATTGGGATTTTGAGGGCTGATACCGACACTGATCAAGTGTAGTGTGCTCTGCAATTTTTCAGGCAGTAACTACAGCGAGAAGTGTGACGTGTTCAGCTGGGGGATCATCCTCTGGGAGGTCATCACACGCAAGAAACCATTTGATGAAATTGGTGGCTCGGCGTTCTGTATCATGTGGGCCGTCCACAGAGGTGAGAGAAAACCTGCACCAAGGACAGTAACAGCTGATTTAGTGGGGTCTCGTTCTAGTGGTATTTAACTGATGCTGACAGCCCCTCAACAAGAGTTTCCTGTTTCACAGGTACACGTCCTCCTCTGATTAAAGACCTACCTGAGCCCATTGAGACTCTGATGACCCGCTGCTGGGACAAAGAACCGAGCCAGAGACCATCCATGGAGGAGGTGAAGAACACCATGAGCCAACTTATGAAGGTAAAACCCCCAAATTAAACCCTCTCGTTTGGTTTTGCGTGTTGTTTGCACAGTTCAAATAGGCCTGACCTGTCAGTCAGCTGTTTTAGTCCAGATTAAAAGCTTCCTTTGAATTGCAGATTTGGGGTTTTATGCATAATTATTGCACATGCACAAACAGGGCGTGAGGGTTAGGGTTAGGGTTTTAAATGCTATACCCCGAGCAAATAAGTGCAATTATTCCTAGAAAAACCTAAAATCGACAAGATCCTTGGAATAAGTCAGACTCACTGAAAACAAACCTGGTTTCACTCGTGATCAGGAGAATGAATCAGTCCCCCAGCAGGTATGAGAGTGAGCTCTCACTCACTAATCCTTGTTTTTGGACCTTCCAGTACTTTCCAGGCTCTGATGAACCTCTCAAGCTCTCTCATCAGTCTTCAGCCAACAGGAGTGGCTCTTCGTCAGCCGCCAGCTCAGGTAGAATAAATGCTATGCAGCTTCAAATGATGCAAAGCGTATTTCAGAAAACTTCAAAACATATGTCTGTTTAATCCAGTTTATTAAGAATGCAGAAAACTTTATTGATCATAAATGAGTTTGTACCTTTTGCAGGCTCGTACGCTGACTTCACCTTCAACAGCAACAGGAGCGACGACAACTCAGAGCACAGAAACTCGACAGGACGAGAAGAGACGCTTAAGAGTTTTGAGGCCAAGTTCCCTCTGCAGTTCAAACCCTCAAAGGTACTTTAGATTAACTTTATCTATAAAACTATATTTAACAAAGTTATGAGGGACTTAACCTGTATCAGTCAGGATTTGAGCAGCTGGACAAACATCCTCATTCATTAGCAGACAGAATGAAAACTGTGAGATGGTTTTCCAGCATTGATACAGTTTTTTGTCACAGTGAAGTTTAAAAACTTCCAGAGGTAAAACCATAAAAAGTGTTCATTCTGTCAGAGCTGATGATTTCTATCCTCTCACCCTCAGACGTCCACTCTACGTACTGGTCTGTCCAGAGTTTCCAGCATAGAAAGCCAACCTGGACTGTCCCAAAGCCCCACCCACAGCACCAGCCCTGTGACCACAACCAGCCAATCAGAGCTCAGAATGACCTTCAGTCCTACAGGTAAGCAGCCCGATGCAAGTCTGCTGAGATGCTGTGGCTGTCAGTTGATCTTAAAGCCAAATTCAAATTCTCAGGGGTGAGGGAAGACAGTCCAGCAGCCAGGTAAACACCTAGAACATACAGTATAAAGGTGTGTGTTCACAGGTAAAAACGCCACTGTAACAGGGTTAGAAGAGGTTCATCCACATGCTCTTTTATTTATTCTATCCGTGGCTCTAAATCAGAAATCAATAGCTGTATCATGTGTGTCAAGAAAGTTAAAGAGCCTCAGAAAATAAAAGATGATTTAAACCAGTGAGATAAAAAATGAATATGTACACCCCCTTTGAACAGCAGAGGGTGCTATCTGCCTTTATCCTCTGTTATTGGACATCCTTTTGTCTTCTCTGCCTGTATCTGAACAAAGGTGTGCAGACACGGTGGTAGAAGGTAAATATTTTGCAGCTGTGGATTCATCATCAGTGTTTCCCACACATTGACGATAGTTGAGCAGTTTAAATTAAGGAGATCTGATTATTATTAGCTAATTTTCTTAAAGTAAGATCGCTACTGCTGGCAGTAAGTGGGTTATCAGTGGAGGGTGGTATTTGTTGCCTAAAAGGGTTAAAAAAAATCATCAACAATAGTGATGAGTTTATTAGTTATCTGTAAAACCTTAAACAGCTGGAAGGGGGAGATGTCGGTCAGATTGATTTCCTGCATGCTAAAGAAAAGTCTATTTCCAAAATTGAGTCGTATATTTTAACGTTAAAATAAAGCAGGGTTAAGACTGTCCTGTTTGAAAACAAGACTTAATCATCAGATTAGAGGCACTCAACATATACTGAAAGTTTATTGCAGGAGCTTTAAGAAACATCATATCCTGATTCCAGAAGCTGGAGGAAGACCTTATCTACCCAGAGGACCATGAAAGAAAGGGGTATTTGAGAGGTTTCATTGGATAAAACGGGGACAAATACAAGCCTCACTAAGAACAGTTTAATTGAGCATCTCTTCTTTAAAACTCAAAACTCATAGTGTGAACCAACATCCTGTATCATAATGTAAACTGAGTTTATTGTTTGTAATACAACAACATGATTGGCTTAAAACATATAAAAATGTGTTAGAGCAAATAAGTTACAGAGAGATCGAGCCTTTGAAAAACCTTTTTATGAAGAGAACAAGCTTCAAAAAAACACTGAAGAACAGCAGAGCTCATATTCAACAAACTCTTCATTACCTGGACCTTCAGAACTAAGAAGCACTTTTATTTTGAAAGGTCTGAGGTTACAGTATGTAACTCTGATTGGATTGAATAATGAGAAAACTATAAGTAAACAGTCCTTCGTTTATTCCTAAAATCATCTGGATAATTCAACTGCACTTCATGATGCATTCTCCTCTCTGAACCATTAGGGGGCAATACAGTGCAGCCTACAAGAGTTAATGTCCGTGCAGGTGTGGGGGCTCTCTAGTGACACAATAACACAGGCAGGTGTGTGTGTTTGTGTGTTTCAGCGACCAATGGTTTGGACAGCTCCATCCCCCTGGCTTACCTGAAACTGGACCATCAGCTCCAGGTGAGACACTTTTTAAAGTCTATAACAATAAAAAAAATGGGTCTGTTATTTTGCACGTTTAATGTGACAGAGAACTTGTTTGCATTCATTGTTTAAAATAGTTAAAGAATGAAATATTCAGCTGAAATATTTGCTTTGTTTGGCTCTGTTTGTATCATTACATCTATATTTTTGCACCGACATGCCGACACAATGACTGTAAGAAGAAAAAACAAAGAATTTGACCCATGAAAAACAGAAGAAACTGCATGAACTGCTTTAAAACTTAATATTTTTTACTTTAATGCCTCTTTTCAAACCCTGGTTTGTAGCTTTGAACTTAGGTCAGAAATAATCAGACTTTGACAAATGATACAATAAATAATATTATACTGCACATGATGTTACAATAATAATGAAATGCATATTCTTCCATGTATTTACCACCATCCAGCCTGTTAATATGGTAGTAAGGAGGTCTGCTTTGTGTTTGTAGCTCCTCCAAGGTGACTCAAATCTTCTCCTGAAGTGACGTAATATCAGGGGGAATTTACAAAGGCATGCGTGCAGAAACACTCTGACTTTACCTTTTGCTACCTTGGCTTTGCACTATCTTGAAATTGAGAGTTTGGTCCTAAATGTTTGTACCATGGCTGAAATAAACAAACATTACTTATGCCGGAGCCCAGAGACTCTGTTTGCTCTTAGTGAATCTGAAGATTTATTTTGGTTTAATGCCACAGGTGAAGCAGGTGCTAAAGATGCAGCTGTTTTTGTGAGTAACTCTCTTAAGGTTTCTCTTTCAGCCTCTGGCTCCATGTCCAAACTCCAAAGAATCGATGGCCGTGTTCGAGCAGCACATCAGGATGGCTCAAGAATTCCTTAAAGTGCAGTCAGAGATCTCTCAGCTTGTTCGAAGGAAGTAAGTCACCTTATACACACGTTTTTAATTTTTCCGAATGTCTGAAGACTCGTGATGTATGAAGCTTAACCACAGTGAAATCCACTCATAAGTCTGCTCACCTTTACACCAGTCATGGATTTTACGGATTTAATTCATGTAGAGTTTTGGTTTTATTTCCACAATATCATAGTTTATCTCAGTCTTTGTAAGGTTTTGCTAACTGTAGTTGTCTTTTGTTGGATCAGTTGGAGTCAGTCAGAGATTGAGTCAAAACTCTCTTGGACAGTTCTATGATTCCTCCTGATTGGCTTAATTTCAGTTGGGGGAGAGAGCCCCTCCCTGTTTTCAGCCACCTTTGTTGAAACTGTGTTTCTTGAGGGCCTAAATATTGCAAGAGTCAACTCAAAAGCCATGAAGAAAAATGCAATGAATCACATTTCAACAGCACAAGTTCCCTCCTGAATACATGTTTTTCCATTAAACTGAACTCATGCTAAAATTTGCAGAAGGACTCAGGGTCTGAATGTGAGTCTGAACAAGATGTATATTTAGCACCTTTGTCTCTGAATCCTTGACCCTTTTCTACTGCAGCAATTTATTAACTCTCATCCAATCATAATCCTCCGTCTGACTTTGTTTGAGTGACTTTTACACTGAAGTGAACAAAGTGCAGATTCAATGCGAGACTGAGGAAATAAACTGCCCTCAGATGAACATAAAGAGGTTAATGTCTGAAGAACAGGTTTGATATATATTTCATGTCCTTTTAAAATATTGTCCCGTATGCCCTTTAAAGCTGCTGTGAGAATGTCTTGGTTTCTGTTGGTTTTTGCACCCCCTGTGGTCAAAGTGATATTTGTTACTTACTGTCCCATACACGTGAAAGTAGTGTCTTAGATAAAAACCTAATCCTGGTGTCTATTAACAGTAAGATGTATCACTCACAGTGAGTGTTTGTCATCTAAAAAGACAAAAAGCCAGCAATCAATCATTTTCTCTTGCCTCCTCTACATCAGGAGGAGGTCAGAGGATTGGTACTCAGGGAGATCAAGAATTGTTACTACACTGACCTTTCTAAATACTGTAAATAATGTCCTTCTGGGTTTGGTCTACCTCCCCCTGACAGAGTTTGTATGTGTTGGTTCAGACAGGAGCTGATGTCAGAGCTGGAGCAGGACCAGAGGGAGCAGCAGACGTCCTCCAGACTCATCCAGGAGCACAGCAAGCTGCTGGAGGACAACAGCAGCTTGTCAGCCCACGTTCAGGGCTTAAAGAGCAAACTGAGCCTGATCAAGAGCCAGAGCCAGCAGCACAGCTAGGACGCCACCACAGGAGACATGGTTATGTGCGCGCTCGCCTTTTAACAAGAGGAGTCCCTCCGTGAACCGAGTTTAAAATAGAGCCCATAATCCTGAAAGAGTTCACTCTCACTTTGAACCAGGGCTGTCCAGATACAGCGGTATTAATGAAAAAAACATGCTTATGGAAACACCCTGTCAATAAGAGGTTCATGGTGGGGGGCGATAGTGGGTCTATACGCTGAATGCTGAAACAAAGGGAAGACAAAAAAGCAGTAGCAGCTCTTCAAAAGACGGTCAGACAGTTTAAAACATTTTTTTTTATTTATTTTGAAATCATAAACAAAAGAGCTTACACCTCTTTGGGGAGACTAAAATATTAAACGTTAATGGCTTCTGACGCTTCTTTTAACTGTTTTTATTCAGTTCTGTCACTGGCAGAAGCACAGACTTATTTCAAAATAAAAGCATGCTTCATAATACAAGAAATAAAGTAACCTAAACTTAAGTCTTTAAAAATGTCAGAACAGAAATGTCACATATAGTCAATCAGTAATATCAGTCTGTGAATTAACATGTCCTTCATTCATGACTAAAATCATGTTTTTCTAAGTTTCTATAAATATGAAAATGTCCAGATATAGATTTTTGGCCTCAATGAGAAAGGTGAAAATAAAACATCATGACTGTAGACAAAAATGAATCAAAACAGATTCCGATGTTTGGGGGAACTTTAATCTTAATCAAATATTTAGTGAAAAACTTTTGAAGGAGTTTTCAAAAAATTTTCAAAGAACAGAAAAGGCTCTCTGGAATAGCGACGATAAGGCAGCTATCAGCTCATAGATCAGAGTCTCAGGAGTGACAATAAAAAGAGATGCTTTAAAAGCTTTTCAAGGAAGATTGTAAGTTGCAGAAAAACAAACATCACATGTCCAAAGCATTCTGCATCCTCTTGAATTTTTAACACAGATGAAGTGCAGCGCTTGTCTCAGAGATGGATGTTTATGCTTCACATGAACTCGTCTGGGTTCAACAACTTCGTTTCAAATACTTCTATTCAGATTCAAAATTCACTGTGAGAAAACCTAACGAGGTTAACAAGATCATTTAGTTTAGAGAGAGCAGCTACTGAATCCATCCAGACTTCATTATTTCTGATCATATAGTCACCCTTAAAGTTTTTATTTGTTTTCATCTTTAACAGGGAGACTAAGAGACTCTAGTGGATTTTGTGAACCCTGAACTGGACTGGTATATTTCACCCAGAGGTTGAGAGACTTGCCAGAGTTTTTGAAATGTATTTACAGGTGTGCTTTACAAATCCTCCCTGTTATTTGTTCAGTTTATTACACACGTGTTATAGTGTTTGATAACAAAGAGAAAAGGGGTAATTTTACAGGGTTTTACTGTGAAACTAAAGCGAACCAAAGGAGCTTGTCTGCTCTAGAGTTGAGGACAGAAATGCTTTTTTTAAAGCTGATTGAAACTTATTAAACTTTAGGGAAAGTTAACTTTGCTGATCTTTTTACTATTTTCTTTAGTCACTTTACTCCCCCAGCTAACAGTCATATAGTTATAATAACATTAAGCACTCTCTCAGTTTAAACAGACCTGCACATCTTTTACTCTCACTGTAATAATTATAAGCTGTAATAATTATAATAAGCGCTGTTTGACTTAAACATGTTTATTCAGATGTTGCCTTCTTGTACAGATCATTTTTATCTCTTTATTGGAGCCTGATGGTTCCTGAAACATTTCTCATGTCATTTTTATAATGTACAGCCTGCAGTTATGTGCTCAAAGAAAGTAAAGAAACTCTTTTATAGTTTGTTGCTTGTTGTCATTATTGAAAGGTTGCCTGTCTCATTTGTAGGAAGATTCTGTCTTACTGTGAAACTTTGAATGATTTGAGTAGTTGGAGTTAATGTTTTTGTCGAACAAAAACTCATAAAATGAATATTTGCTACTATAAAGGGTGATTCCGGGTATTTTTGTTTTTTTAGTCTGGGCCCTGTTTAAAACATCTATGGCTCTCATTGGCTTTAAGACACTTCTCTCTTTCTAATTTTAACATATGCCAGGATTGAGCCTAATTAAAATATATAAATGATTACAGACATCTTTTGATTTTTCGAAGGGGAAAGTATGTGTGTTAAATTAACTTGTCAATGTGAATTTGGTTTGTGTAATCATAAACTTCATGAACATTAAGTGCCCTTATATCAATTGACCAATCAATTGTTTTTTATTGATATAGTGCCAAATCACAACAATCATTAACTCAAGACGCTTTCCAAAGGAGCAGGTCTAGACCATAGACTGTATAAAGAATGGACAGAGTCTGCCTCCTCACTGGGTGAAGCCACTCTGAGAACAGCACCCTCTGTTGATGGGCTGCAGTATAGGTCATAAATCCCGCCTCCGCCAGCAAAGCTTATGGGGCTGTGGACAAACTTTAGAAATTAATGAGACAGAACACAATTTTTTCTACCCTCTGCTTGCGATGTTGACATGTAGTTACATTAAGACTGGTTTGTGCTCAAGTCCTCTTTTTTCTGTGAAGCTCTGTTTTTACAAGGTATTAGGGGGTTCATGTTTTCTTTGATTGACACCTGATACAGCCTATTGGCGTTCTGGGATTGCATAGCTCACCCGGGGGATACGGTGTTTGAGCCAAGTGTCAGTGCAGACTCTCGGCGCCTGTCCCGCCGAATGCGCACAATGCTACTACGCAGCGCTGGTTTCAGGAAATGAAGAAAAATCCCGGAAATACAGAGAGCTTTTTGGCTTCAAATCCATATACAGGCGGGAGGCGGAACCAAGTTGTCCATAGTATATACAGTCTATGGTCTCGACCAAACTGATTGTTTGATGTAGGACAAAGATTCAACTTTTGAGTCCCATCTAAAAAAATGAGACCCATTCTTAACCCATATTGAAGGAGTGAAGCACTTTGTAGTATTTGGCAAGTTATGGTGGCAAGGAAAAACTTCCCTTTAACAGGTAGAAACCTTGAGCAGAACCAGGCTCATGTTGAACAGCTACCTGCCACCAAGTATAGATGATAGCCACTAAAAAAAACAAAACATAACAACCAACTCTGGGTCAATCCACAAACTGAGGTGGACCTACATGGCAAACAGCTACTGTTCTTTTCCATTCAATTGTACTTCATTTTGAGTCTTAGATTCTATTTTATTTAATTCTATGTACTCTGTACTGCTAATTCTTTTCTTTGAAGTTTTATTCTATATATTTTGATCCTGTTCTGTCCCGTATGTTCACTCCTGTTGAATTCTGTACTGCCTGATCTTTTCAATTCTATTCTTTTCCATTAGAATTCTATTCTACATTGTTCTGTTCTATTCTATATTGTTCTGTTCTTTTCTATTCTATTCTATATTTTTCTATTCTATATTGTTCTGTTCTTTTCTGTTTCATTCTATTCTATATTGTTCCATTCTATTATATTTATTCTAGTCCATTCTATTCTGTTCTATTCTATTGTATATTGTATATTGTTCTGTTCTATTCTATTATTCTTTATTGTTTCATTCTATTCTGTTTATTTTACTCTCTTCTGTTTTGTACTATTCTATCCTGATTAATGAAACATTTAAGAGTGGAATGCAAAAATTGAATTAATGAATATCAAAAAAAAAAAAAAAAAAGATTAGATGAATATCAGGAAAAATGTAAAGTGATAAAAAAAGATTACATTAAATAAAAATAATACAGTGTAAAGCCACTGATATTAATTGTTAATAGTAATAATAATTGCAACAGTTATGCAATATCTGAAAATAAACAGTTAAACCTCTGAATAGAATTTAAAATAAACCTGTAAAATGTGTAATTGAGCCATCAAAGATGAAATAACATTTTCTCTGTAATTTCCTGCAAACCCACACCCGCATATTAATATAAACCTACATTATTATTTTCTAATTTCATGCTCAGATTCTCTCGGGTTGTTAAAGGACTCTTTAATCAGACCCTGTTGTTGGAGGATAAACTGGGAGAGTTGCTTTGATTTGTGGGTAAATTGGGAAACAAATGGGGTGAATCATGGTGTCCCTGCAGCAGTTATGGCGGTGAGCGGTCTGAGTACAGAAGGTTCATGATGTTAGCTTTCATCCTGCTGCTGAGGTGGGCTCCTGCTTTAACTGCTCAACCCAATGAGAGGCTACTGTTTCCATAGCAATGCAGAGGTTTTTATAGATCCCACTACTGCCTTCAATAACCGTTTGACATGCTCTGTGGTAATTTGGTGTAACACACACACACACACACACACACACACACACACACACACACACACACACACACACACACACACACACACACACTGACAGGCAGCTGGGTGAAAAGCTGGACTGAATTTGAACTCAACGTCTGTAGCAAGAAAAAAAATCCTGATATTTTCTGGGGTAAAAAACACAGTCAGACATCTTTTTTCTTGGTCTTGCTAATCCTTCACTCCTCTCTTTTAATATCTTGTGTATTTTTCTTCTCTGAAACTTTATATATTTTTTGTTCTCTTTCTGATAAAGTATTCTACACAAATAAACCAACCTGAACCTCTCAGCTGATCTGTTGGGTGCAGAATTTTGGGGAGGTTTTTACTTCATGTTTTTTTTTCTCTGCCTCTGCAGCCCCATGCAAAACTTTATTTGACACTTTTTTCTGTCATGATGGTTTGAATTGATCAGAACTGCATACACATTCAGGTCTCTGCAGATGATCCTCGATGCAGCAGCTCTACTCATCAGAGATCAGAAATCAGTAAATCCTGCTTTGATACGTAACACATCAAACTGGAGACCTGGCCGATCGTAACAAGCTGAAAAGTGTGAAAGTCACCCCCTATGGTAGCAGAGGCAGAGATGCTTCTGTCATTTTGCCGAGTGCCTGGAGTTGGAGGGAGAACAGTTGTATGAAGAGCATGTGGATGCCAGTTTGCAGCCAAAGCTTGCAGGTTTGCATAACCAAGGATTGCTTTCTGCCTCTTTCACCCTAGAAATGCAAGTGGACTTAAGTCCTTGTGCTCCAAACAGACACTTTCAAAAGTCAAACTGATCGTGTAAGCTGAGGTTGAAGCTCTACTGAAAGAAACATGCAGAGCCGATTTTAGCTCGGGGTCCTGTGCAGGTTACTGGGTCACACCTCAGTCAACTGTAAAAAACTGAGTTTAAATATTTAGTTTGAGGCTACAGAGTAAGGAGACAGAAATGGGCAAGAATAGGAAAACTGCAGACATACTCTGAGAGTTTGATCCTGTGTTGTGTTTGTTCTGCAAACCTTTTTCTTTGTGGTGCTTAAATTTTTATGGGGGGCCACAGAGTCAGACTATTATGGGTTCAGAGTCTGCCTCAAGATCACTATAAAGAAAGACAAGGAGGTCAGTGAACCATGAGACCAGCCATGCACCTCATAGACCTCAGTGATAGACACTTAGGACAAAGCAAACTAGTTTTCTCTGTTTTCATCATCAGATTTGCTGACCAATGATGATGTTTACCAAAAAACAAAAAACTGTCCATCAGATATAAAATATATGGAGAGCAGAAAATCCACCATTACTTTCAGCATTTCAATCAAGCATAGGTGTGCACAATGAAAAAGCAGAATAATTTGATCATTCATCAACAGTAAGGGGTTGTTTTACTTTACCATTCAGTACACTAGTTTTAAAAGAAAGCAAGAAGACACATATTTAAACAGACCACAACAGCTGGTTCTCTATAAAGAGCCTTTTTTCGTAGTTGTTGCTGATCAGAAAGCCACATATTGGTACCTAAGAACATCACATCCCCCTCCAAGCTGATCTGAGCTGCTGGAGGAGCTCTACAAATCAGTTCTGGCTATTTTTAACATCTTGACATTGAGAATGTGGGCTGATCTGAATCCAGCCGCTCAGAATGAGGCCCGAGAGGTGTCTGTCTGTGGCAAACTGATAAAATGTGAGAGCTCTGCCAGCTCCTGCAGGATTAAACTGTGTGCTAGGAGCCGTATCGAACCTCCTGTCCTGTTCAAAGAGTCCTGAGGCCAAATCTTTAATCTTGATTCTGCCACATACACTCATGGATGATATACAAACTTTTTAGCAAGAGTGTATAAGAGTGTATAGGGCTTCATGCCAGTCAAAAACAATGAGGGGTTTCCTTTTACACACAGAAACAGCTCAGAGGTATTGTCTTGGGGGCAGTTTAAAAGTTTGATCAGCATAAAAAGTCAAGAGCCATTTTACTTATTTCACATATCTGGTTCAGTGAAACAGTGTGTCACTAAACTATTTTACAGGTTCTACATAAAAATGTTGGACAGCTGGCAGGTTACAGGTCTGTATGGAGAGCAAAAACAGGCAGAGCACAATCCACTGAAATAACATCCTAGCTTCAATGACAGGTAATTTGAACATTTTTATGCTGAACAGTTTGTTCTCACTCAAACATTCCCACTGAGACGCAAATCTGTTCAACAACAGGTCACTAAAGAGAATCAGAGTTAAAGGGGACCTGCCAAAAAAATGTAATTTTTGTTTTTTTTTGTGTCAGATAAGGTCCATATTATGTTCATCTTATGTTGTAAATGTGAAAACAAACCATTACATCGTTTGCATTCTGTAAAGGTTTAAAATAAAGGAACGGGTAAACCAGGCCAATTGAAAAAGCAGATCATTCTGACGTCGCGCTGACCTTGCTCATTATTATTCACAAGCGCGTCCTCGGTGAGCCGCGCCCACTCTCTCGTTCTCGTACTCATTCACAGTCAACATCACTCTCCAGCCAGAGCACGACCCAGCTACCACTGTATCCGCTATGGGTCTCTTCCAAACGACCGGTGTTTCCTTAGGTTCACTGCCGGGAAAATGAACTTAAAGCAGGGCAGAATGAATGAGAAAACATTGCTGGAGATCTCCGGCTTCTTCTTCAACTTCCACCTCCTCTTCGGACTCGGGGTCTAAAATATATGGTTTAATACCTGACATTTTTAGCCTTTAGCATATCGACCAGACATCCCTGATTTCCGGGGACAGTCCCCGTATTGCATGACCTGTCCCCAGCAAAAGCTGTCCCAGAAAATGTCCCCGATTTAAGCGTTTCATGAATGAGAGCAAAAATGTTGCGTGTGGGCTCGAACAACGGTTATTACAGTAGCCGAATAGGTAGGAAGCACAAGTAAGCAGTCCTGAACAACAATTCCTACGGGGGTTATTACAAGGGGCATGCGCTGCTACTAAATAGTACCGAGATTTTGTCTGTGATCACACAGCCCCTGCAGCCCCTGCAGACATCTGGGCACCTTACTTTAGCACACATTAGCAAAATGGATAAACCGAAATCCGAACCTCCACTGCTGAGCCAATCAGAGCACAGCAGGCTTCACAGCAGCGATCCAATCAGAGCAAAGCTCATTACTATAAATATTAATGAGCCAAAATCAGTTGGTTTTCCTGTAAGGTTTTTTAGGCATACTAAAACAAACCATCAAACAACTTTTCAGCTAAAATTATGTTGCAAACATGATCAGAGGACATCAAGGATTATGATAAAATGATAAAAATGGGTATGAAATTTTGATGGCAGGTCCCCTTTAAGATTCCCTGACTTAACCATCCAAACATAGGATCAGAGCTTGTGCTGCTTCAGCTGAACTTTTAACTGTACTTGACTTCAAAATAAAAGCGTAGTTGGACAATGAAGGAGACAAAGCCACCAAATGCATGACAGAAAAATATCAAAATAAAAGCATGGAGGAAGTTTCATTTAGAGAGCAGCTCTACCACCAACCATAATAAAATGAAAAAAATAAAATAAAATACATTTCTTAAAATGGAAATACCCATCTCTGTCGAGAGAGCTAATTCCGCAGAGCCTCATCGACTCTATAGATTTTAAAGTTACTGTCAAAAGTAGGGACTCTGTACATTTATTTTTAGTCTTGTTTCATGCCTGCTTTCATTTACTTATTGTGCTTTATTTGTTTGTTAGTTTTATTCACTTTTGGGTTGCACTGTGTCCTCACAATGCAAGTGGTTCTGTTGTAATAAGTTGTGCTATATTGCATGTAATTTATAGCAAATCTGTACCGAATGATCACTATTCTTAAAAGCAGTAAGAGTGATTGAATTCACCTTATCTATAGAATGCGCACTGGGAGGATACTTCAGTAAACTTAAGCTGTTGATAGATTATGAAAATTCATTACGATGAGGTTAAAAGTGTAGGTTTAATTTCAGTATATTAAGAGTAAGTGAGCATATACAGGCATTTGAAGGCGTTCGTTTGGTTAAATGTTAGCCTAAGATGTCTTTGGAGGTTGTGATGTTTGTATGCAAATGTGTTGAGAATGATAAAACGTGCAGTAATAGTAGAGAGCGTCATCCAGCACTGCAGCGTCAGGCACAAAGGAGGGGGGGACTCCATCATCGTAAGAGCAGGGGGGCTCGGCTGTTGTTGTGAATGAGGGCCAGCATGACGTCAGGAAGCCAATGTCAACAATGCAGCTCCTAGAGGAGAAAAGGCGTTTCATACTGACACTCACTCTCTCTCTCTCTCTCTCTCTCTCTCTCTCTCTCTCACACACACACACACACACACACACACACACACACACCGGAGACCCGTCAGCCACGCACACCGACCGATGCCCGCGGTGCATTAAAAGCGTTTAAAGCTCTGACTGAAGGGGGGTTGCGGACTAAGGATCACAAAATGTGGATTCAGCCTGATTCATCTCTGAGGAACTGAACCAAGACGAGCAGGAGGAACGGGTGAGTCTCTCTCTGCAGTACAGGGACGATAATAATGACCCACCATCGGGCTTTTACTACGTTACGCTTCAATCCACCAGACAACGGGAGCCCCTTGTCAGCCGTGGATTTGCTCTGACTAATCTGTCTGCCCGGGCAGGATCTGCTCTTGTTTGTGTTGTAGTAATTCTGCTGAGGTGTGTTTACGGACAGGAGTAGTTTTAAAACGGTGTCACTCTGCTGGGCTTTTGACACCGTGTTGGTGCTGTTCACTCAGGTTTGCTGGCAGGTTGAAGGTGTAAACGAGTTTCCCACAAAACGTGCTACTCCTAGCGTAAATATTTCGCTGGGGATGAAACGCACAGTCCTACCAGAGGGTTTATTATATGAGGTGTTTTTCACATAAACACAAACTTTCATAAAACTGCGCGAAAACTGATAACACGTCGATTAAAATTCGAGTTTATGAGCCGATTTTAAGTAACCCATGGTAACGGTCTGTCAGTTAACGGCCAGCGCTGTTTGAGATGTCAGGATAGAGCACGTTGCTCCTACAGGGAAGTTCTCGCTCTTTATGTCAGCCTGTTTATCATTTATTAACGAAACCACATCCCATCAGTTCTCTTACTAATTCACAAACACTGAATGTGTTTTCATGACCGAGCGGGGGGCACATGTTTTATACAACAGATACAACCGGAGCTCGCGCTGGGACAAAGGACCCAGCCTCCCGCCCCCTTATTCCCGCCCTCTGCTGCCGAGCGGTGAACACCCACCCCGGGATAATACGGCATAAATTCCTGTGCTGGCCTCGTCTTCGTGGAAATAACAATAACTTGATCACTTATAAAAAGCGGGGTTTGTGTTTTTTCGTTTTTAGTAGTTGCACTTAGCTTTAATGTACATTCGTGACAAAAAGACGCGCTATCACAAGGCGTTTTTGCCGTATTTTCTCACATATTTGTGTTAGTCACTCTTCAGCTCTTAAACCTTTAGAAATAATATACTCCGACATATTTTGAAAACCGTCAAATCTTTGTGGACAGATGAGCTCCTTATATTGTTCTCCCTCCCCGCTGCCATCATCTCGTGGTGGGAAAACACAGCATCATCAGAGTATCTGCAGCACTTGGTAGTAAAGGGAGGGGGCGGGGGGCTGGGGTTTATGTACAGTTCAGCTGAATGAAGCAGATGAGAGTTGATGGAGGCCAGTTACCACCTACAATCTTGCTGCAGACTGTTATATTAAAAAAAAAAAACTATGTTTGTCCTGCTTTGCTGTAAATATTGCATGCACTTGTTAGTGTAGAGTAATGCTGAAACAGAGACCAGTCGTTGGAGCTACAAGAAATTAAAGGGACAGTTCACTGATAAATACAGCTGTGGCTCATCTTGTGAAGTTGTTACACAAACATGAGATTTTTCTGTGGTTCTTTGTCTACCCAGAGAATGTTGTCAAAGTGTACTCAATAGATTAAGATACTCAGTATTTAGTTGATAAGATCATGTCTGAACACGAAAATAGGAAATAGCAGTCAGCTTGTGCCACAGAGCATAGTGGAGAATAACTATTGAAATCAATTCCTTATTTTTGCTGCTGTGACTTAACTCGGTGAACACTGGACAGTCTGTGCTGATATTTAAGGGTGCAGGCACTCATTGTGATGTTTGAGGTCAGGCTTCTGCATGTGTGTGAGAGAGAGTGCGATACAGATTAAGTGTGCATGATGGAGAGTTTGATGTTGGTTTTGTACTTAACTCTGCAGTCTGTGCAGAGCTCGAGCAGGACTCTATCTCAGGTGGAACAGGTGTGTGAGGAGACAGTGGGGAGTGTTTCCTAGTCCACTAACATCACTGGTGGTAGAGTCGCGAAGAGGTGGGAACAAAGATTTCTGTGCACTGATATTTGGGAGTAAAATAGAAGCGCTGTAATGCTAATCTGAGATGCACCATCAACACAGCAAAGACACACTGCACCATGAATTTTGAACTCGAATACCTTTGTTTTAAGACCAACACATTCGTGGGTGCAAGTTCATTTGTTATTTACACAATGTCAGTACTAACAGCACTTGTTGCCGTTTTGCTTTGTGCAGGTTCTAAAGTCGGGCACAATGTTTCTTGACCAAATATCTAAGCTAGTTTCAATGGGAGGTTTGTGATTTGTAAGGAATAATTTGATGTAAATAAGAACACTGACAAGGTGAGCAGGACTCTGATGTGGTCTACTCACATCAGTCAAAGTCAAACTATGCAACACTGACACAAGTCAATCCAAACCATGAAAAACTGATGTAAAGATGATTTTAAATGTTTCAAATGCAAAGACACTCTGGCTGTGGTTGATTGTAGCGTCTCTGTGTGCATAGGTAAGGTCTGAGAATCGATAAGTGGACACACACTGTATTCTGTTGGGGGATTTCTGTGTCTTGTATAGACAAAGCATTTAGTGTCATTTATGTTACTCATGCAGTCTGTGTGGGATATTTTTGAATGAATGGACAGCTGGTGGTTTGTGTCCTGAGAGGAGTGTGAAGTGTGTTTTCTGTGGTCTGTGTGGAGGTGTTCACTCACAGAAATAACTGTTTTCTTATCCACTGTGTTCATGTAACATGTGAGTACATAACCAGCATGAACTCATTTATCAAGTTAGCCATAACACATGCTTATGATTTTATGACGTTCATTGATCAGAGAAGAGGAAGCCGAGAAAATGTTGGAAAAACAGGTTAAAATGAGTTTGAAAACAATTTCTGACAAATTGTGTGCCAGATGCTGTTAACTTTGAAGTACATCATAAAGAATACTCTGCCTCTGTACAAGTTTGCCATGTTAAGATTAAGATAAGTAACACAAGTTAGACTAAGCTCCACATATTTTGTTCCCCCACAAAGCAACTTTGTTTGATTTCCACAACTTTTTCTGCAAGTTTAGCTGCTCATGCAGCCTTTTCATGTCAACATTTACATCACCACATGTTCGTCTGTGATGCTCAAATATTGAAAATTATTTGCTTCACTTGATTCTGAGCAAAAAGACGAGCTGTGTTATGAACTGAGGATGATAAAACTAATCCAAAGACAATGAAGAGACAAGAGGAAGAGCTGAGAGCAGACGAGGAGGAGGGGGAGAAGGAGGAGAAGGAAGAGGAGGAGGAGAAAGAGGAGGGGGGCGCTGCTGCAGACAAAAGATAAGATAAAGGCGATGACAATGATGCTGATGGTGGCAGGGTGAAAAAGAGGTCTGTGAAGAAAGGTGTTGGAGATGCAGAGAAGAAATGTGTGCCAGGTGTCATCTACCTGGGACTCATTTCTCTGATGTTCCGCCCAAAACACCTGAGGAATCTGCTGTCACTGTACGGAGAGATCGGATGCATCTTCCTCCAACCTGAAGATGGTCAGGTGAGGAAAAGGAAGAAAAAGTCAGGTTTCAGGAGGTGTGACTTCACCGAGAGCCGGGTGGAGTTTGTTGACAAAAGAGTTGCCAAATGAGTGGCAACGTCTTTGCACAACATGCCGATAGGAAACAAGAAATGCCAACAATTCTCCTCCGATCTGTGGTCAGTGAAGTACCAGCACAGGTTCCAGTGGACTCACCTGAGTGAACGTCTGGCGTATGAGCAAACATATGCAGCAGAGAGGCTCAGGATTGAGGACTGCAGGCAGTATCAGAAAGAGGATGAGAATCAGATGAAGAAAAAGAAGAACTACATTACCCAGAAGCACCAAGACAATGCCCGCCTCATACAACAAAAGAGCCAATCAGACATCACACTTCTGGCCAAGATTTTTAACACCAACAAATTAGTGTGAGAGGAGAAACACAACAAATTGGCTATTAGGCAATACTGCTGACACAGAAATGCACCAACCAACCTATCACAGCCCAGCCTGGAGAAGGGGGAGAGTTTACTGTATCAATTGCTGTGCTTTCCTACATTTGTTTGTTTGATTTTTTTGCCAACAAGCTTTTAAAGTCTTGATGAGTTCAGTGGACTGACCTATGACATCAGTTAAGTCAGATTTACCTGTGCAGGTGACAGATATCAGAGCAGAGCAGCTTTAAATCTCTGCATAAAAAATCTTTTCAATGTGTAAAAGAAGATTAAGATAAATCAGACAAATTAGACCCATTTGCACTCTTTTTCTTCGACAAAGCAACTCGTTTCATTTTCGCAACTTCTACCTCTTCATGTCGACATTTACATCACCACATGTTCTTTTGTGATGCTCAAATATTGATACCTATTTGCTTCCTTTTATACCTGTATGTTGTATAATTTAACTTGACATAAATAACTAGAAGATACAGTATACTCAGCAATGTGTATGCAATTTTTATTAAAGTCATACGAAATCAGGCCCTTTAGGCTGCACAGAAAAGACCCGAATGATCAGTCACACAAACAGAGATGTACATTTAGCACACAGGTAACTCATAGAGGAGTGTATCTTTGTATAAAGTGATGAGCTGAGTGAAGCCACGATTAAATATTTTGAAAATATGACTACAGTTTTTTGTTTCTCAGATCCTCTGCACAAATGTGAGGACATGTTTACATGTCACTGTTTATACATGACTGATTTTTCGGCATCACACATTTATTATTTGGAGATCCTGCAGATCTGTTTGTGTGTCTTTTGTTGGATCCGCTTTTTATGTCGCTTTTTTCCCATAATATCACAACTTTATTCTTGAGCATTTCCTCGATTTTTGTTACATAACAAACAAATTCTCCTTGTATTGCATCTCTAAAATGAAATATTGACCTTTACTTTAAATATTTTTGGCTCGGTTCTCTTCAAACTATTTTTATTAGCATTAAAAAGTGCTGTTTTTTCTAGTAATATAACAGTCCACATAAATAACTCATGGTACTCTGCTACAATCTTTCCTTATTAAAGCCTGAATTTCTTATTTATTTTATGTATATGTTCTTAGTGCATTCATAAAACTTCAAATTAGGGCTGCATGATGTAAAAAAAAAAAACTAACATTGTTAACAACAACTAGAACTCATTGTACCCTCGCTCTATTTCCATCTACATGCCGTCATGAGAGGACGTCCTCCCTGAGGGGTGTGTGTGTTTGTGTGCCTGTATGTGTGTGTGTGCTCAATCACATGTCTGCACTATGTGTCAGTGTTTGCTTCCTATATAATCCCTGTGTGTGCAGATTTAGTGGCGTTACACACTCTAAATTATTTAGCTGTTTAAAAAAGTGACTCATTGTGGTCTTTGTGGAGTCACAAGTTCATCTAACACGCTATATTGAGTATTCTGTAAGTGAAGTGTAAGCACATGAAAAGCATTTATTAATAAAAGCTCCATATGTTCATTGCTGTACTGACATCAAAAAACTCTGCTCATCTTAAAGAGACAGTTATTTCACATGTTTTTTAGACCAATGCTGGAAATTTGAATTTAAAGATATATACATGGTAAACAACAAAACACCAATCCATAAGAAATTCAAATTAAGTTAAAACATAAATCTGTGTTGAGAGTTTCAAGATGTATGTCCACCAATTAAACCTCATCTTATTGGCACCAGAATCGGCAGCCAGTCAACCATGTTATTGATAATTTGACTATTGACAGACTGAAACATCAGTCATATGCTGTGTCTAAACTGTGTGCTCTGCTGCCATGATGCTAGCACGCTCTGGTACCTGGATGTAAACAAGCACAGATGACAGTTGACATCTCACTGTGCAGCATGCTTTGACAGTATTTTGAGGGAGAAACATGTAAGGAAGCTGTGTCTGGTCAAACTGACATATAACCACTAAAATCTTCCTCAAAGGGAGACTCCAGCGTAAATTTAAGTTACGATTTAGGTTACACGTAACGCCGAGTTAGACACCGCCTCGGAGATGAATGTTGCAGACTGCTTGCCTGCTGATAGACCTGTCTCATCAAAGTCCAGCATTGTTGTATACAGTGTCTCCTTTTGAAGTGTTATTTCTAAACAGATTATCCCTCAGTGTTTTTGGCAAGCCTGTTTTTTTTTTTTTCTCTTTAAATCAAGAAAAAATGATACTTTGGAGAAATGTTGACATCTGTCAGAACATGGATCATTTCAGCATCGTATCAAGACCATCTGTAATCACTGACAATTTTGGGCATGATAAAAAAAAAAATTAAAAAGAGGCTCACAGAGAGGCTGTGACCGTAGACTGTATATACTATGGACAACTTGGTTCCGCCTCCCGCCTGTATACAGATTTGAAGCGAAATAGCTCTCTGTGTTTCCAGGATTTTTCCTCATTTCCTGAAACCAGCACTGCGCAGTAGCGATGCGCGCATTCGGGCGCGCAGTTGCAGAGAGTCGCTGTGATGTCACTCGGCTCAATCAGCGTATCCTCCGGGAGAGCTACGCAATCCCTGAACGCCCATAGGCTGTATCAGGTGTCAATCATAGAAAACATGAACCCCCTAATAACTTCTAAAGCGGGGCCGTACAGAAAAAAGACTTGAGCACAAACCAGTCTTACTGTAACTACATGTCAACATCACAAGCAGGGGGGAGAAAAAATTATGTTCTGTTTAATAAATTTCTTAAGTTTGTCCACAGCCCCATAAGCTTTGCTGGCGGAGGCGGGATTTATGACCTATACTGCAGCCCATCAACAGAGGGCGCTGTTCTCAGAGTGGCTTCACCCAGCAAGGAGGCAGACTCTGTCCATTCTTTATATGCTGTATTGGCTGAATGAGATCGTGTTGGTTCGTTCCACTTAAGTGGTGCAACATAAACTGTGATTCATAAAATAGCTCTATTGATAGTAAGTACTAAAAAAAAATATCTACCTATGTCATCCAGTCGATTTTTAGTAATCAGTGCTTCGGTGTCGAACTATTTCCTTTCTGTGGCGTAGTGATACTTGCACACGCGCAATCGAATATGCAAAGGTGGCACATTGAGGATGGGGAGTTGGCAGTGACATGGATGACTACAAATCCTGCCCCTGATAGTGTGCAGATAGTCCAATGTAGTTGCAAGACAACCATATGTGAGACTGAACGATGTTCTTGTATGTCTGCAAGATTATCTTGTACAGATTTATGTCAGTGCCAAGTATGTGAGAATGCTTCAAAGGAAACAGAGGAAAGAGCTGTATGGGATGATGACTCTGATGAAAGTGACAGTGATGCGTAATATATGCACCATGTCACCATGTACAATTTGTTTTGACTAAAGGATTGCTACACTGAGATTTGAGGTTTTTATTATTTTTATATTTGTTCTACATTTGTCTGCGTTTGTGTTTTGATGTTTATTTTCATATTCTGGAGGGATTGATAAATGTCAGATGTTTTGACACTGTGATACTTTAATAAATATTTTATACCATATTTTGAATTAATTCAGACCTTTTGTGCATTTATTTTTGTCTTGTTACATTTTTTCCATTATTCCAATTTTGGGGGGTGTGGTAGGAATTTGATTGACTTTCAGCCATTTATGGCCAAGATGTGCTGTTTATATTTTATTGATTTTATTACACATTAGGTTGTGTCATTTTTATGTATGAAACACAAGCTTTTAGCTAAATTTACTGTATATATTTCATTGTGCTGAGTGCAAATCATTTGAGTTAAGACGTTTTCTTCAAGAAATTTGCTACATTTCATAATCTGAATTCACTTATGCGTATACTAAGGCACCAAAAACTGTTTCAGATGTTAGGTAGATGTATTAATGACATTTGAGAAAGATTTTGTCTTGCCAGAATCAACATAGCAGTTTCTACAAGCAAAAACAGCAGCACCATATAATTGTTTTTTGGGTTACTCACATATGTACATTTCTGGCTGGTGACAAAAGTCGGATAGATAGTCTGAGTAGATATTTTAATCCAAAGTCCAGAAGGGTATTGTCTTTGCAAAAATGCATTGAACAAGTAGCACCAGCGTAGTGGAACGAAATTCACTTTCTAGGCACTTTTTCCTTTGTCCCAATACAGCCTATTATACAGTCTATGGCTGTGACCCAGGATCAGGGTAATACCTGACATGACCACTAGGGAGCAGATGGAGTAGCACTCACTGCTTGAATGAATGGAGTGATGTAATGGTGTAATGGTGGGGGGTGAGAGCTGCTCTCTGGATCCTCTGAACACTGTATCGCAGCAGAATAAGCACACTGATATAACAACATGTTTCAGGTTTTACTGTCTGAAAAACTGGAAGTTTAAGTCTGGGAGTAATGAGTCTGTTTTTAGAGAAGGGATCCACTCCACAGCTCAGTCATGTGTGTGTGCAGGTGAGTGCACCTGATCAAGGACAGCCTGACTGTGTGTGTGTGTGTGTGTGTGTGTGTGCGTGCGTGCGTGCGTGCGTGCGTGTGTGTGCGTGAAGGTGATGAGTGCAGACTGTCTCTGGAGACATGGCACAGCTCTAGGACAGACATAGGACTCCTCAGATCCTCAGCTCTCTTTCTGTCTCTGTTTTTCATTCTCTTAATCATGTTTATCTTTCCTTCTTTCTTTTTTTCTTTCTTTCTTCCTTCCATCTCTTGGCTCATCATCTATTTTTATCACCTTGGCCTCAGCCCTCTGTGAGGTGGTGTCTGTCTCATCTTATCTTTGTGAGTCTGATTTATTGATCAAGCTGTGAGATGAATGAAGGACTGTTTTGTCTCCATATTTCCCTCTGTCAGGGGTTGGGAACTTTCCACATTTAAAATGCTTTTGCACAGCCACACCAGGATCTTTTTTTCATTCTTAAGGTCCTTGACCACAAAATTTCCCCAAAGTTGTTTGTCAACACATGTCCCTCACAGAGTGAATTTTCCCTCTTGGATGATGAAGATGGTTGGCATGGGTGGGAGATAAGTCTCAGAAGGCAGGACATGACATCAAACTGTAGAAGAGTGAAGCGGTCAGCATCTATAAAGGTCAATTCACACACTTGTGACAAGTGTGTCAATTCACACACTTGTGACATACGACTCATATGACTTCACTTCAAAATTGTTGAACCAACCTTTAAGCTACAGCAGAAATCAACCTGTTTCCAGCCTGGAATAAGAACAGTTTTGGTCTGGATTGCTCATTTCTTTGTGTGGACATACTGTACAGAGGGTGAGCATAGAATTTGCATGATATGGGGCGTGGCTCATGTCATTAGCAGGTAGGAGCTTTGTTGGTGTTTGCCAGTTTATCAATCCAGAGGCACCCTCACTGAGACTACGTCCATAATGTATACAGTCTGTAAGTCAAACCAAGTTGTCCCATTGTTGTCTGAGGTCGTAACAGAGGCTGTTTGGTGCAGACACTTTGCAAACAAGATGTCTGGATTCGCCCACCCACGGCGTCTGCTTCACTTGTTTTGAATTGAGAAGTTTTTCCAATAAAACGTACACTCCAAAGTGTATACTTATATACAAAGTGTATATTATATCTGATGGTGCATTGTTTGCTTTAAATTCATGACTTGATAAAACGAAGAAGAAAAGCTGATAAAACAAAGTGACACCAGAGCCCTGCTTCCACATATCCCACAATGCTTTGTGGAAGAATTCTAGCGCTGCCACAGCCAGCAGTTCCACTTTAGCATTTGTGTTGCCAAAAATGTGTGTATCCATTGAAAACAGCTGCACACACTGTGAATATCAAATCTTAGCTAAAGCTGGAGTTTACTTCACCCTCATGTACGTGTTTGAGTCCACTAATGCATGTTTCTCAATTATCTCAAACCTAAGAAAATCAGCCTACAGTCTTCAATCAAATGCAGACCTCTGTATTGAGTCAAATTACAATCATACAGATTTTGTAACACCAGCAAATATTTGGTTGTTTTTCCCACTACTTAAGTGTGACAATGAAACTTTTGATTGACACCCTGGACACAAACTTGTCATTGTTCAGACCCCGAAATCAGTCTATTTCTGATTTTTTTTTGTTGCTATGGAAAAGGTAAATGTGTCACTTCCTGCAGCTTTATCTCAGATAACCGGTAACTCTTTGGGCTCTATTTTCGTGCGCGCCGGTGAGGCGGCGGAGGGCGGCGAGCCCCGCGCAGTTGTATTTTCGTCTGGCGGAGCCCAGCGTAAGGCCAATTTGGTATTTTCGTGGCATGAGCCGCACGGAGGCGAGCTGAGATCCGCCAAGCTGGGCGTGGTGGTGTGGCAGGGGGAGGTGTCGACAGAATCAGCAGGCGCAGTGACATTTTCGTGCTTGCCAACGGCGTGTAAAGTGCGCTGAAAGCTCGCCGATTCAAACCTGGTCAGCTTTCAGCGCAAGGCGGAACGCAGCTGGTCTAGTAGTATTTTGGTAGACCGGCGGCGTATCGACATACGTCACTGATGCCTCACCGGCAGGTTTCCACAGTGTCAGGCACATTTCAGTGCAATAAATAATCATCATCAACTATTAATCTGAGTCAGCACATACATTTAGATCTATATAGATATATTCTGATCTATATCTGATCTGATGAGCGCGTTTGGCACGCGTTTGGACAAACAACCTGACCGAATCAACGCTGAGTTTGCGGCACGTCTCCGGCGAGGCACCAAAATAGAGCCCGTAGTCTTTCAGTCAGTCCATCGACGAGCAGAAAGACATCTCTGAACGTTTCTGTTGGTATAAGATTGACTCGGCCTACATGCTCTAAAGAAAACACAGCTGCCTCTTTTCTACTGTTGCACATTCAATATTTCATGCATCCATCTGTTCACACCTTGCAACAATGAAAAGTGTCACCCGCAGCAAATTTGTCATGGCAGGGAAACCATCTCCTAATCCCGGTGAGAGCCGTCGGTGCTGACATTAAAGCGCTTCATCGAGCACTAAGCTGCCGCTGCGTGTTTGTGTCTTGGAAGAGATTTAAGCAGCTATTGTTTAGACTTCACAGAGAGACGGTGAGAATTTCTGATGAGGAGACAATCTGTCCTCAGGAAGATGTTTGTATCCTCCCAGAGCGGAGGGCGATACTGTAATCAGATGGAGTTTTAAATCATCAGACAAATCAGAAACCAAATGAGCAGCAGCCAAACTCAGAGCTTCCTCCTTGCCGCTGCTGCTCCAGGCCGTGTTGGCTCTCCTGGTTTATCTGGTGCTCAACCTTTCCACTGATCTGGCAACCCATCTGGCATGGCCGGCAGTGATTGGTGCATTCAGGGGGACAGATGGTGAGATGGTGGTCAGCTGTTTTGGGCTCTGCTTAAATCCACCATATTCTATGTCGGGGCTGCAGAGCTAAAGCTAAAGCTAAATCTGTTGTTGATCTTCCAGAGGGGCTCTGCTCTGCTGGGTTAAAAATACAGAGGGGACAAAATCAGGCACCTGTGCTCTGACTGTTGGCTCTTTCAGGTGTGAGGACTGTGCTCTGCTACATTAAAAAAAAAGTCAGTTATCTGCACTCTTTCATCCGAGACAGATATGACTGAACGTGGTCTTAAAGATTTGGTCATGTCAACTCAAAAATCTTAACAATATAAGACTCTTTAACTTTGATATGATACGAGTAAAAAAAAAAACAACAAAAACATGATGCGAACATATTTGGCACCTATAAATGGGATGTTTTTGTATTTTTCACACTTACCTGCACACATTCACTTGGCATGGCACTGTGGGGAGGATTTTCTCCTATATCAGGGTAAAGACTAGTTTTGCAATAGATTACACTTGGTCTTCTTCTGTCTGTTTAGTCCACCACCCATGGCGGGGCCCTCCTAATCCATAGGATGATGGAAAATTTATCACATATGTACCATGACAAGATGCCTCTAGCTTGAGGAGGTCTTTGTTTGTTTATGAACCCTGGACTGAACATGAAGACAACATGGCTACTGGAACAAATACCTGCATGACCCAAACCACTCTGTGAGGTAGTTCGTCTAAAAATAAGAATAGGCTAATGAGGGGCTGCTAAATTATGGTAAAAATTATTGTGATTATTTTGATTGATATTGATATCATTAAAAATGGTTACCCATGATTTGACTTCTGCATTACATTCATATACTCGAATTAAAGGCTCTTAATTCTTTCAAAAACACACTAAGTCCCACAATCACAAAACCGGATCATTGAGACTGATTTTATTGTATTTCCACCATTATGCGTTAGAGTGTAGACAATGATTTGAGCCTTTTTTTAAAGCTGTGGTACTGTCAGCACACTGTAGATTAAATGGTTATAAACCAGAGTTTTTTAATCCTTAATCAGACCTTGTACTTGATATTAGTTTGTTATTTACAGCAGAAAACAGTTGAACAGAATCAACCATGAAAGATATCGCCCAATCAAATCAACAACCTTCTGGCTGATGTAGTTTTGGTACAAAGGTTTTTCTTGCTGATGGCGAAAAGCAAAGTTTCTGTTTAGCTGATTGTGTATTAAGCAGAGTGTGTCCTGTCCTGTGTGTGTGTGTGTGTGTGTGTGTGTGTGTGTGTGTGTGTGTGTGTGTGTGTGTGTGGGCTGATGTAACTGTGCCAATGAAGCTGTAAAGGCAGTTTAATGTTGTGAAGGTTCCACCTGTCGGGATGGATTAACATGCTCTCACATTGCTCTCATGTCTGCAGCTTGGTGAAGACATGTCTCCACTTTGATGTGATGCAATTAAGGTTGTGAGAGCTACAGGATTACAGCGAGGAAGGTGATAAACAGGAAGTCTATCATGCTCTAAAACCGTGAGGCGAGCTTAAAGATCGCACCCAGACCCAACAGAGTGCTGCATCAAAACCCTACAAGATACAGGAGGACAGACATAATTAATAAAACTGAGTCCGTCTCACGTGTTTGTACAGTAAGACAGCATTAGTTCATTGATTCTTTGTCTTTCAGTCAGGATTTTTTGCTCTGAGATTTTGACTTTGCTATAAAAACCTTTAACAAGTATTGTACCAGGTAACGTTTCTAAAAGTGTACCGTAAGTAAAAAAAAAGGTGAAACTAGAGGGGCTTTCACACTGACGTCATATGGTCTGGACTTTCAGACTTTTCTGTTTGGTCTGAACCAAAATGATACGTGTGAAACCTCTTCTGGACCAAACAGCTGGACCTTGATCCAAGCAATAGAGGTGGTCTATGTCCGAACCAAATGTAACCATGGTCTGGTTCATGCCTGGGTGAAAGCTTTATTTTGAAAGGTTCAGACCTGCGTACCAAAGACAGGAAATGAGGCGAGGAGTACAAGTATCTGTTATTTTGTTGAATGGAGATAGTCCATAACAGGAAGTTTTATAATATTGTAGATAAAGTTATACCTCACTATTGACAGCTTATCTTTTCAAGAGTTTTACAACACATACTTTCTCTCCAGAGTCGGTGTTGCAGCGGCTCGCAGGATTGTATACTTTCTTCTCCTTTCCCGTCAGCCACAATAAAGTTGTCATCTAATGATGAAATTGGTTCGACAAACTCAGACCAGCCTCATGTACAGGTCTTCAAGTTATCGCTGTTGGTCGTAGAAAATCAACAATAATATGATGGTGGGAATGACTGACGGCCAAATGACTAATCAATGTAAACTACAGAGACACACAAAGCACGTAGTTGATGACGATATCATGTAGGTTCGTCATGTAAAGTTGGTTAGTCCGTTTTCAATAATGACATTGTGAAACTTAAACAGACTGAACCAAATGTAGACAATGTAACAAAAACACAGACCTTGATCTGGACCTTGTTCTGGACCTTGGTCCAAACTTTCAGGTGTGAAAACACCTTTAGTTTTACTCCTTGATTTTTAGACTTTTTGGCACTTTGAATGTTGATGTGACCCTGCAGATTTTCCTTAAGGACTTCAACAACTGCTCCTTTGTGATCAGGGTCTTCACTTTTATAATTAATATGATGGTTATTTAAATTCTGTGGTTGTTTTAAATGAAGTTGAGGAAATAGAAAAAACAGATACAGTTACACCATAAAAAACAAACCTGTCTGTGAACTTTTGATGATATTCTCACAAATCAAGAAACATCAACTGCTCTGAGGATTTGAAGGCTCAACATTCCTGCACCTACTGGACAACCAGGGACGGTCTGTATTTCAGTCTATGTGCAGTTTGTTGATCCAAGACCTGTGCTAACACATGCACAAAATGTATAGTGTCAAATCCTTTCATTCGAACTTTCCAGACTTTGTCCTGTCAGCCTCGAGTAAAACTCAAGAAATCAGCTGATGTGAGAGCACAGTGGGAAATGTTCAGGATGTGAGACCATGAAACTGTATTGTTGGACTTGTGCAAACTCAAAAGAGTGACATGCAGCATGAATAAAGCGTCTTGGGCTGAACAAGGACAGTAATGTGCTAATATGAATGTATTATAGCTGTTGGCACCAGATGATCTGGTGCTGTAATGAAGTCAGATCTATTGAACATTTTGAGTAGTTTTATGAATAAATAAAGAGTATAAAACTCTGTGGTTTCAGAGAGGTACAACTTTTTCAGACAGTGTTTAAGTACCTTTAGGTCTTTTATTGTAGAGGACATGAAAATCATCTCTCTTATATTGCCAGTTAGAAAGCAGATTTTTCTGTGATTCTACCTCTTTTGTCAGACAGGGAGGACTTCAAGCTTTGGCAGGTATGAACAAGCAAAACTGGGAACATTAGTGGCTTTTGAAAATTTCTCTGAAAAGTGCTGGAGAAACACATTTTATACTGATATTTTCAATCAGGTTTGAACACGAAGAAAAACAAACAAGGTAAACTCAAATCAATCAGTGAACAAATTGACCCCCTCTACATTGGAGCCCTGAGAAAGTGACAGTCTACTGAAGTTTTATCAGTCTGCTTTAGTTATCCTCCCAGACTCTGACATATTTAGATCCAGTCAGATCTGGCTGTTGGAACAAACTGACACATCTGTGCAGCCCATGTCTCTGCAGCAGTTCTGGCTGAGCTGTGGTTTGCAGCAGAGAGTCTCAGTGAAAGTCTTCAGTGTGATTTTTTTCCTATCTCCTCACTTCTCTTTGACTTGGCTTCTTTCCCAGAGCTCTGGATTTGAAGTGTTCCCATCCTGAGCATGACTCACACAGAGAAACCTTCAGTTTCCCTGAAACCTGACAGGTCTGATCTAATTTACGTTTCCTCTAACCACCCGAGGCAGAGTGATGTCAGCCTGGCCTCTAAGCTGAAAGGAGGACACGGATGTGTAAGGAAACACAGATGACCGAAGAGAGGAAGTCCTCCTCTGATACACCTGTAGACATCAGACAGGTGAAATCAAACCCCGGGAACAAGGATGGGCTCCTCAATGGTTATAGAGGAGAGAGAAGTCATCACAGTGTTCATAAAACGTGTCTGACAATGTTTAGTGGTTTTTCAGATTTGTAGAGTACAACTCCACAGAAACAGAATTAATGCAAGGGGTACTTTTCTAATGCAGACAGAGGCATCAAAACCACCTTTACACACTGTTCTGAGAAAATCAGATGATTTGAAAGACTATAAAACTGAACTGAGTTGAATTAGGATGAAAAATTGTATTCATGTTTGAATAAGGCCATTAACTCAAGACAGCTGCTCCTCTAATTCTGCAAAAGTTGTACTTTTAACATCTTGAAAAGTCATGAAACTTTGTGAGCAGAGAGAGATGATCAATTCACACTATGATTATTTTTGAACCAGGCTGTAAACACATCTATTTTTTTCCTGTAAAGATGTGATATTCAGTATGGGTGTGTATGTGTCTACTTTCAGAGGGAGCCTCTGGTGGACAGTTGAGGAATTGCAGTTAATTGTACCTTCACATTACTTTATTTTTTTGTTTATTTAAAGAAATCTGATAAACTCTAACCCTTTGACATGATATCATGCTGTACTCTGTGAGTTTATGTAATATGTATGCTGAGATTTAAGGGGAATGGCCATAGTCAAATTTAGCAAAAACACAGTTGGCTCCCTGGTAGGAAGACTGTTGCTGATTTCCTTGCAGTGAAGAACCATTTGACATACTGAAAGTAGTCCCTGTTTTCCATAAATGTGAAGTTAATCATTTCAGTTTTTCTATGTGGAGACTCTGTGGGCGTCTGGCGGCCCACATGTGTACTTTATTTTCCTGCCCACGCCGTGTTGCCGTGTGAAGGAGATGAAATAATCCTCGGCATCGCTGCCTTTATGACTCACTTAGCTGCCGAGAGCTTCAGCACCCTCTCAAATTTGATTCATTTGTTGCTCAGTTTTGATGTGACACATTTGGCCTGGCACCAGAAATGAACATATTATTGATATTGTACGTTTACACTCTGCTGTGTTTAAGGTGAAGCATGGAGCTTGTTAAAGGAAACGGAGGGTTTATGGCAGGCAATGTTGACCTACTCGTTCCTCTTTTCTGTAACAGAGCTCACCTCTGTTCCTCTTCTCTACCTGCCAGGTGAAAATCTGCATAAACATCCATGAAGGAAATGTATGATAATGGTTTCAGTATAAAGGATCAGACTCAGTTAGCAGATTATGACTAACTCATCGAGTTCAGCCAGAAACTATTCTCAGCTCAGCGTCTGCAGCTCTGCTCTCCTTTCACACTCACAAATCTGTTTCCACAGACTGCTGACCTTTGGCCTTTTGTTTAGTTCTCTTTAATTTTCTTTTGATTGTGCAGATTTTCTCAGGAGGGTTTGTGGCACAAGTCTTGAAACTTTGATGTTTGAACGATCACCAGATTGCCTTTAGCTGCACTGTTCAGACTTTATCTTCCACTCCAAGTCAGAACTGTTGCATCTGTTCATGCAGTCATGGCAAAATCTGAGGTGTGTTGATAGGTAAATTTGTGTTGGGTTGTTTCTTCACTCTTTGTCTAATTAATTTCATATGGAAGAGAAAATAAAGAGGCATTGGGAGGAGCCAGCTGAGATGGTTCAGGCATTTAATAAGGACGCCTCCCTTTGAAAATGCTTACTGGGAAGTGATCCAGGGTAGACCCCGACACATTGGGATCCCAGGGATGGATGCATGGATGAATGGAAAGGTGGTTTTGATATTGTGGACAGTCTGTTATTGTAAGACACATGGAAGAGTTTGAAGTCTAATTGTTTGAACCATCAGTGTCAGACAGTCTGTAGTAGTGCTGGGCGATAGGACGATAGATATCGTGGGCACGATAGAAAATGTCTATCGTGCCATTTTTATTTTTATCGTTTCGGGCGATAGGCTGTATTTTATCCATAGGGCTCGTGCCATCAGATGATTCATAGTAACAACAACAATAATTGCACATTCAGTAAGTGTATTTGGTGTCAAACGGGAAAGAAAACAATATTTTCTTACAAAGAAAAGGATGCGTTAACATGTAGGCTCGCATTTCTCTTTCGATTTTACAACATGACGCCGCTTTACGTGCCCTCTTCGTGTCAAGCGTCTCCCGCCGTTGCGGGTTACCTGGGTTACACACGTGAGGAAATCATTGTAAGCAGTGCTTAATTTGTGCCGGGGCAAGTCGGAGCGCGCTCCGGGACCTCTTTTGATCGGATCCGGGACCTATTTCAGCCGCTCCGGCACCTGTTACATCTGCTCCGGGACCTTCCCTGTAGAGGATGACGTTTGTCGGGAATTCCCGTGGGTCACGTGATTCCCGCGGGAATCCCACGGGATGGGAGTCGTTTTTTTTATTAATCCCTTGATCGGGACGGGACGGGATAAAAAGCAACGGGAGTGGGCAGGAGCGGGAACAACATTAATAGATGATAATTTTCAGCCGTGTTTAACAACCAGATGAACAGGTGCGTCCATTTTTGTAGTCATGTCTCAGTGAGAGCCAACACTCTTGAGCGCGCTAGCAACACAAAAGAACTACAACAGTGGTTTGACTTCCTGTCAGCTGGGAGCGCGGCTGCGCATTTCTACCCTTCGAGCCAGGGGCGGGGAAACGTAATTTTGTGACATTCTGTAGTTTTTCAATCATTTCTGGAGTCGTGGCGAATCAAATCACCTTACCTGTCTGCCCCTGATAGGCGAATAAAGCGCTCGGATTCATGCTCGGGTCTTGCTACGTGCTTCAAGAGTAAAGTAAACAATGATGGAGGCAGAGAGCAGCTTTGGAGGAGAAACATCCAGCAGTGTGAACAACCTCTTCAAAAGAGCCCCATAGACCTACCTTTTTAATAAAGCCTGTGGTTAGCTTTCCTCTATGCTTAATGCTTTTACTACCTTGCCTCTTACATTGCAACTCTATATTCTTAATTTTTTTTATTCGTTTATGCCTTTTTTATGCCAATCTGTGACTGTCATTCTATTGCTTTTTTTATTGTTGCTGCTCTTTTTTTACTGTGTACTGTAGCACTTTGAGATTTTTTGTAAATGTAAAGTGCATTACAAATTAAATTTATTATTATTATTATTATGGAGTGCTTTGACTCACACTATCGGCGTTTTCTGTGAGTGTTGCATAACTTTGGGTGAGCACAGACATGAATGCACTTCAGCCACGTATTTATTTATTCATTTTTCTAGTTTTAAGCGCTGGTCTTGTACTGGGACTGTACTAGGGCAGCTGTATACGCTTTAATTTTTCATAGAACTGAAAGCATACCATAGCTATATCGTGATATATATCGTTATCGTGATATAAAATGATCCATATCGTGATATACATTTTTTTCCATATCGCCCAGCACTAGTCTGTAGTATAAAATCTGTGGACCATGACAGCTCTCTGTCCCAACAACATTAATGTAGCTAATATCTGCATTAAAGCTACAGTGGTTCTAGGCAGGAACGCTCCCTTGCTCACCCCTTGTATCAGAGGGTTCCTGCTTAATGTTTCCTTAACGTCTAATGCTAATAACCCCATGCAGAATAAATGATATTTGGTCCCATACTGCTGAAAGAAAGAGTTAAAGCAAGCTTGCATAAACCATAAAAGAGGTCCATGCCATCTCTATAATCATGAGTTTTGCAGAACTCTGCATTATCACAGTCCTCGTCACCTCTGGGGTTGAAGCCGTGAAATGCCTGAGTCTGCTTTTCCTGAGCATTGAAGTGGTGAAAGTGCTTTTCTCGGGGTTACAAATGTCCTGATGGAGCTGATTAGAGTCCTGAGAGCACTGCATTAGACCTCAGTGCAGTCTGACACACTCTGATGAGTGTGTGTGTGTGTGTGTGTGTGTGTGTGTGTGTGTGTGTGTGTGTGTGTGTGTGTGTGTGTGTGTGTGCGTGCGTGTTACAGGATAAAAGGTGACGGTATTGATGAGGAGGGAGACTCCATGAGTACCTGGGTCAGCTATTCAGGATCTAGAGGTTGTAACATAATCTCTGCACACACACACACACACACACACACACACACACACACACACACTGCTTATACTATCACATATTAATGTCCCTCATGAATGTCCAGGCCCCACAGTCCATTTACTACCCATAATCCACCTCCCTTACAGTAGACCACTTGCCCTTCACACTCATCTACAGCAGCTCTCTGACACCCGAGCTCTCTGTCAGGTTAGCTTGCTGCTCGCCAGGGGGATGAAGAGGTTTCATTTGCACTAAATCCAATTCCACTTGACACAGACAGGATGAGTTATTCAGGGTCGCGGGAGGCCGAGGGTTTGAGTACACACTGTTGGCAATGACCTCAGAGGTCGTTTATCAGGATCTCAATGACCGCTGTGCAAGTGAGAGCTGCTCCCAACAAAAGCTCATTGTCGGAGGGGAGCTGCTGTCATGTCATGGCGGTATATTTCTGACTCAGGAACTCCCCGGGGAGGACGTCGGTAATGTAGCTGAGGCTGAGAAAACTATCTTTAGCTGTGAAACTTTCTGAGATAGCTTCCTGCTCAGATCAAGTTTCATCTCTTTGTTTGATCCAAAGACTGAATATAAAGATTGACTACAGAGCAGATCCCTGAGAGTGTAGCCAAAAGAGTTAGAGGTACTCCTGCTGATTGGCTGAAGTTAGGGACACAAATGGCCCCCTTCCTATTGACGGACAGGACACAGGTCAATCTGAAGTCCTCTCAATGCAATCTCTCATTGAAACACACAGAGAAACTGATCCATCTATCAACACGGCCACTGTCACAGATACACAGAAAACCTTCAATAACGCAAGATGGATTTTTATTTGTTCACCACCACTGTATTTTTCTGCCATAAACTACTGTATTTTTTCATATTGCGTAGATACTATAGAGACAGTATTTCAATGTTTTCTTTTTTTCAGCAGATCTTGCAGCCCTATTCCCAGTTTGGTTGGAGAGCACAAATGTTGGATTGGAGGTTAATGACTCACAGAAGTGAAAGTAAGAAACAGTGAGACAGGCCTGTCAAAGAAACCATAATCAGTCATTTATTGACATTGATATCAAGATTACCCATGAATTTACTCAATTTAAAACCTTTTTTCAAAACTAAAAACTCAGATATTTTGAAAAAACAGTAAGTGGGAAAAAAATTTAAATGTTTAGCTCGCCCTTTTTTTTTTTTAATAAATCATTTGTCTATGTAACTGGATAATATGAAAAGTCACATGTATGACTACGACAATAATAATAATGCATCACATTTCATAAAGCACTTTATCAGAGATCCTCAAAGTGCTTTACATTGGATACATCATTCATTCATTCACACACCCTGGTGGTGGTAAACTACCTTAGTAGTCAAAGCTGCCCTGGGGCAGACTGACAAAAACATGGCTGCCATTTTGCGCCTATGGCCTCTCCGACCACCACCACACATCACCCACATTCAAACACCAGTGGAGGACACACACACTGGGAACAGGGTGGGTTAAGTGTCTTGCCCAAGGACACAATGGACAGACTCTGAATAGGGGGAGATTAAAGCACCAACCTTGTGGTTATTGGACAACCGCTCTACCTCCTGAGCTACTGCCACCCCATGACTCTCAGTGTTTGGCCTAACAGTGGTTAACTTGTTAGGATTCTGTCCCTTGGCTTTTCAGACACACACACCTGGCCTCCTCCTACTCCTCTCCCTGCTCTTTTCTCTCCTCATTCTGCTCCTCTCCTCTTAAAACAATACAAGATTCAACACAGTTCAGGCTTTGTGTTGTTGGACAGAGAAAGATGCAAACCATCACACACTCCTCTACCTACTGTAACAACTGTTGATGTGTTATTTTTTTACCTTTATTACCTTTTCTCTGAATTGATGTTGGTCGATGTTTGTCAAACATTTACTAAAATGATTCCTGTCAGATGACTTAAAGAAAATAATGTTGTTAAATGTGTAAAAGAACTTCCCATTCTTTAGTCATCAACTGCACACACACACACACACACACACACACACACACACACACACACACACACACACACACACACACACACACACACATCGTATACCCCAAAGACACTATGAGATGAAAATGAGACATAATCAGGGCAGGAGGGGAGAAGGCAGGAAAGGGTGGGGGAAAGTAGGCCATAAGCAGCACAGAGGACACACACGCGCATGCACATGCACTCACACTCACACACAAAGTTGAAATGGTGAGTTATTAGTGTGTTTGTTAATTAATATTTGTGTGTATCTGCAGCTCTGGGGATGATCTCTGCCACTTCTGAGGCTGTGCTGCTGCTGCTGCTGCTGTGATGAATTATTCACTCATAAAAGTGTGTGTGTGTGTGTGTGTGTGTGTGTGTGTGTGTGTGTGTGTGTGTGTGTGTGTGTGTGTGTGTGTCCCTGTGGCCACCTCTGCCTGTCTCAGGGGTGTGAGTAGCCTCAGATGTGTGTGTTTGATTGATGGTTCTGCCCGGTTGAATGTAGGCTAACGGGACAACTGGCGCTGCACGGTCACAGAGAGGTGTATTCTGGGAGTTTCTGGCTGAGTGGCTTAGACAGAGGAAACTCCTGCTGCTGTGCTCTGAGGATCGGCCTGTTGATTGTGATTCAGAGAGCTTTCAGACTCGTTGGTGGAGGAAACTTCTCTGTGTTGAGGAGTTTGTTGCTTTTGTTTTGAAACAGATTTTACAGTAAAGGTCCCTTAAACACTGATAAGGTAAACAAAAGAGACTGTGGGGGTCTTATGGCCTGGTGTGAGTGACAGTGTCTTGAGTGTTCCATTTGAGTTCCACAGAGGAAGATGATAATAATCTGGAAGAGCTGCAGGCTTGCTTTAGTTTGTGCATCAGTTTGTGGCTCTGCAGGTGAATTGAGCTGATTTGAGGAGTGAAGTTGGGCTTCCCTGAGGTTTGATTATAAGCTGATTTTTATTTGATTTAAATTAATTTTACATTTTCTTCTCCTTGTGTTACCAATTTACTTTACTTTCATAAGTTCAGTCCCCCTTTAATCAAAACTCTCCATGGCCAAAGCAGTAAAACATGCAAAACTCTAACTCAAGGACCACCACCTCCACAGTCTTCACCTGGTGTCATTCATACAGTTCTTCTCAGTCGATCACCAGCAAAACACACACAAACAAAACGACTTGCTGTTTGTTGGAATAAGCCTACAGTTTGTTGTTGTTGTTGTTGTTCTCCTTGGAGACTTGGCCCTTCTGCTTATTTGCAGACCTCATCTTTGAAGGCCATCTCTCCCTCCGTCTAAGTCCCACTCCGATCCCGATCACTTTTTTTTTTTTGTTTGTTTACTACTGAAGTGTTCTCAGTGGCCTTTAAACTGTGATTATAAGGTTTTTAGCCAAAATCACATTGCCTGTGTCATTTTCAAGTGCTTTTCTTCTGCAGAGCTCCAGTAGCTCATTAGCAATTCACCTCTGAGTCATGGGCGGAGACAGCGCTGCTCTGCACACTCCTCTTCATGCTAGCTTGTAGCCTAACATTGCTGGTGTAGTAGAAGTAGCAGGTGACATAGGAGCTATTCAGCTCTCAGACACCAATGTCTTTAGGGGACATGATGAAAGTTAATATCATAATTAGCTTTTTTATGAACATTGCAATCCGCTAACGCATACGCTAGTACCGCAATCGTCCTCTCTATTTCTCAGTCTGGCCTGCATAGCGGGGCTTCATCTGACAGCCTCTCATTGGGCACAGCCTCTGTCTTAGCTCTTCATTTAGACTGTATTTGTTTGTTATTGTGGCATCCTCACTAAAACATGCTCAGACCTTCACAGGCTGTTGTATTACTGTGTTAAATCACAGAAACCTGCTACACTCAGTGAAATTAAGCCCAGCTCCTCTCCCTCCTCCTCCTCCTCCTCCTCCTCTTCTTTTTCAGTGGTAATTTTTTACACTTTGGGGATTATGGATATCAGTTAGCAGCCTGTCAGTGCAGCCGGCTGCAGAAACATGCCAACCTCTCCTCACACATATTAAAGCTCAGCCCAGATGAGCTGATGAAACCAGCAGCAACGTCTTGTTTACCAAAGACCCTCAGCTGTCTCTGAATGATTCAGCCGACATGGTGTGGAGAGGGGAGAAAACATGAAAACATGCAGGAATCAAGTTTTTGTTAGAAAAGAGAGTAAGAAAAGAGGGAAATATGTTTGTGCAGTTTCTAAAGTGATGGAATAAACACTGAGAGTGGCAGAGCCACCTCTCCAGTCACCTGCTAACAGGCTGCCCATTAAACAGATGGAGTCTGTAACTACAGCAAAACCCTTTTAAAAACAGAAAACTTATTTTTGTACAAATGGATTCATGTCAATGCCAGACAGCAGATGTAACAGATACATGATAAATGAACAACCATGGGTGCAACAGCAGCACAAAAAAGGCTCCACCAATGCAGTCTGTGTTATAATCCGCAGAGTCCATCTACTCATGCACTCAGGTTTGTGAGTTTTCAGTGAAGACACTCAGATAAGTTCACCTGAACAATGGCTTTTTTCAGATCCAGGTTCAGTAATAGAATGGTTACAAATAAGGTACATTAAAAATAAAACACAGCGTGTGTTAATGGTTTGTTTTGATATGATTGCGCAGCAGTATTCATTTAAAGAGACAATGGTTAGTGTCTATAAACCTTCATTTCTATTGACCCAATAAGGCAGTCACTGAATAAAAAAGCAGCAACATAAAATTCAATTTAATTTGGACTCAGACACTTTCTCTCATAGACTGTTTATAAAATGGACACCAATCTGCCTCGTCGCTGGGTGAAGCCACCGCGAGATCCGCACCGTCTGGTGACAGGCTGCAGTATAGGTCATAAATCCCGCCTTCTCCAGCAATCGCTATGGAGCTGTGGACAAACTTTAGAAATTAATTACACAGAATATCAATTTTTCTCCCCCCTGCTTGTGATGTTGACATGTAGTTATTGTAAAACTGGTTTGTGCTCAAGTCCTCTTTTTTCTGTGAAGCTCTGTTTTTAAAAGTAACTAGGGGGTTCATGTTTTCCATGATTGACACTTGATACAGCCTATGGGCGTACGAAGATTGTGTAGCTCACCCGGGGGATACGCCATTTCAGCTGAGTGTCATCACAGCGACTCTCAGTGACTCTTCCTCCGAATGCGTACAACACTACACTACCGCGCAAGTGGTGGTTCCAGGAAGTGAAGAAAATCCTGGAAATACTGAGAGCAATTCTGTTTCAAATTTGTATAATGATGGAAGGCGGAGCCAAGCTGTCCAAAGTATATACAGTCTATGCTTTCTCTGCTTTGGACATGTTTTCATCAAATATCAAACTGGTGCATGTCACATTAAAGCTGCTGTGAGGAACCTTTGGTTTGGGTTGATTGTGGCCCCATAAGAAGATAAAAAGGCTGTTTCTTCACCCTGCTGTCAATCATCTGGTTTGACTCCTCCCCCTTTCAGCTGTTTCAAGTATTAAACATAACAGCAGAATTGATCAGCCCTGTTGCTGATTTTATTTTTGGTTCAGAGGGTCATAAGGGGGCATTCTTATCAGTTTCAGTCTGTTTCTCAACCAGATCAAAACTCCTTCTAGTGGCCTTATCATTGACCCCCCATCTCCAAATTTTGGGTGCTGTGTTTGCCATGAAACAATCTGAAGAATTAATGACAAACTGTGAGAACTTGTGTTGGCCTTTGGATGCATTGATTGTTTAGTTAATGAAAGAAGCTGATTTTTTTTTTCTGTGTTTTTGTGTGTATCAGTGTGTGATGGTGCTAATAGGGATCCTAATAAAGAAAAGAAAAGAAACGACAGTCGCTAATAAAAACATTGCATATGATAAGCACTGTGCATAAAAAAATACAGCTAAATGTGAAACTGTCTGGATAGATTCTGCACATAATGACTAAAAAAGAGCAGAAATCATATCAGACAGTCTGATCCTGATCCTGTATGAGATAAGGTGTTAAAGTTTCTGAAAATCTGTGAGTCACCAGGACCACAAATCACACATCCTACCAGGACCTTTCAGCTCCACAGAACCAGGAAATAATCGGTGATCAATGTTGGAGTGCAGATGAATACAAGAGAGTCTAAAACCAGCAGGCTGAGAGGAAAGACTCAAAGAGTGATTTTTACGATTTATTTATCTCCTCGATCTTTGTTTTTACTCTCAGTGCAGAATACACTCCAGTGTGTAGAAAGAACAATTTCTAACACACTGTAAAAATCAAAATCAAAACCCTGAGCAGTGAGCAGTGAGAAAGAGAAGAGTCTGAAGAGATCCTGAGGGAGAGCGTGAGACATGCCAAGATGATTGGCCCACGGGCCGTGGGGAAAAAATCACTACAACACGACTTCGGCAAGCCCACAGCGCACAGCCTTGTCTATTCAAAACCCATGAATCAGCAGAACACACACACACACAGAGAGCTAAGGGCTGATGAGACAGACAGACTGCATGCTCAGCTGTCTGTGTCAGGGCTTTACGTTCTGCAGCAGAGAGATGAAACACAAAGGATGGAGCTGCCGACATGAACGTGGACAGCTGCTTCATTTTCCCTGCTTTTTTTTTATTTCCCTTACACATATTTACTCTATTCTTTGCAGATATCCAACTGAAGTATACTTGATAATAACTGGAACCCTCATAAATTCATATGTAACAGAGTCTCAGAGTTGAAAAGAGAGTGACTGCGGTGCACAAGTTTTCATCCCAGATTAATCTCTTCTTTGAATTCAAAGACAGTCTGATAATAATAATGTCATGATTTTTAGCTCAGTAACACCTGAGATGTTGAACAAAGGCAGGTTCACTCAGGAGTTGAGTTTTCAGTTATTGTCAAGCAGAATTTGCAAGGTTTGAAAACTACTGAGGAAAAAATCAGGAGAATTACTCGCATTTGTAACCACTGTTTCAACTGGAAAAAACTGCTGACTACATAGTGTCCGACCTTTAGACAGCTGGAGCATAACCAGACTCAAGCAGACCATCATTTGTCACTACATTGGGTTTAGAGAGGGTCAGATGAGATGGAGAAAAAGAGAGATGGACAGAGGAGAGACACAAGCACATAGATGAAGCAGCTGGACAGCAGACAGATCCACAGCAGCAGGACGTCTGGAGCAGTGATCCAGAGAAACCCACAGGATGATGGAGCTCAAGAACTCCCAGAAAAGACTGAGTATTAGTGACTCCAGCGGGACATGATTCAGAGTTAATGACACAGACAGAAAGGGGATGGAGAAGGAGAGAAAAGTGCTCAATGTCCGCCAGCACTCTAAACCTATAGCAGCATAACTAAGAGCTGGTCCAGGTCTGAAGCAGCTCAAACTGTAAGCTTCATGAAAAAGGAACATTTAAAGCCTAAAGTGTTGACTCTGAAATATCCATGAGCGTTTACCCTCCATATGGCCATGACATTCACTAAAATCCGATAGATTTCCTCCAGTAGAAGAGCTTGAGTCAGCAACTGACTAACATGCTCTCCTCACTTTCTTCTTTCCTCTCTGCAGGGTGCCAGAGGAAGTGATGTTGGCAGGAGAGGAGGAGCGGGATGGTCAGGCAGCGGTGCCTGTGTACGTGTATGAATCAAAGGTCCACTGTGCCAATGTGCTGCTGAGCCTGGAGGAGCAGCGGCGGCAGGGCATCCTGTGCGATGTGACCGTGCTGGTGGAGGGCAGGGAGGTGCGTGCTCACAGGGCTGTCCTCGCTGCAAGCAGCCGTTACTTTCTGCAGGCTCTGCTGGGACACAGCGGGTCAACAAGTGAAGCAGAACCCATCATTAACCTGCCAGACAAGGTAATGGGAACACAGAACACACTGGGGAATGACTACTTTAGAAATAGATCTGGGACGAAACTTTAAACTATGATGTAAGTCCAAATATAAGTCTCTGGCCTGCATTAACACCTGATCATGATACAATACAACAAACACATGGCTGTACATTAACATGTAAGCTGTGGAGACTACAAGAAACTTGGTCTCAGAGTCAGCCCAATAGACAACCACTGAGAGAGCCTGACTGAGGTGGACTATTGTTTGGATGAGAATCAAGTAAAGTGTCCAAATGAGAAACAGCTCCAACTAGTTAGAACCATCCACATTATTCATGTATCTGCTGAATGGTTATCGAGGCCTTTCACTGAGATTTACTTGCTTTGCAAACAGTGATGAGGGGGATTCAGCACAAATGTTGAATAGAAGAGGAAACAGCCACCTTACTGTAAAATCTACTCACTTTGTGGGACCAGCTCCACTCTCCACTGATTAACTTTGTGTTTCTGTTACAGGAGCTTTCTTCCATCACTGTGAAGCTCTGAGTGTTTTCAGGGAGTGTTCAGTTCTAATCAGTTAAAAACAAAAGTCATCTGTGATAACTTGTGTTTAAAGTTTATGCATCATCTCCACATTGCACACCTGTTCCTCACAAAGTTCAAACAAAAGGTGAGTGTGTCCTCTGATTGGAGGAGAGATGTTAGATCTGATTTGGGCAGCCGTGGCTCATTGGTGGAGTTGATCATTTCCCTGGGTTCGATCCCAGGTCCCACTGTGAATGGGGTTGGTTAAAGCTTGTATGGGTTCCACACATAGCAGCCTCTGCCATCAGTGTGTGAAAGTGACATGTGATGTAAACATTGACAGACGACTACAGAAAGAGCTACATAAGCACACACAGTCCATTTATCATCCTCAATGATAGCATCTCACACCAATGCTATGCAGACAATACTCAGCTCTTCGTGTTACTCTCATTATAGACATAGGGCTGCACGATTAATTGATTTTAAATCATAATGGTTTATTTGATTATGACGATGTTGAAAAAATTAAAATCCTCAAATCGATTTTCCTCTCTATCATGTTTTGCACCTCCAGGCCACCATGGGCTCCCCCTTCCTGCGGGAGTGCTCCCCAGTTCCCACACACACCAAACAAGTCAGTCCTGTGGCTTTGGTACAGCTTCGCAGCATGAGATGAAGCGCAAACCACTGCCTGCTGTAAAGTCTGTCTGAAGCAGTGGCGACTGCTGGTCTTTCAAGGAGGGGAAGCTCATTTTTCTGGCCTACATCATAATTGTGTTTGTTTATTAGTATGTTACAGAACAGGGTCACCAAACACAACGGCAGTCGTTTTTAACAAAGACAAAAGTCGCTGAGGATCGGTAAAGTCTCCGGAGCAGTTAAGAACAACGGAATGAATAACTTGGAAAATGCTCTGGTAGATGTTTTATTCTTAAAGATCGCTGATTCGCTTGTTTAGCTGTCAATCAAAAAAGGATTTCGCCTAAGACAGCTCATCCAATCATGGATGCAGAAGCTCAGCGTCCGCCAGAAAGTTGGGACTGCCCTCTCGTCATAGAACTCCGGAGACGCTGAGTGTCCGATGGGCGGGACAAAGCCCAGCATTTATCCAATGAGCGTCTAGTTTCGCTGCTGGAACAACCCACTTTGAGCTTCCACATTGAAGTCAGCAGACGCTGATCGTCCGGTTGTGTGAAGCGCTGAGGCGCTGCGAGGATGAATGAGAACGAAGTTATGCCGGTTACCTGGGATTATCAGCTTCTTATCACAGTGTGATAAGAAGCTGATTCTGAACAAAAGATGAAGGCTTTCTAGCGCGTATTTAGTTAATGAAATGTACACACAGCAGTACGTATTTCACCACTTTTTCTTTTTTTGGGGGGGTGACATTTTAAGGGAAGCTGAGCTTCTCTTGCAGTCTTAAGGTCCTTACACACCAGTGAATTTGCGGAGCGAAGCGAAAAAGCGAGACGAAAATGCGAAAATATTCGCCGGTCCGAAAAATCGCTTTCGCCTATGCACACCGGGCGCGAAGCGAATATACGTATAAATTTCGCAAAGCGAATTAATAAAGTCGCTTTGTGGCACGGAGGAGAGGAGATGCGGGGTGGTCCTGTACCGCATTTACCAGCCTCTCTCCATCGTTGCTCTTGGTGCCAGTGGCGGTGTGTGTCGTGTGAACGGCATTATGAGCGAGGGAGAAAGAGGAGGAAAAGCTGTGAGAGACGCCGCAGCAGCCAGGAGAGGTGAGGGCTGAGCAGTGATCCTTCAAGTTTTCTGGTCATTCTGTTGGCCCTTTAGCTGCAGATCATCGGTATGTCAAACAGCTAAGAGGGAGAATCAGGCATGATGAGGCGGTCACCCTGTGAAGTGTGCATGACATCTGTCTCCTAAGGAAGACAAGAGAGTGTCATCTTGTGAGAAAACTACTTCATTAGTAATTAGAAAGAGTTTTGGATGCACCTCAGCTGCCTTTCTCTGCCTTTTCATAATCTCAAACTTCTCCCTCTCCTCCAGCCGTATGGGTCTGTGACATTATCAACAACATGACTTTTGATTGGCCAGAGGTCTAGCAGGTCCAGATATTCACCTCCGAATATCCTAAAAATTCGACACAAGAGCGAAAAAATAAGAGACGCTTTTCGCCCCGCGGAAAAATCGCCGCTGGTGTGGAAGCCTGCATTGACTTTATGCTGTTTTAAAAAAAGGCAAATAATTCGCTTGGCGAATTCTCGCCTGGTGTGTAAGGACCTTTAGAGCAATCGCCACTGGTCTGAAGGTGGTATCAACCCACCCACACGAAAACAAATTCAGGAGTAGACGCACCTACTGGCTTGGCATAAGCACTACGTTGTCTTTTCAGTGGTTTCATTCTGAGAGATGATGGAAAAACTTTTTATTTTGAAAGTGAGGTTTGGGGAAGTAATCACTGAATAAAAAATTTGAATCAAAAATCGAGTTTTCAGAGAAAAAAATCGGCATTTTATTTTTAGCCCAAATTGTGCAGCCCTAATTAGACAACACATCTGTCTCAGCTGGTCTCCATGCCTAAATGCAGATATCCCTAAACAGGCAAAAGTAAGTTACCTCCAATTAGACTGGGCCCAGTTTCACCTCAGCCAGACCTTTTATACAATCCAAAATTCCACTCAAGCATGGACCAACAAAAGCCTGCTCAAAACCTGCAGCTCCTGGTACAGGCTCTTCTGTAACACAGGCTACATTCCAGAGTGCCATTTAACCCCTTGGCAGTCAGTGATATTGATAGTACAGAATTAATCATGATGGTGTCCATGACGTTTTTGATGTTGTTGATGAAAAAAATCATTCAGTTCGATTCCTCTCCTTCTGCAGCTAGTGAGTCTATGTCACAAACACTACCAACACTCTGGATGAGAGCACCCGCTGCTTAAATTTGTAAACCGGCTGGGTCCTGTTCTTGCAGGGTCACTAACTCTCACCTTCAGTTTACAGGGCTGATAAAAATACCTGATCTGAGAAGGACAGAAGGATAACCTGTGGACAGTCGGCTGAAAAAGAGCAGAAGACATAAAATGTCCTACAGTTCACTTGTTTAGTCTGAAAAAAAAAACCTCAGGGAAAAAAATGACAACCCTAGCTTGCCCTTTGTGAGATAGATAAGGATAAAGAGGGAGATGTAAACCACAGAGCTGACAAAAATGGATCTGTTTGTGGAAACTGGAGGGGTATGAATATTTATGTGGTTACCTGGTTGTTTGTTGCTGCTTCCTTTCACCCTCGGAGCCGATCAGAGAGCAGCTCCTGATCCCAACAGCTGACATTACCATACAACGTCCCAGATGTGTCATATTGATTCATGTGTCTGTGTGGCACCATATCATACAGTAATCACTCCTACAGGCCTCAGCACGCTGGACTCCTTCACCTAATGACTGTGAGCTTTATTTCTGCCATCCTTCCTCCTGTCTCTTCTATCACTGATGTCTAAGGAGCTCAGGGCTCTTCAAAAGCTGGGCAGTTAACAGACACCACTGTTACACTGTCACTCTTAGGACCCAAGACATTATCATCATTGATCCATGACATGTGCACATTTATAAAATGAGGTAAACCTGGTCAAAACATCAAGTGGAGTAAAGAGGTCACACCTGCAAACAGAAACACATCAGAGAGCTGAAAATAAGAGGTCAGTCAGGATCTTGCTTGTGGTCCTTCTGGCCCCTCTTCTGTCTCCACAAAGACATGTTTCTGCACAGGAGGCTGCAGCTGCTGACGCTGCTGAAAATCAGCTTACATGCATGCACACATACAGTTTCATGTACACACACTATATAAGGCTGTGTAAACACATTCAGACACACACAGGCAAACAGACACACTTGGTAGCCATGTTGCCAGGAGAAAGAAAGAGGAAGCAGAAAGAAAGAAGGAAGGAGTGAAACGAAGGAGTGGAGAAAAGCTGAGTAATTCATCAGTGGAGAAATAACTGAGTGTGATCAAAAAGGATTTTTAGTCTGGGTAAATTCAATCAGTTTGTATCACTGACTGATCTTCCCACCGTGTGGAAGGAAATAAACCTCTGGAGTAGGTGAAGGAAGCTGCGGAAGTGCAAAAGAGTGTATCTTCTTGAGTGTCCACTCAAGTAAGTCTCTCAAACTGAAACTGCGGCTTGAACAAAGAGGTTTATTTTTCTGCAAAAGACATGGTAGCACTACCTGACACACATCTGCACACAGGGTTAGTTCTTTGCGAATGTTTTGGGTCGGTTGGTAGATTCTGGTTTTCTGGACTTTTCTACTTTCCTGTCTTTACAATGTCCCATGTTACTAAAAGAAAATGCAAAATAATCTCTGACAAAAGAGTAACACAACCTCCTCAGCCAAACACATTAGTGTTGTACATCAAATGTGCAGAACTTAATGTAGTGTAATAAAAAGGTTCTGGATACTTTTGGTTAAAGGTGGGGTAGGCTGGATCTGAGGAAGTGCCAGTTTTTGGGAGAAATCTTGAATGTCAGCACTACCCCTCCCATCTTCGACCCCATCTTTAAAAAGCACCTCATGTCAAATAACCTGTACCCCAGTCCACCCTGGAGAGCTGATGCCCCACAGTCTTGATAGTAAACTGTTGACTTCTCCTAAACTGACCGAAGCTTCTTCTCTTCTGTCCTCTGCAGGTGACGGCCAAAGGCTTCGCTCCTCTTCTCCAGTTTGCCTACACTGCCAAACTTGTTTTAAGTCGGGAAAACATCCATGAGGTCATCCTGTGCGCGGAGTTCCTGGGTGTCCACAACTTGGAGGACTCCTGTTTCCGCTTCCTCCAAGCCCAGCTACAGGATGACCATGCCAGTAATGGAAAAGTGGCATATGGCGACGACAACACCGCAGAGGATGTTGTTTGCTCTGAGGCGACATCCCAGGATGAGTCATCAGAGACAAGGCAGCAGACCAATCATGTAGCTTCCCTTCCCGCTGACCTTTCTCAGTGTCCGAAATACAGGAAGTATCAGTACCAGACCTGTGAGAATAAGCACAACAGAGAAAAGCATGATGATGAAGTAATTTTGGTCAATCATACCTCAGTCAGCCCTGTGAGCTCCCAGCTCACCAACAGCAATGCTGCCACCGCTTCACAAACTCTCCTGTCCCCATCACATATCAAAGAGGAGCCATTTGTGTTTGAGGAGGAAAAAGAGAGGAGCGGCTGCAACCCTGAGATGTGCACTGAGGAGGTGCTGGAGATGGAGTTGGAGGTGGAGGGAGTTCCAGTAGCACCTGAGCACTCTCCGGGCAGAGGGTCACCCTCCTCCTGCCTGCGCTCATACCTCCAAAGAGGTGGGCTGGACCTGAGCTGTGTGCCAAGCAGCACCATCCAGCAGCTGCTAAGCAACAGACTGTCCCTCAACCACTACAGGGAGCTGGTCAAAGACAAGCAAAGGGACAAGACGGAGGCAGACCTCAAGCTTGGTGTCATGGATGTGAAGAGGATGGAGAGGCCAGTCTCTAAAGCCTCCTCTTCCAAGTATGAAGGTGAACTCGACCGACGCAGCGTCATTTTCTCCTCAGCCGCTGGCGAGCAACAGATGTTGACCCATTCTTACATGGAGGAGAAGTTCAGAGAAAAAGTCTCTACCCTCACGCAGGCAGAAGCACCCTCTTCAGGTCGGTCGTGTCTCAGCACCAGCTGCCCCGTCCCCATCAAGACATTGGCCCAGTCCCCTTCTCCTTCGGAGCCCCGAACTCAGACTTCCAGCTCTCGTTCCTCGTTTTCATACCCAGAGGATGCAGGCAGCGGTAGCTCCCCCTCCAGCCTCCCCCAGTTTGACTTCTCCTCTTCTCCAAACTCAGGCTCCACCTCTGGACTGTCTCACTGCCTGTCGGGGGTGGTGGATCAGAGGACCCCCCATAGCGGAGAGCTGCTCTTCCCCCAGGGCTGCAGCAAGATAAAGAGTGAGCGGGGATTTGGCACTAGTGGGGGGAACTCCAGCGATGAATCAGAGTCTTTCTCAGAGGGAGACAGTGAAAGTGGGAACTCCAGAGTCTCTGGTCCTGAGGTGAGTGTAAGATGTGTACATACACTTTACAACCAAAGTCTATTTTATCAGATAGATCCATATGGACCCTGATTCTGTTTTCCAGCTCACATTTCCCCTTCAGTTTTGGTTTACTTGTTTTTTCACACAAAAAGAATCTATAAAAGAATATGAATAGCTCTTATACTGTATATAAAACCAAAGCCCAAAGACACAGATTTTACAGAACTGAAAAACAGGATTTTTATTCAACTGGAAATTTGAAAACAACAAAGGTTTTTCTGCAACAAAACAGTGACCATTAGTGATCTGAAGGAGCTGCACCAATCACTGATCAATACTCCTTGATACCAAGCTGTGGCCCCTCATGGGTTAGCCTGGATCAGAGCCCTTGATTGGCTCAACTCTGGTACATAAAAGCCTGTTATTTACAGTAAAGAAGGGTGATGTATTTATGGTAACACAGTAGGGTGGAGTGTGACGGTTTGTCATCAAGTTTATGAATGAATATGAAATGAAGTGTGAAGGCAGAGGGATTTCTACCAACAGAGCAAATGTGTGAAGTGATAATCCAAAACAAAAATAATCAAGTATTTAGCCTTGTGTTTAGGTTGGAGGTATTCATCTTAGTAGCCACAGAGAGACGACTGTATAGTTTAGTGGTGACGGATGTGTCTGAGAGACTGGTCAGGACTCAGCTGCTGAAAGCAGAATGGTTTTCTTGACCACCTGTGGTTGGCAGAAAGGGCAAACAGAGGGTGATGCAACCACATGCAACTGTCTTTATGTCTTATTTATCCCTGCAAAGACCATTTCCTCACGAAGGATCTGAATTCCACTAATTTGAGTTCATTTTACAGTTATTTAAGGTTTTACAGCTCGTCTGTTAGCTTAAGGAACTCCTGAGGACCACAGAATAAACAGCCATGAAAAATCTGCTTTTATGGCAGCACAGTAAAACCTCTTAAATCTGATTATATATCTTTGTGTCCATTAAGAGTCAATTTTCACCTTTTGATATAGCCTCTATATATGGCAGATTTTAAAATCCAACATGAAAAAACACCCTCATCCAGCCTCCTGTAGGCCAAAGTTGAACAGCTCATATCTCTGTGAAGTTGCATGTATCATTGATTTTTTTCCCCAGTGTCTATGAGGTCTGTTATTTACGGCGGGGAACTATTCTTGGAAATTCTTTTCCTCTACCGAGAAATGACGCAAACACTTACAACACATACTCCCTGGATTTAAAGGAGCTGTATGGTTGCTGTGGCGACGTCTCAGCACATGCAACATCTGATGGGATGTGAGATGAGTTTCACACGGCTGCTCTCCCTGTAACACACACACACACACACACACACACACACACACACACACACACACACACACACACACACACTCTGTGGATAAGGTTTATTAGATTGGAGAGGTGGTGGCCTCTGGTCAGGGGATGAGTCAGTACAGATGTTGATCTGTTTGAAGCTGCTCGAAGTAAACACACAGGGACTGGCTTTATTGCAGGGTCTCCCCTGTTTCCCACCTTACAATCATTCATGTGCGTCAGTGCTCTGAATATGTTCTTACAAATATCCCCTCTCCTGTAAATGTCCCTTGAACTTTTCTGTTTTCTGTGCTCAGCAGAGAACCTCGATTTACAGATCTGAAGTGAAAACAAAGAATCTGTACTTGCAAGACCAAAACATTGTGGTTTGTGTTTGTACTTAGAGCAGGACAAACCAATCAGGTGTCAGCAGTTTGTATGGAGAGCAAAAGCAGGCAGAACATCCACCATAATGACATCAAGACTCCGTCAGCAGTACACTCACATATGCTACTGTTGACAACGCCCCCCTTAAAGATGGAATAATTAGACACGTTGACCAAGGTGAAGTGGTCTGACAACACCAGGTCAGCTCTCTGTGCCAAAAATAAGAACTGCTGTTGCTCGTAATGAGTCAGAATTAATCTATTGTGAGAATAACATAAATTACAAGTCAAATTCTGAAAATGAGACATTTTCATATTGTTGGATATTTGACTTATTCTGTTGGCAGATTAATTTAGTCATTACAAGTTATTTAGATCTTATCTTTGGTGTGTCATACCTTGTAGCTCCTTGGTACATCCTCTGTCCAGCTGCCCTCCTCATCACAAAAGATTTACTCAAACTGAATACAAACACAAAGTTTGTGGTTATACGTTGTGTGTTCTGTTATCGTGCTCAAGTTTGTTGAATTTAACACATGTACAAACCTGAATATCACTCATTGACATGTTTCTGTTTGTGTTTAGATAGTGTCCCACTTTTTTGCTCTGACCCAGTTGTAAAACCCTTACAGTGAACAGACACAGACTCACACACACACACACACACACACACACACACACACTTCAGGATGCCCTGTAGGCAGGTGGAAGGTGTCCTGTCCGTGTCCCCTCCACCATCTGCTGCTCCTGATCCCAGATCTGCCCTCTTAAATTAGGCCAGCCCACGAAGAAACACACACACACACACACACACACACACACACACACACACACACACACACACACACACACACACACACACACACACACACACACACACACACTATAAACTCCTTTTCTTTTCTTTCCTCATTTATTGGAAACAATCTTGATTACCCAGGGGGACAGATTTCAAAGGGTTTAAAAGCAGACAGTGTGAAATGTGGTCATTATTTAAAGATAAATATTTCATATTTACCTTAAATATTGATTGAGTTCTACAGTGTTTCTATGAAAGCATTTATAAAAGAAAACACCTACAAGTGACAGAGCGTTTCAAAGGAGCCTCAGCATATAAACATGAAAACAAGAACATAAAAGAGAAAAAAAAGAAAGAAAAAGAGATAAAGAGGGAAGGGTGAGAGGATTTATGACCAAGCGAGGCTCACTTTGTCATTACAACCTTATTATGTGACTGCTGAGAGTCACAGGGCTATATATAGATGTCTATAGAGTAAAAGACAGGCGGCACCTACACACACACACACACACACACACACACACACACACACACAGGCTCGCCTCTCATTTCCTTTTGCTCTGAGCAGTGAATGATGTCATGGTGGTATACTGGCAGAGCTAAGCTGAACACTCTTGGTACGAGGAGAACAGACTGATGAACACTCCTGTAATCACACAAACATGGCCGAAACTTACACTGATGTTTGAGACAGACAGGGAGAACACACTCAGACTCAGAATTAAACACACCAAATGTGAAAATATGTTTCTTCACATGTTAAAAACATGTGTACAGGGAGAGAGAGAGACAATAAAATGCACTATTATACACAAATATACGTAAATGAGTGATGACACAATATGATTTGATACTATACAGTGTGATACCAGTGCATCCGGAAAGTATTCATACCACTTCACTTTTTCCACATTTTGTTATGTTACAGCCTTATTCCAAAATGGATTAAATTCCCTTTTTCCCTCAAAAATTCTACACAAAATATCCCATAATGACAAAGCGAAAAACTTTTTTTAGAACATTCAGCAAATTTATTAAAAATAAGAACACTCAAATGTTGCATATACATAAGTATTCACACCCTTTACTCAATACTTGGTCGAAGCACCTTTGGCAGCGATTACAGCCTCCAGTCTTCTTGTGTATGATGCAACAAGCTTGGCACACCTGGATTTGGGGAGTTTTTCCCATTCTTCCTTGCATATCCTCTCAAGCTCAGTGAGGTTGGATGGGCAGCGTCGGTGCACAGCTACTTTCAGGTCTTTCCAAAGATGTTCAATCGGGTTCAAGTCTGGGCTCTGGCTGGGCCACTCAAGGACATTCAGAGACTTGTCCTGAAGCCACTCCTTTGTCTTCTTGGCCGTGTGCTTAGGGTCATTGTCATGTTGGAAGATGAAGCGTTGCCCCAGTCGAAGGTCTCAAGCGCTCTGGAGCAGGTTTTCATCAAGGATTTCGATGTACCTAGCTGCATTCATTTTTCCCTCGATCCTGACAGGTCTCCCAGTTCCTGCCACTGAAAAACAGCCCCACAGCATGATGCTGCCACCACCATGCTTCACTGCAGGGATGGTATTGGCGAGGTGGTGAGTGGTGCCTGGTTTCCTCCAGACATGACGCTTGGCATTCAGGCCAAACAGTTCGATCTTCGTTTCATCAGACCAGAGACCTTGTTTCTCCTGGTTGGTGAGTCCTTCAGGTGCCTTCTTGCAAAGTCCCAGCAGGCTGTCATGGGCTTTTTACTGAGGAGTGGCTTCTGTCTGGCCACTCTACCATAAATGCCTGACTGGTGGAGTGCTGCAGAGATGTTGGTCCTTCTGTTGGGTTCTCCCATCTCCTCAGAGGAACGCTGGAGCTCTGTCAGAGTGACCATCGGGTTCTTGGTCACCTCCCTGACCAAGGCCCTTCTCCCCCGCTTGCTCATTTTGGCTGGGCGGCCAGCTCTAGGAAGAATTCTGGTGGTTCCAAACGTCTTCCATTTCTTAATGATGGAGACCACTGTGCTTTTTGGGATCTTCAATGCAGCAGATATTTTTCTGTAACCTTCCCCAGATCTGTGCGCCGATTCAACCCTGTTTCGGAGGTCTACAGACAATTCTTTCGACTTCATGACTTGGTTTGTGCTCTCACGTGCTCATGTCCAATCAGCTGAATTTGCCACAGGTGGACTGAAATCAAGTTGGAGGAACAGTTCAAGGCTGATCAGTGGAAACAGGATGCACCTGAGCTCAATTTTGAGTTTTATTGCAAAGGGTGTGAATACTTATGTATATGCAGCATTTGAGTGTCTTATTTTTCATAAATTTGCAAAATGTTCTAAAAAAATTTTTTCACTTTGTCATTATGGGGTATTTTGTGAAGAACTTTTGAGGGAAAAAAGGTATTTAATCCATTTTGGAATAAGGCTGTAACATAACAAAATGGAAAAAGTGAAGTGGCATGAATTCTTTCCGGATGCACCGTATACTACAATACCAAAGCATATAGAAAAAGAAGTAACATCATATTATGGAAACCACATAATTAAAAGTGATAACATACAAATGATCATAAGTACCAGATATGAGAAGTGACAACACAGTACTTTGCCATACAACATACAGTATATAACAACACAATACTACTCTGTTTAAGACTGTATGATATGATACAACAGGAAATGTTACAGTTGTATCACATGTGTATCAGTGTTGAACAGAAATAGTCTAAAAAAAAAACATTACATTACCTTCTAATGGGATGAGATACAACAGTATACTATGTGTTCCTGTGTGATATGATACAATTGGAAATGATATGATATTATGTATTATGTTACAATACCATGACACACCGTATGACAGGATACAATATGATAGCAAACAAAGTACAGTTCAATACTATACAATACCATACAATCAAGCTAATACTGCAAATAAGATGTAATGCAATAATAAACTATCTGATGCAAAATGATAAATAACAAAACAATAAAATATGATACAATACCATCAAAACAATTCGATACAAAACAAGACCATACAACAGAATACGATACAACACGACACAACATGACACAATATGATATTATACGACACAATTAATATGATAGAAAACTACTGTATGATAACATAGAAACTATAGGATACAAAACAATACAACAATACCACAGAGACTATATAATGTAATAATACTAAACACTAGGATTTAATATGAAACAATCTCTCATACTGTACCATAATATTTGACACAATGTGAATTTATAGGATACAAATTACACTTGATAATTCAATATGATATGATACAATATAATTCAAGATGATATGATATGATAGACATAACGTGAAAGATGTCAGATGATACAAATTTTTCTAGTGCAGTAAGGTAACATATGATGCTTTACAACTGAATATGATGATGATACATTACAGTATAATGCAGTGTAATATATGATAAAAGAGCATACATATCAGAAAAATATAGAATAGTACTATATGATATAAGATAACCAGATATACCACAACACACCATACAACAACAACAACAACAACAATAATAATAATAATAATAATAATAATAAAATAAACATTAATTAACAACCCACATGTAAAAGCACATACAACCTTTATTTCTCAAGAACCCTTATCCCATACAAAAATAATTCAGTGTTACACAAAGGGACACTGTAAAGCTTTTACACCACAATAGCTGAAATCAAATGTTAAGAAATCCATTCATATTAGCTATTACAGGCACAATAATTCAGCAACCAACTCAGGATGAACAATTTGCCTCATTTGGAATTAGATAAACGCCAGTGTGTAAAACAAAGAGCTCATCCTGTTTTGTCTTTGTGTTCATGCCACCTGATTCAATAAGCAGCTGAACATTGACCTCTAGTGGATAAAACACTCCAGTGCTCTCTGACAAGGAATTAAACTTGTGATTAAAATTTCTCATGTAACTCAGTGTGTGTTAAGAAAGTTTTTACCATAATAATTGATTTAAAAAAGTTTGATTCAATTCAAAATTCAAATTCAATTTTATTTATATGGCACTTTTCATACAAAAAAATGCCTCACAGAGGCCAAAAACGACAATAATGACAATAAAACCCAACCCTCCCATCCACACACACACCTATGAACCCACACGCACACAAAGACACACACCCACCGTCACTCACCCACACATACATAGACACAACCGCACACAGTTTGAGAATTTAAGATATATTGCTAGAGATACATGGCCTGACACCGAGACATTACACAAGGAAAGAGCCACCTCCAGGAAACACTGGAGATAAAAATAGAGATAAAAATGGTGAAAAGAGTAAAATCTGATGGACTAAAACAAGAAAATAATATTATATGAACAGTTAAGCAAAAAGTAAGAGCTCTTTACCATATAAAAAGGGGGTAAACAAAGTAAAAACCTGTGACGGGAATTAAGAAAAAGACTAAGAACAGAGATAATTAATGGAATGACATTTAGTTCTTAATAAAAATTAAGAACTTTAAATAAACATTTTTGCAATAAGAGAAAAACATAAAATGGCAATTAGTAAAAGGCCTGGTTTAAAAAGTGAGTCTTGAGCCTCTTCCTCAAAACATCAACAGTCTCTGCGGCCCTGAGGCTCTCCGGCAGGCTGTTCCACAACCGGGGACCATAAAAACTGAAAGCCGCCTCCCCGTGTGTTTTTGTTTAAGAGAATGTTCCAAAAGTAGAAACACTTCTGTGTATAAACTTGCTGACAGAGCAGAGGCATCAGCAAAGAAACTATAACATAATTATTATTATTATAATCATAATAATTAATATTATTATTATGAGGGGTTCTCACTGTGCAACAGACTGACTCCTGTCTCAGCTGTATAGTTGTATCTATTATACTGCTAAATAATATTCTGATGTGTTCATGCATGGACAGCGTGGTGTTATCAAAATAAAAAAATCAATCAATTCAATCACTGGACCTTTGGATCAACACTGTAAAAGTCTGGTCTTGGTTAACAAACACTTTCATACTTTCAGGTAAAACTGCCCTTCCCGGTGGACCAGATCACCAACCTGCCACGCAACGACTTCCAGATCCTCATAAAGATGCACAAGCTGACCTCAGAGCAGCTGGAATTTATCCACGACATTCGCCGCCGCAGCAAAAACCGCATTGCTGCACAGCGCTGTCGCAAGAGAAAGCTGGACTGCATCCAGAACCTGGAGTGTGAGATACGCAAACTGGTACGGACGTAAAAAAAAAACACTTGCACCACATACACTTCAGCAAGATTCTGGTTACAGAGAGCAGGAACAGATGAAATATTAAAATAATGAGTGTTAAGGTTCAGGTTTCCAAAGGTAAACACGATAAGTCTGAGAACAAACAAAGGAAATAAAGGTGCGAGTCGGGAATGTTTGGATGCAAAATCAGGTTTAGTGAAAAGCTTGTGTCAGATGCAGAGGCAGTAAAGTTCTGCAGACTTTATGAGAAAACCTGAAATTAAAATTCACAGATGAGTAATGAAAGGGCATCACAATAAAAGTTGTTAAAAAATGCTTAAAAAAGGTTGGGGAACCAATGGAGCTGTGTGACAGAAATAAGTGAGACTAGTTTTAAAACAGGATGGTCAGATTTTAGCTTATCAGTGTCAGCTTTGTTCTCACCAAAGATTGACTGCTTTAAGATGTAAAAATATGATTAAAAATGTGACAACCGACCCCGATCTCCCCTACTCCAGGGGTAGTAACTCCTTTTCTTTGATTGATTTTGGTGTGAGGTGTGTGGTTAGTGACTTTGAATAAATAACCATTGTCAGGAGGGTTTCATCCACCCAAAGGCTAGAAAGCTTCAAATAATCATAAAGGAAAATATTTAAAAATGTTAAAAAGATATAGAAATATAAAATATGTTTGTATAGAAACATATTAAACATAACATATATATATATATATATATATAGTGAGAGAGAGAGAGAGACATACTTTTTGAGACATGACAAGTGAGACTAAAGACAATTGAATTTCCCCTTGGGGACAAAATAAAGTTATTCTTATTCTTATTTTAAAGTTTCAGATCAGTTTCTAGTGTTTTCTCAGCTCCTCTGTCTTTGTCTCTCAGGTCCATGAAAAGGAGAAGCTGCTGAGTGAGCGTAACCAGCTGAAGGTTTGTATGTCTGAGCTGTGGCAGAACCTCTCCTTTCTCTCTCAACAAGTCTGTCGGGAGGTTCAGGGCACTCAGCCGCCTCCCGTCTCCGCCAGCATCGACCTCACATCCAACCCATCATCACCTTCTTCTGACCCCAGCTCGTCTCAGCCCAGGTCTCCTGTGTCCCAACAAAGCCACGCCACTCACCCGTCTGATGTGGGTCCTGGTCAGGAGGACAGACAGCTTGCAGTGGAGGACCCGGAGTGTCCACTGGTGCTTGGATCCACTGAGGAAGTATGTAGCCCCACCGTCACGGTGGATTTCTGTCAGGAAATGACTGAAAAATGCACAACAGAGGAGCAGAACTGTACTTAAAGATGGTGTGGTGCGTCACATGCTGACGCTTGTCTATACCTGAAATATTTGAAGTATTTCTTTTTGTAACAATGACACAAACATTGTGTTATCAGCAATACTGTTGAACAGGTATTTTTGGACTGGTTCGAAAACAAAAGCACTGGCAGCTCTCTCTCCCTCTCTCTCTCTCTCTCTCTCTCTATCTGTGTATCTCTCTTCTTCTTCTTCTTCTTCTTCTTCTTCTTCTTCTTCTTCTTCTTCTTCGTCTTCTTCTTCTTCTCTCTCTGTCTCATCCAGACTCTTTCTTCCTGTCTGCCTCCCTCCCTCTTTGGTGCGTCATTGGAGGTTAAACTCAGGAATTCCTCAGAATGTTTAGTAACGTACCCGTTAATGTGTCCTCACACTTTATTTTACAGTTCTGTTGAATCTTAATGATTACTTCAGAACGTGAAGTCGATGAGTCTGAATATCTGGCACTCTTAAGACTCCATGTTTTGGAGAAATGGGCTGATCGAGCTCATGTCTGTGTGTTTGGAGCTGACCAGGTGAGGTAAGCTGAGCTTTGCATGAAGACTGGCTGAAGGGGGAAACAATGAGCTGGTCTTTGTCCTAATAGAAAAACATGTCAGCATAAACAGCTTCCAGGCCAATTTCACAGTGTGATATTTGAATCTGAAGCATACATGAATAATTCACGAGTGAAAAGTCAGAGATGATATTCTGGTGATACCTGTGAGGAACTTAAAGGACTAAATCCTGATTGCACAGCTTTTGCACCCTTTCTAATCAGCTCACTATCATTCTGGGGACATATTTAAGATCAGTCCTCCTACAGATGAGATGCTGACAGCTTATCTCTACAATCAGCTGCAACACAAGAGCAAACTGCACCAAGCTGGGACACTCTCTGAGTTGTCTGACTTTTGTTTTAGAGGAGTTATCTTTGTGAATTGAACCTTTAGATAAGGCAGAACCATTATGAGCAATCCTTGTTGCTGTTAGCAGCAGCAGCAGTCTGTTTTTTTTTTTGTTTGTTTGTTTGTTTGTTTTTCTATTTGTTATTAAAACACAAGAACACCTTGGCCAAGGTTACACACATGCACAAACCAGACTCTGCTTTCATGCTTTAAGGGGACTTCACAGAGGTTGCACAGGAACAGGTGCCTGAAACAGTCAGAGGTGTGTGGTCTTGCTCTTTTGTTCCATTTCTGCAAATTCATGTTTGCATTTAATAGAGCTCAGCCAAAAATAACTCACACACATCTCATTTTCTCAGGTCTGAAATTTTCGACAGCTTGTGCCGAGAAAGTAATAACATCACAGGCACCTGCACAGATAAGCTCTAGAAACCAGGATGCAGGTATTTATCATGCAAACAGGGACATGAATAACCAGGTTTCTCTGTGTGCATGTGAACAATTTATCCTTTATATGATTCTAACAGGAAAGAGGCTCATAACCTGTACCCTCAAGTCCATGAAAACAGTAAACTTTCTATTGTGGAGCACTTTCCAATTTACTGACAGAGGTTGACATGAGCTGAGATACACTGAGAGTAAAAGTCTACCTCAAATTCAGTGGCTGACGTCCTTTTTGTCAAAGTTATGGCACCAAGCAGCTCTTTCAATGGTACATGTGAAATCTTGCTGGGGTACTAATAGGTGCAGTTTCACAAAGTTCCTGCCCAGCTGCTCTTAAGGTGTTGGTAGCTGTTTGTAATTGTCAGTCCGGCCGTTTCCCCCTCCACTCTTTATGCTAAGAAAGCAGACGTGACTTTGATTTCCATCTTGAGTGTCTTTTTTTCCAGTCACTGGACTTACTACCTTTTAAAACCTAGAACAGCTGACTTTTTGCTGTTCTGCGTGACTCTTTTAGTGAAGCAGTAATCGTTGAGAGACACAGGGCTCTAAAGTAAACTGTCACCAAAGGTTTGTAAAGTGTTGCATTGGATAAATCAGTCAGATGAACTCTCATTATGCAAAGTCGCTTCTGTCGAGCTTCACTTTTACTTTGTTTGTACTCGGACTGATGTTTCTACATGTTTCATATCAAAGAGACAGAGCCACACAGCACTGCCAAACAAACACAGTATGTCCACAGCACTTCGATGGAGTATGAAGCAATTTAACTTGATGACCAGAAAGATTCAAAGACCACACAGGTGTCAGTTTAATGTCACTGATGTCTATTCAGCTCCTCTTCACCCTCGCTCGGGTTCTTGAGGGGAGATGGGAGTTTGCCCAACCAGTCCACATTTGTTTTGTGGACCTGGAGAAGGCCTATGACCGGGTCCCTAGGGGAATCCTGTTGGGGGGGGCTCCGGGAGTACGAGGTGGAGGGTTCCTTATTAAGGGCTGTCCAATCCCTTTACCAAAGGAGCACGAGCTTGGTCCGTGTAGCCGGCTGTAAGTCGGACTCGTTTCCAGTAAGGGGTGGCAGTCCTGCCTCAGGTGGAGGAGTTCAAGTATCTCGTGATCTTGTTCACGAGTGAGGGTAGGATGGAACGGGAGATCGACAGGCAGATCGGAGCGGCGTCAGCAGTGATGCAGACGCTTAACCGATCAGTCGTGGTGAAGAAAGAGCTGAGCCGTAAGGCGAGACTCTCAGTTTACCAGTCAATCTATGTGCCGACTCTCACCTATGGCCATGAACTGTGGGTAATGACCGAAAGAACAAGATCGCGGATACAAGCGGCCGAAATGGGTTTCCTTCGCAGGGTGGCCGGGCTCAGCCTTAGAGATAGGGTAAGGAGCTCGGACACTCGGGAGGCACTCAGAGTAGAACTGCTGCTCCTTCACGTCGAGAGGAGCCAGCTGAGGTGGCTCGGGCATCTGGTTAGGATGCCTTCTGGACGCCTCCCATTAGAGGTGTTCCAGACATGTCCCACCGGGAGGAGACCTCGTGGCCGGCCCAGGACCAGGTGGAGGGATTATATCTCTCGCCTGGCCTGGGAGCGCCTGGGAATCCCCCCGGAGGAGCTGGTGGAAGTGGCCGGGGTGAGGGCCGTCTCGGCTTCCCTCCTGAAGCTGCTGCCCCGCGACCCGGACCCGGATGAAGCGGAAGAAAATAACGACGACGACGTCCATTCTCCAAAGAAAGCTGCAGCTTTTCTCTGATGGGTTCATTCATTTCTGCTCAACATGAGAATTCAAAACAAAGTAAAAAGATGAAAGTATTTAACATTTGGATGTTAAAGAAGTGCAGATCCTGTAAAAGCCTTTAATAGAGGATTACAAGATTTGATTCTTTCAGATGAACAGCTTTAGTTTCTGTCCTCAGAGGTCACAGAGACCCTCTTACTGTGGATAATGGAAATATGGAGACCAAAAGTGTTGAATTTATTTGTTTTATATTCTCAGAAAAATAAAGGTTTCATATTTGATACAACAATGTTTCCCACACTGTCCCAGGCTGCTTTCCTTTAATTTTAATAATATGATTGAAGTTCGTGAAAACAATGTCTCATTCTTTGGAAAATGTCTGGAGGTATTTAAACAGTAAATAAAACACTTGTGTGGTCTTTTAATCATCAGTTTAATCCAATCAAAAGTGCTCTTTATGATGCATTTATTTATGGTCTTATGAGTAGTACAGTTTTAGTGTTGTATTTATAGTAATCATGTGTTTAGCTGCACTCTTCTTGTTTTGTAAATATCCCTCTGAAAGTTGTTGGCTAGAATACGTCGGTGTGAGACACACAGATTTTTATTTCTCTCTGCAAGACTGATGATTTTCTGCTCATAAATCAGTTTCTGTGGTGATGAATGGGCTGCAACTCCAAACAAACACAGAGCAGTGTTATTGATCCAGGGTGATGCCAAATTCATCTGCCGCTGATCAATCGGCACGTGTCTGGGGTGAGTGCAGCGGCCGGCTGTTACTGTGGCTGTGCCGAACTCTGCAGCTGGTTCACAGTGCTGCACAGTGTTTACAAGCTGGTTCAAAATGCTGTACAGTGTTTACAGGCTGACTCACAGTGCACCACTCTGTGTACAGGCTGCAATTGTTTTTGCTGCTTCTGTTCTGCACAATCAGAGTGAAGTCCCTTTTTTAAGGAAGTCAAAAAAATAAATGGAAATAAATAAATACATAAATAAATGTACTTAAATGTACAGAAGCCCTGAACAGTTACGTGTCTATGCTTTGCTCTAATTTTTATTTTTTACTATCATGCTTTAATTGATTCCTGATTGCCTGTCTTAAGACATGAATATTTTTATCTTCAGTTTTTAGAATATAAACCTAGATTCTCATCAAGTCACATAGTTGTTGTTTTTTTTTCTTTTTCTTAAATAGTTTTTCCATTTCATTTTCGTTTCTTCTTACCATCTGATTATGGGGCTGGTTTTCTCAACAGAACTGACTTTTATCTGGAAACAGTCCTAATCTCAGTTTAATTATCTCATCTTCTTAAGAAAACAAAGTTTGATTTCCAGTTATCGTGGTCTCTATGACAGTTATATAAATTGGTTTTCCATTAATTAATTTCATTATCTCAGGATACCAGAGCTTATTTAAATAATGATGAGTTAATTTTCAGCTGTTTACAGAAGATCTTGCCTCATTAATCTTGTTGAGTACAGACACCACTTTCCCTTTCTAACAAACTGCCCTATCTCTTTATCCCGACAGAGCAGGTCTTAAGTGGTTGACGCTTGATTTTTAATGTCCAGTCATGTGGACGCACTAGAGCTTATCTTGTTCTTGTTTCGGATGAATCCATGTCACTATCCTGAGATAATAACGCCTCTTTTGAATTTATACATTTTAATTATCTTGTTATCTCAAGATAAAAAAAAAAGGTTCTCCATGAAAACATATTAATGCTATTATTTTATAGGATCTCAATTTATTAATTTCACAATATCAACATGATATACAAGATAATTCGAGCTCTGTTTTGATTGGATCTCAAATTTTTTTATATTTATTTTTTTCTTTATATTTCATTTTAGTTGTGATAAGATATTTTGGTTTGTTGTAAAATCTTTGTTAATTAAGAACCCAATCCCTTTTCCCAACAAAATCAACATATAATATGTTTTTCTCTCGAATAGCCCTGTTTTGCTTCAATTGGAATTAGGGATTATTAGGTTTTGCAATCATGAGATAACCTCCCATCATCACTGATCCATTAATCTTTTTATTTTGAGATATCAAAGCATGTTCTGTCATGATATTCATGTCTTGGAGATAAGTATAACTGGAGCTCTTGAACAAATAACATTTTTGGATTCATGGTCACTCAGGGCTTCTGTACATTTGCAAACTTACATTTAAAGGGTGAAAATGGAAGAGCTGTTGTGTTCTGTATGTCTCAGTCACTGTTGGAGCTCTGCAGAAACTGAAACATGTGAGTGGTTGTTGTTAAGGCAGACTCATAAAAACCCCACAGGACTCAGATGATCATCTTGAATATTCACTGCTCAGCTGGTTTCATGGATTTTATTCCTTGATGTGAACTTGTTTATTTATTTATTTGGACTCTTGTTGTCGGAGGTTGTTGGTTTGGCGTAGAGGAAATGGTGGAGATGTAAAAAGTAGGTCGCTCTCCATTCTTAGTACTGATTTGTTCTTTTTTTTTTTTTTTATTGAGAGGTTTTTTTTTATTAGTGAGCTGTAATATTTTAACTTAAAGGGTGTGAGTATGTTTACAACTTTGTGAATAACCTGCTGTTTTTGTTCTGTAAAGATATTATCAAACCCAGGGGGTTTGTTTGATAGAAATCTGATTTTGCTCTTTTTTATTGAATAAGTTAAAACTTTGGTAAATTTGTGAGAACAATAGGAATCTGACGAGTGCAGCTACAATTTCTTGCCTTAAAGAGGTTACAGTGGCCAAACTGTCCTGAGAGGAAAGAGGATTTTATCCAACTACTCTTACAAACTGTGCTGCTGCAATGACATAAAAAGTCGATGTGGCCCCTCCTGACCCTGACTTTATTTGTTTTGGCTGACGCCTCAAGGGGAGAAACAGCAACAGTAGGACTTTATTTCAGATTGTTTTTTCAATCACTGTTCATGAAAGCGTGTTTTACGAAAACTATAAGCCAAGTACATCTGCCTGTGGACATACAGAGACCCACAGCCATCAATATGAAATAGTCACATCAGAAACACTAAAAAGGATCTTTTGAGAGGCTAATGTTAGCCTCCACGTCTCTATGTTGTTTTATAGGTGCATATTGTCCTTATTATTATAAGTTTACTTGAATTAAGACTGATTGCGGTGGGTCTCCGGTGTCACTAACCAGGAAAAAATTGTAACTGTTCAAACGATAAAAACTTACTTGAAGATTTGATACGTAACTTTTCTGGGACCAAAGGTCGAGAAAACTGGAGACACAAAGATTTAAGAGAACATGAAGTTTTTCTGTAGCACCATACTGTGCAAAAAAGTCCAGACTGCCTAAAAATATGATGTCTTCACAGGCTTTACTTCTTGTTTGTTCACTAGTTAACATCTGTTTTAACCTTTTATGTATGCAGTCATTTCTCATCCAAACATGCGAACAGAGACAGGCTGCAGAAAAAAAAAGTTTCTTAAATTCACCTGTTTGTTTTAGGTTTAGTTTGAGTCTTTGTGACCCTCAAAATATAGCAGGATTTAAACTTTAAAAACCCTGATAATAAGTCTAATCCACAAGAACAGCTCAGTGGTTCTGTGATTTTGATAGAAGCCCCATTTCGTACGTTATAGCCCTGATTATAATGTTGCTGCAACATGAAATCATCAGGGTCCAGATTTCAACGTCCTTCCTTGGTTCAGAGGTTTGGTTCAGACCATTCATTCAGGAGAGGAAACAGAAATTTCTGCTAATTTTCGGGGTTTAATTTGAGCTGAAAGAGACTGATTAATGCTGTAACATTTTTTCAGTATAAATGTTGATGCGCCTTGCCTGCTCTGTTTCGACTGTTTCGGAAGTCAGTTTTCATCAAAAATCGTTTTGCAAATGGTAAAAAGAAAAAGTTTCCTGGACGCAGGGCTGATGGAACAAAAATCTGCCAGTGGAGACTTAAAACAGTCTTTCAATACTGCAAAAAGTATGCACTTCATAATTAAGAGATCCATCTGCTCTATATACTGTAAAACTGCCACAAATACAGAAAAGAAGGCAGTCCAAGTTATAAAACAGAACTGAGAAACAATCATCAGCAGTTTGGTGAATACTTTGTATTGATTCTGGATAAATGAGGATTCATGGTGTGCTGTCATTTCCTACAGCGATGCTCCATAATAGATCTACGCAGAGATTTTAAACTCATTTTGGCTGATACTGATAAAAACACAGTTTCCCCTGTAAAAAAACCCACCTGTTACTCTTACTATGACTGTCTGTTGAACTCTGTTTTCTTTTCCACATACAGACATCCTGTAACACATCTGTCTGTTTCTGACACTTCAAAATACAGGCAACATTAAATTAATGCATCACCTTTCTGGGGAATGATTGGATCTGCAGAAATGTTCATATCATGCTGATAGTCGTGTGTATTTCCAATTTCTGACGCCGAAATATTGTGGGGCCTAAATCAGGACTTTATCAGCTGTTTCATGGCACTGTTATTCTCCACCCTCTCACCTGAACATCCTCCAGTTTGAACCTGGATCAGGGTCCATCAGGGAGATGGTTCTAGTCACAGAAAAAAAAAAAAAACTGGGTCCAGTCTGTACAACGTCAGCTTTTCCGGGGCCACTCAACTCTTCAAAGATGTTTTTTTTTTTTTTAGTTGAACAGACTTTAAGCACTTATCTACCTGGATGATTCAGCATACCTCTCCTCATGGGTAAGGACTGTACAATAGACCTGTAGACAGATTTCTGTGGCGTTGTTTCTAACTTTTTACGGTGGTTTCTTCATTGTATTTGTAGATTTTGGTGAGCCATTTTTTTACTTGTCTTTTTTTTCAGTACCTGCAGCACGACTGTCGACTGCAGAATAGATTTCCTTTTTTATCTCTGAATATTTGATGAGCTGTGTTTTCTTTAGATTTTTGTAAATATTGTGCCACATGTCACATTCTGTTTATTTGATATGAAGAAGGTTTTAAAGAAAAAAAAGCAGCCTTTTGTTAAGGCTTTTTGTTGAGAAATAAAATCAGAAAGCATGAGAGCCCTCTCTGTGTGTGCTGTTTTGTTAAGAAGTATTTAATCTGATTATAATGTAAAGTATCATAATATGTCATGAAATGTCTGCTTAAAAATGACTTTACACATTTACACAGATTCTCATCAAGTCTTGGACTTTAAAAAAAAAAAGGGTGGGGGGTTAAGTTGAAAAAGTCCAGGTTACAGAAGCAGACAGATCCTCTGAACTTTGTTATTCATCTGTTGGACCCACAGGAAGACATTAAGGTGCTTCAAATCCAAACCACGCTGGGCTTTGGCACTAAGTCTGCCGCCTCATCAACACTTATCAGTGGTGGCCTCCGTGTGACTTGATGGGTCAGTGTTGATGGCTGGATCATTGATACAGTTTCTCCCCAAACCGGGCTTTGGGCCGAGCCTCCCACAGCCGTAATGTTAGCCTCTTCACTTCTTCATGATAGAGGAGATATCCAGAAACATGCTCTGAAACAGACACCAACAACCATCTCAGTCAGATTCAGCTGCTGCTGGACAAAAACACACACAGATGCTTTAAGAGTTAGCGGGATGCCTTTAAAGGGTGGGGCTTAGCTGGAGGCAAAACTAGCATAATGGAGAAGTCTAATATTTCTTTTAACTCTGCCAAAGTTTCTCTTTAGATAATCCTGAACAAACACAATTTTATCCGTCCACACAACATGTGCTTTATGAAGAGTGCATTATTAACAATTGCCTGTCCCTTTAAGCAGCTGACTATAAAGGATAACATGGATGTAGTCTCAGTGACCTCACCCACAGTCGTAGTCGCCATATCATCCTAACTTTCTCTCCACCTACCAAGAAAAAACAAGGTGAAGTTGAGGTTTCTCTGGTTTTTAGAAACAGATCAGATGCTGAAGTGCTAACACCTGCAGTTCTTTGAGTGTCCACCAGAGCCTATCAGCAGAGGGACCAAAACCACATAGACACTGATTCAAAACAGCCCATTTTAGAGCAAAAATAAACATGTAGATCAGCCAAAGTTCGGCTGAGACAGAATTTCTGACACGGTTGATGTCATCAACACTACACCCTGGTATTATAAAGTGTAAGGGCCTTCAGCCTCCAGCATAGCGCCCCCTGTTAGTCAAGTCCGGTGTGCCTCTGATTCTCCAAACTCAAAACCTTAAAAGCCTCAAACTGAATGTGATTTAAAGAAATCGCTCTTTGTACAATCTGTGCAGCAAGAGGTATGAGCCACTCAGATCAAAATTTGTTTTCAAACCCAGCTGCAAACGGGTTTGTTTTTGCCCTAAAGCTGGTCTTTTGAATGAGTGTGTGGCCGTGTCTCATTTCAGAGACCGCACTGTCGAACGGCGCATTTGAAGTGTGCGTGAGGTCATCACGTGGCGCGAACGGTGTCCCATTTGGTACGAAATGCTAAGCACGCTTCAAATTCGGTCTCAAAACCACACTACCCCCACCACTTTTTCAAGCATGCATTTATGCATGCTTTCGTGCCGTTGGTATCCCAGAATTCTTTGCGTGCTGCTGCACAGCTGCACATTTCGGGAGAGAGGCCGGACTCGCTTGGAGACACAGCGCGCCTTCAAAGAAAATAAAGGAAATCCAAAAACAGCAGACAGTCAGCTCAGGCTGCATGAGCGCATGATCTCTGAACTCACTAAAATCTGCAAACCAAACATTATAGATTTAGAGATGAACTGATCTGTTCTGCTACCACAATCAAAAACATTAGAAATAAGAAAGCTGACAAAACTACAGCAGAGTATCAGGACCACATTGAGTTTTTTTTGTTAAGACTTAGAGATTAAAGTTGTAAACTTAGGAGAATAAAGTCATAAAGTAAATAAAGTCATAAAGCTGCTTTTGTGGAGGAGGATATGGCAGAAGCTGGTCATCTGCAGGGTTATCTGTGGATGTATCAGCGGGTCATTCAGAGAGTTTTTGTGGTTTCTGAAGAAACAATCCAACTGATGATCAACATTTGTGATCCAGAGGGAGTCAACATCCGACAAGCACCATGTCTCTGACACCGGTGGTAACCTACACCTGCAGAGACACCAACGCCTTATTATGGCATATGGATTCATATAATAAACTAAAGCTCAATGTCATTCACGACTATTTACGGCTGCATTGACAGATTTATCCTCAGCATATTCATTTCTGCCTCCACAAAAGCAGCGATTTCCTCCAAGTCCACCAGTTTTTTTTTCCCTGTGCAAAAGACGCATTTCTCATATATTCTTTTTTGAGTCTTTATACTTGTAATGTTAATACAATGTAATGCTGATGTGCCAAAAAATGAAGTATCTCCTTGTTTGTGAGACCTATACTGAAGCACAGTTCCTTCAAATGCTTGATGGCCCTAATTCTAACAACTCTCCTTTGAAATAACAGGTAACCTTACGACTTTATTCTCGTAAATTCAAGTCTTTAAAAAAATTCTCAATATGGCCCTCATACTCCTTCATATAAAACAATCATTGGATGAATTTTGTGGAAATAATCTGTGCTTGTATTTATCTATTGTTTTGTGTCTGTGAAAGGTCGCACAATTAAAAAATAACTGCTGCCCTCTGCGGCTTTTCTTCAAGTCAGACGTGACACGAGCCTGAGGGCGGGGACATTTGGCGACTCAACCAGGAAGTCCTCCGAAGGGTAGTGTGTCCCATTTCACAAAAACCGGACCATCTCACTCAGGGTACTCCAGTCCACATAACGGCAGTGCGCTCAGCTAAGCGCGCTTAAGCATGCTTATCCTGATGCGGTCTCTAAAATGAGACCCAGCCTGTATGTGGTTCTGCTCCGTCTGCCACCAGTCTCTTGTGGATTCTCAGGGAACTGCATCAGCTTCATTCCAGCAGCCTGGAGGTTGTCGCTTGGTTTAATCACTCCTTATTTGTTTTTGGTTATGTTAAAGTTTCAGTTTTGAGACTTTTCTGTTCCTTCTTCTATTCTGGCTCCAACAACACAAAAGACCACATTTTAAGACTCCTGGTTCACCCCCTGCCCTGTGCTGGCAGTGACTGTTTGCCCCCAGTTTTGCTGCATTTTGCCTTCTGCTAATACCATGACGTCAGCCCTGCAAGCATCTACTCTACGCCAAATGACACCAACTCTCAGCACGTCAGGAATCCCCTCCTCCTGTGAGGAACTTTAAGTTGTGTTGAATTTGGCACCCCCTGTGGCTAACATAGACTTTGGTAATCTTGTTCTTAACAAGCAAAAAAAGCATTTTTTTAAAATAAATGTCCCACCTATCATAAATCAAAGCAAAACAAAGTCTTTTTTTGTTAGTATGTTATTCCCTTCCTGCTGCAGAGGTTTCAGACATTAAAAATAACCACTTAGAAATAATCAATTTTGTGCTGTTGGTTTGCTTTTGTAGATTACTAATAGACATCCTTATCTATTTCATTCACAGCAGCTTTAAAAGATTCTAAATGTGCACTAACACCTGTGTGTAAATCTGCAGGTAACTTAAAAGTGATCATTTTTATGCATTTATGACAATGACCAGTATTTCACAATAAAACTGACAGACTGCAAACATGAAGCAGCAGAAGTAGAAGAGATGTCTCAGGCACTAGCTAGCAAGTCTTAAGCCCAGTGCGTGACTTCTACTTCAGCGCATATTATTTTGGAGAAGATGACACATGAAGTCTACCAACAGCAAACAAACTTTCTCAGCAGTTTGGGACTTTTCTGGGTTTCATAAAAAGATGGGTTTTGTGTTTGACAAGTAACGCTGAAGAAGACAGTGAGTTTTTTGTTTTATTGATGTTTTTGTCATGAAGCTGCTGCTGTGGAAAAACGACTTTACATTTCATTAGAAACGAATGATGTATAGTAACCTTCCCATAATGTGTCTCATTTTGTTTTTCCCCTTAATCTATTCCATAAATCTCATGATGATATTGTTGTTGTAATTATTTTGTCCATGATGACTGTGAGGTAAAAAAACAGTGAACACGGCAGCCTCAAAGTAGTTATGGATAGGGTATTACTCTTTAAAAATAACGATCCAGATTTGAAAATGTAGGAATAAGATATCTTATCTTAAAGGTAACACAGTAATTATGGCAACCAACAGGTGTTATAAAAGATGACTTTAGATATTTGATTGTTTTCCTTTGAAACTGTGTTATAATATTAACAGGTTTATACAACGCTTTAACCACAATGTTTTTATCTTTGTCTTTTGGACGATCTAAAATAGAAGAATAGAAATCCAAAAGTCTCTTATGGTGATGTTTTACTGAGCCAAATAGTTTATCTATTTATTTATTTAATTGGCACTTTTTCCCACAAACATTCAATCAAACAAACAAACAAACAAACAAATAAACAAACAAACAAACAAACAAACTCAACAACAGTATCATATCAGCCAATCTGCTGTCTCATTGTTAGTATCAGTATCAGTATTGGCCTTGAAATTACTGTCATGGTCCACCACTAATTACAATATTATTTATGTCAGTTAATTAAAACTGCATAAGTTGTTAATTGATGGAAACATCATTGGACTGACTGATTTAAAGATGGTTATTTAAAACCTTGACAATGAACTGATGAGTCTTTTTGATTGGAGGTGAAAATCTTCAGTAAGTCCAGCTGGATTTTAGGTCAAACTTTGAACCCTTTGGGAGACCAGCTGTGCTAAGACTGTCGGCTGAACTCTTTCTTTCTACTCTAAGGACTGTTAGCTGGTGTTAAATGAGATCCAGACCCATATGCAGATCCATCTCTGTGATACATACCATTGACATTCTCCGTCCTCCAGCTGGAGGCATCATTGGCATGTCCCCCTGCAGGGAGCCCAGTTCATCGGACTCCTCAGAGGTATGTAGAGACGGGCTAGTGGAGCCAGTCATGGAGGACAAGCTCTCAGATGGTGGTCTGATCATAACGCTGGTCTTCCGGGGGTTAGGGATCATGACCTCGCTTGCTGCTGAGTCCCTTCTCTCATCCTCGTACTCTCTAATAGTGCTGGGCCTGATGTTGCTGCTGGCCAGCAGAGCCTCAATATGGCACGGCTGGAGCAGGTATGACTGGGGGTGTTCGCTCTCGTGAGGTTCGTCATTGTGGACTGTTGTGAGCCTGTCCTCATTTGACACTGCGGACGACCTGCCAAAGTCGTCCACAATGGCTGTGTGGACTTCCGGAACCTCATGGGTTTGTGGGGCCTGCATAGCACAGTTCTGGCCTGTTGTCAGCGGCATCATGGGCTGGGGGCAGACAAAGTTGGACTGTATCAGTTGAGTCAGGCCATACTGTCTCTGTGTATCATGGCTGGCTTTGAGCCCCGAGTTAAAATAAGGAGACTTGATGTTGGCCTCCGGGATAACCTTGAAGGTCTGAGTCAAAGGTCCATTATGAGGTGATACATTACTCATTACACAGAGCTGTGGTAAAGATGTCTTTCTCCTGTTCTTGTAAATCAAACTGTCGTCCTCCTTGTATCTCTCTCCATAAAGAGTCCGTTTGATTTTTCTGATGCCCAGGTGAGATATTTCTAGAACATTCAGGAATAGTGACACACCAGCGATGGCGATCATGAAGACCATGAAGATGGTCTTCTCTGTGGGCCTGGAGATGTAACAGTCCACACTGTTGGGGCAGGGCAACCTCTCACACTTATAGAGGGGCTTCAGTTGAACTCCATAGAGAACATACTGGCCCAGAATGAAGGAGACCTCCACCACAGAGCGTGTAAGGATATGGATGATGTAGGTTCTCAGCAGAGAGCCTCTTAGAGGAGCCTTCTTCACCTTCCTCTGCTCATCTAGCCTCCTCAGCTCCCTCTCCATGCGCTTATGTTCCTCCGCCGCCAGCTCAGCGTCATCCATCTCGTCTTTTAGCTGGGCTCGTTTCCGGTGTCGCTCTTTGTCCAGTGTTCGAATGCAGTAGAGGGCATGGCCCATGTATACCAGCGAGGGGGCGGACACAAAGATGACCTGCAGGACCCAGAATCGGATGAGGGAGATGGGGAAGGCACGATCATAGCAGACCGCCTTGCAGCCCGGCTGGTCAGTGTTGCAGACAAACTCAGACTGCTCATCGTCCCATACGTCCTCGGCGGCAGCACCCAGGATCAGCATGCGGAAGATGAAGAGTATGGTGAGCCAGATCTTTCCCACAATAGTGGAGTGAATGTGGACCTCTTCCAGGATGCTGCCCAGCAGGTTCCAGTCACCCATGGTCAGCTTCTCTCCTCTTCAGTGCCACATGTCCTCAAACTGTGGAGACAGCATGGACACACACATATTACCCTCACAAAGATGGTCAACAGGATGAGAATAGTTTGATATGAAATTGAGCAGGTGAAAGATTAAAACCTGGATTTTAAGCTCTGCCGATCATGTCCTCAAACCCAAAGAATAAGCCCAATGATAGTCTAATCTGGCATGTGTAGGGTGACAGGACTTGTTGGCTATGAGAATGAACAACAATGAAGGGCACATCTGTACCTACCTCAGAACCTACTGACAAAAAGTCTAGCATGTTTGCCCCCAGCAATGTGGCCTGTGATGTCAGTGGCATTGACCAATGAGAGCACAGAGAGCTCTAAATGTGAAGAATAAAACAACTGTAAACAGACACTGAAAGAGGAACCATGGTTGGTGCTGTGAGATGGAGAAATGAACTGGAGGAATCGAACTTTGCCTATATGTCTTGTTGTCGGGGTGGCCATGACTGAGTGATAAAAAGAGAAATGTTAAAAACATAATTCAGCACCTGGCTGACAAACTGCTGTTAGCTGTAGGTAGACTGACTATAGATCCTTGTTGATTATGGGGACATTTTTTGCATTGGTCAATGCATATTGGTTCCAAATATCAGTTATCAGTCTGAAGATCTTCTTATCATTAGAATTAAAGCAGTATCAGTCGATCCCTACTGTCAACATTCCCAGGTGTTTAGCCCCGCCCTCTTCCTTCCACTGTCCTCTAGCCAGTCTTTGTGACTGGTTTTGTACCATCTTATAGTCAATAAATTCATGGCTCTGTGGTCACCAAATCTGACTCGATGACCATTTTAACATAAAAAGGGATTATGTAGTCTAATCTCAGTACCAAGATGACCTTCTGCTGGTATTCTTTGTGTTGAAAATCCCATAAAATCACCCAAACCAACCGCATGCTGTCCCATCACTTCAAGATCTAGGCCCACAGGTTTCTGCTGTAAACATTAAACAGCTCAAAAGGTCGCAGCTCAAAAATATGCAGTTTTGCTCATTTTTCTTCCCCAATCAGCTGACCTCTATACTCTAGGGGGAGGGGGTTCGGTCGGGATGATTTCAGCGGTGGTTGGATCATCCAGCTGCAGGTCAGTTTTGTGGAAATGGGTCAAATAAAGAACACTGTGTTCTTTGGATGATGCAGGAACATATCAACCAACAGAACAGTTTTGGGACAACAATGGGGCGAGGCAAACATCCCAATATCACAGATGAGATGAGATGAGTGTCAAGCTGAGGTGATACTCCAAATTACATGTTAACCGGCATATTCTGGATAAACTAGTAACATATACTAGGAAGCTACAATGTTATAACATCAAAATATACTCAATATATCATGCTGTGTCCTGAAGCCCCTAACTGTGTAGTTACTTAGCTTTCAAGATTATGATATCCTGAATGACGAAACTTTGGAGCCACCGAATAGGAAAGAAATGGGATCATTTTTATGTCATGTTCTACATCATAGTGATTAAATTATGGTGTTTAACTGCATTAACCTCAAATCTATCATAATTTGAAACAGTAGGTTGGTGTCATCTTTACCTCAGATCTGCACACTTTGAATCAAGATTTTCATCATTTCTGACCAACAAACTAAACATACAGATAAGTTAGATAATATTTCACTGAGGAGCATTTACTAAACAATGTGTTGACACCACTCAGTATTCTGCTTAATTCATGGGTTTCAGTTATGTGACTTCTCTGTTGTGGCCACCATCTTGAGGATGGTAATGCCATCAGCCAGTTGACAAAGCTGGTTTGCTTTTCTGACAGAAACCAACACCAACCAAACACTAACCAAATTTAAGGTATCGGAGTTCACTCATTTAATCCCAAATGGATTGTGGGCTCCTAAAAGGCTGCAGCCACCCGTAATGCTAAAGCACTATGAGGCTGCTTGATACTTCACCTCAGAAAGGACTGCAGAGAAACCTCTCTTGATTCTTTCTTTAAGATGGTCCACATTCTTTATGCTAGCGTCCTCCTCAAAATAATCCTTCAGACCAACCACAAAGTAAACCTACTTTCTGCGCCTTAATTTTAACCATTTGCTGCTGTAATTTTGTGGGGTTTATTCCTTTTTTTCTGATTAAGTGGCTCTAATACTCTGTCAGTCACAGCATAGCAGAAAGCTTTGTAAACGTCTGGTCACTGGTTGGTCCTAATGATGGTGCCATAAATGCTGAGTGTGAAATCCATAAATACAGATGGCCGGGGTTGTGTTTAGTTTTAATGAAGATCAGAATAACTCATGAAATGGTAATTCTACCTTTATTCCAGGTAAGCCAGGTCTGCAGCGTCATGCCTTCATGCAGAATAACTTAATGTTGAAGTCAGCACTGAGAAACTTGTTTACATGGTTCATGGACCTTTGGCATCCTGATGAGCAGTGTGGTCATCTATCAGTTGCTGCAGGGTTCATGTTGGCGTCGGACTGATGGAGACAACCGTCAACCATGTGATGTACGTCCAACATGAAGTCAAGGAAGTGAGCTGTTATCCTTCTATGTTACGGTATAATGGACTCTGTTCCCTTTCACATTCATACACAGCTGCAGACAGTTGAGGATTCAGTGTCTTTCCCACAGACACACTGGAGTCAAACCACCAACCCTCCAGATGACCGGCCATGAGCCACAGCTGCCTGTAATGCTCAGTGTCACTTTTTAAGGCCTTACAGCTTCAGCATGTGATCACAGTTTCTTCCTAAGTCCCATCATCACAGGAGCTTAGTTGTCCTTAACTTTGGCCTGCACCACTTTATTGGAGTCCGTCCATACTTTAACAACTAAAATTACACTGCATAACAGCAGAAATAGCACACAGGCTCTGTTTTATGGAGGATTTTTCCCTCTGTGAGGGTGCAAATGAAATGCATTGAGTGTTTGTCATGGTTATAATATTGGTAGAAACCAAGATTTCCAAAAATCAAGAAAAGACATCTTAAATCAAGAAGTCAGCAGTTTCAGGCCATCTGAGAAAAGACTTCTTGGAAGAAGAACTTTCAGCTTTTTTTAAGGACATGAAATCACAGAGACTGAAGAAACCATCTGGAGCAGCACTTACATATCAGTGGTATGGGTTCCCGCTTTCCTTCTTGATGCACTTCATCTTGTTTAAAGCATCCCAGGAATCAGCTGAGTCTGTGTGACTACCCCATGGAGGTGTTTGGTGGTCTTCTTGTGTCGGTCCCCGATCTCCAGCCCACATCCCTCGGCTCTCCTCGGTCTTTGTCTCTCCAGGTTTCTGTGGGTGTTGTTTGGCTGGCTGTGTGTTGGAGTGCTCTCCCGTGTTACATGCAGGGTTCACAGGATGTGACAATCGATCCCCTCCCGACGGGACAATGCCCCCCAACCCCTCCCCTCTCCCACGCCAACAGTGCCAACACCAACCAGTACCGTCAATATCTGCCTCTCTGACAGTGAGAGGTGATATTTGTTTACGGTGGCTCTTTCACATACAGCCTCTTTCTGGTGCCTGCAACATAAAGATGTAACTGAGCCAACAGAGAGTCATCATCCCATCTCGTCTGATGATGAAAATGTGGTTTAATAGGCACACATACCATCCTCTGTGCAGCTCTTTATTTGGGATTTGCAACAGACACGTACATGCATGCATGACTGGCTGGCATCCCTGCTGTGATTATTCAATTCAGCAAAGTCTGTGCAGACACATTGTTCTGTGAAAGCCTCCATGTGAAAAATTACTCAATAATAGAAAAAGAGACTTTAACATGAAAAACATACGACAGGGGCTGTAGCTATAACAGCTGTCCAAACAAAACTAAAATTATATCAATTAAAAAAAAGTGGGGTTTTTTTTGTTGTTATTTGTTTTGTTTTGTTTTTTTATGAAAACTTATTTTTCTGGTTTTGTGGTTTTTGACTCATGGAGGTCAGACTGTATTTATCTGTGACTTATTTGTGTCAGTTTTGACCTCTATCAGTCCTGATGCAGAGAGCCCCTGAGGTCCGACCAGTTGATGATTTTATGTAGTCCACTCAGGTGAATGACCTGGTCAACTGTTGCATTGTTTGATAGGTGAAAAAAGTTTTCTTTTCTGCTGAGTAATGGATGAGTTTTTGTAAATCTGTAGTAAAAATGTTTTTTTCATGAGTAAAAAATGTCTGAGTGTTTGATAAAACTTTGAAAAAACAAAACAAAAAAACATTGGAAATGTTTTTTGATTTGCTTTCACATTGTTTAGTTAAATGTGTTTTCTTAGGCTGCAGAGTATTGGGCTCTCAGGGCCACCATACTTGACCCGGGTCAAGTAATGTATAATAATCCTGCAGACTTCTCTGCAGCACATGCATTAGTTCAGTTGTCTATTGTGTACTGTAATGCAGTTTCGACCAGAAGGCACAGCTGTTTGTCAGAATACTATTAAACCTCTTGCATGCCACAGGCTTGGGTTTTAAACCTATCGAATGGTAGCAGTAGCAGACCTCCTCCCTCAGCGCTCAGAGTATAAGCAATAGTACATATTACCAGCTTGATTTAGAGGCCTGGTGCTTGGCTGCATAAAATGGCCAGCTGTGCCTGCAGGGCCTTTAATTAGGTTTCCATCGCGCTCTGACAGAGTCAATGGAGCATTGATTTGATTTTCCCTTCAGAAGCTGTGGTCGCTGAGGCCAAAAGCCAGATGTCACACCAGGATCATTGGGTTACACAACTAGAAGCTGCTTCACCAGGAGCTCCACCCCTGACGGTCTGATGGACGGCTGAGCGGCTTTGGGGGGGGGGGGGGGGCTTTGTATGCCCTGTTTGTTTGATGACACCAGATCTGAGCTCATCAACACGTTTTCATGTTTGGAGCTAAAATCAATTTCCTTATAGTCCTATAAACAACAATTTAATGTGACAGTAACTGCAGCTCCACACCTTGAATTTAGAGAATATCACACTTATGTGTCTCAGTGAATTGGTCAGAGTTTATCATTTAAA